AAAATAAGAGGGTTGACAACTTGAATAGCAGATTTAAACTTATGAATTTAAGATAGGGTAAAGTAGCAAGCACTTTAATGAACATCTATGATGATATAAGATTATTATCAAATCAAACTAATTTTCAAATCTTCCTATTTTAATTTCTAAATATATCACATTATATTTAAGCTATGCCATAAAGAAAACTATTCAGTTTAATCTAATTGTTAAAGATTTTAATTCCTAATTATAATAATGAAGAATTAACTTCAATAAGGGATACATTATTTTTTGAAAAGGCTAACACTACTCTTAAAAAAAATTGAATTCAAAATTTGTTTCGAAATCTGTTTAATTCATAATTCTAATAATCAATTGTAATGATTTGTAACAACCCCTGAATATTGAAAGGCAGGGTAAATTAAATGTAATGAAAAATAATTGTAAGAAATAGCAAGGATATGACTGGTATTGATTTCTTAATAGATGAATAAGTACATTTACTTACAATAAAAATAATTTGCTATTCTAATCACTAAGAAACAAAACTAAAACTTTAATTTGAAATTGTTCAAATTTAAAATTTTCACAAAAAAAAAAATTTGGGTATAAAATGGTTGTTGTAGAAAAAAATTGTAATAATAAATGATTATATAATATCTGTGCATATTTTCCCAATAACTATCTTATATGCAAAGAAATTCGCCTTACCACTGCTCCAAGAATTTAAATTGTTTTTTATCTTGGTGATTACAAAATTGCATTAATAATTAATTAAAAAGAATAAAATTTTTTTTATCTTAAGGAGCTGTTTGATACAAGATTATGAGAACATAATTTGGCGATTATCCAATGTGAAACCAAAAATTATTGCTATTGATGAGGGAAGACTATAAAATACAATATAATTCTAATATAGTCGAATTCATAATTATACTCAATCAGTATTTTGTATTTTATCAAACACTCATTTTATAAAATAAAATTTTTCATAAGTTCTATGATATTTATTCATTCACTTTACACTACTTCCTTTTGCAAATTGAAATTTGATTAAAAGGCTTGCGATCTTAAATTTTGGTAATTTTCATATTTTTCAATTTATGAAATCTCTTATAATTAGGTATCCAAGTGTTATAATTTTTTAATTATATTTGTCTATTTCTTTATTTCTTCTTGCAATTGTGCAGTTACATTATACATTTTCTCCTTAATTTTCAATGACTTTTCCAAACCCAACCCCAACCCCAAACCCAACCCCAAACCCAAACCCAACCCCAACGCTAGATAAGGTATAAGTAAATTTTTGGAAAGGAAAAGTCAAACCAAATAAAGATAATAAAGAAAATAATTTTTTTAAAGAAATTCAGTACAAAGCTCTTTACTATGTATGTCCATTAACAATAAAATAGTACCTTTTGCTATTGCCTCACTACTATCACAAAATTTATTTATTATTTATAGGAATTTTTTTTAACTCATCTAATATGAAAACTTCTTTGTAAGATGTAATTAAATATTGAATTTTTGGTACAATATCAATGCTATCTTTGAACATAGCCTCTAAATAAATTAATTAAAGAGTGGTATTTTCCTATTTAAAATCAATCATAAAAGAAGCTCTTAAATATCCAAGTCTTCCCAATTGTAAACCAAGACAAAATACAAGGGATAATAATACGCAGATAATATTAATTGATCATATAAGCTTTAAAACAATTTAATAAATATATCTAAAAAGTTAAAAGTGATCTAGTCAATTGGAAATTAAAACATCATCCATTTTAGATATTTATCCTACTACTTTTTATACGTATTTGAACAGAGATTACAACTCCAAGATACAAAAAGACATTCTTCCAGCTTTAATGGCAATAAACTTGGATTTCAAAACTTCACCACCTAATATAATATTAGAAATTATTGATTCCTCATCCAGATCAAGGAATAGCTTAAATTATAACAAAAGAAATGAAGGTGGATTCAAATAAATGTTGATATTATAAATTTCTCCCAATAGACTTCTCTAAAATACAAAATATGCATATGATTAGAAAAATTATATATTTGAGTATAATATAAAATACCAATTGAATATTAATGTGAAATGCATTCTTATGGATTGGAAAAATCAGAAACTATGAAATAATTCGAAAGAAAATAGCTAATTCATTTGAAATAGTTTCTATAAGTTCTGGAAATCCGCTTGTTGAATTATTTATTAATAAGCATTCTATAAAATATAATATTTACACTTTTATCAAAAATATTGAATTTCATTTATAAATAACAATAGCAAAAATCTTTTTTTAATAACACAATATTATTTAATTCTCCTTTTAATATTGATTGAATTTTATCTTAAGAAATAATCATTTTACTATTAAATTCATTTTGAATTAGTAATTATTGGCTTTCTTATTTAAAACAAAATTATCCCTCAGGCTGATGGCAAATACATATTTAGAAGTTTATTTAAATTAAATAATAGATCGATGTTTTATGAACATTAATTAAAAGAATAAAATCAATTATTTTTATATTAAGCATTATATTTATCTCTAAAAATTTATTCATAAGAAATTTTAATTATATATCATAAATTCTATCACTAATATTTAATTCTGTTCTGTAATAATTTAATTTCTGTGTGTAATAATGTGATATAAATGATGTTACCTACCTTGTCCAAAGTTTTAACTTTAAAGTTGATTGCTAAGATAAATTAGTAGACCTCCAGTTAAATTCTTGTTTCTCTCAAATGAGAAGTCCGAGAAGGTTTGTCTAAACCAACCTTTAGATATATTTTTGGAGTTTCAAGTAACAATATTCTTTCCAATTATTTTTTTCTCAACAAAGTATTAATTATTTTATAGTTACATCAAATGAACTCAGCTATCACAGTACTCTGATTTATTTCTTTTAATAAATCTCTAATATTTGAATAGGATATAATTATTTGCATAACATATATTTCTTATACTAATTAAGTTATTGGTTTATTATAGATTAAATATTCCTATTTAATAAATTCTGAAATTTTTGTATTAATTTATTGTAAAATGATATTTGGATAGGTTTAGAACTTAATAAAATTTGGTTATTCCATCAATTGAATTTATATTCTTAATATAAAGGAGGAGGTAATTATTATTAAGAATATTAAGAATTCACAAAATATAAAAAGTTGTCAATAAAAATATATTTCATACTATGAATGACAAATTAATCACTATGAAATTGAATAAGTCATATAAAAATTGTTTAAATAATTTTATAATTAAAAAATGTAGGTATTAACACCAGCAGATCTAAAATCTGATAAAAAAGTAATTTTATATGGAGCAACACACTGTCCATATTGCTCTAAGGCAAAAGCTCTTTTAGCAAACCTTAATATAGAATTCGAGTATCGAGGAACTGATGTATCAGCCTAATTTGAATAAGAAAGAGAAGCATTAGGAAAACATTTAAATTACGAGACTATTCCTATGATTTTTGTAAACAATTAATTCATAGGTGGCAACTCAGATTTGCATGAGCTTCATGAAAAAGGAGGTCTGTTGCCATTGTTAAAATGAAAACGAATTATTCATATAAAGAAAAAGTTTATATATTTTTAATCAGCCTGCCAATTCTTCAAGAATAATTAAACTTTCTTGAGTCTTTTTTGAGCTATTTTATGGAATTCAAAGTTGTAAATGTTGTTTAAAGCACTATTTTCTTTAATCAATTTTTTAATTAATTATAGTCAAAATCATGGTTGTGTTTATGCTCAGACTTATTTTCATATCAATTACATAAGATGTAGGAGAAAGCAAATATAAATCCAAAATTCATGCATAAATATTCAATATTAAAGGAAGGCTGTGCTTATTTAACTTTTGCAATTTTTTAATAAATTAATTGAGCGAAAGTAAATTGGATAGAATATATATCTTCTTTATTCATTATGAAAAGGAATAATTTTCAAAATAGTGAGAATTGGATGCAACAATATATTTATTAAACATAAGTCTGAGAGAAGGTATTTAGATTAAATTTTTGTTTGTTAATATTACAACTTAATAAAGACGATTTGTCACGTTAAGACTTCTTTATATTTGCTTTAAATAAATATCCCTCCAAAAAAAAAGAAGATTAACTTAATTTTTCTTTTAGAATCTAATATGTTTCTAAAATTAGAAAGATTTCTAGTAGTTATTATATATTTTTACTGATGTTTGTGATAAATACAAAAAGCCGGAAAGTTATGAGAAAAATAATTCTTAAGTTTTTTGAATAGATACAAAATCAAAAGGCTTCCATTTATTAGTTTTGCATTTTCATAAAGTAAAAAGTATTTTATACATAAGCAAAATATATAATTTCTCATATATTGTTTTTATATATATAAAATTAATCATCTTTCAGTTTCTAATCCACAATTGCTAATTATTTTTAAATTGAATAATTAACGATAAAATAATTAGAGTATTATTTTAAATTAAATGAGTAGGAACTTTAAATTAGGTATAATTTAGATAATATAAAGTAGGAGAGATAGAAAATCAAACCAAAATAAAATTAGCAAAGTTTTCAGGATAGAATAGCAGATTATTTACATTCGTTGATGATATCAATTAGATTTTCATAAACAAGATTGAATTTTCAAAAAATTTAAGTGAGTTGGGTATATAGAATCCATTTAATAAACAATTTGGAATAAGTCAGAATGAGATTTCATCAATAATATTTTCATAGTCTGAAAACGAATTAGTAAATGGGTCTAATAAAGGAATATTAACTTATTGGGATATATCTACATAAAAAAGTATACATAGTAAACGATTTTAGTTATACAAAATATAAAAGGACATTTATCTGGCATTAGTTGTTTGAGTGTATTTCCAAATGATAATAATTTATTGATATCTGGAGGAATGGATAGTTAGATAAAGATTTGGGATTCAAGACAGTAAAATAATGGATTGACATTACGATCTCACAAATTATCAATAAATAGTATGATGGTATCTAAAGATGGGAAATTATTGGCTTCAGGATCAAATGATGGAAGTGTAAAGATTTGGGAAATGAATACTTAAAAAGTATTGGCATCATTTAATGAATCAGATTGGCCTATATGCTGCGTTTAATTTAATCCTGTTGATAAGGCTGTTGCTGCATCCTCAGATGATGGTTGTATCAGATATTGGGATGTTGATAGATTGAGTCTAATATCTCAAACAATCCCAGACAAATAATGTATTTATCAGATAAAGTTTTGCGAAAATGGTCAATAGTTATTTTCAGCCTAAAACTTCTCCTTAAAAGTTTGGGATATGGAAAGAGATGGCTTATTATTAGATTATATTGATAGTCAATGGAAATGTATTTTAGATTTAAATGTTTTTGATAACAAAGATATAATTGGGTTAACAACCTAAAATTCTACAGGTTTAAGTATATTTGGTACAAAGATGAACAATATCAACAATGAAAAACACATATATCGAAATCATAGTGAGAAGGTGCAGGGATGTTAAATTAGTGATCACGGTTATGAAAGACATAGTGTAAATGTATTGAAACCAAAAAACACTCATATACAGAGTTATGGAAATATATTAGAAGAATAAGGCTTTTAATTGTGTAGTAATAATTCAAACAAATTTTTACCGACAAGCCAAATTGCTTAGAGAATTAATTATGAAAGTGTTATTTAAGAGGAGGACATGAAATAAAGTTGCTTGGATTTAATAATAAGTCATGATGAGGTTAATTTGTCTAGTTTTGTCATTGACGATTCAAATAAATAAAAATTTAAATAAATGGATTAAATCAATGACATTTCAAAAGATCATAGTAAAGTTATTTAAATATTAAATTAAAGAATCAATTATATGAAACCCATTATGCATTGGTGGAGTAATAATAATATAAAATCTGCAGTAAATGCGATCAATTAATTAAGCGAACCTTCCATTTTATTTGATGCATTATTGATGTGTGCTTAAAGTACAAAGTTCAAATCCATTCCTATGGAACAACTACCTTAGCTTTTAGAAAAATGCAAAATTTTAATAGACTCAAAATACTTGTCTCATATTAGAGGAGGTCTACTGTTTTGTTATAGAACATTCACTACTTATAGAGACGTACAATTTTGTAATCCATAAATTTTAGGATATTCAAACCATCAAGAGTTTTAATTAGATGTCTAAAGTAGATTTGAGTAGAGAAGAGAGAATTGCAAAATACGATAAAATAGTGGAACAATTAAAACAAATTGTTTAAATGTCTAAATTGACCAAATTAATTGAGAGAAATAAAATGGAAGTTAGTGAATTAGCGAAAAAGTTACAAATAGAGATGCTAAGTTTGCTTAAAAGAATTAATTAATAATGAAAACTCTATTATAATATTCTTATTATTTTGTATATAATAATTATCACAAAACTAGTTTTTTCGACTAATAGTTCAATATTTAAATAAATTCTATATAACCTCCAGCTTCAAGAATGGATAAGCAAATGCAACTCGAATTATATTGTATAATAAGTATACGATAAGTAGAATCGAAGAACTTTCTACAACTGAATTATCCTTTATATCTCCATCGACACACCATAAGATGATCTTCCCTCTTTTAGAAATCTATTCATCAGCTATGATCTAGGCCATATCCTTACCTCATTATAGTATTGACTCTAATTTGCTCCATTAATAATTGAATAATACATCAAAAATAGTATAACTACTGCACGTCCTGACAAGAAACCGAGGCATAAAAATATTACAAAAAAGTATAATCAAGGTGCAATCACTAGTCTCTTTGCTACTTCTTCTGAATTAGAGAAAACTACAACTTCTCCAACTGTTAAAAATGCAATACTAATAGCAATTTCCAATATACTTCTGATATTGGATATTATATATAAGGATTATTGAAACTCAAATTTCTGTGTCGCATTTGACTATACCATCTATCGCAGTATATAAACTACAGCCCAAAATAATTGTTGATTCTCTATAAATGAAGGCACAAACTATAACTCCCGTAGCATACCCACAGCAGCAGATGTCCATTAATTATAATTTATCTAAGGGTTTTATTATCGTTATTAATTCCTTACAAACTTTAGAATAATAAAAACAGTAATAAAAAAATGAAATATATTGACGTAATGCATATCAATACCACTACAAATCTTACTGTATAAATATAATTCTCACTTGTTTTATATCCTGTTGTAATAACTCTACAAATGGATCTACCTGCAAATTTAAATGCAGTCCAAGCTATAATGGAAAAAGAATTGAATCCAAAGAACAATCCAATAACGAAACCAGCTTTAGTTCCTACAGGCATAAACCATACCTACAATATTATTTAGAGCTTAATAAAGTTGCTAATAAGGGTAGGAGTATCAAAATCAATGCATAAATAAATGAATTATAGTACATTCCAATCACTATATTTATATTTATATTTATCTGCATCCATCAACCAAATCACTTGCATAGTTATGCCTTACCTATTCTCATTTGATTGAACACTTCATATTATCTAACGATTTCTTAAGCTTCACACATTAGCACAAATTATTTGACTAAATATTGTGGTTCATCAACTCTCTCTGACAATCCTCCACATTATGCTATAATACACCAGATCAATTCTAATAAGGATGCTAAGATTATCAACAAAATTGGCCAATCCACTACTAAATCAAATACCAACTGCTACAGCTGTTAAAGCAATCTACAAAGATAATTTATATAAGATACTATTGAACCTAGACGCATTCCCAAAGAATAACCAATACACATTTATTAAAAAAACGAATTTATTATAATCTTAATATTCTATACATAATTTCATTTAGAGTTAAAATTTCCTTTATTATAATGAGAACCAATTGCTCTAGGATTTGATTCTTAATATTTTAAACCTTTGGGATTTCGCTAAATGTATAGATAATATTGCTACTTAATTATTATTATCGTTAAATTCTTCTTCTGATGTCGCTGGTTCAAATTAAAGTTTTGAATTTTCTTGTATTTATTTTTATTACATTTTCTCTTGATTTTTTCTACTTTCCTTCCATTTTCTAAATTCATATGACTAATTTAGTTTATTTTAATTATGTACTTATGAAAGATTCTTAATTATTTCAATAGAAATTCCACTAAAATTACTGACCCAAATTCCTTATTATTATTATTTTAATGAAATTACAAAACACAAAGTTGATATATAATTGTCTAATTGTTTATAAATCTCTTCCTATTTGATTAGATGCTATCTCAAAATAATCTCTTCTAGTCTAAAATTACAAAAAAGATCAGATCTCAACATTTATTCGTGATGCATCAAGTAAACAATTGTATCCACCAACTTATACTCTAATATTCTATGATCTTTCTATAACTCTTCACTTACTCTATTTAAGGCTTCTAAATCTTGCAATCTTTCTGGTACTATTTATCCTGATAATACTTATTATCTATTTTATTAAGATATTTTTTCTATTTCTTTTAATATATATTCTTAATCTTGATAGTTGGAAATCTTTAGATCTTATATCAATTTTGGGAATTTATTGTATCTTAATTCTGTTTGATGACTAAAATAATCAATAGTGAAAGTGGAACCATCAGGTAAAACTAATTTAGAGCCATTTTGACCTATTTTTGTTAATTTGTCTCCGTAAATATATGGATAGACCTAGATTAAATTAAGTGTATTGTTTTACTTCTTTTTTGTTTTAAAAAATTTTTGGATCCTTCTCTTCTTCTTTTTAAGTTGCTTTATTGTTTGGAACTAACTTAAATTCAGAAGATCCTTGAGATACTGAATCTTAGCTGGATGAGATGCTAGATTATATTTAATTTTATTCTTTAAGTTTTGGTTGTTATTTTTAGTTTGATGAGACTTATAAGATTTATTATTTCTATTATTGCTGTTATTATTTTGATTCTTACAATTTTTGTATCAATAAACATTAATTGTTTAATTATTGATTCAATTTATCCAATTTTACATTTTACATTATCTAAGGCTGTTGTTTTTATACTGTTGATTGAGTTTAAGATTTAAGTCTAATCTTTTATGTCTATAATGTATTATTATTCTTAATTTAAGATAAAGAACTTACATCTTATTACCTAACCTATTTATATTTATCTTCACATTTTTGTAATTTACCATCCTAATATTTTTACATGGCTTTTGCAGTAGTTTCTAGATTAATTTATGCAGAGAATAATTGTTTAGAATAGTTTGGAAACTTTTACAACTCTCTATATGTTTCTATAATTAATTACATCACTTCTTCATATTCTATATATAAATAAATAAAAGTACTCGATTTATTTTAGACATACTCTCCAAACTATTAATTTTCAATTTCTTTCGCTTTTTCACTCAAATCTTTTCTATCTTTTAAAATTGGGACCTATTTCATAGCTGTTAACAACTCATGTCTTTTCTCAATTCTTAATTTTTCATAATAATTGTCATAACTAGATTTCTTAACCTTTTTGATAGACTATTCCGGCTTGTCTTTTGCTGTGGATGGAATCATCCTTTTCTTTTATTTCATCTATATTTTATCTAGATATTGATTAAGATCATCAAATGGTTTCCTTGGTTACAAATCTTTTAATTTTTCTTATTTTTGATAGCTAGAAGCATGCTAAAGTTCTAACACTAATTATGAAATATCTATCTTTCCTTCGATCAATTAGTTCCCATTAGTACTACTTGTCACAACATTAATGATTTTATTCATTAATTATTCTAAGTATGTGATAAATCCTTTTAACTTCTCAACCTATAATTTTTAATTATTTAATAATGCTGATTCTAAAATCTCATATCCTTAATGTACAAGATTTTGAAAAGAAGAAAATCCTTATTTTCCAGATTATCCACTTTTAAATTAATTAACTTATTTAATCCAAATAGCCATTCTAACCCTTTCATATTATTCCCCCCATCTTAGATTAGTCTTTAATTCCTTAAATTCTTTTTAGGACTGATCTGATAATGGATTACATTCTATTTATTCTAATCTTTTATTAAATTCTTAGTAGTCTCTCAATAGGTTTTCAGTTTCAGGATGAATAATGATGCAATCCTCATTTTATTTCTATAGTTTTTTCATAAGTTCAGTCAACTGTTTACAATTTTGTGATGACTTCTATTTTTATAACATCTATTTAATGGTTGAATAATTTCCTTTCAATTATTCATACTAGTTTAACCATGTCTATGCTAATTATTTTTCGTCTTATAATGGCAATTGTTCTAATTTTTCTACAAGGTTCTATACCACTATCTCCTTGCATTTGACCGATGAACTTTATATTTCATTTATGTCCTTTTTCACTTATTAGCATTCCTAATACTTTATTAATACATCTTCTTTATCATTTATCTCAATATTTAATATTTTTCCAATATCCTCTATACATAATTCCAATTCTTCAAATTTGTAATCCTATTCATTCTTTATTTTATTAGCAATAGTTTGAACATTTTCTGCAATTGCTAATATGTTATTGAATTATGAAACATACTCTTCAAATTCATTGTTGGTTCCTTCCATTAAATTCATTAAACTTGTATATTATTTTTTAGCCTTTTACAATTCAACAGTTTTTTTTCCCTTAACAATGTCTCTAATCTTCGATTAGTATATTTTTATTTTCAATTGATCTAATAGCAAATCGTCCTATATAAATGATTAAGTCAATCTTTAATATAGCTATGAATAGATTTAGATATCATCATTGTTGCAATTATTAAAATCTTCTTATATTTGTTTAATATTTTCTAAATCTGTACAGAATTCTTTTGAAAAGAAATCATGTACCATATTACTTATTCTTTTTAGTTTTTGTTCTAAATCAATGGCATCTAAAATTTAGAAATGTAATTTTTATTTTGATGATGATTCTTACTTCGATTTCTTTTTTTCTAAAAATACTTATTTTCTTTAACCATATTCCTTAAATTTATCCACTAAGTTGTTGAAATTATTGACTTTTTGATTTATTATTTGAATAATTGCTGAATACTTAGGCATATGAGACATTTAAATAATTTCTAATAGCAGCTTGAGACTCTCATATGTGTGTAATTCAGAGTTTTCAATTTCTTAAAATTTCGTAATGATTGTTACCCATACATTATAAATTTTCACTTAATCCCATATTCCACCTTTAATATTTAAAGTTATTTTGTTATAACCCTCAAACCAATCAGATAATGAGATTTCTTTTGGTTATTTATTAATATAGTCTTGTAATGGTACAACTATCTAATTAAGTATTACAAATTATTTATTAAACAATTCAATAAATTAATCCAACTTAGTTTATTCTACATGATCTTATAATTGAAACTTCTTTGTTATTACAGATTCTATTAATTGATTACTTATTTCTGACTTTTACTCATGTAACGATAATAATATTTTGGTTTATTTTTACCATAAGAAGTTTGAATATTAATTAAAGACATTATTGATTCGTTTATCGAGTATGTTTTGCTGTTTATTTAAGATGGCTTCTAAATCATTAATCATCGATTCTTGATCATTTTTAAATATGATAGAAAAAGGATTGCTAATTTAATTAATTTTAAATTGCAAATCTGGATTTTTATCATCTTCAATTTCCATTTCCTACTCAGGAGATTTATATTTTTAATAAAACTCATACAATTGTTAGATAAATTGACAAGCTTTGTTTAAACTTTATAATTGTTATTTCTCTTCAAATATAATTTTACTTTAAGAAATTTCATATAAATATAACTTGGCTTAATCTAATTATTCACATTCATAAATTTCATTTTCTAATAATCTTTGAATTTCTTTCTTTTTTTAGTGATACTTATTGATTTCACATTCAAATTAGTGAATTATTTTATCATCAAAATTATATTATTTTGATTTTTCTAAACACATTTCTAATTATTAAAACGTTTGTGTTTTGGCTAGTCTTATTTTTTCAACTTCCTAAAATATTTCTAATTTTTATTGAAGTTCTTTAATTTCTGGAACATCATATAATTTATTCATTTATAATTCTGCTTAGTATTTTTTTCTTAATTATTCATTTAGCCCTTTTTAAAGTGTTATATTTCTTAACTTTTATCTATATTCATTCATTTGTTTTTCTACTCTACTTAAAAGTTAAACCTCCTTCTAAGGAGCTTTAGTTTCTTTTTATAAGTCTTTTAGCATTTATAAATGTGGAATGGAGATTTTAATCTAAATTTCTTTAGTTATTTATTATAACTCGCTGTCGTCATCATCATCATCCCTATCTTAATAATAATCAAGATCTTGGATGTATAGTTCATACAATTTAATTTTAGATAGAAAAGCATAATGTTTAGGGAAATCCTTATAATAACAGAATGTTTGTTCCATTTTATTTATTAGAATTTGAATGGCATTATTCTGATTATATAGTTTGGAATCCTCTAATTATCCAATAATATGCAATCCTTAATTTACTTCTTATTCTATGTATGAAATCCAAGATACTTTAATAGATAAGTTTTCAATTTATTTTAAAATCTTATTAACATACTCCACATTAATTTTACATTAATTTAATTTAATTCTGGATTGAGAAATGAGATTGAAGAATTCTTAATAATTGTGAATTGGCTCTATTTCTAATTCAAAATATTTTTGTAATTTTTAATACTCCTCAAGTTCATCATCTTCATCTTCTTCTTCTTCAGATGAGTCAATAATTCCATTAAATTTGGTTTCAAAATCTTAGAATTTATCTTAAGATTTTTGCAAAGTAGAAACAAACTCTCTTTTTATTCTTTTATAAGTTGGTATTTATTATTGTAAGTAAATGAACTCTTGAAATTCAGTTGATTTATATTCCATTAATATTGTAGTCTTCGTTATTTTCTATTTCATTATAATTATGTCAAAGGCTTTTTGTAAATGATTCAATTTTTGTAATAATTCCTAATAAAATTAGCATTCTTCCAAATCTTTAAACAAAGTGATAACTTGTAATAGTTTATTTTTTAAAGCACTATTATGTTGAATATTTTCAGGAATAGTGTTATTTTTGTCATCTAACTAAGATCTGATTATCCATTAGTTTTCATCTCTATAAGGAATTTTTTAGGTAAAAATAAAGTTCATCAAATCAGTTAATTTAGATTTCTCTTCAATTAAACCAAGCTAAGTTTATAGAGAATTTGGAAATGGAAGATTTGAAAGAATGAATTATAGTATTTAATATTCAGCTTCATTATCTAAATATTTAAAAAATTTTACATTTGGATATCATTCTATCTAACGCTCTTTCACAATAAATTCCAATAATAAGGAGTGATATGAAATTCAATTTCAAAACAGGTGGAAATAATTGATTTAAATTAGAAATTGGATTAAATCTTAAGATATGATTTAGTTTATTTTTTGCCCATCTAATACAGAATGGACAACAATATATTTCTTTGCTCTTTTGTTCTTGAAAATCCTTTTAGTATTTTCGTACACATTGATCATGAAACCATTCTGTACAGGTTTCACATTAGACCATATCATCTGAATCTACTTCTTGTTTACAATAACAATAAGACTTAGCAGATTTGTGTTTGAAACAAATCCATGATAAGATAGATCTAATATGATAATTATTAATTACTCTTTTTCTTCTTCAATTTTATCAGTTTAAAAGTATTGTTAAAATAATACATCTAATTTAATTTACTTAGAATTTCCTTATATTTTCATATATTATTCAAATATATTTTGGACATTATTTTTAAGTGACTATTTATCTCTATTTGATTGAACCATATTATCAATAGAAAGCATTTGTTTATAATTAAAGTATATTTACCATTAATTCTCCTTGCTGCTTTCTGAATAATCTAATCTAAACCCTCCAGAATCTGTGATTTTTAGTAAAATGCAATAGACGTGAGCATATGCATTACATTTATTGCATTTGATGGTTCCAGTAGGTCCTTTACAGTATACACAAGCCTATGAGTTTTACTTTAATTTTTCTGTATTTGATCTATCAATTTATGGAATATTTTAATTATTTAGTTTGTTAAATTTCATTTCAATAAATGAGATTATTTCTATTTGTTTAGAGAACTATGCGCATAATGGATGTACAAATTCATTAGAATTATACAATTTTTTTTTGAGACCTTATTTTTAATTACAAACAAGACATGGATAATCTTGAAGTTTATTTGACTTGCACCTGTCACATTAGAAATACCCTTAATTATTGGAATTGGACAATTTTTCAATTTCTGTTGATATCCCATAGCAATAGTAATGACATGTTGATAGACATCCAAAACATGTTATTTTCATCATACCTAAATGTAAATATGAGAGTATACCTATTTCAGGCTATTAAATTTGTCTATCAAATCCGATTCCGCAAATCTCACAACATTCAGCCTAAAAAAAGTTTTTAATTATATATACATTTTTGTCTTTGAAATGAGGTTGTTTCTTCAGTCTGAATCCCTATTGCTACTTATTTAAGTGGTGTTAAACTAAAGATAAAATAGGAATTATAATTATTATATAATCGTATATAAAGCGAATAAATATATATAGATAACACACCTACTGAAAGATCTAATTTTTTATTGTCTTCTGGGTTCATTTCTCTCCTTGAATCGTCTTAAAATATTTAAAAAAATAATCAAAATTTATAATCAGAAATCCTTTTAATTATTTATATTGCATATAAAATATTGGTCACTTTGGTACTATCCCAAAAAATTAATCATATCTCTTATCTATAAATACACTGGCTCTCCGGTTATACATCTGTCCTGTTGTTGATCCTTACATTTCAGCCAAAACTTATAAGAAGTTCGCCAAAATATGATGGAATTTAGCAGTTTCCAAAGCCCTCATTTATCCCATCCTAACGAATTTTTTTGCATAAACTTTAATTCTAAAATCAATCATCTAATTGATTTCTTCCTGCAATTAATGATTCATAAAAGCATACATCTCCCGTATTTCATTTACTTGCTTTGTTTCATTAGGTAACATATATTTGAAGGCTTCTCCCTTATTAAACTAAAGTTCTTTGAGGGTCTTTGGAATATCAGGGGGTAATTCCCATTTTGTAGGATCTCCTTTGATATATAATTACTCTTTCTTCTCATTTACCTTGTTCTTAAGATTTTAGTATTTCTATTACAACTAATTCTTACTCTATAAATAATCAAATGCAGATGATTACATCTTTTTATGATATCTAAAAAACTCATAAAAGTTTTCCTAATGATATATGATTATTAATTACTTTCACATTCTTCATCTAAAAATTGACTCCGTATTGCCAACCTGTAACAAACTTTGATAATTCTTAATAAACTAATTAAATCTATTCAATAGCTCCTTAAGATTTGGTTTATTTAATAAAACCATCTGTCAATTTGTCTAAAGTATTAAAATTTTCTGTTATTGCAGTCAAGGTATTACTCAGGTTTTCCAAATCTGTACATAATTTACTAAAATTATTGCCAGTCTTTTTATAAATATCTTATGAATTTTTTAAGTAATCACTTAAGGAATTTGAGTAATTTTATAATTCATTAGAAATCTCCAAAACGCAAGAACCATTTGTGGTTATATATTCACCTGGTTTGGATGGTCCTTTCTATTTTTCATATTAATTGAATTTTTCTTTCAATTTAGCTTCCTCACTAATTTCTAAAAAGTCAGAAAATAAAGGATGAGTCTTAAATAATGGATGGTATAAGCAATTCTATAAAAATAATTCCATGATTCTCATTCGTTTTTCTAAATAGGCTGCCCCTGTTTATGATTTCCTATTTAAAATGTATTATATCTATACAATTTCTTTCCAGGAATAGGAGGAACCAAATGGCACGGGTACGTCATTACTAAAATATCTCTCAGTTTCAAAAAGTCAGTAAATCTTCTATTTACAACCCATCCAATTGGTTTGGTCTCAATTTTAAATGAAATATATGATGATATGATGCCATCAGATTTACTTATATATTCACTCATTATTATTTCCACTTACTTATGATAAAATCAAATAATACTTTATGTGTATTTTCCATTATGAAATCTGTTAATTTTGTTCTTCCTGGCAATTAGCATTGTACTTCTGTAACAAAGTTGCTATCATCCTAAATTTTCTGAATCTAAAATTATTGATTTGTGGATTATTAAATAGGTTGCTTTTCAAACTCTTTTGAACTAAATACTTAATTTATTTTCTTACTCTTCTTTCTTGATGAAATCCTGTATTGTTTTTTGCAATTCTTCAAATGTCCATAAATCTATCTCTTGACTTCCATTTTACTTGATTTATTCACAATACACCTAGAATGCAATAGTGTCGTATCCTGCATCCACTATTGATGAAACCAATAGATCTTATTTTCTCTATCTTTCTTATTCTATGTCTTACATTTTATTAATAATATTAATTTCTCGTTATTGATTCCCTCAAAAATACTTAAATCAATATTATAAACTAAAGAGTACTTTTATTGTAAAGGTTTCAAAGTTATAATGGCAGACCTAACAATTCTTTGAATCAAATATTCAAAACCAAATGCTCTTTCACTCAAATTTAAGATAATACAACAATATTTTAATATTCTGTATAATTTTCTAAAAATATATTAGAATCTAATTTACGATGAACAGTTTTTTATTGAAAATTAATATTGGATTATTGAGAAAAACTCTCAATTTGAAATACTTTATTCAAATGAATCTAAAATTACTAAACGAAACTCCAAGAAATAACATAACATTATTGATATAATAAAAAATGTAATTTTCTTAATAGTTAGCATAACTGTATATTGATATTCTATTATATCATTTAATATTCAAAAGTATTTAGCCTATGAGTGAGGTTAGAACAATTTTACAAAGCTGCTAATGTCTAAACTTTGTTAAGTAAGGAATTTAAACACAATATCTGCGCTAGGAAATCTGGATTTAAAATCTGCATATGATAAAATGCCATCTCTGTCAAAATCTAACCAATTGAAAACATAATCTAATTTTAATGCCATGTATTAGAATTTCTATCTATAATATTCTAAATGAGTATAGGTTTAAATTATCATGGCTATGACTCTAGCTTATATTTAATCTATATGTTCATCTTATTCTTATTTTGTAAGGAAATCCTTGCCTATTAGATTTTATAATTTAAGTTTTCTAAAAGGATAATTGAATAAACATACGAAATTTAATCTTGTTGAACTTGTTGGTTTATAGAATTGAAGAATAGTTCAATATCACTCTTTTTAATTTATGTAAGGTCTTATGAGTGCAAGTATTCTAATAAGTCAATGGCTGTTATATTATTTTATAATTTTTGAAGGTTGATATAAACTACGTTGGATTTACATCTTTCAATATCGCGTAATTATGAAGCAATTTCATAGATCATTTATTAAAACAACTCTCGTTCTTCAATATATGAAACTGATAATGTTTCAATTCTTTTGAAATAGAAGTATAATTTACTTATTTTTTAAAGTTTGAAAATCAAATTCTAAATTCTTATTGAGTTTACTCATGTATTCATAATGTTATTCTTTCTGTATTTGAAATAGTTAACGATCTGCTTAGGGATAATATTGTTTTTCTTAATAATAACAGTCATTATAATATTTTTGATTGGCCTATTATTATAAATAAGTAGGTTTATTAGTGTAGGATTGATAACTTAATGTTGAATATGGATGATAATAGTGATCAGATTAAGCGTGATTAATTTGGGGTGCAACTTAAATTTTATAATTATACATAATTTAATATCTCACATATACATTGTTCTTTTTGCATATTTTTTTTTGATTTCATCTCTCTTTTCTTTCTCTTACAACTTGATTTATTGTTCTCTAGGTAAAGACAATAACTTTTATTTTTCCTTTTGCAATTTTTCTGTCTTCTTTTTCTAAGCTTCCTAAAATGGATAACAGAAATTAAATACTTCAATTTTCTTTTACTTTTCATCCTTAAATTTGATTTCTTCAAATTTTGCTCTTTCTTCTTCATTTTATTATCTAGCAGATTATGATAATTTGAAGTTAGCAATCTTATCAACAATTTAAAGGATCAATTATATGAATTCTGTGTAATCTTCTAGCGATTCAATATTAATTAAGGTAGCTCTAAGATGATATGGACTAAAATATGGATTAAGATGATTAATTACTTTGCTAAGAGTGTTTTTTAATCAGTGAAATGAATATTTTGAATATATTTGTCATATTTCTTTAAGGCTTGACATAATTTGGAATCAAAAATAGTGGTCAAAGGTTCTTTGCCTTCACCAAGGGTGACAAGTGTTAAACTAAATATGTATGATTGAATTACTTGTCATCAATTTTATCAATGGATAACTTTTCACAGAGATATTTAAGATCTATATTGGCTTCCTTATATGATTTGGCATCTCTTTTTTTGACCAAAGCAAAACAAATGGGTTATGGTGTAGCTGCTATTGGGATATCAATAGTGATGGTGTCTCTTTCAGGCCAGATGAATGAAAATAATAACATTGACAATAGATCTTATCTTTTCTTTAGTTCAATAGTGACTGCTAAACAATTTAAATTGTTTCTTCCTTAAGCCATAAATCTAAGAATATAGAAGTGATTGTTTACCCAAAGGAATTACTTGAAATGGATTACAGGAGTGGTCCATTTTCTTTGTTTGTGATTCCAACAGCAGTGAAGTTGGTTTTAAAGAAGTCATAGGTTGTTGATGCAAATTTTAATGCTAGTTTTTTATTGGTTGTGTTTCCTGTGAAGTACATAAAGATGTAAATGAGGAAAAGTATAAATCCCATGCATTCATAAGGGTAATTATGCGGAATGTTTTTAATAAAGGCTACATAATCAAATGCAATTTGTGCTTAATTGTCTTCCATTTGATAAATATTTTATCAATTAATTTTTGGATATTTACAAATATATTGATGGATTAGAATATTATATAATTAACACAAGATTAGAAAGCCAAATTGCATTAATTAAAATAGAGTGTATACATAGAGGCATAGAAGCTATTGAGAGATGATTTAATACAAAAATATACAGATTAAGCCCATTTGCTTAGATTATTGATAGCTAAAGATTGGAAATTAGACGAGGCTTGGGAACAATGGAATAGGTGGGTGGAATGGAGGAAACAATATAAGGCAGATGATATTAAAATTGAAGAAATTAAAAAGGAACTTGATATGAACAAAACATTTTGGAATGGATAAGATAAATTGGGGAATCCTTGTTTAATCATCAAGGCTAGAAGACATTTCCCTGGATAAAGTGATCCTGATACCCTGATACGATATATGCTCTATATGATTGACATTGGCATTGAAAGGGCAGAATAGGGAGGCACTGGTAAAATCACTGTCATCTGGGATAGAGAAGGAGTTACTACTAAGAATTTTGATTCGTCCATGTTCAAAATCATTAAAAGGATGATAACTCTTGTTTAAGACAACTATGCTGAGCGATTGCATCAAGCATACATTCTATATCCGAACTTTTTATATAAAACTGTGATGACTATCGTCAAACCTTTCTTAAGTGAGAGAACTAAATAGAAAATTATTTTATGTAATGAATTTAAGGATCTATATCCATATTTTGGAGAGAACTTCATTATTTCTGATGGGATTGGAGATGAACAAATCTAATAATTGTAGGACAACATATAAGATTAATAGTAAATCGAGTCCTTTATATAATAATAATTATTATAATAATGAATTATGCTATTTATATAATGGAATAATCAATTATGTAATACTCATTTATTTTATTTAATATTATTTTATTATGCATAAGATTTTGAGATCAATCAAGTCATTCAAAGGGTCTAGATTTACCAACAAATTGCCTACTTATCTAGAAAGATTAAAATAATAGGAGGAAATGGATCGTAAGACTAATTTAGATGTGTTGAGAAGAGAAGTCTTTAATGATTCAATCTAATTACCTATAAAATTTGCTGCTTATTATATTACTAAGTATACTTAATTTTATTAATAGCTAATAGACTTTTTGGGCTGAATTAACTAGATCTATGATTGATGCAAGCAATCATGTCATTTTATTTGCAACCAATTATATTAATTATGGTAATTTTATCATTAATACTTTAGGTCCAAATAAATAATTTCCATATGGAATAGAAAAAGTAAAGCATCTAGTTGCTTTAATACCCTCTGCCTTATTTTTATACTTTGGAGCCTCTATTTCCTATGAATCATTTCTTAATATTTATAATTATGGCCATTATGTTGGTGAAATACACAGTAATGCTTGGGGATTGGCTGTATACCTATTTAATTATCGGATAGTTATATTTATTATCTATTGGAATAGAAACAAGCGTAGTTTTCAAAAATATAAGAGATGCATAAGCTGTAGATTCAAATGATGACACTAAAATGGGGTTGTTTAAATAATTCCTATCAGTATTTCAAAAGAAGGATCCAGTACTATAAGCTATTCTTTATGAGAATGCAATAACATTGGGATCCACTTTAATTCCTTTATTATCCTCAGCATTCACTCTCATATACCCAACACATGCATTTGAAATTGTAGGATCTTTGGCAATCGGCTTAATATAATTGTATTGTCAAATCCTTTATATCATTTAGATAACTAGCATATCACTTGAGTGCCAAGAACCTAAGTTCTTTGATGGGGGAACAATCTATAAGTGATCTGGAAGTCAAGAAAATATTAGAGATTATTAAGCAGAATCAATATGTTGAAAAGATTTAGAATGAGAAGGCTGTGATGTTAGGGAGTAGGAAATTTAGATTTTCAGCTGAAATTACTTTTAATATTAAAGTATGTTTATATATAGATTCAAATTAGCAAATAAATTAAGATACGGAGTCTAAATATTTAGAGAGATTTGACAAGGTTATTTATAGTGAGTCTTATAGAGATAGAGAGGAATATCTATAAGAATTATTAAGGGAAATATAAGAATATGTTCTTGCTAGTTTACATATTCAAGTATTATTATGAATAACTATTTAGATATAAAAAATTGAAAGTGCCATAAGAAATGAATTTCCCAATTGTATCCATTTGGATTTTGAAATTAACAACAAATCATTGGCTGAAACCTATTCTATTGATGATGGTAATTGGTTATTTAGAGAAACTTTATTAAAATCACCTTTTAAAGTTGAAAAGTGGATGCTTGATGAAGTAGATAGATTAATAAAGAAAATTACAAAGAAAAAAACTGAAACCTACATTGAAACGTAATAATTATAAAGATATTTGTTAGCTATTAATCCTTATGTTCATCAATTTAATATAATTAATGGAATGATTTGGAAGATGATGATGAATAACTAAAAATAATTGAGGATTACAGATTTGAATAATTGTAGAATGAATTAAAAAGCATAGACGAAATATAGTAGATCAATAATCAATCAAAAGGAAAATGAATATATAAAAATAACAGCTATTAATAATCATATAAAAACACTAAATCCTTGATTCTATAAGTATTCGTTGAGGAGAATGCTTACCTGACCAAAGACCATCTAAGAAAATGAGATAAAACCACTTAAGTGATTACAAATTTATATTACAAGAGGAATAATCCTAATCTGGAATCAAATTCAATTCTATAAAATATCAATTACTAGTTTATCCTCCTTATGATTTAATATATTTCAATAACATTGTTCTCATAGGATATATTCTAATACTATTTTATTTATTAATTATTAATATTATCAAAATTCAGTCAAATATTCCAAACTCTGTAATTTTCTTATTTTCTATGTAAGATTTAAGTGAAGTTGATTGGTTTCAAAATTACATAGTTCGATGTAGAATCTTTGGATCCTTTAAATCTCTTTTGTAATTATTCCACTTGAGCCAACAATAAGGGATTCTATTGAATGTTACCTAAGTCAGTTAATGTTGTATTTTCAGGTCCAATAACATTCAATAAAGGCTTGATTTCAGAGATTGAATTGTAACCCAATTTTAATGAATTCAATACGTTATTCCTCTTTAAAGCTACACTGATCAATTAAATAAAGTCATTTCCTAATTGATTGTGTTCTAGATCTATTGAATATAAATAATAATTTGTTTATATCATTTAGGCAAGGTATTTCCCTGATAAATCATTTAAACCATTGTGTTGTAAATTCAAATATATTAAAGATTGATTATTTGCCAATCCTTATGCCAATACACTTATATGTTCTGATGTTAGAAAACAATATTTCAAAGTCAATTCAGTCAAATGACATTGCAAAGATGAGAGAGATTGACTCAACTTTTAGAGGTCTTAAATGATGGAATCTTGTATTATTACACTCCTTAATGATTTCTAATTTATAACCAATTTAATTAAGACATCAGCACCTTTATAATCTTACTAGCCAGGTTTGAATGCATCTAAACACACATGATATAAGTCAGTCTATTGAATTAAAGCACTATATAATTAGTTTAATGTGATTAGACTATGAGAGAAATTATTCCTTGAAAAACTAATCATAGTAATTTGTATTACTCAAATGATTTAAAATAAGTAACTTCTTTAATACTGCCCAAAAATAGTTCCATTCCTTTTGGACCTAGTTCATTATGACTTAAATCCAAACTTTTTACATGAGTATTAGAAACTATAAATTTCAATTCATCACTATATGAATCATCAATCCCATTATTTCTTAATTTCAATGTGTGCAATGTTCTCATATCTTATACCTATTCTAAGAACTCCTTAAATGCCAATCTATTGAATTTCTTACTACCAAAATTGCTTAAATCAATGACCTATTTGGTACAAGAATTAATATACTTCAATTAAATGATAATGATTTTTAAAATCAATATTAGTCTTTAGATTATTCTTAGGTCTTGTTTTAGATGGCAATAATTTCGTAGGCAATTTTAAATTACTAACAGCATCATAAAATGTTTAGAATTATTCTGATTGCTTTTCTTCTTCATTTTATTATGTAAATATTATTGATTTGGCTTAAGGTAATGTAATTGAATGAGGATTAACTTTTGATTATGTAACAACTTCATTCTATGTTTACATGTGGGGTGCTTCAAAACCAGTGGTTTCTTTATATTTTATTTTAAGGAACTCTATCATTTTTTCTTATTCCTCTATCTTCTGTAGATATTTCAAATTGGGTCCCAATGATTTATTCATTTATAAAAATTATTTAATAATAAATATTTATTAGAAATGAATGAATAAGAGAAACTTGCATCACCTGTCACAAAGAAAGTTTCTGAGGATGAAATCATTAATGAGAAAGAAGTTCTTTAAGCACTTTCTTATATTAATTTTAAACTTCTTAACGTATGAATAATTGTTTAGTTTAGACATTAATTCTATAGAATAAACAAGAAAACAATGTAATAATTCTATTCAAAGCATTGTTAACTATTTTCCAAGAGTCTGAAAATTGGATTCCTAAAAATATTAAAGACTGGGCAACCATCTAAAGAACGATTGGACACACATCAAAATTCATCCAAATGTTATAAAATTTTAAAAAATATTACATTACAGAGTGCAAAATATAACAAACTTAAGTCTTATTGTAAGAAGTTCATATTTAAAAACTATCTCAAAGGGCAAACAATTTATTAAAAATTGTTAAGTCACTTCTCAAATATTATAGTAATCCCTTCTTCAATCAATCTTTACATGAAGACTCATAATTAACGTATCAATTTCAGAATGAACCTCCTTTAAGTCCAATAAAAAACTCAAATCTCTTGGACTAAGACTCTGAAATCATTATGCAAGAATTAATAAAAAAAGAAAAACTGAGTACAGTTCCAAATGAGATGAAACGATCATGTCAAATCAGCAAGGTAAGATCAAGGAGTCCAACCACTGCCTCTTCAGGAAGTAAGAGTAGAACAATTCAGTCATGTTAGCCTCATAGATTGTCCATCCCTGTAGGCAATCCCATTAGATAATTAAGTAGTTCCCAATAGAAATCGAATTTTACTATCAAATAGTTTAGCAAAACAATTAATAATACAGCATCTCTGAAATCTAGCGGCATCTATTTTAGAGAAAGATCGCAAACTAATACTCAAAATAAGTTCGATTAAGTTGAGAAATCCCCATTACAATAAACAAAATAGCAATGTATTAAAGAGTCTTTATTCACAAAAAAATCAACTCTAAAAAATAACAAATGATTATAATTTTTCATTTTAGTATTACTAACAAAAATGTATTAATCATGAATACTATTAATGCCAAGGCTTAAAAATAACAAAAATAAGTACTAAATATTGTTTAAAAGATAGAACAAATTGTAAATGAGAATTTGCAACACTTATAATTAATGTTTATCCTGTCCTCCATTATGTAATCAAATTCATCACCTTCTTAATTTATAAATGGCTTATTGACCTTTTGATACTGAAATATAGGAATTTCTGTTTGTTGCATGAGCTTCTTTTTCTATAATATATTAAATATTAAAAGTACTATTATATATATAGATAATAAGAATTGTATGTGTATTTATATTCATTTCAGCATTTCTTATAACAACTCATCTATTTCCAATAGACTTTGATCACATGCTGATCCTCTAGTGGTTGCTTTGATTGATGCTTTCACAAAACTTTCATCATATGGATTTCTTATTTATGGTGTCATGTCAGTTATTTTATACTTTATCTAAGTGCTTTGATTCAATTATTCATCATCACTTATGGTCTTAGAATTCAATATAGAATAATCAGCTCCTAATAATTTTTATTCCTAACTTTAAATAAACATTTAGCAAATACTTCTTCATTGTCTGGATGTTTTTAAGGTCGAAATAAAATACATAATTTTATAATGCACCAAATAAATGATGAAAAAACCGATACTACAAACAAGCATATTAGCACTTCTTTGTAGTGTAGTTTTATCAATAATTATTTTACTTTCTGGAACTCTTACTTATATGCACTTTGCTTTTGCTCACTCGACTTTTCAAACTATGGAATCGTATAATTTTATTTTGGAAATTCAGATACATCTTCCTCTATTAATTCTTGCTATAACACTAAATTAGAATCAAACTCTAATCTTTCTATCTCAAATTGGTTAACCCTTTCTTATCCTATCAGAGGTTCTTGTATCAATTATAAAATTGAAATTGGTTTCTGAACTATTCCAATATGCTTTTTTGGATGCTAAATCCTACAATCAGAAAAGGCAATTTAGTGCATAATCATAATCAAAATTATCATCTTAAGCTTTGTTTATTTATTAAATAAACAATTAAAATATTATTATGAAACGATGTTAATCATCAATAACTATTAATAATCACTCATAAAAACAGACTATCAAATTAAAATCTGCTTCATAATTTTACCTAAATCCTTGCCTTTAACCCTTATAATAAACACTAAAAAAATACTAAAATTTTAGTTTGATTTATCTAAATAAAAAGGATTTCTTTTATCCATATTGTCATAAGAGATTACGTCTTTTTGGGAACTCTAACGATTCTACGATCTCAAATCTTAACAAAGAAAATGATCTTATGATCTCCAAAAACAAACCATACATTCCTCCTTTATAACTTAAGAACAACTTTTCAAATTACTAGAAGATTTCGAATAATTAAATTCTAACAAAACAATCTAATACTGATAGAATTTACAAGAAATTAACATAAAGAAGTATCAAAAGTTTACTTTGTGAATCAAATTATCCAAAGAGTACTTCTCGGTAATTACAATTAAATTGATGAAATTATTGATAATATTATTTGATTATAGAATTATAGTATTTATACATTAAGTTATAAATTACTTATATAAACAACTTTTTTCATTTAATTAGAAACTTTTATAAATTATAAAATCATCAAATGCAAGTTCCAATCAAAAAGTAACAGTTTCAGACTTGATATTTACTCAATATTCTCTGAAACAAACAAAGTTTTACAATTATTTGTGAAACCTTCTAAAAACCATATAATTAGAAAATTGAATTCTCTCTCACATTTTTTTCAAATTAGAAAGAAACTAGAGGAGGGAACTGATTAAACATATATTTCTTAATGACACTTTCTATTGAATTGGTTCTACTATTTTTACTCAGATCACGATTTTAAAATATAAATGGACAATCGTGAATATTTATTTTAATAATGAGAAACTATCATTGTTTGTTTGAGAGTCTTCTTTTCTAAACTAGGCGATAATATTAATTAATTATATAAATAATTATATTAAGAGTGTTCACTTTGGAAATTTTTAAATTTTCTGATCTCTTTTATTTAATACTTAATTATGAAATAACATAGTGTATAAGTATTCATGTTTATTTATGTTAATATTCATTAGAGTGAGGATTTTTTATTAAATAATTTGAGTACTTATTCATTATTTTATTTTTTGTTGTGAAAAATGTTCAGTAAAATTATGAAATTTATTATTTTATTATTGGAAGATGAATGATAAAATCACCATCCCAATGTGCTCTGTCTATTTTAAGGAGAATTCTTAATTTATTCAAAACAAAATTACAGAATTGTATACTGGTTGGATGATTTAGTACAATAACTTCTTAATACAAAAGTTTAAATTTTTTGAATTAGTAATGCTTGTGATTAATGCTAGGGGAAGGAATTCTAAAAATAGTATGAAATTTAAATTTAAGTAATTAGATAGAAACTAAAAATGTGTTTAGGTTTCAATGGTAATTAATCGCTTTTTAGAGGCTACTTGTGGAGAAAGAGAAAATATACAAAAAAATAAGGTGTGATTGATGTAATGATTACGTTTTAATTTCCAGGAATTAGATAGAACAAAAAATAGAATGAATGAAGTAAAATTGTGTAAGATCAAGAGTGATAGTCATGACGAATTAGTATTAGGAGTGTTCCATCATGTTTAAAGGTAGGAAATAGGGGAAATGATGAATATTAATTTGAGATTATTGTGTGAGAAATATTTGAATCGAATTCATGAGAGAATGAATGATTTAATTAAAGTAATTAATTTTAATAAATCATCATTGAGAAAACAGAATGAGTATGGTTTTAATTTGTGGTAAATATACATCAGTTTTAGAAAATGCTGGTGTGAAAGGCCTGATCTTATGTTGAAGAAAGAATTCAGAGTCAAAAGAAAGACAATAATTATAAATTTAAATTGTTGTTACAACTAATTAAATAAATATAATAATTATTTTTCTTGTTTTGATATTCAATAGCAATTAACATTAATAATCATGAATTAACTCGTGGCAACATCGCAGCATATGTTGGTTAGTAAATATGTGGTTGAATTTGAAGAGGATATTGTGTTAGTGTTGGAGACACAGATTCATATTCTTGTTTTACGTGGATTTACTATTTAACTTCAAGGAGTTGCTTGAATATTAGTTGTGATGCCAAATATAAATTTTGAATAGTCGTGTAATAATATGGATTCTAGGTTTCTGCAGCCTTCTAATATTATTATGACAATGTAGAAAATAGTTTTTGACAATGCTATTGAAGAAGAGAACGTTATTCTTAGATCAAACTAGCCTAGTCTGCCTTTGAGGGTTGTTTATCAATATATATCTACATAATTTATTTTAAAATACCTGACTAACTTCCGATGATACAATAGGCTCAGACAGTTAGAAAATGAGGGGATTCATTATGGATATCTTCAAGATATTCTCCACCTTGAGCTTTTTCTTTCTTGTCTCTTTCTTACCTATCCTACCTTCTTTTTCATAGGCCTTTTGTATCGTCCGTACAGTACAGTATTTTAGCTTCAACCTATTCGCGACCTAAAAAGATTAATGATCAAGATATCATATATATGGGTATAGAATAAGCACAGATTTGGGATTAATTTGATACCTCTTGTAACGAGAGCTTGTCATGCAAAAGTAGCTTTAAAACTAGTTTTCTTTCTTCCTTATTGATTTTCTGGTACTTTCTACTCGATTTCGCTTATGCTTCCTAATTTTCAGATTTGGTCATGATGTTAGAATCTTTATTTTTATTATATTTATATAAAATTTAAAATCAATACTTAACAAATTTGAATTAAGATTTCATCATTTTATATATTATTTCTTTTGATTATCTAATTTATTAAAAAGACATTCTGCACACCTCATCCAACAATTCATCCTCTAAAATATTCATTCTATCTGACTTTATTAATTACACTCAACAAATCATTCCTGCTTTTACATTTTATAGGTATTTTGTTAAGCTAAATTTTGAAAGTAAATCAAATTATGTCTAATTTATATTCATTAGGTTAATAATCAATTTCAAATTTACTTCCAATCTAAATTATTCAATGTTATGTATATCAATGCATATCAATAAGGAAAAATACTAAAACTGCTTTACATTGATTTTTAAATGCTTGAATCCCAACACTCATCTCTTCCTCAATTTTCAAGTTAATCTCGCTTTCTCATTTCATAATGTAATCAAACCACCTACTTTCTATAACATATAAGCTTGCTTCTCCATATTTATTACATAAAGTCATAATTTCAACAGGCAAATTTTATTCATAAAATTACTTCCACTCAAAGTGGCTCATCTATTCAAAAATCCTATGTAAAAGGAATGTTCACGTTATTCTCCACTCAATAATTCAGTTTGCAATCAAAATAATATAGATTCCTTATCATTTATATTATGATGCTGGAGATTTTATTCCTTCATTTCAAATGGTATTCCAACTCATATTATGAGATGATATTAACATTCTAAATGATTATTGGTATTAGAGTCAACCTAATGCAGCTCTAACATTTTTAGATTATATTTTGTCTGATGAAAAGAAATCCATATTCTCAAAGTTATATCATCTAAGTTAACACTTTTCTTCTCTTTGTTGTGTTATAAATGGCTACTATTTAGAGATTACCATCTAATTAGAGGAGAATGAGGTCTTTTTAAAATGGTTAGATTGAACCATTTACTTCTATTATTAGTTCAGGCGTCGATAAAATGAGATGCCAATTCAGAGGATAGTTGATGATGGCTTAAAGGGATTTTGAGAGTTTTAAGGAAATGTTTGGCCACTAGTCTGACATTTACCAAGAATAATTTAAGAATTAAATGTTCTTAAAATAGTTTAAATTAGGATGATGTAAATTTATGAAACAAGACTAATTTTTATTTAGTTAAAATAATCAAAAAATATAACGATATGAGTATGTCTAAATAATCAATCGATTTTCTTCATCATTGTAAAGAATTCTTCCAATGAAATCTAACCATCAGAATTAGAATCAAATTCCTATACTACTTATTTCCACATTTCCTCTGGTATTCCACTAAATATCTCTTTCAATTCATCTATAGTTATACTTCCACTTTTATCCTAAATAAATGTATCAAATACTTTGTCAAACATACGAAAAGTTACTTGCAATCTTTGTTTTGATAACAATTATTATCTATCGATTGTTGCTATAACAAACTCTTGAATACTATGAGATATCAATATATACCTGTATAATCAATGGAACCAGAATTGTTTTTATCAACTTATTAAAATATGCGATTAACTTCTTCTGCAGCTTCAACTGGCTTCATAATCTTTGAATATCCCACTAGCAATTCCTCTTTACTCAATTTTCCATCTTGATTTGTATCCAAACATTGAAATATCTTTAGCAATTCAGCCTTCTCTTCCTTAGTGGCCAATTGATTGACAATAAATTTGAAAACAGCTTCCTGTAATTTTTGTTATTCTGTAAATCTTCTCATATTTGTTAAGACTTTGGTCATCAAGGGTCTATCAAATTCAGTTGGATTTGTGAATTTCTTAATCCATGGATCATTTAAAGCTTATTGAGCACTGTATCTCTTAGCTAAATATGATTTGTATTATTAAATACTAGGATCAAATTGCAGCATTTTTCGAATGAATTCTTTGCCTTCTTTTGTAACTTCTTCCCATTCTTACGTATCAAATGAATAAACACCTTTAGATACCTTTTCCATAATCTTTTCTTCAGTCTTCCCATCAAAAGGAGGGTATCTCAACATTATAAATTAGTTTACCCACACAACAAAATATATAGTATGACTCCACAAGACCATATGTCACATTTTTCATCATATTTCTTTTTTAGAACTTCAGGAGCAATGTAATAGGGAGTACCTAATTTCTGATTCAACTTTTAATTGGGAACGAATTCTTTGGAAGTTCCAAAGTCTATGATTTTGAGCATGGAGTTTTCCTTATCAGATTCATAAAGAAGATTCTCAGGTTTCAAATCCCTAAATGTAAGATATTTATAGTGTATTTACCTGTGAACAATCTTTTCATCATGACAATAATTGATAGCGGATAATATCTGTTTCATGATTTCAGCGGCTTTCTTTTCAGAGAAACTACCCTCTTGCCTGATTTTATCAAAGAGTTCTCCTCCAGTACAAAGTTCTGTTACGATATAAAAGAATCTTTCATCTTAATAAAATTCATGAATTTTAATGATGTTTGGATGATCCTTTAATAGTTAAGAATGATTACTAATTTTTAGAGCATTTTAACCTCATTCATCAATCTCTCTTATTCTTCCTTGCTTGTTTAAGCTTTGTGGATAATTTTAACTGCTTTCATCAGATTTGTGCTCTTGTGGATAGCCTTTCTGACTTCCCCGTATGCTCCTAAAAGTGTTTGAATAATGTGAATACCGCTTCCCAAGGGTGGATTCAAGAGGGTATAATCCTTAGTGATACGTCCGAGCTTTTCACTTGTGATGATCAAATTGCCAAGAACGGCTTAAGCTTTATGTGTTTTATAATAGTTATACCATCATTAAGTTAGAGTTTTTATGGTGAAGAATTATCTGTGTCAGGTTTGTTGCCAGAGTTCTTAGTAGCAGAATTATTTTGAGAACGCTTTCCGGAGCAAGAGCCCATAAGTTATTATAAATAATAAAATAAATGGGTACTTGTAGTTAAGGATAGAACATAGAGAATGTTAGGGGAAGTGAAAGAACATTGAAGAAATTAGTGGGGTATTTTTACAGTATCTCTATGCAACAACATCCAGACATTGATAGTTTAGTAATTCCTAAATTGGAGAGATAAAAAATAATTTCAAGAGGATTGAGTAAGAATCTCATTCAAGAAATCGTAATCTTTCTAAATTCTCGCCAGATCAGAAATAAGGAATAAGATGATTTACTAGATCATTTTAATTATGTATACAACTAATCTTTTAAGAAATTGAATGACTTTAATACCAATCTTGGGAAGATGATATTGATTGTAACACTTTTATAATAAGATATGTAAGACCTCCATCGAAGTCTTATTATGTTATAAGTCTCTTGAAATGGGAGAGTTGACACCAGTAGATGTGTGGTGGGTAGAAGACCACTTTTTATGGAGGTATTGCCAATTATAGGATCAGTACAAGGTTGAATATGACAATTTTTTGGATTTTAGTTGTCTCATCAAATTTATGTATCTTTTGAAGGAGTGCACACGAATAGAATTGAAAAAGATGAATTTGGAATTGAAATAATTGATCGGTTCCATAAAGACTGAGCATTCTTAATAATAAGAATTCCCAAACACAGCTAGAACTGCCGATAGTTTTCGACCATAACAGAAAAGAATAGATACCTTTTGAATACTTATATTCATCAATCAAATTCAGAAAACATTTTGTATCTTCCAGGACCAGGAGTCACTTTATTTATTTCATATGGTCCTTTTCTTGTAGACTTACTAAAAGTCTATTACACTGCAGATCTCATTCCATTCTTAGGGTATACTCCTGATTAGTTAATACCAATATTCTCAAGTGAGTAACGTCCTGGTTCAGGATAATCATTCACTACTTCAGATGTTAAAAATTACCTCCCAAAGTCTTAAATCTCTCTTGATCTTTTCCGATGATGCAAGCACCTGAGTTTTGGAACTTGGAGAGTGGATAAACTCCTTTCTGTGTTGTGGCTTATACATATTCATAATTTCCAGGTCCTTTTATATGAATTTAATGGTGTACCTGGAGTATTAAACTTTTATAGGGATTATGTCCTTTAACCAAATGTAAACTTTTATCTTCTTGTAACTGTGCTTGGTATTTGATAACGATCTGGAGGAGGGGTGGTTTAAGTTAGAGTTGCCCAAATCCCTTGAAGCCAAGTGTCCTCTCTACCCAAAGCAAATTGGATTCCTTTCTTCTCTTCCATGTTCAATTCTGCGAAACTCTTGATTTCATATTTGTTTGGAGCAGGAACTTATTTAACATGTTTGGTAAAATCATGTCTAGGGTGTTATTGGGATGAATTTACTTTTATCCATAACCGATGGCAGCCATTCTCTTGCTTAAACTATCTGGAAGGTTGTACATAGATCCATTACTAGGTTAGAATAATGAAATTACGTTTATTTGGTTGAATAGGTTTCACGAGGAGCTTTGGAAAAGGTGTATCTTTGTTTTGAAATTGAATTGTTGAGAGGTTGATCAAATATACTTTTAGAGGTATTCATTTATATTATTTTATAATTGTGCGTATATATATCTATTTTGATTATTTTTATTTAACTTATATTCAACGAATGAGTTAGGAGAAATAGCAAGAAGAACCTGCTAAATTTGGAAAGCCAATGTATGACTATCATTATTACCTTTTTCAGAAATGAGCAAATAGGAGAATTGATGGATCATCTCGATAAAGAACATGACAGCGAAGACGAAGGCATGGAAGATTATAAAATTGGAGGTTGCTTTAATCAAATAGGTTTTTAGGTTATCATCCAGTGCATATTGGTGAGATATTACTAAACCGATACGTGATTATTTAAAAATTAGGTTGGGGACACTTCTCTACAGTCTGGTTAGCAAAGGATTTCAAATATGATACATATGTCGCATTGAAAATTCAAAAGAGTGCTTCCCATTATTTAGAAGCAGCATATGATGAAGTACATAAACTGATTTAACAATTAGGTTGAAATTCTTCAAAAAGTTGCCTAGAATGTTCAAAACCCCGTTTGGATTCAATCCTTGAAAGAGTATTATGCAGATGTAAGATGATAGCATATAAATTGATAGTAAGGAAGGACATCTTTCAACAGGGATGACACTCACACTGTCTAATTGTTAAATTCATTTGTGTATAAGGGACCATATGGTCATCATTTCTGTATGGTTTTCGAGATTTTGGGAGTCAATCTGCTAGAAATTATTAAACGATATGAATACAAAGGAGTAATCAATTCATTTCATCTTAGTGTCCAATGGATATCACTAGAAGAATGGCTAAATAAATTTTAATAGGATTAGATTATCTTCATAGAATATGTGGAGTAATTCATACAGATTTGAAACCTGAAAACGTTTTACTATGTTTATCAGATGAAGAGATTAAAGATATTGTTGAGAATGGATAGTTGACTTCTAATTAATTATTTTCAGATAGAATTCACATCTATAGATAAATGTTAGGAATCGAGAAACCTACTGTTCCAGAGCCAATTGCAAAAAAGGAAGATGATGAATTAAGTGAAAGCACTACAAATTTATCGAAGACTCAAAAGAGAAAATTATTAAGGAAAAAGAAATAATAGTAATAACATGAAGAATCAAGAAAGGAATCATAAGAAGTTCAAGTAGATTAAATTGAAATGCCTAAATCCATTAAGGAATTATTTTAACAATAAAAGAAGTAAAATATCTATATATTTTATCAGAATATCTTTTACTTAATAAAAGAAATTACCAGATAATTTTCGTTTGAAAATAGCTGATCTCGGAAATGCATGTTGGATTCATCACCATTTTTCAACCTTAATTTAAACTAGACAGTATAGATCACCTGAGGTACTACTGGGAATCAAATACAATCCAACAGCTGACATATGGAGTTTTGCTTGCATGATTTTTGAAATGCTCACAGGAGATTACTTATTCGAACCAAGATAGGGACCTAATTTTTCAAAGAATGAGGATCATTTAGCATAGATTCAAGAATTACTAGGCAAATTTCCATATGAATATAGTACAAGGGGAGCCAAAGCGAAGGTATTAAACAATCTAAATAATTAGAGATACTTCTAATAAAATGGACAAATGAAAAGGATACCACAGTTGCATTTTTGGAATTTGCATAATGTTTTGACTGAAAAATACAGATTTAAATAGGAAGAAGCCTTGTCCTTTGCTTCATTTATGATGCCCATGTTACACCAATTACCAGAGTATAGAACTACAGCTTAAGAAGCGTTGAAGAGAGAATTATGTTAGAACGATTTAGATCCATAAATAAGGAAATGTCTACTTAAGAAATATATCGATTAGATATTCTAATTTTAGAATTTCAGAGACATAATTCCCAGTTCTGGCTGGCTGTAATAAAAAACAAATCCTGGAGTAGGACACAAAATGAATGAGGATGAATACAAAAAGTATACAAAATTAAAGAAAGTCAATGAAGAAGTAGAATAATTGGATTAGGCTGTTGATGGCATCTAACCCACTTTGTTATCAAATTATAGAAGGGTATGAAATCCTATTTAATCGTTAGGCTTCAACCAGATCATATGATGGTTCTAATTCTTAGACTCCTTAATAGGATAAATTTAAAAAGTAAGATGGAAAGTATGTAGATCATCGGGTTATTGACAGATCATTCACAGATTTGGGATATATTGGTTATGGAGATGGAATTGATTTAGAATAATTAGACAGTACAGGAAATTGGTAATTTAGTTGATCTATGTGGTTAATTGTACATGTTTATTTAAATAAATATTCTTTTGATTTCTATTATGATAACCAATCTTCATTAATTGTGATGACCTTCGAATGCTCTGATGTTGTGAGCTGTGTTTATTACAAAATTAGAGGTGTCTATTACATATCCCTTAGTTGCTGCTTCAAACAATTCTGGATGATGTACTACTCCTTCCTATTTCACATTAATTATTCATATACCTTCATGAAATAAATTACTTCGTCTTATACTGTTGTACCCAATTCTTGAATATGATCAAGTTGACATGCCAACTCATATTTTAATTGACCTTCCTCTGTTAAATAATCAGCATTGTCTCTATCATCAAATTGCTTGAGATCTGCCGTTAAGGGATGGAATTAATAGGTTTCAACCCAATACACATTTTTATCATTAGCAAGTGTATTTGTCTCAATCTTGAGTACTTTTCCTCCTCTCAACAAAGAAAGTCTATGAATTTTATATTATAATGATCTCCAATACCTAATTTAATAAAAGCTGTCGCTTACCACATTCTAGGAATCCACAAAAATGATGGGGCATATATAAATAGATTATTCCAATACCAAGCAATATCCAATGGGTTTTTGAACCAAAGATAAATTGATAAGGGGATGGCTGTCTCATAAAGCACATATGGGTATTTTAGGAATATTGTAAGATGCTTATGAGGATCACATGAGTAGCTAATTATAATTGATTAAGGTACAGCAACACTTCTCCAATTCTATCAAACTCAATTGTATAGGTTGGTTTATAAATTCGATCTGTTTTTACAACATATTGTGATTCGTCATTCATAACTTATGCTTTATGAGCTATGGTTGCATTATGGAAACTTTTAATGTGATTCAATTAATAGAGATTCTTAATACCCAATCTAGCAGTACTTGTAATCCTAGGCAGCATTAATTTAAAGATATGAATAATATTAATTTTGTATTGCTCTGATAACAAAATACTACGTCCATTTTTATACCATTGTTTAATATATTGTCTAACTATATTATAAATTATGCTTCATTCTTCAATTTAAGCAATGTCATATTCATTATTTGTTGTTATTTGCACACTAGTTACAATCATATATACGATTATAATCATATCAAATATAAATATTAAATGAAAATTAAATCGTTTTTGAGATGTATCGTTTTTTAGTTAATAAATAAATGAAAGGAATTATTGGCTATTAATCTTGCATTGGCTGTGGTCTCAAATGCCACCAGCACAAAAGGATTAAATCTTGGCCTCTCCTTTAAACAGGAACAAAGGCCAGCGATGCCATTGACACAGTCTTTGGATTGCTTAATGATTTAAAACAATCTAACATCGATGCCCAATTTGCTGCTGACCAAAAGAACGAAACAGACGAATGGGTTGGTGCCTAAACCATTGAATAATTCACTAAAATTAAGACTCTTAACCAAAAATTGTTCCAATAGGCTGTCGAAAACAGAGCTGAGTATGAAAACGTACTTAAATAAACCAAAAACTATTTGGCATGGAATGAAGCCAGAAGAGATTCAATTGCTGCTAAAATTGAAACACTCCAAGACAACTAATGTTTCTCCAACTAATTATTTGTTAAATCCATCAAGCACAATTAAGAAGCCTTAGAAGTCATCAGACTCCTCAAATAAGATGTTGCTGGATACATCGTCAATGGAGATTCCTTTGAATTCACTTAAGTCTAAGCCTAATCAGTTGCTGAAAAATTGAAGTAATACAGCAACTTATTCTAAGAACACTAAATCAAATCATTCTTGGCACTTGCTTAAGAAGGATAAGTATCTATAATAATCATATATCAATTAGGCTTCAGAATCATCTGGACATGGATAAACATTGGCTGAAAGAGTCTTGGGTGTCCTAGAAGGATTACATTCAGAATTGGAAGGATCATTAGAAAATTTGAAATAAAATGAAATCAATGCCTCATGGGAATTGGCTGGATGGGTCTCATTGTCTGAAGCTGAAATCACCTCATTGGAAGTTGAATATGAAAGAAAATAAGTCTTCGCTGATAGAACTGCCACTGTACTATATAATTCACTAATCAATTCTAGCAAATCTAAGCTGCTTTAGCCCAATAAGCCAAATCAAAGATCATCTTATAAGAATCTTAAGATGCCTTAGATTAAGCATAAGCTGATTTGGAATCAAAGAGAGCTGATTATGCTGAAGCCAAGGCCAAGAGACAAGAAGAGAATGCCATCTTGGATGAAGTAATCATCATGTTCAAGAAACAAGTTGCCTCCTGGTCTGGAAGATGATATTCTTTTTAAATACAAAATTAGTCAATCACAAAATTAAAGTTTTATTTTAACATTGTCCTACCCAAGAGCTACAATTAGTGAAATAATTTAAAAAATGGAGTTATTCTTTTCCTCTAAGAACTCTAAAAAAATCCATAATGTTGTGATCAAAATTAATTTAAAATCAAAAGAAATAATATTGTTTTAAATTCTAATAATTCAAAGAATATAAAAGGATAATATTAATTATTGCTGTCTAATTTTAGTTAATTCAATTTATTAAATATTATCAAAGTTTGTTCTTGAATTGTATTTCAATACAAAAATGGTAATGCATTTGTGCAATCATAGATCAAAGCTATGATAAAGCTATAGTAGATGAATGGAAAGAATTTACCCAAAAACCTATTGATCCATTTCTCCCTTAATGGACTATAATAGTCGTAATACGTTACCTAAAGTACAACAATATATTATAATAAAACACCAATGCAACATATATTATATTTAACACAAAAATGAATGGATATTTCATTAATAGCGTATGAGTTGCCATGATCATCGTGTCCTGCCATTCATATTCTTTTCTTAGTATGATAGCAGTTACAACAATAATGGAAATCTAATTGTAATTTAATTATTGTACCACATGATGATACCATAAACAAAATCTACATGGTTCAAAAAGTGAACCCTCAAAAATAGAGATTGCAAGATCTATAAAATAATAAAGCGGGATTGGGACAGCCTATACATAGGGTGAAGCAATACAAAAAAGTGGACTATCCTTTGATCGAGTGAGTGTTTGTTGATGTATTAATAGTAATTGGGGATTGTATAATGTTTGTAAAGTTGATAAAATGCCACCAGAAAAATGGGAAACATTTATATTAGACTCCAAATGTACCTAAAATAATGGAAGATTAGTGCGTACCATAGCATGTCATTATGATATCGGAGTGAGTAAGATGTCCATTAAAAAGGTATGTTGGCCCAATGAAACGTCATAAATTTATTTATGTTTTAATCCGATAGTGAAGAAGAAGATTCACTAATAGTAAGTTTATAAAATCTAGTAATCTAGATAGGAGACATAATTCAGGGTCGATTTGAGATCCATTCCAAGATAGGGTACGGTTCTTTTGGCTAGGTTTACAAGGTGATCGATTAAAAATATGGGAATACTCCATATGCAATGAAAGTGGAATTCACCAATTAGGAATGCAATTTGCTTGAAAAGGAAATTAAGGTTTTGATAGATTTGAGGTATGAATGAGAATTGATAAGTGAAAGAAAGAAGGTTGGATTTCCAGAGATAAAGTTTTATGGGAAGGAAAAGAGATTTACATTTTGTGTGATGAATATCTTGGGGAAGAATTTGGAATCCGTGATCAGAAAATGCGGGGGTTCGTTCTCTCTTTAAACTGTTTTGCGATTGGCAATCTAAGTTATTACACAGTCAAATTTAGATGATAGAAAGAATTGAAGCCCTCCATTCTTGCAAGTATTTGCATCGAGACCTCAAACCTGATAATTTTGTACTAGAAAATACGACCAGTCCAAAAATAATAAACTTAATTGATTTTGGATTATCAAAAAAATATGCTGTATTAATAAATTTGATTAATAGAATTCAAAAGGAGATCATATCAAATTAATCAAAAAACCAGGATTAATTGGTACAGCCAGATATGCAAGTATCAATGCTCACGAGTCTTTTGAGTAAGGAAGGAGAGATGATCTCCAAAGTTTAGGATATGTTTTACTGTATCTACTTACTGGGCATCTTCCTTGGATGAATGTTAAGATAGAAATGAAAAATCTTAAATATGCTAAAATCCATCAAATGAAGAAAAACATGAAATTGGAATAACTCTTCTCCAAATAACCAAAGTGTTTTATTAAGTTTATGTAAGATGTATAAACCTTAGATTTTGCATAATAACCCAATTACAAATAATTGAAGGGTCATTTCTAAGATGAGTTGTCTTAGCTCTCTCTTAATTTTTTAAATTATGGCTTTGATTGGGAAAAGCTACCAGAATATTCTAGTAAAAAGAAGAAACATTAAACTATTGCAATCATGAATAGTTCAGGAAGAGATGAAATCATGAATATTCAATTCTAAAAGTTTGATCCCAATAAACATGAATAATTGTTGAGGAAAAGTACTAAAAAATTGGATAATAAACCATTCCTCATTAATGTGGCTGAACCATCCGAACATCAAAAACAATTAGACGTTTAACCTCAACACATATCTGGCAACCCATTTCTCCAAATACCTTAATATAATTCATGTACTAAAATAGATTAATTATCCTCTCTAAATTAATCTAATCATACATCCAAGACCAACAATTATCTGCAGAGTGATGATGTGATGAGTGAAGAATTGCTCCCAAACATTGAAATGAAAGAAAGTTCTCTCCCAGGATTCAAAAAAATGATTGATTATGAAATGATAGGCATCAAAAAGCCTTAAGTTCTCAATAAAAAGACCTCACGTATTTATACATCACTATTCATTAGAAATGGATACTATACGAATTATGCAATAAAACTTTTTCAAACCTTAAGTGATTAAGGATGAAGAAGAAAATCCTGAGTTAGAGCTTAGTGATTGATTAAGTATATGTTATTTCTAATTTTATTATAACACAATATCTTTCATCCTTTAACACTTGTTACAAAGAATATACCCATCGAAGGTGGCTCAAATTCAATCTCATCATTCTGTTTAGCTTTTATAATCAGCTTTTTCATCAAAAAGTTTTATTATATATTATGTAAATCTTAATCTGTAATTTTACCATGAATTCCATTAAAAAGAGGCTAGATACATAGAAATTCAACTTACATTTTGTTATTTTCTGAATGGTGAAATGAAAGATGTTTCTACCTAAGAAGATTGGGTCTTTATCTCATGAGTATTTTCAAATACTTTTATTAATTTAAAAGTGTTTTATTTCATCTCCTTCATATTCTAACTAATCTGATCTAGCATTCTTCCTGAAATCTTAGTCTAATCGTACTATTTCTCTTTATGTTCTCCCTCAAGTTGTTATTAGCGGATAACATTTTTAATAGGTAAACTTTTAAGAGTTATTGTATTTTGTGGATATGACTCTAATTCTGTTTGTAATACTGGAACCACATTAGAAGATCGTTAAATTCCAGAGTTCAATTTTGTTTTTTGAGTTATATCCACAATTTTTTTGTCAATTGGCTTAAATTCTGTAATATTTTTGGGTGAAGGTTTAGAGATTTCAAATTTAAAAGATATTTGCCTATCTGACCTATTTTTATGTTTTTCTACTTTTTCTCTATTTAAATCAAATGGAGTGGTATATTGTATTCTACTTCCAAAACCAATTGCTTTGGAAGGCATTCCACCTGAAAATGCAGGTGTGTTGACTCCTGACATAGATTAAACTTTATTTTGTTTAGGTGAAGGGAGTACAACCGGCTACGAACTCATTCTGTGATGGGTCTTATTGTTCTTTCCTAAATTAATCATTTTTCTTTGAATTTCCTCCAAATTAGAATCAGGTTTAATGCTTAACAAGTAGAGCTAATCAAGTTACCCTTTCAACTTTGTTTCTGTGACAAAATTAGAAACTACTGAAATTAGATTACATATAGCTAGTCGTATATCCATAATTTAAATTACCAATTAAGAAGATCTGATTTTCTATATTATTCTTCAATATAAAATCCAGTCTAAGGAATTCCTTTTAGACCTACATTTTATTATAGTTACACAGATAACTAAAGAGAAGAGGATGATCACATTGTAATTTACATAGATATCATTTGTCCTCTATTCTTTTAAAAGTGTTTTTATTATAATAGTATTGTTATATTATAAGCTCTTTAAATTAATATTTAATGAAGAGTGTAGAACAGTTATTTCCACAATTTTAGGTCGTAAACATAGTGAGATAAAACCATTATAAAAAATCAGTGATTGTCAAAAGGAATGGATATAATTATATGCTGAGGATTTTTAGTCTTGAGGGAATTCCAAAGGATAGAGTTCAATCGATCATTAAAATGCTTAACAAATTATCGAATCACAAGAATCCTCATATTGTTAAATTTTATGAGGCATCCTTTGATCATGATATGACATACTTGGGGTAATGATAAAAATTGAAGATTAGTATTGTCAGTCAATACTTGGATAAATAATACGAATACCCTTTGAAGGAGGTTGACATTTGGAGTATTATCCAAGAGGTATCCAACATGTCCTATGTAGTTGTCAATTGCATTACAATAATTTCATCCAAAAAGAGTCCATGGCAAATTATTATTGTCTAATTTATTTCAAAGTAAAGGAATGACTATTTTGGGTGAGTTGAATGTTCTTTATTATTTGCATAAATAAAACTATCAAGATATCTATTTACTAGCACCAGAATTTATTAGATCTCAAATCTACGATCATAAATCAGATATATGGATGGTTGGTTATATGCTCTATTAGATGATGTTCAAGGATCCACCGATAATTACCAACAATGTTGAAATTTTACATAAAAAAATACTCAAAGGCATACAAATTACATATAATCCAAATTATAGTCTCAATTTGAACAACCTATTGAGATTGATGATGTGTTATGATGCTGAACTCAGACCCAATGTTGAATAGATTTAGTATTTCTGTCAGCAATCTAAATTATCTAATGAAGAAATCAACATCAATAGAATATTACCTAAATTTAAAGTAGACAAAGTAGCCTTACCTAAAAAGAAAACAGAAAAGAAATCAGAACCTGTCTAAAGTGCTGTATATTTGATTGAGGATCAATTTAAATAACCATATTTCCCACCATCCAAAATTAAAAAACAAAAGAGATGCCTATAATAAAAATAAACAACCTCTGTCATGGATTTTGGCCAATCTCAAAAAACCAATTACTCTGTATAATTACCAAAAGTGTTAAATTCTTAACTTAGTAAATTGAAAGTCAAGGAGGCTAGCACAATTTCAGGATCCATAGAAAAAAGTAATGAACAAGAAATGTACTTTATTCTTTAATTTCAGATTGAACAATAAAGCTTAGCTTATTAAATTAGAAATTGATAGTATTTTTCCACAAACAAAAATAACCTTACATACTTAGAGAAAATCTCCAAATAGAATTTAATTACAATAAGTATTTTAGAATAGATAAAAAAGTTAAAGATTTTTTTATTGATCATTACAGATTTATTATCTATTATTACAAATTGTATTAAATAAAGAAATTCTTAAAGCTCATTAAAAATATACTATTATGCTATTAGAAAAATCTAATAGCTAAAATGACTTGTTAATAATCTCATTTTATTTTTACACCTAATTTTAAGATAAGGATATTATAAATGATTTAAATGAAAAGCCAATTATATGAAAATATGTTATTATTTTACTGATTTAAATGAAATAAATTTCTCTCAATATAATCAATCTTAAAATTTAAAATTACAAGCTTAAATAACTAAATATTAATTATGCAGAATAGAATTAAATTTTGATATCCAATCGTATCTTGAAAAGAATGATGATCACAGATATTTGAGAGGAGGTGTTGACATTTTCTATTGAAAAAGAAACTAAGATTCAATTTAATACTTTAATAATATATAATAACTATATAATTGATATCTTCCTCTTTGAACAAATAAGTCATATTTAGTTATTTACAATACAAGTAGCTACGCCAATTCACTTTTAAAGATTAGGAAATAGGATGGATTTAACATATTAATTTTAATGTAATGATGCAGGTGTAATGTAAAATTCTCATATGGGATCAATCAAATTCCTGATCTACTCTTTTTTTACCTTCTGGGGTCAAAGCTAATGAGACTATAAGTTTCACCTTTTTCCTCTCATCATTTACCAAAGTGAATGAGTTGATCTTAGTTATTGTAGCAATCCCTATTTGTTAAATGAGGAGATATAACCTTGTTATTATAGAGTATCAGCAACCCTAACACCGTTTTTAGAGGCTTCTCCAAGAGAGTGTAATTCTACATTGCCGAATTTCTTCAAGAATATCTTGGCAATGAATATTTAGGCTTTAAGTGATTTCCTGGTTAAGATTTAGAGATGATTATCTTCAGGATCTAATTTTTATTTTGGTGTCTGTTGTTATTATTAATTAATGCTATCTGTCCATTTAATTAATAATTTAAATTCTAATAATAATTATTGATTCTCTTATCATTTTATGGAAGTACTTTCAATATTACTACTATATTATTCTAAATATTTTGGACTGATTTAGGAAAGTAAGCATAAATAACCAATTAAATAGGTTTAAATTGATTAATTATATTAATTTTTTATTTCTTTCAAGACAGAATAAAGTTAATGAAAAATAAACTAAAAGACTTGATGTGAAATTGTTAGAATTAAATAATATAAAGTAATTATATATATTGAAATGAATAACGTGCAATAAAAGGAAAAGAATTGGAAGATAGAGGTATGAATTATTTTTATAAATTTTTGATATCATTATCCTCTTTCAATAATTTTAGATCTAACTCTGTCAACTAAATCTAATTCTTATTTTCTAACAGAGGTGGCCTTTTCGTATTCAGAAGCGAAATCGTTGCACATTCTAGTAGCACTGTCAAAGATTTCACCATTTCTAACCTTAAAACATTAGATATGAAGCATACCTTCTTTCCTCTTGCACTATCAATGATGGCTGATTATTAATCTTAGCAAATGTCCATGGTGGTGATGTGATCTCTTAATTTATTTTCAGTTCTCTTCAAGTTGTTGTAATATTCAACCAAATGAACTCTTCTGTCATCATATTCTTAGATGGATTGATCCTCTTCTTCTGAAATCTTTTATAAGTTTGTGTACAAATTCTATTCCAAGTTTTATAAAAGTTACTTAAGTCTTTCAAAAACTTCAATGTAGCTATTCAATTATAATAATAAATACCCTCCATTTTATGTGAGCATTTAAGCGAAGATGCTTGAAATTTGACTCATGATGTTGGTTGTCTTCAATTTGACTGCATCTTAAATCATTCTCAAAGAGATCTCTGACATTTAAGCCAATGAGGCACCTCCTGATTAGAAACTATCTAAGATTTTCAAACTTTCTTAGATTGATCTCAAGGCATCAATGTGATCTTATTTCTTGGCATTGTAATTTTAAGCACCTGCTTATCTAATTGAATCTAAGATCTTGATATCAGTATCAGTTGCCTAATATGATATTTATATTAATTACTTTTTGACTATCCAAATTGTTATCTAATTCAGCATCAGCCTTCTTTTTTGAGGTTGAACAATTTTCATATTATTCAGTTGCTCTGTTTAAGACTTATTCGGCATCTTTGACGTCTTTGGTTCTTAATTCCAATTCAGCACTGCATTGATTTCTTTGATCTGTGTATAATTAATCGTGTCTGATTTATTCTGAATCAATAGATGCTCTTAAGCTATCCAAAAAGTTGACGGCTGTGTCAACAGAACCACCTGAAGTCAATTTGCTTTCCAATTCTGTCAAGATGCTTACCAAGGAGGGCTTACTCTTACCAATGATTGGATATCTATTGGGTTTATGAATAGAACTCACTTATGGATGAGATCGCCAGCAAAGGCATTTCCTGCCAACAATAACACTAAGGTCACTGCAATAACTTTCATTATTATAATTAAAATAAAAACGGATTATGTTAACTACTTATATAATCATAGAAGTTATTAATAAAACAATATATATCCTTATTGTTAGAGTACATCAATGTTGTTTACTTATTTAATCTTTTGATCATTGAATAGCCACCATTTATTTTATCTCTTGCAATAAGAATAATAGTGACCTTACTCTAGAGAACCAGAATGGACAATAATTCCAACTAAACTGTATTTGATACCACAAAATGTCGATTCCAGTGAAAACTTTACATGTTAGATTATTTTGTTTGATTTTGGAAAAAACTTGAATCTTTTTAGATGTAGTATTAAATATTAAGGTAATTTAATAATTCTTGTCTTTTTGATGGCTGTTTTCTTTTTATGACAGCAATCGCATTTGTAATCCTGGATCAATTCATCTTTAAGAAACTCATCCAAGGATTGATTAATGGAATTGATTTTGTTCAAAGCCAACGATAAAGTCAAGAAATCTTCAGTTATTGAGGACTTATGCGAACAATTTTTGCAAATAATTTCACTTATCGTCTATCCTTTAAGATATTTCTCAATAATATTAGGCAATTTAGTTTGTTGTTAGCCTTGCTTTTTATTGAAGTTGCTTATTTCATCTTCTAAACTCGATATCAAAAACAACAAAAATTCTTATGCATCATGTTGGTGTTTTGGATTGAATTTCTTACTGATAGTATTGCGCAAAGAGTTAATTTTGATATAATCATATTAGGTATCTTTGAGCTATCGAAGAAGTTCTTGATAATTGCGACATAATGTCATAGATTATGAGTGTTATCTATTGATACTATTTAAAATGAAGTTGTTGAGTTCCTATATGCTCATCATGCATTATAATGTTGAATGCATATAGCAAAAGTACAACTCATTCTTCAACCCTTTGATTGGAATCTCAGGATTTATATCTAATTGAGATACGCTCGAAATTATGCTAATATCAACGGACTTTGCTCTGTCTGTTGTTGAACTGGCATTGGAGGTTGGAGATGGGGGAATTTTCTCATCCAGAATTTCAGGACCTCCACTATACTCTTCAAGAAGGAACTTCCAAACTGTCTCATTCACCACAAAGAAATCCACATTCCTCATCTGATTCCTATTTTGTAACAAGTCAGTATTGTCAATTGGACCAGGCAATGTACTTGAGTTGTCATATAAATATGTTGTGTATTTCTATGCCCAAGCTCCATTCAATCTGTACCAATCCGAATCGGTATTCTTTTTCAAATCAACCAACCTTTTTATTAATTGGCATTCCAATTCTCGACGAATGTTTCCTTGAGCATTTCTGAATTAATTTTATAATTTAAGTATTTGAGGGACTTCACGAGAATATGAGGGAGCCTTCTTCTAAGGGAACTACGGGACCTGCTGATTTATTGAACTGCTTGAGTTATACACAATATTACATTACTTATCTTCTTCATTCAAGTTTTCACTATTATTATCAGTGTCTTAAAATGATTGCATTTAATGTAATTAAATAAAAACAATATAATATCAAAAAATCAAAACAGTTCATTTATATCTATCTATCACCTAAATGTTGTCATAAGTGCTCGCAAGTAAATCTTGCCTAATTTCAGTATTCTATCGTGGCCAATTCTAAAACTACTGCTCACACTTGATATAGAAAGTATAAATATATATGTTCAGAAAATTCAAATGTTAACAAATTTTTTGGATTATTTATTTTTTAAATTAACAGTATTTCTAATACTATTTTAGTCTAATAGAAATAGCAATTTTTAAGTCTTATGACTGATATCACTTTGGATTAATTATTGAATCAAATTCAACTGTGTTGACAAAATCGAATTATATTGTAGGAATGACTGAATTCATAAACTTCAAAAATATTGTTGAAGAATTATCAGGATGTCTTTTATTTTCCGCACATCCATTGTCTCTCTTTTAATCTACAAAGAATTTAAGAGTATCAGCAGGTAGAATTGTAGCCAGCTTGATATTTAATTCAAGAAATTCTCCTCATTCACAGTTTTATCAGCATACTCTCCCGAGACATCCTAACAAATAAATGAGATTAAATTATTTCTCTTTGACTTCTTAATAACTCTATTGTCTATCATCAACTTTGCCACTCAAATACAATAGAGGAGTGATATAATAGAGATCATAAGTAATGTACAAGTTGTAATATCTATATTGGCTTTAAGTAATTTCTTATGTTGGCTGATCCTCTTTCTTGATTATTGTGACTTCCTCTCCATCTTATTATTCAGAGAAAGTGCCCCAGCTATTTAAATCTTTAATTCTCTTAAAAGAGATTATATTTTCTTGAATTTAAACTATTTTTATCATCTGGCACATCTGGCAAATACTTGTTTTTATTTTGATCATTGATTGCCTTAAACCATTTCCAATTGCCTCCGTTACTTATCAGCCAATTCTCAGCCAAATATTCATTTAACACATTTTTACATTTATAAATTCCTCTGAAGTCAACATTCCTATTGTGAGGAAAACCGATGCCTTAGGACGAGCTATAAAAGTAGGCACAAGGGATTATTTGAACCAATTTAAATCATGTAATTAATTAAAATATCAAAATATTAATTAGATGGGTTGTGCTTAAAGTAGGTAAAATGAGAAATCCAACATGATCTCGTGTGAAATTAAATATCTACTACCAGAATTGGTCTAGGCCATTAAACTAGGATAGCAATGTCTTTACTCTGAAGATTCTCCAATTAAGGTATGTTTTATAATATATATCACTATAGTTGACTCCCATAAAGGAGATAGAAGGAATATATTGTAAATTGGAGAGTCTCTTACCATCTGGCTCTGTCAAAATGAGAGCCATGTATCATATGTTGTATAGGTTGCAGCAAAAAAAACGGCATAAAGGAATAGAATAATTGAATCTCGTTATTTGTTCTTCTGGAAATGCGGCTATGGCTTGTATAGAGTGCCTAAAATTAATGAAATAAGAGAAGAGATAAGACTTATAGGCAGAGTAAACGGTTAGCGAATTTCTTTAAGACGATACACCAACTGACCCAGGATAATCAGCTCTCATTAAGGATTAGTAATTATCTTCTAAAATAAAACCATATGAATTACTTGGATAAGTGTTTATATTTAGTAAGCATTTGAATGAGTTGCATCATTTTTAAGATTTACCCAATGTCAAAGTCATCAATTCTCAATTAAATAGATCAGAAACAGAATTTGAAGCATTTAAATATGCTGAAGATAATGGCTATGATTATCTAGATCTATATAATGATGTCGATGTTTTCGGAGGTTACGCAACCATTGGATTTGAAATTGATTAATGGCAAGTTCTAACAAAAACTAAAATTGACTATGTATTCGTAACGTTAAAGGGTGGAGCCTTAATTGCAGCCATAGCGTTTTACTTAAAATACATAGCCAAAAATTAAGTCAAAGTAATTGGGGTTATGTTATATGGTTCCAGCAGAAAAGAATCGACATTATGTTCTCAAATTATTGAAGGATTTATCGATGAAATTATGTTTGTTACTACTTATGAAGTCGAAAAAGCTTAATGCGAATTAGCAAAAGCAGAAGAAATTGCAGAATTCAATTCTGCTATCGCTTATGCTGGATGCAAAAAAACATAATATAAAAATAGTCTTGTCGTTCTCTCAGGAAGTAACGTCCCAGTGAGTGATTTATCTAAACTCATATCTAAATACGAATGATAATTCTATTCAATATAATAACTTATTATTTAATTCATTAATTTGCTAAATAGAATTACATTTCATCATAGTCATCCTAACTATGAAACTTTATCACTACGCTCTCCTTTGAATTGTACATAAATCCTGGAGTCACCTATTTTAACTCTGCCACTAAGGGTTACTTTGGTTTCTAGATCAATTGAGTATGTTCTAATACAAATTTTATCGAAGCCTAAAACAATTGGAATCAATCCTTACCTTTTGATTTGGAATGGTCATGTCCTCGCTATCATACAATAAAATATTTCTGTCTATTGATACTATGGCTAAACAATTTTACCATTTAGTCAACACTGATCCAACATCTCTTTATAATCTAGAAAAAAACTTTAGTATAAATGGATTCGTCTATGGCATTGTGGGTTTTAGTAATGATCCTGGAAACTAAGTTAAATAATATTTAATTTGAGGAAATCCAATCTCTTATGATTTTAAAACATCCTTAATAAATGCAACATCTTTAAAAACTATCTAACTACTTTCCTCTATTGAATTATACTCTTTAAATTTCTATAAGACCAATTATACCTAGGCACTTGGAGTTGTACCTGAATATGTTTCATGAAACTTTTCCAAATAATATCTCATTCCTACAGAAATAATTTCTAATCTTTAAGATTCTTATTTTATAATCTCATTATAATAAGCAATAATATCCTCTCCTAATTATGTCAATTAAGTGATTTGTTAATGCATAGCGTGTTTAAACTTTCTTTCTTAATTAAACAAGTCCTTAGATCTTTTTTTATGGTTACCTCCATTGCTCATCATTTCATTGTACAACTTATAAAATTTCTTGCTTCTTTCAGTAAGAATAGCGAGTTATTCTCTCGCCGACTTTCTTTTCGCTTTGATTTTAGCAACTATTCCATTGATATTATTAGAATATGCACTGAGGTTTGTTTCGAATTTCTCTTTTATCATTTTTTCCATATTTGTTACCAATATACTAAGTGACTTGCCTTAGGCTTAATGCAACTAGTTGAGATGCTCTAATGATGCTGAAAATTTAGGATAGATGACTTAATCTTAATCTTTAAAGATTGAGAGAAAAGAAGGATTTTTATGAGTTAATAACTTCACATTATTTTACTCTTAGGCGATACGATCCTTTAAAAAGGCTATTATTGCTTAGAGACTCCTGTCTGAGATCAGTACTCTCAGGTCTAGCTATTCAATGACATTATCTGAGCAAAGCAAGTGCTACCTTGCATTAGTAAGGATAAATTCTTCGGATTATTTGAATTATTGAAATCCTTCACTTTTCCTATTAATGCTCATCTCACGAAAGATCTTTTTTAGTGGATTTATAATACATTGCCTTTTAACTCTGGATTAATAGGTTTTAATGGAGGTGGGAGAGGGTTTTATGGTGGGAGATGATTCTCCAGAGTTTGTTATGTAATGAGGTCTCTATCAATATCTCGTACTGACTCAAATTAACCATCAGGGTTATAAGTTTGCATACAAAAATTCCCTTATAATTAAAATTAATATTAAAATAAATTCAATAAGGGGAGGAGAGGAGATTTGCATATTCTTATAAAGTTTAATATTCCTTTGAATTGAAATTGGTGTTGTAAAAGGAGTGTGCGTATGTAAATAATATATTTTTTGAATATTAAATTAAAATGGCTTCTCATTTTTTCTAAGGTTTTTCAACTTTTCTTTTAGTTTTTCTTTTCTTGTCTTATAAATATATAATGATTGCATTACTGTCTTCATCTTCTTAATTTTTCAGCTAATAAGCTAAAGTTTCTTTGATAAGGGGTCTTTGGATATCAATAGGTTTATCAATAATCTTGGCGTTAGCATTAACTATTTAATCGTTAATAGTCAATTATAAATGGACTGGAGGACGTAAAGCCTCCTGCAATTATGAGGACGATGAATACAAGAGTAAATAACTTGATAATTAAAATTTCTTCAATACTTCCTATTTAACTAAAAAACATAAATCCCAATAAGATCTCCATATTTTTTAAACTCCTAATACACATTAAAAGCAAGCACATCTCTATCGAGTTCAACTTGAACCTCATAATTTCTTAACAATTCCTAAACAGGACGCTATTTCTTAGCTACTACCAAAAGTGGTATGCCCTTAACATGTAAGCAGGGCCTCAAGTTGCAGAGAAATTGAGCAGTATTTTCATCTTAAAACTATAATTCCAAAAATTGCATCTTATCTAAAGTGTCTTAATATTTAAAATATATATTAACTCCAAACGTGACTAATAGGAGCACTCTATTTATGTTGAGACACAATTTCTTAAATCACTTCATTCTCATTCACTTCTTATGGGATAGAAAAGATGTACACAGTATTCTTATCTGTAAAGACTTATTAAGGCTTAATGGGTTAGACACTCTCTTTGATGGAATCTCTGGATGAACTTTGGGAGGAATGCCTGTTTTTCTTTGTCTTCTTGACTCTTCTTGGCTCACTCGAAGAAGATAGAGATCTTCTCTTAGATCCTTGCCATACTTGTTTGTTATCCACTCTCTTGCTTTTCCTCTTCTTGCTTGTGCTCCTGCTCTTGTATCTCCTTGAGGATTCACTACTGTCACTTCTGCCCTTTGATTATTGCTAAGATGAAATAGAAATTTAAAACATTTCTTCTTAAAGAACGTTCCAGGTGTTCTTTGTCAAGCATCTTCTTGTTTTCCAAATAATTCTTGAAGGCATCACTTAACTCCACAGTCTCCTTCTATCTTCCTATATGAATAACATCCAAGAAACCAATTACCATTGCGTCCAAAATTGAAATGCTTTTTTCCAATATATACTAATTTAGCATTATCGTCATTTGTCATTCCTATAGCTACATCACAAAATGACCCTTACTAATTAAACATTTACACAACTTCACATGATCCAGCCAAATTCACTAGATATTGCAATTCATACCTTTCCTCTTAACGAAACTCAAGAATTCATTATCGCTCATGCCATTCATGTGCACATGGCGTATATAGAAATGCACCTTGAATTCGCTATTGGATTAATAACGCTTTCCGATCTTATTCTCAAAAGATGATGAAGGAGATGAATCATTAGAAGAGGTACGCTTGTTAGTTGAAGTCTTATGAGCAGGATCATTTCGACTTTCTTCAGGATACTAAGCTACGATACCTCCCTCCTCTTTAATTTCTTGTTTTGCTCCATCCTCTTGTTACTGCTAAATCATATTCATTATTAAAATATTAATGGGTTAGTTGTAACTATGCACATCCTATAATCAATTATATAAAAATATAATTATGTTTACAACTCCAGAACTTTATCTTGATCATCCCTTTAATATCAACCGTTATTAAAATATATTCTTCAAATACCATCCGAATGTAATCATTGGCGAAGGTTTCAAAAGAACCTACTCATACGAATCCTTAATCACAGAACAACAATTGTTGAAAAAAAGAAATGAATATTGGGGTACTCTTCAAGGACTTTTTAGAGACTTAAATTATTGGAGACCAGGAAGTGTGGATAAAACTGAAACAAATTTTAGATATGGATGAAGGTAAATATCTCTTTAAAATAGTTTTAGAGAGTGCAAAGAGACATTTAGAGGATGCTAACTTAACCCTGGTAGAAAATAGCATTTAGATGGTCTATGATGAGCGTGGTAACTCATATCTATATATCTTGAGGCAATCGATATTAGATCCCAATCTTTGCCATTAACTTACCTGTATCATACAGCGATTCTGGAATAATTACACTGAATAATGATTTTGAGGCAAAGGATGTTACAGTAATTGATGATTTTTATTTTAGTTTAAAATTAGGAGTGTTAGATGGGATCAGGATCAGGTTGCGACCTATAATACAAAAGATAGTGTTGAATTCTTGATTTAGGAATTGAAAGTTAAAGAGAATGTGGAAAACGTGAGATTATTCATACAAGGGAAAGAGATGACTCAGTAATTTGGAAATTACGATATCACTGAGGAGTCGATAGTACAAGCCTTCCTATTTTGATTATTATTAAAATATAATATATAATGAATAAATAGAGACGTTAGAAAGTATTGCCGATCCAACAGATTTAGGCCAAACTGAAATAGCTGAAACAAAGTATAAGAGCTAGTGAGATCAAGTCTTTGAGATCATCTTGTCTATTCACGGAAAGCACTCCTAATGAGAAATTCGATATTCTTAAACCAAAGCAGAATCAGAATAGCAGTCTTGATGAAAGGACCATGTACATTAAGCCTACTTTCAAGAAGAAGATGAAAACCACCAAAAGGTAATTTAAGGTATAACAGAAGTCCTCAATCCATGAAGGCTAAAACAAGCTCAATTATAACCAAGTCTAAAACTACTGTGTCACCCCAGAAACATATCAAAGATATATTGCAAAGTTACATTAAGAGCAAATTTCCAAAGAGTAGAACCACATCCAAATCGAAATCACCTCCAAAGTTAAAAAAAGTCTTAAGTCCTCAATAAAGATAGATCAGAAGTGAAAGCAAAAAGAAGCTGAAATCAAAGCTAAAAACAACTGTCAGTCCCCAAATGAAGAAATCTAAGAAGTTAAAAACTCAGGTGCAATACTATCAACCTCAAATAAGTAAGATCAGTTCGATCAGATTAAATACCTTCTCTGTAAGCGAAGATCCTCATAAAATGATATTGAATTCGATAATCGAAGAATTGTAGTTGATGAATGAGAAACAAATGATCGAATTATAATAGTATCTAAGAAACATCAAATAGGAGAAGAAGGATGAAGCCTTGTAAACGAGCATACATGAAAGATTCGACATGCAGAAGAAGCACCAGTAAGTGGCATCTCAAGAAAGCCTCCCTTTAAATATCATTAATCAGATATGTCACCAAAGAGAGGAAGGTATCAAATTGAGAGTTGCTATGCAAATGGATGCCTTTAACAATTTATTATAGCAACAAAAAATATCTCCCAGATCTTTTAAGAACAATAATCAAGCACTTTAATAATGGGAAGTTCAATAGACTCAAAAATTGAATCGGTATCAAGAACAACTCAAGAATATCCAGTATGTTACTAATAAAATACAATAAAAAACATTAAAAGACTTTTAATGCATAGAAGAATTAGAATTAAATAAATCTATTGTTATTTAATAGTTATGTACTAGAATCAGTATTATTTAGAACAAATTTCATTCGAATCTAGTTATTTAGATTAATCGGATCTCTAATTAAGCACTCCGATACAACAGAAGAATATCAATTTCAAGAGGAAAGATATTGTTATAGACGTTGACTTTTAACCCTAACAAAATATAGTTGAAATTTAAACGAATGTTGGAACCATCAGTCTATTCGTTGAAATTCTCTGTTAATATATTGTAGGTATTTCATTTAGTATATGATAGAAACCAATTTGAGCTCGTTTATCAGAAGAATGAACTATCCCTTTGGCCTATAACCCTTTAGTAAACTAAGACAAATACATGGACATGAAGTAATAGAGGATGACAAATACTTATACCCGGTCTAGGAATATATCTTCACTGAATTATAAGTAAGATATTATCATAGAATAAGCAAAATAGTTCCCTATATGAAAAGATTCATAATCGAGCCATATTTGATACTTTCAACGAAATACTGAACTAATATCGGCCATTCTATTACAGTAATGGCTAACCATACCCTTGGGAATACAATAGGAATCTAGTGGTTATCTTATATGACAGTGAGAATATCAATTTATTATTGATGAAGGCCAAAGAAAAGTTGATATTTTATGCTTCAACTTTGTGCGGCTTAATAAATGAGGACGATGAGGAAAATGGTGAATAATTACTAAATTATGAACAAGTCTTGTAGAACTTGATCAATTCGGATTATTTGTCTCAATTGCGAAACGAACGGTTATAGTTATGTATAAACAATGAAGTAATCTTTAATATCATATTTAATAGTTATAAGAATATGAGTACATGTGGTCATATACAGACACAACTGAAACTTTAGTTGAAATAACTGATCACATTTTCGAAGATTTAATAAATGAATTAACACTTGAATTATAATGAAAATATAAATCAATTTCTCAGGTTTCTATCCTGCTCATTCATAGCATAATATTAAGCTAAGTTTATATTGACTTGCTAATTAATTTCTTCATTTGTTTTCTTAATGAATAGTCTTTTATATAAGTATAAAGTGCACATCATTAAAATACCCATGATACTCAAAACAACTAACCATACTATCCATGTATTAGTCTCCTGAGTGTAATTAATCTATTAACTATAGACATATATCATACCCAACTACCATCATCATCCAAATAACCAACCATTCTCCTCTTACAAACTTCAGGAAGAGAACTATTTATGAAACTCTTGCATACAGCTTAAAATGGACCGAAACGAGAACTATCATATATCTCTTAATCTCCTTAATCAAAATTTGACTTGTAACCTGATACTGTTAGACTACCCCTATATTTTATATCATTAATGTAGAGGATTGGCCAAGCTCGAATTTATAATTCTTCATTTTTTTCATATTCCTTAGAAAGCAACAAATTATCATCTAAATCATCATTAAGTCCTGAGAAGCTCTCCTTATAACAATTCTCTATCTTCTGCTAGTCAATCTAAACTTATTCAAGGACATATTTATAGCACAAATTTGCAATAGAGATAGAGGATCCTAGACATTATTGGCTGTATTTTATGACATATTTCCACCATTTTACTTTATCTACGTTGTATATGCAGAGTTATCTAACCACTTCTCTTACTGCATCTTGACCATCCAAAGGACCATCACCATCAGGATCTGGAGCACAATATCTTCCTCCAGAGAGACAAAGTGAGTCTCTTTTATTAAAATTTGTCTTGGCACATTATGCGCAACGTCCTAAGGTGTAATGAGGAGTGAATTATAAGGATTCATTCATTTGCATGTGAAATGAGTAAAATTGCCTTAAAAATTTATAGCTTTTCTAATCCATTGAACTAAACCAATACTCATACTTCACTATATCTGTTTAATAAAAGTCTGGGAATTTCACTTGCACATACAGATTCTTGTGATTGATTTACAATAAAAAATTCTTAAGGATATTTCCCTAATTTTTGGATATCATAATGGTTGGAATGCGTATATCCAAATTACTTTCAGAATCATTCCTTGCTCCAAGATTGAGTTCCTAATTGGTATCATCAACTATGATCAACATTACGTAACCATAATTTTAAGCATTAATTGCCTTATTGATATAATATATATTAAGTTTACTTTTTTGAAGTTCAAGCATTCTCCCCTTTCAACAAGTAGAATTTTTGAATTGGCATAATCGTTATTGTAATTTCCAATCCTTTCTTCTTGAAGTTCACAAAAATTGTAAGGTTAAGCCAATTCCAACTCAGCTGAAATCTTCTATCCGTATGGAACATATCCAAAATTGGCTATATTAAATTGAATCTCTTTGAGTATCTCTTCTGATGCCAAGGTTGATGGACTCAAGATTTTAAAATATTGGTCTGCCTAAACTATGATTAATAATGACAATAGCAACATATAAAAAAATATAATTATTCAGAAAGTGTCGTAATCAAGAAATTTGAATAATTAAAGTCGACATTATTTTTGAAATCATATAGACTTAAAGTATTCATAAAGCTATCTATATAGTTTGTAGAATTTATTTAATTTCAATGGTACTAATGGGTTTTTATAAAAAATAGTCCATACCCACTTCATTGCACATTTGTTTGGTCTACATGTCAGTGTAAGCAGTTTAGGCAATGATGATGGGAGGATCTAAGTCTGCAGAACGACAAAATTCGAGTATCTGTTGAGTGGCTTAGATGCCATTCATGATTGGCATTTCGATATCCATCAGGATGACCTGATAGTTTTCTTTTTTGAATTTCTCTAGTCCTTCCTTGCCATTATGTGCTGAATCGCACTTAATGTTCAATCTTGAAAGCATTGTAGTAAGTGCATAGATATTAACAAATTCATCATCGACAATAAGGATTTTAGCTCTTTCTTCTGCATACTCACTGACAACTTGATCAATAGAGTATTTCTGCTTTTTAGGTTTCTTTGGTCCTTCTCTAAAGACATAGGGTGCACAAATGACATCATCTGGCTCAGAAAAATCTTTTAGTATAAGAATTAATAAGCATACTTTCCGATTATTTTTCAATTAGTTTCTATTTGCCCTTTAATGAGAATGTAAAAGAGGACTACCTCTTCTTATCACTAGGACTGATGATAAAGCTTTATTCCAAAAAGCTTCTACCAGAACTGTGTATTTTACTATATTTGATAGTCCTCCTGCTAACAACATCAGGTAAATCCATAGTTTTGAGATCCTCTAGGTAGAACCAAAATGTAGTGCCAGTCTTATTATTGGATTGAAAATGTATACCAGATTCGTAATTGGGAGACAATCCGTTACAAATAGTATTACTTATCATTAAACCTAACCCAAAATTAAGATTGGACTTTCGTTTATGAGGTTGTTTAAGGAACTCTTACAATCGATTCTGAGTGTTCTAATCCATTCCAGAGCCTGTATCTTAGACACTGACTTTAATAAAGGATTAATCGTGTATGATTTATTCTTGAACATCGATGTTGACACTGCCAGAGAAGGTAAACTTTTAGGCATTGGACAAGAGATTATTAAGTACTTATTTGAAGCGTTGACCATCCGTATGAATCTAGCACTCATTCATCTTAACATTAAGTTGCACACCCTTCATATTGAGTTGTTATCGATACAATTCAGACACTTCGTGGATGAGCAAGTAGATGTTTTATATCTAAATGGTTAGTATGAAATTCTTAGACAAGATCAAACTGAAATCCCTAACATCTTGAACTATGGAATTGAGAATGTAACAGGAATTCAAAATGGGTTAGATACATGTATTCACAATATAGTCATCGTCGATATCCTCAATAGCATTTTCTGCTAGAATCCTTATGCAATTTAATGACGTACTGAATTCATGACTGAAGCTGCGAAACAGTTAATTCATAAGTTACTTAGTTACTTTCCTCTCCCAATAATCTCTCAATTCAAACATGTCATGGAATCTCAGACCCACATTATCATTAATGAGGGCTAATTCAATCATGTAATTGTCTCCAAAAGGAGCAGAACAATCCAATACTTTACATTTAATAAGATCTGCTGTTTCTATCAATTGCAAAAGAGTGCCAATTTTATATTTCTTGAATTGTTTGTTAAGTTTATGGATGACTATCTCCTTGAGTATTTATTGAATGGCCACAGGATCATCAGAACCCAATAATTTCTGCTATTCAGATGTTTGACTGACCATTTTGCCTTAGCGAGTGACCACCAGATCATATTTGTCATTCTGACTGATTATCAAACTATCTGATGGATTGATCCAAGTTTTGGAGTAACTATGATTCTTTGAAACCTGACGGACTTTCTCTGCAGAACGATTGATAGACAACCAAGCCATCAGAATGAATGCGTAACCGACCAAGGTGTGTTCATAGCTGAACTCTAATTTGGCACTAACCACCACAGCTATGAATGGCATACAAAGAAACATTTTCTTAGGATGCTGATGATTCTAGATTGGAATGATATAAAGCAACCTTTTTGGGAATAATGCAAAATACATCTCACTGATATGTGTAGAACCTATGGTTCTTAATGAATTGCCAACAAGCAACAGTATAAGCAATTCAATCCGATCGTTCTTAAAGTTCCTTCTCTTGAACCGCCAACCAAACCACATGCTTAAAACACCCAATGATGATATCATAGCATATACTTGGTAACTTCTCTGTAAATCGAAGAAATATTCTGCCAACGATGCTCCACCTATTCCTACAATATACAAAAAATCAATAATAATCATATTTATAGTAAACCATTCAAATATTCTCTAATCTATCGGCTCCATTAATGGACTCTGTTATTTTCACACCTCTCTTCCATTTCAAATCACATCATTTGAATATCTCTAAATTTACTATCCTCCATCATATCATACTTATATCTTTAATTCATCCATTATAATCTCTATAACTCTTCATAAATAATATTAAACACTAGCAGAACACTTGTTTATTTCTGAATTTATCAAATCTATTTGCTGAATTCTAATATATATCATTTATCATTCATATAAAATCCTTATGACTTTTTAACATGTAGAAACAATAATCAAAAGTGAGACTTAAATTACTTTAGAACATCAACTTGTATTGAATCTTATAGATCTATTAATAACAAACAATTGTAACAATTATTCAGCACATGCAATTGAAATCATAAATAATCCACTTTCTTATTATTACTCATATTAACATGTCTATTTGAATAAATCCATTATTATAATTTTATTAAATTATTCATTTTCTTAAAATCTATTAATTTAATACACCTTCATTCATTTTAATTAATAAACTTCTCCAAATTTAACTAAATATTATGGTCACTCTTATAGAATTAGCATCTTCAATAAACAAAGGAGTCAACTGACTATATATAACTTTTATTCATGACTATATCCTAATTTGCAACTTTGGAATCATATCTGCATTAAAAGTGACATTAACTTAAAAATTTAAAGTCATCATTAAAGATCACAAACAAAACACTTCTAATAATTTAGTACATTAAGAGTTATATCTTGACGTTATAAAATTATCAACTTCTTTTTCTTTGTAGTTATTATAAATTTTTAATATAACTGTGCGTATAATTGTAAATCACTATTATAGAGTAGAAATTGTGAATTATCTAGGTATTTCAATCTGATATTAATAAAGTAAATCATCTGTAATTGAGTTTTTCTCGGAAAATAATGTTGATTTAATTCCCATCACTGAGTAAGATTAAAATTATTAAGATCTTTATCTTTAAAATCTAATAACAAGACTCTCTTTCATGATGTTCGTAATTCAGTACTTTAGCATTTATTTACATGGAATCTCTCATTTAAAGTAATCTTGACTAGATGTCAAAAATTTACTCAAATAATAAACATAAGGTTTATTAATGAAACTCCTGATTGCTTGATTACAATAGTAGTATTGTTAAGAATACAGATATGAACTTTCTTTATGATAAATATTATTAATATGTTTGATTTATCATTATATTGATTGTAAAAACATAAACATTTATTCTTCTAATCTAAGTTATTTGACACCATATTCGCTATTTCCATATCTATAAACATGATCGAATTTCCCATAAATATCCTCTTTGGATAACTAAAGACAGATATTAAATTCTTTACTTTCGATTTTTCATCATTTTCTGTAAAATCAGTAATCTTTTACAAACCTGAGAAAAGTAACAATAATTTTAATGGTTGTTAAGATAATTGACTGGGATTGAAAGTAGTTGTCTATTAAGCTTCATCACTTTTCTCTGTTTCAACCAAGATCTTCATATCGAAATCATCTGAAAGTAATAATAAACTACTTCTTACCTCTCTCTAATAACCTATGAAATTTGGACTCTATTGTGACTGTGTAACCCCAATAGTAGCCCTCCTTTTTAGCATCTTAACTTGAGACAGGAGTACCAGTCAGATGAGTGGAATTAGGATCATCCAATTTCAAAGTGACTCTGGTTCCTGGTTGCAATGGATAATTAATTAAGACTTATCTTTTGAGTCCAATTTCCACCCAAGATGTGTCACCTTTACTAGGTCTTTCAACAACGACACCTTCTCTGAAGGGACATACCTATTCTGTAAGTAAATGATGTTTTGATTCAATTGGATTCATGAGACCAACATTTTTTAAATCGGAGTGAATTGGAAACAAGTACTTTCTCAGATATTGTGGTGTTTCCAAATATTATAGGTTTCTAACAACGTAGGATGCCACATCGAATTATTTGCTTTTTGGTATGCTACAATGTAAATATGGAGATACTATGAATAATCTCTGAGGATGATGACTTCATCTACTTAAAAGATCGCAAACATCCTTGCTAATTGAGACATAAAATAACTTCTCAATTCAGATGATTAAGCATTAGAGATAATTGAATCTGGGATGGCAATAGTGACATGTCTTTATTCAACTGCTAATTTCTTCTTTTATTGTTCCTTCTTCTTCTTCTTTTCCTTCTTTATCTGTTGTACTTCTTCGATTACAGGTTCTGGTTACTTTTCATCATCGAACTTCACAATAGATTTCACTTTATTCTTTTTATCCATAATTAAGATATATATATTTATCACATGAAATCATCATCATCATCAACGTTATCAAAGTCCTCTTCTTCATCTTCCACAATGTTTTTAGTCTTTCCAAATGAAACTCCCTTTGGTGGTCCTTGCTATTGACTCTTCTTCTTAATGGCTTCTTCTGCTTCAAATTGCTTCCTTTTTTTAATGTAAATTTCCTCCACTGCTTTGAACAATTCCTCGTAATGATTCAACAATAATTTTCCTTCCAACTTAGTTAACAAGGTCTTCAAGAACTCGGTTGTATAGTTGGGACCCACATTTTACAAAGCTGCAGCAAAATTCTCACCAATTTTCTTCAGATCCACTTATCCAATATTCTTCTTAACTGGTTTGTCTCCTCCGAATAAATCGAAAACATTATTCATATCTGATTCCTTTGATTGCACTTCTGATTTCTACTATTAAGTTTAAGGTTATTTAGACTTGTCGTCTTCCTTCTATACTTACTCTTCCCCTTGTTCTTCGTCAGCGTATTATTCCCAATCCTCTACGTCTGACATTTGGATAATTAAATTAAAGAATAATCACAATTTTAATTCCCATTATAATATATATATATGCACTCCTATTTTATTTATAATTTAATTCCGCACTATTATTAAATCATACAATTATTAAAATCAAACACACTAAATATTCTACTATTTTTAAATATGAACCACTTCATTTATTAAATAATATTAATATCAAATTCTACACAACATGGCCAGAACCAAACAAGGAAAACCAAGCAATAACAAATTCAGTCTTTCACCTCAAAGTATGTGCAATGACTCCTTGGAAAACAAAAAACAAATTTACAAAAACCAATAAAAAAGGAAACACAAATTCAGACCTGGAACTGTCTCTCTGAGAGAAATCAGAAAGTATGTCTCCTCTCTAAAATTGTAGATATCAATCATCCACTCAACTCCTGATTAGGAAACTGCCATTCTAAAGACTAGTGAGAGAAGTGTCATAGAGATCTGAGAAAGATTTCAGATTTACCCAATCTGCCCTTTATGCTTTACAGGAAGCCACAGAAGGATTCATTACTCATCTATTTGAAGATGCCAACCTGTGTTCTCATCACGCGAAGAGGGTAACCTTACTCACTCGAGACTTGCAATTGGCCATCAGAATCTAAGGAATAGAATATTGATTTGTGATAAATAAAATACTGTCAACAACGATCAAATTATTATTATATAAACTTTTGCATGTCTCCTCCCATCTTTACATAATCTTCATAAAGATCTGAAACCATTATATTCCTACCTGGATGGTTGGAAGGCAATTTGTTCTTTTGAGTCAGAGCAGCATCAAAAAACAATCGCTTCATAGTCTATTCAGATGGTCTTTGCATATCAGATTGTCTCTGGACTTCAGATATCCTCTCCTGAGTAAATTTTTATTAGGATTCCTAAAGAGAACTTTGTTCAGATCTCCTTTGATATTCAGTTGCATAATAAATGTTTTTAGGCTCATTGCTTGAGTATCTCTATTCTAAGTTGATGCTAGGTCTCGATTCGAATTACAATTAATAACTCAAACGAGCATCTTGAGAGTATGGTTTATGATCATCAGATTTCCTTTCATAATTGACTGATCCTCTCGATTCATAGCTGACTTGATTCACAACTGATTGTTATTTAGGTCTTGGAATGTCTGGTTTATTGATATTGCTTAATCTTTAATCAAAATATAGGTTATGTTCCTCTAGATGACGTTAATCTCTTGCTTTTTTATCGAAATTGCGATCGACATCGATTTATTGAGTGATCATAGTGTTGCTACTTTCTACTTTGGAAGGAGTTTAGTAATTATTAAGAGAAGACTTAGTCGTAGAACTGGTTCGTTGTTCTGGCAGAGCATGTACAGGCATGGAGGCTCTTTGAGTGAACAAATCTGTTTTCATTTTAGAATTGAGCAAAGCCTTATTGATGTATTTATAGAGATTGATAGATCCTTCCTTATTGTTTGATAACTATTGGATGCCTTATTCAATTCTGAAAATGATGGTTTTGACCAATTAATAATCTTGAGTGTTGATTATTTCTTATAAACTAGAGATCATTTCGCCCAAGATCTTTTATGTGTATGGCATATTCTCCTTTTAGAGTTCCTATTGCAATTTCTACTTCAATGCTGCTATTTTAGAATTAATTCTTTGCATTGACACTTATTTCTGATCATAAAAGGAATCTTCCATTTTAGGGAACTATGTATAAACTGTCATGTCTAATTGAGTTATGGGTTGCTAAGCGGGAATTGATTTCTGTTCATACGAGGGGATTGTAGTTGGGACAGACGGATAAGTAGCAGTTTTGGTTGGACTTTGCTATTGATTTCCATTGGTTTTACTGAAATTCTACTCGTAATTGTTGGAAGTCAGATTGGATTGACCAACTGTTATTGATTGAGCAAATTGGGCCTGAGCCTTATTTTTAACAGCTTGACTTGAATGCTTACTAGATTGATTAGATTAAAATGTAAACTGTTTTTCTGATTCTGCTGCCTTATTCGATTAAGGTTGAAGTTGAGATTCACCTGCATTGATACGTGATCGTAACAACTAAGACTTTTCTTATTGCACTTAGGATATATTCTTGAATTTAGTAAGGAATTCTTCCACTAGATTGAACATCTAAGTCAATTGTTGTTCCTAATTGAATGATATTCAATCTCATACTTTATATGCTGGTATTGTACTGTCTGCAATTGAAATGGCTGACAAATCTGGGTTGTTGAATTTGTCTACAATTTAAGAATATTCCTAGGCTACTTGATTGGCATCCAATTCTAATTGATGTTTGATAGTGTTCTTCTTATTCTATTGTTCAGGAGCTTTCAGAGCCACAGAATACCTCTCCAACATGTCTTTGATATAATGATGATCTGATACTTAATACTTTATCTTTCAAGTGAGACATGTCATCAAAGAGATCATTCTCATTGAGCAATCGCTAATTTTGTAATTTCTGAGATTCAAATTTCTTGTTCTCTTCTCCAAAGGTTAGACGAGCAATTGCATCCTTTTTTGGTGGTGGATCTAAATCAAACTATGGTTAGATTGGATTTAGAAACATCTTGTCATGTCTCGATTGTTCATTTAAAAACTATAATTAGTTATTAATTCACTACATTTGAGGATTCGTTAAGACTCCCTAATATTTATTCATCAACATGAGATACTCTTTCTTAAGGATTATATTTGTATTTATTCATGATATCCTACACCGATGGTCTTTGTTGTGTTGATTACATATTATTCTATGGACTCGAAGGTCCGCTATTTTTGAAAAAAGGATTCGAAAACATATTTATTTTATTATATATATTTTCTTCTGTTTTTTCAATCGAATAAACATATTTTTGATTGAATATTTGTTAATTGTATTTTAAATATCAGCAGTCCACAGTTGAACTCCATCCCATGTAACTCAAGTGATCTTGAATTGATGGAACCAGGACTGAATCTGAGCAGTTGGGATCCTCATCCAATTAGCAAACAGTGTATGAATTTCTGTGATACCAGATTTCTCTGTCAACATGATTGAATCCGAAGTTCTCAGGTGGGACCTAATTGTTCCTTTAAATAATCATACATGAGGAACGACATCCTTATCATGGACAACTCTGAAATGAGTGACCTTGGTGAATGATGAGAAATAGTTATAATAAGCTGTATCTCCGACTCTTGGTAAACCAAAGGTGCTCAATTGAACTGTGTATCCTGCAATAGCTAATTCAGTAGTGTATAAGGTGGCCATAGCAGCTCCCAAAGAGTGACCAGTTACATGGATGATGGCTTTTGGATACATTCCTCTGTATTTGGTGAACAAGGAGTCAACTTGGGGCTTGATGGAGTTGAAGGCATCCAAAAATCCACTGTGAACTTGGCAATTACATGCTGTGTTGTAATTGACCTTATCAAATTGGATGTTGTCCAACCAGTTTTGAATGTTGCTAGATCCTCTGAAGACGACAGTGATGGCATTGTATGTGGGGTTGTAGGCTATGTATCCTTTGGTACCCTAGAATTATAGATGACTTCAAATCTTACGGCAATATTGTTCTCGAAAACTAAGGGTTTTTCGATATTGGGATAATTGGTGGTAACATATCCCACAGTCCATGTGTTGATGGCTGTGTCGGGACAATAAGCAGCAAAGGAAAGGGCAGCCTCCTCGGTTGCTAAGGCTTCATTGTAAACGAAAGCACAATTGACTGTTGCAGCTAGGACAACCAAAATCAAAACTGATGATCTCATTTAGATTTTATTTATTTAAATATACTCACAAATTCAAATCTCCCCTTTTAATACTCGTATTATTAATATATTAATTACTTTAAACCTCACAAGATATGCAATTTAATCCAAATAAGAATACATCGAATGTAAATATTAATTATAATTGAGAACTCCCTCAATTAAATGCAATTTTATCAATATTTTATGACTTGAATTTCAGGTAGAAGATTGATATCGAATTCTATTAAAATTATAATCACTAAAAAGTAATTTTATTTGAATGCATGCTACTTCCATTAAATCTCATTTTTATATAATATAATTGTTATACAGTAATAAAATTGTTAAATTTAATATGATAATTAATTTGGACTAATGCACTTAAATTTAAGTGAAATAACTCCAACTGGTTAATAACAGTAAATTTATGGATAATTTAAAAGAGGGATGATAAAAAAAGATATTCCATGAAAGTAGAGAATATTTATAATAAAAAATTTTAATTATATTAAAGCACAATAGAACGTAATTAATAGATGATGTCATATAAAAATTGATTTTGTCATTCTGTTGTTTGAGCATCACAAGAATTATTAGACCATCCTAAATAGGTTAAATGGTCTGCTAAATTTGGATTCAGGACTGATGCTGAACATTTTTGATCTTCTCCCTTTACTTCTTGACAAATCACATAATTTACTCCGTCTTTATACCAGATTTCAGTATTAACGTGTTCAAATTCGTATTTAACAGGTGGCAAATGAGGAGCTATATCCTTCTTATTTGTCAATCTGGAATGAGTAACCTTTAATGTTGAAAACCAATCATAAAAATCAGAATCGCCCACTCTGGGAGAACCAACAGTCACAAGTGATACTTTGATTCCTATCATGGATAGTTCACTTGCAAACAATGTTGCCATGGCTCCTCCTAACGAATGTCCTGTAACATGATATTTTGCATATGGATATTTCATCCTATACTCACCAAGTAACAAGTCCAATTGAACCTTTAGAGATGTATAGGCAGCGAAGAACCCTTCGTGGACCTAACATTTGCAAATGGTGTTAAATTCAATCTTCTTGTAATCTATGTCAGCGATGAAGTTCTTCATGTTGTTGGATCCCCTGAACACCACGGTGATAGCTTGACTAGCGGAATTGAAAGCTATGTAGCCTCTTGTTTCCTAAGGATAGTTTGATATAATACAAGTTCTATGTTCTCGAATATTTATATTTTGCTTAAGTGAGGATATTATTGGCTTATAGTGCCGACATCCCAACTTAAGATGTTATCTGGATTACAGTAAGCAGCAAACGAAAATGCAGTTAGTTGGTTAGCTAGAGCTGGATCATAGTCGAAAGCCGAAACGATTGCTATGAGAACAATCAAATATTTCATTTTTTAAATATTTATCTTCATGACATATTCTGTACAGAATTTATACCTAACAATTTATATTATATAATATTATTAATTTTGATTTGCTAATAACTTTATTTGTATAACCATTTATGGAATTGTCCATTCACCCACCTCGTCACAGATTTGTAAAATTGATTTTAACACCTTTGAAATCTCAATTTTAATTAAAGTTATCAATTAATCAATTGATATCTGGTGAGGGACTCTTGAACTTGTATCCATATCACATCTAAATCTTGAAATGTTGTATCCATCTACTTGGAAGAGCTGTCTAGTGAATAATAGATAAATGCATTGTAATCATAGTTAATTCCTATTCTGAGACCTGATTTGCTTAGCAACTCTTTATAAAGGAATAATAATTTTAATTGCATGAATAATTAATAAATTATTTTTCTGTTATTAACATAAATGAACCGCAGTTATTACAATAAATCCAACAGTAATTTAACTCCTGGTAAAGCCAAGTCGTAACACGTAACTTAGATTTAGTTGTAAGACATATAGTTTTATTCTGAGAAACATTAGCAAATATATTAGAGATTCATCTAATGAAAACAACAAAAGAGGTGATAATCTGTTGAACACATTAATCCAGCAGTCTCAACAAGCTATTCAATCAGCCAGACAATTTAGTGTAGATAGACCAATCAAGACTTCTCCTATTGAATCGTAATTTAGTCAATCATCTCCTAGGTCTCCTCACATTCAAAAAAAAATGATCAGCACTTCCTAAAACTTGTAATTAAGAAAAAGCACAGATCAATAACAAAGAAGCAGCGCATAGTTTGATAGACTACTTAATGAAAATACTTCATTGCTGATGCGTATATAAGAATTAGAACAAAAAGTAAGAAATTAATGTTAACAAGTGAGAATCAATTATTATAAATGAAATGTTAGTGCAGCAATCAGAGCAATAAAAGATCATAAGAAAATGTACTCAAAATCACACATTAAAACAAGGGGGATATAGATGTCTTCTTGCAATCTCATCATTGTAATGAAAATGAAAATAGAATATTAAAGGAATTAATTAATAGGTAATCCTCAATTATGCATATCCCCTCAGTCATCCAAACACTTTCACTCATTAAATGAAATTATAGTATATAAATAATTTTATAACAACTTTAAAGGGTTCATTGTAAGCCCAAATGCTTATAAAATTGTCTCGTCTTATTACATAGTAATCCTATCTGTTTCTACTTCAATTCGAATACCCCCACCAGTTCTGTCAACAATCTTGGCTGTAATGCCAGCAATCCTAAGATCTACACAGATGTAAATTGCATAAATTATTCCTAAGATACAGAATTTCGTATTCTATATAGCAATCATTAGAAATACATTGAATCTGCAATAGATGATCCATTCAAATCAGTCTTCTATCGTGAATCAATTAGATCAATCATTATTTACTATAATGTATCATATAAAATATTTTATATTTTTCTCTCCTTTATGATACTGCTTTCATTCTTGCTTATATTGAGTGTACTCATATCAAAATATATAGAATTTGCATAACCATTTTTATTGGTTATCTTTTATCTATTTTTGAAGTTCTAGATCGAAATCATAGCACATTCACTCATTAGCTTTTTTATTTAGCAATACTTATTTGTGACTTACTATATTATCAAGGTGGATTATGCTGCTTTCTTTCTTAATTGTTGCACCTGATTATACACAAACACTATATCGTTGATTTTCTAGTATTCTAAATTGAAATACCTCTTATTGATTGGGGGATTGAGCATTTCTCATTATATGTAACAAAGTACTCTTTGATTTATGTTTTAATGGGATGTTGGGCAGATGAGAAGGTTTGGGTATGTTAGTTGCAGGCATGGTGAGAAACATATCAGCACTATCCCTAACAACTGGTTAGTAATAATAAAATACTCGAAATTGCTCTTTTTTCTTACCTTGACTTCTATATTTCATCCTGTAATCTGAATGAATCTCTTACAACATCTCTTATTTCAACTCGTTTTTAATATACTGTTTATTTCAACTACTGTATTGTTAAATTGTTTAGTTTAATCTATTCCACCATTTTTGCATGGTTATCCGATAAGGCCTTTTAATACTTTTGTAATTTATGCAATTCATAAACCATTTCCTTCACTGCCGGATGGTTATCAAGACTAATTAAACTGGAGAACATACTCTTTTTGTTATTGCTTCTTTTCCTCAAGCTTTTAGATCTAGAACATTAATCTTTCCAATTAGTTCATCAAATGAAAATATCTCTGATTCACTCTTTCTTCCTAAATTAATATGTTAAATAACTTCTCTTTCTATCGCTATAACAGTTTTTTAATTAACTTAATCCACATAACCTTATACTGTCTGATGTTTCTCTTACACTTTATCCATTCCATCATTAATCCTAGTTATTAAATAACCAAAACTTACGGCTCCATCAAAGTCATAGATCCTCTCTTCTACAATGTATGAAGCATCGCTTTCATATTTTAATCTTAATATAAATTTAATTTATTTTATAATCCTCAAAATAGATATGTTTTTATTCAGAAGTGAAAATTTGAACATGAAGAATGAATCCAAGATGTAATTAACCTTTCCTAAAGGCCAACTTAGAATAAATTATAGATTCTTCATCCCCTCATTTTGATCAATAGAATCTATTTAGGCTAAAGAATCTTTCTATATTTTTATATAAACATCTGAATTGATTGATTGAAATTATTTATTTATTTGATGTTCTTTTTCTTACAAACAAGATTTCTAGTATTCCATTTTTCCTTTTAGAATTACCTCTCCATGCATTCTCAGATTTAAGTTATGTATTTTTTTATTATTTTTGCACATATATATCCAATCGTAATTTTAATGTATGTAGAAATTACGATTGGATATATTCTAAGCGACCTTCATTTAGACTAGAGTTTAATATACACTTGTGGAGATAAAAATGGAACGCCAATTGATAGGAATCCTTAATTATCAGCCATGTTTAATAGCATTTAGATATATACTTATTATAATTTTTTATCAAATTTATATTCAGTGATTTTCCTCTAATAATCAAATTCGTTGATCTAATTTCCTCTTTTTTTAGGTGGCAATCTCTTTAAATTTGGTTTCAACAATATGCTTAAACTTCTTTTCCTAAGATGATTTATTTTTTAAACTATTTCTGGCATTTATAAACCAATTTAAAACCTATATATGATAGAGGATTCAAATTTACTTATTTGTTGGTGAGATTTGTTTATTGAACTAATTGTTCAACCTACTATTGTTTTGGATATGGATTATTGTAGTTTTCAATTAGCCATTTCTTAAGGACCATGTTTGCTTATTTGGAGTACGTCCTCTTAGTATTAGCTAAGAAATGTATAATAATGGAATTGTACTTGGATAATTGGACAATAATTTTAGTTTCTGTATGTCTTCATAGAGTTTTATTTTGTTTTAAATTTGAGTTGTGACTTCCTCAAAAAATTAGGTTGTTTGGGTTTGAGTCAACGTACTGTATATTTTATCATCTATCATTCTCTATTTGAGGTTTTCGAAAAACTTTTTAAGTTAATTATTCTTGTCAACACTCTATGATATTATGTAACAATCGATACATTAGTTTCCTAGGTGCATTCTACATCGATCGAATCACTCTTCCTAACCATTTCCTCGGCCAAGCTCTATCCTGACTATTGCTGAGTCATCCAACTGAACCAAATACGTTCTAGACTCTATATCTCAGATAAAGCTTTTTGTGCCTTTGATTCATTAACTAAAAGGTTACAAAATCTTATTATACCTTATTATTAAAGTTGTAGGTATGATGATTCTTTCATACCCTCTTCCATGATACTCTAAAAATGCATTATTGAACGGGGGAGGATCTTATTTTATTTTTTAAAATTGATTAAATTCAAGTCAAAATTTTACTGATTAATAGCATATCAGAGGTGCAGAAGGATGACGTCTGTTTGGGTCTTTTTATAAATACGCAAACAATATTGAAATTCAATTTGTGATACAAGAGACCATATATTTGTCTCTATTTATCATTTACTTTGCACATCATTTGAGATCATTAATTTTTCATAGATTAAATAACAATTATTGAATTGTTATGGTAATTTATCATTAATTAAAATATGTGTGTTAAAGAGATTTCTTCAATAAAATAAAGCTTATTTGAGGAAAGTAATATTTAAGAAATTGTTATTATTTTTAATACACGTATTTGTATTAAATTTATGGAAAATCTAATAATCTATTAAATAATTGTGGAATTTCTTTTATTTATAATGATTAATACCCTTGGCCAATTCATAAGCATAATGGCTCTTTTTGATAATCTATCATTAAATAGGAAAATAAATAAGATTGAAGATCGCAATTTTTATTTAAAAGAAAGCTAAATGTCAAAAAAAGATAGAATTTTTAAATAGTATGAATATAATTGGTTTATTTTAAAATATTGGAGTAGAATAAAGCCATAAGAATTTTAGCGAAGTAATAGGTCTTTTTAACATAAGAAATTCATTTTTAGTGAGTTAAATTTCACTGGATATTTAAAATTAAATGAAATCAAATATTATTCAGTCAGATAGGACTTGGATTTTCTATGAAATCGCTTTTATAAGTCTTGAATACCTCTATTAAATTTGATCAATATGGACCATGTTTACTATATTGTAGGAATTCAGAATGCTTAACTTGGAATAAGGACCTCTGTTTTAGTTCTTATAAATTGAAAAATTACACTAAATTTATATTATGAAAATTTTTGTTGGCGACTAGTCGTATAAATTACTCAGTTAAAATATAGTAAAATCGGAAAAGCATAAGGTGTCATCAATATGATATAACAACAAAGATGGATTATATAATTGCAAGTGTATATAGAGGGAGAAATGTCAGAAAGCAAGTTATTTTTTATAACTTGGTATTATGGCTTAAATAATTAAGACAAAATTCTTAGATTGTATAAAAATGATGATATCATAAAGATAAGTTCCAAAATAGATATAGATTATTAGATTTATCAATTTTGAATTCCCTAATAACAGACATTAAATTATTTGAATCTATTTTATGAAATACTTTAGTAGCTAAATATAGTAAACTTAAATGTTTGCCATTTTTAAACTTAGAGAATGAGAATGAATAATTATTGGTATTATGCTTGATCTTTATTTTGATAATTTTTCAACAAAGAGTAAAGAGTATATGATATACAACATATTGTTTAATGTGAATATATTTCAATAAGGTCTTGGTCTAATCATTTATTCATATTATTTCTATATGTAAGGATTCTGATTATTAAATGGAATAGGATTTGTAAGGGGATTGTGACTTTAATGAATAGCATTTTATCCTGCTCCCCTTAAAGCATTTCCACGACTCACTTGAGAAACACTACTCAAATTTTAATTAATTGTATTCATCTCATCCTACTTTAGTTAAGCTAGAGATTGTTATTTTAATAAGTAATCTTGTTTTGGTGGTAATTAACTATGTAAAATGAAAAGATAATATACCCAACTTATGGTGACCATCCAATAATTTTAGCATTTAATTATGCATCTTAATTTTTATATGCTTGTAAATCCAACATATTCATAGATTTTTCTTGTCTTCCCATCCTTAGTTGTTTCAGTCTTTATTCCTCTCTATAATATTGGATGATTGATACTTTTCTATTCTTTATTGATCTAAATATTCCTTGTATTATCTTTGTTATTCTACTTAATCAACCTTCCTTTAAACTAAGAATTAGTTGTAATTTTAAATCTAAAGTAATAATATAGCATTACATCTTCTAATCTTTATTTATTTAACTCTTATTTAACACTCTTCTCCTGCACTTTCCCTTACTCTCTTTCATCCAACATCTTTTTATTAACATTCAATGTTTATCTATATTCTTCTTGTCTCCTCAATACTCGATCCAATTCTTCTTAAAGTAATTTTCTTTAATATGCATCCATATTTTTAGAGATCATCGATTCCAATTAGGCTTGTCTTTCCAATAAAGGTTAAAGGACATTGTCAATATGCATTTTCTATAATTACGCTTGATTTTGAGAACAAAGTTTATAGAACTATTGATTAGGTTTGATTTTGATACATTTTTGTAGTTTTCCTCTTTGATTAATTCTTTTTCAGCATTTCTTCTATTCAACTCTTGAATTTCAATTTAATCATTTCTAAATCTCTCTTTTTCTTCCAAGTGTCTTATCTATGATAGTTTAAGGTCTGCATCTTATTCTTTAGCCCATTGTTCCTTTTGCAATCTCCTCTATAGGAAATCCTATTCCATTCTCCTTCTATTCTCATCCAAAGCCTACTGTTCCCAATCTAACTTTTATTATCTCAAATCCATTTCTCTAATCAAGGAGTCTTATTTTTATTTGTCGTAGATAGAAGAGATGCCTTTTTGTAATACAGCTTTGTCTTCTAAGAATTTTCTTTATTCCTCTTGGAATTTCATTTATCTCCTTTTCATTTCTTATGCATCCTCGTATTTCTACTCCAATTCTTTCTGTTTAATTTGCAATTATTCAAGCATTTTACGATCCAATTCAGTCCTAAGAGAATCAAATAATAATCTAGTACAATAATTCCTTCTTTCTCAGATTCAAAATTTCTCTTTCATTGCGTTATATGTCTTATCCAATCTCGTACATATGATGTTCAATTCCATACCATTCAGATTTTAAACCCTTTTTATCACAAATATTAAGTTACTTAAACATCTTTTGGATAATGACGCCTTGTTTAAGTTTGATTTTGTGTAACATTCATTGGATCAGTTTCCATTTTTAATAATAATAATTAATAATAAATATAGTGTGTTAATTCTTCATAAAACATATGTATAAAACCAAACAAAATGATGATGTAAACAAATCATTATAATTTTCTAAATTTACTAAATTAACCATTGTCCCTAATTGATGTCACTTGCAACAATCCTCCTGAAAATGTAATCTTTCCAAATTGCGATTAGTCTTCTATCCTTAATTGAATTCCTCTAGTTGAATTTTGATCCTTTGTATCTTAATTCATTAAGCTTTTTTTTCGATTACTAGAGATTTAAGCTTTTTAACTCCTCACTATAAACATGTTGTGTATCATCATGTAATTCAAGTATGAATAGTTCTGAATCTCCTTTTTCAGAGTCTTCCTTAAATTCCATCACATGTAGATTATGGATTGGAAGACTGTATTTTCCTTATGATCCTGCTTTCAATCATTCTAGTATCTACTTTCTAAATCAAGAATTGTTTTCTAATATTTTATATAGGCTGAGAAACTTAGTTGCATATTTGTAAAAATTAAGCATGCTGTCTTAAAATATAGAAATATTAATAAAATTAATTAATTATTTGAGATTAAAATATTGTGACAAGTCGTAAAATTATATTCATTATTTTGGGAATGGTGTTTTATAAAATTTTCGATGTGTTCTCTTTTATAATGGTGTTTGAAATTGAACTTTAACAGCTGAGCTCTAATGTGCAGATTATGATTGCCTTTTTCTTTATTAATGCGTTGACATCTCTGTTTTTTTAACTGATTGACAATTTCTTTCTGACTCCTTTCTTTGTTACTTTTCTTAATCCTTATAATCTTTGTGATGATTATCTCTTTCTTCAGTATGCAGTGAAATGTAAGAATTAAAAATATTCACTTCATCACACCCTTCTTTTACTTTCATTTGCTTAGATTTTGAAAGAATTTGCAATTAGCTTTTTTGAATTTTTTAGCTCATTATTTTTAATTATGTATATTCTACAAATAAAAACAAGCTGTTAAAATTATTTATGTTTTATTTAAACAATTAATGAATATAATTGAGTGCTATATTGCTCAAGTGCAATTTTATAGAATTCTAAATTGTGAATAAAGTGCGAATGGGTTGGTGTGGAGTTTATTAATAATATATTATTTTTGGTTATGTAAATTCAACTTCATTATTTTCTAATATAGTATTTTATTTTCAGAAGATTAAGTCTAATTTTATCTTCTTTTACACATCCTTTATATCCTTCCATATTATTTATATACTTTTAATTTTTTAGATGTATATAACTTTCTTCTTAATGTAATCCATATATAACTCTCTCATTAATCTCTATGATTTGACCAAAATTAATCGCATTGCAAATTTGATACCATTATAATTATGTAAACTGAATATTAGCAAAAATGTAAAAAAAATATTATGTCTCATGATTGATAGTACGATTTTGCTCTAATTTTGGTAATGATTCTTGGATCCTACAAATAACGAATAATGATACCAATTATCGAGAGTATGTCGAACTCAACTATTAAGATGTTTAAAGTTCTTAGATCAATAATTGTTCCTTCTATTCGAGTTTACGGATAGACTATTCTGTTTATATTCTTTTTTAACATTCAACCTCTAATAATTGAGAGTACTCTTTATTTCTGAGTTCTTCGTTTGACTTTTGTCTGATCCTCATTTTGACTTGTGATTGCGCCCTTTCTTGTTTCAGTTTATTGTATCTGACAATATTTTTAATGAGTTCAGATTCTTTTTATTACTGTACTTGCCTCTCTAATTCTAGATATTTAATTTTCAACTTCTGAGTCTCCTGTTGTCTGAACTGCTTCTATTGTTCTTAGGTTTTCTTGCGTCCCTCTTCACTCTAATGTTTTTTTGTCTTGGCCATAAGTTGGACCTGGTGTATTTTCTATAGTTTTTGCATGTTGATAATATTCCTCTATCATAATAATGTGTATATAACACTCTAATTAAATTGGTCATGCTCCGACTGTATGAATTGCTTCATTTCAACAGACTTCTATTGTTATTTGATTCTTCTAATGACTTTGAGTTGATTCTGTTGAATGAGGTTGAGTCTATTCATTAAGAGACCCAGTTGTTATTCAGATTGCTTACGCCTAAATTACATTGTTAATTTCGTACCCTTCACGTGCTTATAACAGAATATCGCGATTATTCATATATTTTAATTATTAATGGGGCAAACTTGCAATGGATGTTAGTGTTAGCATCGTTCCAATGAGTCCATTCAAGAAATCAATGTGAAAAAGAAACCCAAGAAGAAGGTAGAGAAGTAAGAGAAGCCTGAGAAATAGGAACATCGATCCAATGAGGAAAAACAAATTGAAAATAGTTAACAACAAAACACGAAAATCTCATAGGGAGATGCAGCACTTAGAATACAAAGGAATTGGAAGAAGCATAAGAAATCGAAGGAAATTAGAGTTGAAAAGGCTGGAGCACATATAAAGTAGTAATACTTTCAAGAAGAGACTGCCAATGCATAACCTCCCCAGGATCCAAATAGAGTGAAAAACCCCCCTTATAAGTAAGAGATCCTATAGAATTAGATTCCATTCTGGAGCTATATATGAAGGAGAATGGAAAGATAAAAAGAGAGATGGATTTGGTATTCAAAAATGGACGGATGGAGCAAGGTATGAGGGTTAATGGGTGGAGAATAAGGCGTGTGGACAGGGGAAGTTTTTTCATGCTGATGGAGATCTTTTTGACGGAGAATGGAGAGATGATAAAGCCAATGGCTGGGGAATCTATAGTCATTTTAATGGTGCTAAGTATGAAGGGGAATGGAAGGACGATTTGTAACATGGCAAGGGAACGGAGACTTGTAAGATTATTGTATCTTATGAAAGGGTAAGATAAATCGAAATATTGTGGAGATTACGTTAATGGAAAGAAGCATGGCAAAGGGAGATATGATTGGGCAGATGGATCTTACTATGATGGAGAATGGAGAGATAATAAAATCAATGGGTTTGGAACATACAAATGGGCTGATGGTCGAGGATATACTGGACAATGGTTGGACAATAATATGAATGGAGTGGGAGTTTATTAATGGAAGGATGGGAGAAAATATGATGGGTAATATTTGAACGATAAAAAACATGGATAAGGAACATATTATTGGGCAGATGGTAGAAAATATGAAGGAGGATGGAGAAATGGTAAATAGCATGGCACATCTAAGTACTATTTGAATGATGGAACAATTAAGATAGGGATTTGGGAAGATGGTAAAAGACTCAGATGGTTAGAAGATGCATGATCTAATATATTATTTTCTTGCTGTTACTATCTATTTAATGTAAACTTGCTATAAAAATATCAATAATATATAGACAAGGTTCTATGGTGTGGCACTATGTCGAATCGTTATTCTTCGCCCATTTACCATAGTATCCAATCCACTTCTATACTATTTAATTTCTATCCTAACTTTTAGAACTCCTCCTTTATCAATTCTACTGCTATTACACTATTGGCCCTAATTTCAATCTCATATTCAGATCCATGAGTAATTTCAACTTAATTTTTAATCTTATTCTCTAATTCTTCATCATATTGCAAAACATTTAATTAATTTAAAATTTATGGCACTCTGTAATCTGGAAACATAGTTAAGATTTCTATGTCATCAAATTTGCCTAATCCTTACCCTTTTAGTGCAGCATAAATATCTCCAATTAAGATTTGTGATCTCTTGTAAAAAAAGGTCTACCTACCCTGATATATTGCATGATCCTAAAATCCTAGAAATTGGGTTGTCAATATATTGAGTAATTTGGCTGCAGAATTTTTAGCAGCTTTGATTACATTCACAAATTCTCCTTCAAAAAATGTCACCAATACTTCTGAGGCATGTTTCAATAATCTATATCTCTCGGTGATCAATGGGAAATCAGGGTGATTGGGGAAGAGCAACTATTGAAATTCCTCAAATGACATTTTTAATATGGATTCTGCTTTGAATTGTTGGGGAGATTTCTAAAAACACTCTTTAATGGCTGATGATAAGTTTTCGTATTCATAATCTTTTTGTGGCCAAAAACAAAAGTTTAGAGAATCCAATATAAACAAAAAGTCAACTACTTATTCCTCATCGGCTGCAAGATGACATTCATATTCATCAAATTCTTTGTATTTGTGTTTATTATTAATGAACCACTCATTGACTTATTTTTGTAATTCCTCCTTGTTGATTTTAACATGTTTGGAATTCTCACTCACAAACTGACAAGAATTTCTTACTAAACTCATTTATTAAATATTATATTAATATAGATGTAAAAGAAAAGCACATAAATATGGAAGAGTTCATTTACCAAATAGAAAGAGTACAGATAAATGCAGAGAGTCATCTATCGTTTGATTGTCTATGTTATATATGGAGAATGGTTGATTCTTCTCTTCCAATGCATTTGCCTGTCCATTATCTTATTTTATGAAGTACCCCCAGTCATTATAATTAGTTTATTGGAATAATTATATTCTAATGTCTCCTTGTTTTAGTTTTGTTGAGATTGTTCAATAATGTATAAAGTAATTAAAGTTAAATAATAGGATTGTTGATCTTTCAATAAGAGTGCAAAGCTTGTAAATAATTAATCTTTTGTTAAATTTGCCATCATTGCGAATCAATTGTACTTCACATAGGATTCTTGGAAATGTGTTTAGTCGAAGATTAAATTAAGTAACAGCCTATTACATTTAAGACTCCTCAAAAATATAGTGGGCGTGTTCTTAACTAAAATAATTGCATAAGTGATCATCCAATCTTATACTGCTATGATAATTGAGAAGTCTATGCAATTTTACACTGCTTTCTTAACAATAATAATAATTGTCTTATTTTTTAACATAGTGCTTTTATTATTACTTATCTTTCTTGCATGGAAAGTATCTTATGAAATTCGGAACAAATAACAAGTCATAACTCCTAAGGATGAGTTCAAAATGATTGAGTAAGAGGATGATAAATGTCATCAAATAGTAAATGAAAAAGTGGAATAAAAGAATCCAACCCCAGATCAATAGGAAATTGAAGACAAAGGATCTGTCAATGTATCTATCAATGAGGACATAAGTCCAGCCATGCTGAAATTAGTAATATCAAAAATTAATCAAGAAATCGAGTTTAAGTCCAAGTCCTGGTAGATACCGCTCTGGTAAAATACTTGATTTTTTAGAAAAGAAATTAAGTCATGCCAAATTGAGTCAAAAAGAATTACATAATGGATACAGCAAAGAATACAGTAGAAAATATAATACCAATCAACGTAATCCTATTCATCTATCACAGCATTATAAATTAGTGTAGATTTTGGAGAACAAGAAGATGTCTCACTTAAAAACAAAATTGAACTAGAAATCAACAATCATAACTTCTTTAAATAAACTAAATTCATATCTTGATACTCATTTTTTCTTTATACTAAATTACAACACTACATAAAAGCCTAAAATAACGACTGCAAAGATGCCCAACATCACAAGTCTATTTCTTGTGTCTTCCTTCTTCTATAAGATTTCCTTATTAGCTTCTGCCTCTTTTTATCTTTTCTTTGCTTCTTTTTCTTCACTGATCTAATTCTCTACTTCCTTAGCTCTTTACTATTGTCTCTCTTTCTAATCAATTAATTAAATACATACTCTATCTTCGGCTATTTGTCTTTTCCTAACTTATTATTCCTACTATTCTAATTCAATCTTCTTTTTTCTATCTTCAATTATCTATAAATAAGTTAATCCAGCTCTATTTAATTTATTGACATCTAAGTTGACATTATCCTTATTTTAAAGTAACACCTTCAAGAATAATTACTTATCATTTATAGCAGCAATATGCAATGGTACATTTCCTTCTTTGTTTTACTAATTCCAAATGTCAATTTATAATGCATTATCTCTATGTCTTTTAATTATGGCATTCAGCAATTCGGCATTGCCACTAAAGGCTAATATATGCAACACATTCTCTTGATCTTCATCCTGATTCAATAATCCAATCTCATTTTATATTAAGTATAATGCGTTTTCATCTTATTCTGCATTTATTGCCAAATGCAATAAGTTTCCTTTCGTAGGTACCTTATATTCTAAATTTAAATAACTAATTACTTATCAACAATTAGATCATCTAAACTGTTCCAATTACAACTGCATGTTCCAAATAAGATCTACCTTCGATCTCCACTTCTACATCAACTTAATGAGTCTGTAATAAAGCTTAGGCTCCTTCCAAGAAATTCAATTAAATTGATGTAAATAAAGGAGTGCTTTTATCAATATGATTCACAAAGTTAACATCGGCCTTCTTTGCCAATAATGCTTTCACTAATTTTAAATTGTTATTTGTTAATGCAATTTATAACAAAGATTTGCCAGTCTTCTTATCAATCTCATCAAGATTCTCCCCTTTGTCTATAAGATCTAAACAGCTCTCTGTGTTATCCTTTTAGAATTCTCTAATCATTTTTACAATTTCTTATAAAATTTATGTATGAATAAAAATAAATCATATATATATCCATCATAAATAATTAATCTTTTACTATTTAGCATTTTCTTTAATTTTCTTTAAGCATATTTACCTTCCTACCTCAAAATTTTTTTCAAAAGTATTCAATTCATTCTAAGTAAAATTCTCCAATTCTAATATTTAGCTATAATTAATTACCAATATTATTCAATTTCAAATCATGAACACTCTCATTTAAAGTACCAATTGTAAAACGTTTAAAATCTTAGAATAATAAAAATTATTATTCATCATTTCCTCTATATTTAACTAAACTTTTAAATTCATCATAACTCTTGTTTATTAATTTCTTTATAATCTCTTTAACAAGTTGAACTTTTTATTAATCATTCATTACTGGAAGACCTTTCAAAAGTTTACTGGAGTATTGTACAAAACAGTTGTATATTTCCTAAAGTTCAAGCTGTAATACCTCATCATAGCAATTTTATAAGCTAAGTAATTCACTTTCTGTAGGTATCATTTTTTAAGGTTGAGAATCCTTCATCTCAGAATCGAATAAATTACAAAGTGTTTCTCTAGAATCCTCATGTGAAGCAAAAATTATAGATTTTATTCCGACTTTCTGATAATATTCTGTTAAATAATCTTTTTCCCTTTATTTATCATCAGAACGATCAAATTGTGTAATTACTATTGTAATTCTATCTTTAAATCTTTCAAACGCTTTTATTAATCTTTGGCAAGAATGTATTATGTTAATATATCGTCCATAAGATACAACAACCATTACTCTTGAGATTTCATTTTTTTCAAATATATTTAAAAATGCTGGAGCCACGCCTATACTATCTTCTGTGGTTAATCTAGGTGTATCAATTAATGTAAATCCCAGCTTTAACTTTTTGATTAGAATTAGTAATTTTATTAAACAGAGTTGTCTTACCAGCTCCAATATCACTAACCATTACTGCAACTTTTTTCATTTTAATTCAGTTATAGATATTCTTACCGATTCCTTCTTAAATACCCAAATATTCTATTAAAAAATTCTATTAAGTTATTTTTAATATTCAGATCATTTTATAGTTTGTTATAATTTGAATATAATATATTTTGGATAAAGCAAAGAACACAACTAAATAAATATAATAAAATTTTGGATCCGCTCTTTGTTAGAATACAAAAAGTAAATTATTAAATAATTTGTTTTATAAAATATGAAAGGTTTACGTAACCTCCTTAATAAGGATTATGAAGATTTTCTATAACAAAAACTTGAATAGAATAATCCAAACAAATTGATAACTAAAAGAACCGTTGCAACTAGGGAATCAGGTAGACCTGTTGGATCTCGAATGTACTAAAGACTTTAAAAACCTGAATCAGCAAGTTAAAGCATGGGAAATCTATTTGCAAATGTGAAAGGAAATTTATTCGCAAATCCGAAACATTCCCTTTAATAGGAGGCTAGTCCCTACCTAATTGAATAATAAGAAAAGTTTATTGTTAAGTAATATTGGAGATCCTTACTTCGTTGGCAAGGATTTGATGACTATCTCTTCTTGAGGGATCCACTTAATATCAAGCATATAAAAGGGAGGGATATTTTAACAAAGAATGATGTAGTTGAGGAATTGAATTCATCAAATATGCATATGCAAGTAATGTATTAAGCAGACAGTGGAATGCAAGAATATAAAGATTAACATAGGAGATTGCAGATGCAACAATTATAGAAATTATATCAACCTGGGGAAGCAAATTATTAGAAATTCAATCCAGATAAATATAAATAAACATTTTTCGGTGGGAGAGATGCAGCTAAGTTGTAGTAGATAGTGTTTGAGAATCCAAAGTTTGTAGAGTTTATTGAAAAGATACAGAAGTTGCTATAGATTATGAACGAGAAGATGGTTGTTGAGGAAGTGAATTAGATTTCACCTATTGGAGAGAGGATGATTAGGTTATTATGGAAGACAGGGTGTTTGAACATGTTTTTAGTTGGTTATTACATTCATAATATGATATTGGAGATATATGGCAAGGAGAAACTGGCATATTCCAATTGGAAAAAGGTATTGAGAATTTGTAATATGCAAGGGAATCACTGTCATAAATATAAACTAATAGCTTATAAGCACATAGCTAAGATTTGTATTAAACTTTAGTAGTACGACAAAAGTTTAATTTACCTCAAGAAGATGCTGAAATTATCATGGATAGTTAATGACACCAACTATGAGATCTTTACTTATGATAAAATCTCATTGTGCTATTATTACAAATAAAACATGAATAAAGCCATCTATTATCATGAGAAATTTGCTTAAGGAGAGTATGAAGAACCAGGCAAAGGCATGAGAAATGTGGGTGAAGCAGCGTATTTATTGGATGCTAAAACCAAAGAAGGATTTATTGATCAAAATTCGTACTCTGAAGATGAATATGATTTAGATGTATTGTTACAGAATGGTAATCTTAATAAGTGGGAAACTGAGAACAAGAGGAAGGATCTCAAAATATTGGTCAAGAAAATACCAATGGAATATAAGAAAGGACATAGTTTTGGTAAGATTCATAGGCCAACAAACAAGGTCATCGATTTTAAACATGCCATGTTAATACTGCATCAATTCTAAAATAAATAAGCAGTTCCATTGGGACCTATTTATTAGAAAGAAGTACAGGAATAGTAGGAACAAACTGTCAAGAAATTTAAAAAGAAAGATTAAACTCAATCATGTCAATATTTGTTTAATTAAAAAAGCACCAATAGAGTGGCATCCAACTTTTTATTGTAAGAAGAGATTAAGGACTAAACCACCAATGACACTTTGTGTTTTAAACCGTCTGAAAATATTTACTACATCAAAAAAATGATCAGGGTCTTTTAATATGATCTTAAGTATTTATTATAGAAACAATCTCTTTTTAAAAACTCCACTGATAGTATATGATATTTTATATATAATAAGTTATTTAATGCATTAACATATTACACTTAATTGTCAAAATACCAAAAAGGGATATCTGATATAGAGAACAGGTAACAAACCTGGGGATAGAATAAGTGAAAGACAATCTTTTGCATAATATGTGAATTAATTGTCAGAAACTTAACAATAATTAATAACCCAAATTAAGTCAACTCCACGGAAAAACTAGTAATTTAATAGTCATCCTAATCTTCCTAAGTTACATTCTCCAGACATCATGAGTAGACGTTTTGTTTTGAATATTGCCAAATGTCCAATCAATAATTATTAATCTCCCATTTTTAGACCTAATGGAGTCTAACAACAATAACAGTTCTATCATCCCGTTTAATCATCTCGACATTCATCTCTTGACATAAGGAAATCAATGGTTGTATAGAATAAGCTCGCACCTATCTAAAAGAGTTCAATTATCAATCTGAGTGGCAGAAGTGTCAGAGATGAGGATATGAGTTTGTTTTATTATAAAATCGGTGGAGATGATGTAGTTGATTAATTAAATGAAGAATTTTACAATTTTTCAAGTCAGCATGACATGATTAAAAGTATGTAATTAACATAAATTAATTTAAGACATTGAAGATCATGAATAATATAAGGCTCATTTTAAGATATTTTTAGAATATATTATGGGCAAACCAGTGTTTTATAATCTTGAATAGCTGAAAGATAAGCATAAAAATCTAGGACTTAAAAATAATGATTTCAACGAATTTAAAAATTATCTTATTGTATTTTTTTTCACTTAACTTTTAGACATGCTTTTTAAAAGTTAATAAAACTTAGCCAGAGCATGTTTTTGAATTTAGTTCTATGATTGAATAATATCGATACTGTATAATTAATAGCGATACTCCATTTGCTATTATATACAATCAAAAAACTGAGAAACTAAGCACTAAAGAAGTCCCAGACACCATTCTGTGTATGGCTGAAAGGAGTTATCAGAAGATATTTGCTGACAATACATTGGCTCATTACTTTATAGGAATTCAACTCCATGAATAGGCTAAGAAATTAGGCAAAATATTGCACCAAATGATGGGTTGGGACTAGACTTCTGATTAAGCCTTATTAGATATGAGGGAATCTCATAAAAGTATGCATTTAAATAATGTACATTTCACACTATTTAAATAACATATGATTGAGTCCATGAGATAATTACACATCTAAGAGAAATAAATAGAACTTGTTACCTCGAGAATGGATGGATATAGAAGTTACATCATTAACCAAGATTCCTTACTTGAGTTTTACAGAGATCAGCCAACATTGCTTTAGGTTTAACAGAAAAAGTATGTCCAACTGCTTAGAAGAGATCATAGAATGCAAAACTTCCCTTAAGAGGCATTTAGTAGACATGCCTAATTCATTCTTAGGTATCTCACACATTAACATCTACCTACTCTTACTCATAACGACTTGTGGACCATTCATTCTAAATACAATATAGCTATTGAATGGATTGAATCTTTTCAGGATAATTTCTTTCTCTTAATTCAAAATCTCAACTTAAATCCTCTAGTTATCTAAGATTATGAGGATATATGGTTTAAACTTAAAAGTAACCTTACTCAATAATATTCTGTCCAAAAACTCGTTGGCAAATAGAAAGTAGACTAAATTCTCACAAAAGTTTAGTTTAAAATGCAAGACAATGAGAATTTTAATGAATACTTCAAAAATGCCAATTACTAAATGAGTCAGCATCTTAAAAGGATCATGACATTCATTTTTAAAGATCAACATCTATATAAATCAAATGACTTAAAGGTTATTCATTAATCACTTAAGATCAAAGAACCCACGTTTGATTTGTTTGTTATATTTTTAAAAGATGCTATGAAAGAAGAATAAATCCATCATCATTTAATAAAGACAGCTGAAGAAACCTGTGAATTTTATAAGAAAAGCATATGTAATTGATTACTTGCAACTTTAATAAATTGAATTTCTTAATATAATAATTTAATAATTTATTTGCTTAAAATTTGAATATTTTCAATGTTATGCGTCATCATTCAAAATTAAATTAATTTATATATATTTCTACAATGAATAAGAAGTATTATCAATTATTATCAGAATCTCAATAGAACCACTCCTTGCCGTAAATCCTCTCTACCCAATCACTAAAAGACACAGGGTCCTTTGAAGAAATTATTTTTGATTCCTCCTTTGTCACCTCCTCGTCCATTTATATTGTTGGCAGTCTTGAAGCCCTATTGGCCACTATTCTAAATCCACATTCATAGGATTTCTTAACCCCAGGCATCAATGGGCCAGGTTCTTGACTTGATGAATAATGACTCTTCCCCCTATTTTTGTTAGAAACAAAAGGCTTTCTATTTGGTAGCGCAACTACTGGGCTTTTGAACTTTTTGTTTGTCTCCACTCTAAAAACCTATTCCAGATTATCCATTGAATTCCTTGCGTTAAAGTAGTTATTGCTCTTTTGAAAGTTAATTTACTCTTTTATTGGATATTTTAATGAATTCTTTCGTCTAACATAGTCAACCTCCTCCCTCTATGATTATTTGTTCATTATTATTCTATGAAGTTATCCAGATATTAGGGTTCTATTTGATTACACTGATTTATTAAACATTGAAATATTTAATTTAAATTATTAAAATAACATTATTACCTAAATCTTAATTTAAATGACAGCTTATTAAGAATAAATTATTTATAGAACTACCAATTAAATAATAATTATAATCTTCATATGTTTATATTTTATATAATTATATTAAGCTATTTCAAATAATTAATACAAATTTGTGTTATTTCACAAAAGATGTATAAATTATATGTTTTGCATTACTTGATTGATAAATGTATTGCAATCAAATACTTAAATGTCTAGAATTGTATAATGTAATACTTAATTACCAAATTGCATAATAAGTATTATAACTTGAAATTTTAATAACTTTTGAAATTCATAAAATTAAGTAGTATAGATAGAATGAATTTGAATGCTTATTAGTATAAGTGATATAATTACAATTGAATCTTGATGAATTGTATTATGATTTATTCTAAATTTATTCTCATTAGTAATTTTATTTTAGATATATAGTATAGTTATTTACTACAATGAGAATTTAAGCTACATCCTTTAGATTGCCATCATTAAAACTATAAACAAAAGACTCTTACTAGTGTTTCAGTAACCAGGATAATAATCTTTCAAATTCATCAATGATTAAACACTAAAGTAGTCTCCTATGGAATTATGATCCAACTCCAATTAAGAAGAGAGTTAGAGGAATGAACATAATCATTTACAATAGTCATGAAAAGCTAAAGACAGCAGATTATTACAATCGAACAGAAATCATAACTTAGATCTAAGAAACAAATTAAAGTACTTCAGTTGTCAATACATTTCGACGATATAGAAATAAACTTAAGCAATTGATGTAGCCTTCCAAAAATGAAGGAATAAATTCAAGAAATCCTCTTTTATATATTTTTAAAGATCCTCGACCTCCTATTAGATTGGATCGATTGAATACGATCATAAATGTCACCAACTTTAAGAAAAAGTAAGACTGTTAATGAGTAAGGTGAGATTACTCATTTCTTCTTAATAGCTCTATCAAGAGCCAATTAATTAGGATATATTTCATGTAACTCTTGTAAAACTAAAAGATGAATATGACTGTTTATACCAAGACTTCAATGACTACTATGTCTAAATAAATAAATTGGATAAACATGTAATAAAACTGCTGAATCATTTGGAAATCATCTAGACACTATTGAAACCAAAATAGCCAAATAAAGTTATAAAATAACAACAATAATAACCTTATATACGACAACTAGATGAATAATCTCTTATTGGAGAAGTGCATGAAGTTATTGAAGATACACATTAACAATCTTAAATTGTTCAACATCAAGAATTTTCCTTTTTGGAACAAAATGAATAGAATATTAATTAACCGAGAGAGCCTAGTATATTTATTCCTCTCACTCCTAAACAATATAATGTTGCTCAATCTCTAAGTGATTTGGAGGACGATTATCAAAATAAACCAAATAAGCCAAAAAAATAAAAAAATTTAAACAACAATCCTTCAAAACCTTAGGATATTATTAATGTTGATTTATAGACGATAGAAACAATAATTTAGAAAACTAACCTTAGGTTACTTTATAAGTATAACATCAACCAAAAGTAAATTAAAGATTAACTCCTTAAAATAATTAAACTTAATCCATTTAATAAAATGATATTTATGACTAATCAAATATATTAAAAGAAGATAATAATCCTTAAATTGAAAAGCCTACTTTTAAGAGAATAACAAGCTGTTTAGGATCAACTAGTAAAAGAAGAAATGCAATGTTGGAGAGTAAGGATGGTTATAACAATTAAAATAAGGTGGGGACAATTTTAGAATAGGATAATAATAATTAAGAGGATGATGAAGAACAAGAAGTGTTATAAATGGATTGTTTGACTGACTTAAATGATGAACAATAATATGAAACTAAGATGAAAAATTGCATAAATATTTATAAATATCCATTTTAGTAAGATTGGGAATTTCACATTCATGAAATTATTAAAAGTACCATTATTTGTGAATATGATTTATGAATAAAACTCTTTTGTTTAATTAACTTATATAAGATTTAACCTAGATTGGTATTTAATCTAGATAAAATGAAAGAGATTTACTATTCTTGGAAACCTATTAAAATACTAATACTAATATTATTATCCTATTATCCCATATATTAGTATTTATAATCTTCATAAATTTGTTGTAATTAAAATAATAAAAGGTGGATATTCATTTTTATATATATAAAATTTATAATTTATTTTATTATATAATTTATATTTTATTTTAAGAAATCAGTTGTTAATAATTTTTGTTAAGTAATCTTTATTTTAATCAAAACTTCGATGATTAAATTATTAATGGTAGAGTTTTATAGAAGAAAATCCTTATTTTGGCTCAAAAGTCAAAGGTGTATTTAAATACAAAATCTTATTATTAAATTTTATCGTGAGAATTAAATACTTTAAAAAAACTGAATCATATTGTGTAATAAAATTGACAATAATCTATTAATTGAACTTTTGTTAATCTCAGTTCTTCTTGAGACGAAAATGAGCAGTATTAATAATTCATAAAGGAATTTATAAGTTTATTATTTGAGACTCAATATTTTTTAGGTGATATAAAAAGTGTGATATTGAAATGATACCTATTTATAATTCAATAATATTTTTAATTTTCAAGAAAATGATGCTTAATGAGTTTACATCATTCTTTGATAATCTTGATGTTATTCAGAAAATCAAGCATATTTGGTCTAAGTTTTAACAAAGTACATATGAAGTAAATAAATTATGAAAATTGATAGAAAGATTCAATTATATTCGAATCTGAGTGTCATAAAATTAGCAGAAAAACTGCAAAGCTAAAACCAATTATAATTCAATTGGGCCAAGAACATTTGTATCTATTTAAGAATATGAATCCTCATGGCATGCTACTATTGACTGTAGCAGTGATGTCTATCTAAAAACATGACTAAGGAGTAGTGATCAGATTGCTGAGAAATGGATAATATATTGATATTTTGACAACAGATGCAATAGTATTGAAACAATTGTTAGTCTATAAATGCCTATAAACCACTTTTCACGATGAGTTTGGAGTAACCAAAATGATAGGCAAAGGAAGTTTTGCTAAAGTTTATTTAGCAGCTAAGAAATAGACTGGAATCCAGTATGCGATAAAAGCATTTAACAAAGAATTTATGTTAGAGCAATTCAAAGGGAAGGAAAGCTTAGAGAATGAAATACGTGTGATGAGAAAATTGAATTAAGAAAATCTAGTTCATTTACACGAGGCTTATGAGACATAGAATTCAATATACTTTGTAATTGATCTATTATAAGGAGGGGAACTCCTGACTAGAGCAAAAACTAATTCATTTTCATTAGATACTCTTCAAAAACTAATGTACAACTTTATAAAAGCTTTGGTACACATTCATAGTAAGAGATGTATACACAGAGATTTGAAACCAGAAAATTTGTTGCTTAAATCCAAAGATTCTAATGTAGATATAGTCATAGCAGATTTTGGACTTGCAGCATTTCTAGGTGAAGAAATACTTTTTAAAAGATGTGGCACTCCTGGATTTGTTGCACCTGAAATATTGATGTATAAAGAGGATGATCCCTTTTATGATGAGAAATGTGATATATTTAGTGCTGGGGTTATATTCTATGTCTTATTGACTGGTAAACAACCCTTTTAAGGAGCCGATTATAAGGCAATATTGAGAGCAAATAAAAATTGTGAAATCAATTTTAACATTAAACAAATTCAATAGGTATCTTGAATTTTCCTATTTAGTCATCCCCAAAATTATAAGAATTGATTAAATCAATGTTATAGTAAAATCCGAAAGAGAGACCAAGTGCTGAGGCTTGTTTGTAACATCCTTATTTTGAAGAAATCTTTAACAAAAATGATTTAGTGGAAATTCATGAAAACTTAATCGAATATGAGATTGAACATGAGCATAGATTATAAAAGAAGGGAAGCTTTGACAGTTAAGTAGGTTCAATGGAATTGTAAGTTCGAACACCAATTTTGAATGGTAGAACTGATACAATTGGATCTTTATCAGCATGCTCAGGCTAAGGATCGACAAGTCGTTTAGAGAAACCATAATAATAATAGTAATCTAAGTTCAGTCAATTCTGTTAAACTATGAAAACAGTGTAATAAGATACTATCACTAATTCAAATTCTATGGCTTCTCCATAAAATAAAAAAAAAGATTAGCAAGATTTGCATAAATTTGCTTTGAAGAATTCTTATCAACAAAAGTAAACAAGTAAGGATGATGACTTTGTAAATGAAGAATCAGCACATTTAGATGATGCAATCTAGAAATTGAATAGTTAAGCTCCAAAAATAGGAATATTTAAAAAAAGTGCTTCGTTCAAAGTACCAAAATCAACTTAAGAATGATATACCTATTAATGAATTGCCTATTGGATCTAAAATATCAATTCAATACCATTACAATTCCAATTAATCTTAGATCTGTTATAAACCTGTCTATTTCATTTATATTCACATTTCATTGGTTTTTCTTATTTTTAGAGATTAATGGTATAATTAATCAGGAGTTTCACTCTTAAATGTCGATAAAATATCATTTAAGGAATACTCTCTTAATTTCAATCTAATCTCTCAAAATTCTAAGTATTTATGTTCTATTTAAAATAATCTAGTTTGAAGCTCCCTTTGTTCTTCCAATTTCATCTCTTCTCATATATTATTAATAGCTCGCCCTTATTATACTATGTTCTAACCAACCTCTTACTTATAATATTAGTCTTATATTTTCTCCTTTTTTATAAATTTTCTTAATTTATTTTTAAGTTAACTTTTATTATTTATTTTCTAATATTTAATCCTTATCAATATTTATCCTTATTAAATCTTTGAATTTAATGGGGTTTTTCTTAATTACTATAATTTATCATTAAAATCTAATGTCTAGTCATTTAACAATTTTCTATAATATCACTTATATCCATTAAAGTTAATTATATTAAAAAAAACTGGTTATAATAGTCTTATAAGCTTCAACTCATTCATCATCTGAATCATATAATGCATAAATTTATAATATTATCCCATCTAATTAGTTTAGTAAATATTCTCATTAATTATATTTGAAATTGAACTATTTAATTAATAAATTTAATTATACGATTAAATATGAACTTACTCCGCGGATTTAATCCATTATATATTAACTATTAAGGAGCATTCTTCTTAAAATTGATCAAAATTATAATTATTCAAAAGATAATCATTAATTTTTAAAATGCATCAGGACTAAATAGAAAAGTAATATGATGTAATAAATTATGAATTATAATTAGACTATTAAAATCAAACAAGTAATCTAAATTTAAATAGAATCCTGGGTACAATTGATATTTAAGAAAAGAAACATAAATAAGGAATCAATAATAGAAATTGATTCAACAATTTTCAGCATTTCTACTTTTTAAGTAATCCTGAATGCTTTCAATTGACTTTTACAATTATAGTAATTTAAATTCTAGAATTGATTTTGAGTTAAGAAAATCTCTCATTTATCAAAAGAAAACCAGTCTGATTTAGGCATTCAAAATTTATTATATAAATTGCAATAATCATTTTATAGATTATTAGAATAATGAATGAAATTGATATAGAAAAGAGAATTTGTATATGAAAGAAAATTGAATTGAAATTCTCTATATAATAAATATGCTTATATGAAATATTCATTTTTTATTAAATATAGTTTTCACAATTGAATGATTGTTAGTCATTAAATTATTTGAAGTTGAATTATGAGAGCTTAATTGTTTTGTTTTTCCTAATCTTGTTTTGCTAAAAAACTAATCTTTAGGTTTGAAGCGTGATTATTTTGAGAAATTCAACAAGACTTTACTTAAATTCTTATCCTGATGATAATGGGAGAACTCCATATGTAAATCAAAATTGTTTAGATCCTCTTTTTTAAAGTTTATAAACTCTTAATGCATATTCTCTAAAATAGATTCTTCTTTATTTAACATTTATTTATTCTCATCTTTTTTCAATAGATTTTTATAGATCATACGTTTCATTTTTGGTATAGATGCATGGTGTTCTTGCAATTTTTAGATAACTTTCAAAGATTTAAGTTTTACATCCTCAATCGTTTATTATTTTTCTTCAATATCAACATACCCAAATTTTTTAAGGGTTGTATCATTAATCCCTTCATTTAGTAGTTCATTTTCATACATATAATTGACAGCAGCAGAAAGATTATATTATGCTGAAACTAAAGTAGATGATGGCATTCTTTATTTTCTTTTGTGACTGTATCTAGGTTAAATGATGGCTTCACTGTAATCACATACGACCACATCTGTTGGAGGACTATAAAATACAACTGGACATTTTCTAAAATGATGAAGTTAAGAGCAGATTTCACATTTTAATTGTTCAGTCTAATAGAGTAATTAATCCTTCATTTAACAGTATTATTCTTAATGAGATTGTTTTTCTCTAATGATAACTTTGAAATCCTAAGGTTTGATTATATATTAATACTTCATACAAAATGTAAGCAATTTCAGTGAATTGAGTAGCTTTTAAAGAGTAATGTATAGGTTTCTGGAGTAAAAATTCCCTAATCCCTAGAGATCCTTCAGATTGTTATTAGATTGAGACTTTATTAATTTATACATCTACTTCCCCTTAGATAAGAAAATATGCTTTGTTAATTGAATCATTCTCCTAAAAGATCATCTAACCAGGAATAAATTTTTGTATTTAAACCACACTGCATAATTGATTCAAAAGATTATCATCGAATTTCTTAAAGAGTTTGCATTTGGTTAGAATTGGCTTATATATGCTGGTTCTAAATTCTAATTTGAGATCTTCATTGAGATTGTCCATAAGTAATTCTGGACTCTCATCAAGAGTGAAGAAGTATTCAAAATACTTTCTAATTTTCATTTGCAGAACTGGATTTATTCTATTTTTCTTCATATATGAGTTAATTTTAGCCATTTTATTGCGATGCTAATCAGTTTTCTCTCTTAGCTATCCAAATATATTTTAAATGGACGAAATTGTATAACCAAAAACAAGTGAGGTTATCAACACCATGATAATTAAGAAGACTTATTCAACTAATGTCTATGGTACTATATCACCAAAACCAACGGTAAATGAAGTCACAGTACCAAAGTATAGAGATACAACATATCTATTAACCCAATCTTTTTCTGAATAGCCATACTTAATGAGCCAGCCTGTATTATTTTCAAAGAATTCTTGAATGCCTATGTAATGCCAAGCGCAACCACTAACATGTGCCACAAATATCAAAAATATCATCAATTTCAATACATCTATAGGGGCTGCGAACTTTTCTCTTATCATGGTTACTTCCTCGATTTATTCAAATATTTTATTGACTCTGGTTATTCTTAATAGCAATACAAAATTAAGGTAAGGGATATTATATTGAGATATAAGGAATGGTATAACTACCAGCAAATCCTTAAAGAAGTCTCCTTTAATGTAATGTTGAAATATTTTAGTTCTATCTTCATGGATCATACCTTTATAATAATATGCAGTGTTGAAATTGATAATGATTTCCATTAAAAATACCCAACTCGGAATTGTACTGAATAAAAAGTCGACAGTTTGAGCATTGTTCTATAATGAAAAGGAGAGTTACATTGGGATATAAAAGATATTCATAACTATTAATATTAGAATTGTGCAATCGACCAACAATTTGATTTTGCTATCAGGTTTAATCACTCCTATTTGCATCTCAACCCAAAAGTTATAGATCAATAAACTCTTTATGTAAGATTGGAAGGTCCATTTCTAATTAACCAATCCTTTCGCTTAATAGTACCAATAATCTGATGCTTTGTCTCCAATTATTTGGTATATCCTATGAGTAATCTGTCTGAGTCTATAATGATCAACTGCAGTCTTCAACTTCACCATGAATTTGGTGGCCGTACAGAAAATCTTTAAAGAATTCTTCTTCCACATTATGTCGAATCCTTCAACCTATGAGTTCTCGGGCGACTCATCATCAGCATAGTGATGAGTATCAGGTTTCGTAAGTTCTCCGCGGCCAGTGAATATTCTTTCAGTATGAAAACCATTAAAATTCATCATTATTGTTAATAATAACCATATAATGCTTTAAAATTAAATGACATTTTAAATTTTTAAGTTCGTGCCCATTCACTGGTATCTGACAATGTATTTTGACTCAGTTCTTCCAACTTTCTTTGCAATCTCTAAAACCCTTCCTACGACACAGATCCCTAAAAAGTCAATGTCATTATTTTAATTAAATTTATCTCATGATTTAATTAGTCCAGGAACTTAGCTCTCTTCGCATGTGTGGATACTGCTTCAATATTCTTGAAGCATTAACTAACAATAAATGACATAATTGAATCAGTAACCGATTAATCCAAATTAATTTAGGCCAAAACAACAGCCTGCTCATTCAGCACCGTTAACCATTATATGACATATGGTCTTGGTATCATATCCATTCCTTAAGGCTAATCAAGGTTTAATAACTTCACATAACTCTGGAGACATGGCTGGTAATACTTAGACAAAATTCCATTTATTTATTATTGAATTGGTTCAGCAAATTCTTTGAAGGTTTTTTGTTTCTTTGAATTTGAATACACACTCTAAGCCAACTCTTTGATCTGACTAGAAATCAACTTTATATTATGCAAAAATATCAGATAATCTTGGGCCTCCTTGCAACTCGATTAAATGTAATTCAGACTGTCTTGCACTAATTGCAAAAATAGTTATCCATCTACATTTTTATTCTTAGATATCCTATCGCAATATTATAAATCCTTACATAAGTATCTCGTTAAATATCTGCAATATGAATTCAGAAAAATTCACCCCGAAAAAGTCTCTTTGAGGAACCACAAAATTGGGTTTTACCTATTTTAATGTGTAATTTGAGAATTGCAAGGATAATGACTAAACCTCTATATCATTTATAGAATTATCTATCTTTGGGGTCTCTCCAAAAAGATTTCCTATTATCTATGCCATATTCTTAATCGATTCAATATCCTGATTTATTCTTTAACACAATATCGCACTATATTGTTAACTAAACCAAGACTTTTAAGTCGAATCCAAGAACTATAACAATTTATTCTCAATTTCCTCCTTCAATTTTTGCATATTTGGATTCAGATTAAGATCTCGACATAAGTTTTAAAACTATTTCACTTGTTTACTGAATTTGCCACTTACAAAACTTTCTAAAGCTTTGCAGTTTTATAGTTGTAATTCCTTTTAAGGCAATGAACATTATTAGAGGAATTCAATAATAAAATCACCTCTGATCATCTCAACTTAGTAGGCTTCATTCTCCCTCTATTGCAAAGTCTTATTAAAGTAAGCATTGAAGCTTGTCTTTATAGATTGCTAAAGATTATTAACAATATCTTAAGTACTATTCTAAGTCAGATTTAGTTCATTAATGTATTCGGCTATTTCTAAAATCTAATTGTAATCCAGATTGTCTTGCTTAATCTATTGAAGCATGTCATTGTATATTTATTTCATTACTTGATTTATCTATTCATTCAACTATTTAAACAATGATATATTTTTGTACTAATTCATATTCTCCTTTTATAGAGAAATGAGTTTCATCACTCGAGCATTATTTCTTTGTAGATAGGCTTCTTTTAATTAATTTGGCAATTAAACATATTATTCGCATTTCCTGATATAATCAATTACTGATTTCAGTTTTTCTTAGCTCATTCTTAGCTAATTCATTGATTATGAAATAGAATTTAATTTAGACAGTAATTGAAATGTTCTTTTAGACAGAGAACCTAGAATTAAGATTTGATCAACTTGCATAGGTTGGCCTGACTTATCATTAGATGCCAATGACTTTTTCCTTTTGATTTAATCTTTAAATTCTTTGGAAATGAATTCATTATGAATTTACAAAATGCCTTAGTTAATACAGAAGAAATCATCTATAAAATAGTAGACGATATTCTTATTCATCTCTATATTTTATTATTAGAGCATAGTCATAGATTCCTTTGTAATTTATGGCTAAACTATTTTTAAGAATGTCTAGGCATCAAATTAAGGAGAGTCTAGATGAATTTTAACAATCAATTTATCCAAATTCTTATTTTATTGTTTAATTTGTTCAACTGATTCTACATCAATAACAGCATTTAAACTTTCGGCTATTTACTTTTTTTTTAATGCTGCACTTCTATTTTTATTAGATTTAGTAGTTCTTTGTTAAGGAACGAAAGGATTATAGAAAGTCTTAATTAAATACTCAGGATTACCATCCCATTATAAAGTAATGTGTTCTAATTTCTTCTATCTTTTATTTTGTTCTCTTTATAAGTTCAGGTTCTCAGGAGGAGGCTAATCAGATTCTTTCCATGAAGTTTATTTGTTATGCTCTTAAATTTATTAGATTCTAACAGTCTTGTACCAATTATCGAATTATTCCTTGAGTTTTTTAATTTCAAGGATGGATTCAAGATTAAAATGAGGCCTCTCATCCTTTAGGAACTTAATTATTTTGAAAGCAATAAGCCCTTTATCTTACAACTTTTTATCAGCCAAAACGTGAGTAGATAATGAAAGCAATTTGTATTCATCATCTTCAAGATCTGCAAATACTTTAATGAATTCAATTCTTTGAGGGTGTTTTTCTAGAATATTCAGAAATAATTCAGCACTATAATAAGCAGATTTCCTTAGACTGCCATCAACTTTTGATTTATTTCCTATACAATACAATAATCCATATGGTAATTGCTCATTGCCTACTAAATATAATCGAATTTCTTAGGAAGTTAATTGCATCTTGAATGTGTCTAATTGTTTTAGATATTTTGATGTCTTAACTTTGATTTTCTATTGGGATTCTTTGATTTTGGTTAAGACAGCTATAATTTATTGCTAATTATTCATTAAATATATATAATGTCATTTATTAATCTTTGGAAGATTGTTTTGGCTTTGACTCATTTATGAACCTGTTTAATAGAATTACTGATTGGCTTGACTATTGGGTCTGTCCTTGTCATTCTAATATCTCTCTTTATCAATTTTATCTCTATTGTTTTTTGATTTATCTTGCATTTATTTGTATCCAACGCCAAACTAAAAAATAATGCCGGATGTATACTCTTCCCATTCTTTCTGGAGAAGTCTCTTTAGGAGGGAAATGAGCCCATCCTCTATAATCTCCCAACTATCCCTTAAATTTATCTAACTCCTTATCACATGAAGCACATGACCAAAGTTGTTTCTTAGCAAACAGGCCTTCCTAATCTTTGGATCCTCCTTCTCCTTCGAGCATCATGAATATTTGATTGATCTATTGAATTAGTAATAAAAAATCATACTCTCTGTTCAAGATAGATCAAAGCCTTCTTAGTTTCAGACTTATTCGCTAATTATTTGATGAGAGCTTAAACAACTTCCTCTAATCTGGAGACAAGATCATTTTAAAGCTTTTCCAAATCTTCAAGTTCAGCCTTCTTTTCCAATTTAATTCTTAATTCTTCAATTTATTTGGTTAATTCATCTCTGACCTATTTTAGTTTAGGTTCAAAGAGGGCTAAGAGATCTTCTCTTGTGACCACTCCATCAATCTTCTTTCCAAATTAAGCTATCTTTGCCTTGTTAGTATCTTAATCCTTTTTCATTTGCTCTTGGATTTCTCTTAATTCCTATAAACCAGAAATGATCGAATCAGTTTTAGTTTATTTCATCTTATTTTCTATCTCAGCAATCTTTAATTAAATTTACTATGAATTTTATTAAAATTGAGATTTATGATTGATTAGTTCTCTAATGATATGATAAATATAATAATTACTATTCATTTTAAGCTACTTGATCTTGTAGTTCTTTAAAAGTATTTAAAAAGTCTGGACTTAATTAAGGTCCTTTGGTTGGACTATTATCTAATTGCGGTTGGGATCCCCGCTTAGATTTGTTGAGAATATCTTTTAATTAAGTAAGTTCATTCTTGATCTTTTCTTATTCAGACAAATCACCTTTTTTGTTAAGATTTAATTTGAACTCTCTTCTGACTTTTTCAATTTCTTCATCAATATGATCATATGTTTATTTTTGTTACAATGCAACTTTTTAGCCAAGATTTGTTAGATCTGATTGAGTAGCATAATTCTCTAATAAGGCTCTAATCTTATTGATTTCTGCCAGAATGATGACCATTTGATTTTCTCCCACATTATTGCCTTCCTCACCTGAATTACCAAATGAAGCCAGATTTAGTTATGTTTGTAATTATTCTAATAAAGTAAACAACTTTTTGATGTCGTTTTTGATAATCAAAAGATCTTCAGCATCAACATTAGATGCTCCTCCTGTAACTCCTTCCCTATTTTTTTTCCTCAATTCATCAACCAATTCAAATAATTTTTAAATCTCTTCTTCATGATTATCCAACTTCTTATTGATATCAGATAAATCGACTTCAGAATTTGGTTGCTCAACGTAATCTTAGTCTTTCAATGAGATTGGTTACAACAAACTTTTCGGCTGATTGTTCATTTGTTTAAGTAATTCCTTATATTAGGATTCTAAGGTAACACACATATCAATTACCTAGTTATGCCAATCGATTTAAGACATCCTTTAGAGAATCATCTGATAATGGCTTAGATTAGATTTGGTACACATTGGTATCTGGCTTTTGCGATGATAAATCTGACAATAATTTATTTTGATCAGTGATTAGTTTACGGAGTTTGTCCAACTCCTCATTAATTGTATCAATTTATTGCTACTTCTAAATGATATCTTCTGCATTCTTATTTATTTGCTATTACTCTTATTCCTAAGCCTTAGCGATCTCCTTAATTTAGATATCTTAATCTCTCAAAATATTATCTAAGATAGTTACATTTCATACCAAATCTTTGTTTTAATGCTTGCAACTCTGCTTTGGTAGCAAAATTCTAATGGATTTCCTTCACTTGAGAATCAATCACATCAACTTTATCTTTTGTATCAGTCTATTATGATTCCTCTCTCAATTTCTACCATTTAATAGTAAGTTTACCTGCACCCAATCACTATTGTCCTTCACCTACCCGTTTATGAGTATCATGCCCTTATGTAACTGTTTAAGAATGGAAATAATGACGGAAAAATTCTTCTACAGGATCTCTTCCGAAAATGTAACTTGCATCATCTTGTCCAGGCTCATATTAGCTAAATCCGAATCAAAAGAGGTGAAGTTGGGATCAAATATCACATTTATAATTTGTTCATCCATTTTAATTAAATTAATGAATAGATTCTTTTTCACAGGACAAGCCACTCCTCTAGAAAACAGCGAATTCGATGACGAGTACACTCTCAAAGTACCCTCGGAAGATGAAGTCAGAATTGTGGCTATTAGATTAAGAAATTGTATAGTCCTCTTCCAATTATATTACTCTAGGCCAATATTTTCTGACAGGTGTAGATGTTTGCAGAGAAAAAATCTTCAGAAAGCACGTTGAAGATTAAAAGGCCACTCCCAATGGTTTCTTGCCCTGCAAACCACTCGTAGATAGCTATTATTATTGCATTTCATAAGTATATATATATCTCATTGATCATCAGGGATCATACGGATAATCAGTCTCAGACGCCCCAACTGAAGCATAAGATAATCTATAAAAATTTCAAAGCTGCTTATTCAACAAATTGAATCCAGCCAACTATTGTAAAGGGTTATAATATATAATAAATATTCTTAGATTCGCAAGTAAAGCAGTCAGAGATTTGTATCATCTCCCAGGCACCAAAATTAAGGATACAACAATTTGATTACGCATAATCCATAATAACAATAAAAAAATCAAAACTAAAATTATTTAAATTTCAATCACCATCTCCACCATTATTGTCATCATCATCTTATTATTTCTTCTTTTGCGTATGTCTCCTATCCCTTTTCTAATTTTTATCCTTGTTATCACGACTGTTCTGTCTGTTTCTAGTTCCCCTCTTTTTTTATCTATTTTATTGGTCAATCAACTTCATCAAAATTTCATTGTTCAAATCATTGTCATCAGATTCCTCACTCTATTATTATTATTGTTATTATTGCATATTAGGAGGATACATCGGAGGGAACATTCCAAAAGGATTCTACATTTGCATCATGCCCTATTACTGTAATAGTTGCTATTAAGGCATTAATCCATACTATTATTATATCATTTGTTGTCTTGAGTGATCAAAGTCATCTATTCTCTATTTCAATGACTTGATTTCATTCAAAATATGCTATTTTTACAAGTCGTCTCTCTCGTACAATAATTATGCCAAACTGTCATCCTTCTCTGCTTCAAATACTGGTTTCCTACTCCCCACCAAAGTAGACAGTTATTAAATATATTGATTTTGCTCTTCTATTTGTTTCTGCATATTCAGCAATTTCTAGTTCCCTTGAATTGCAGTAGACTAGGGTCTCGTCTAATTCTACTTACTTTGAATCGATGCCTTCCTTTGCATTTGCTAAGGCTATATTTCTGGATAATCTCCAGCCTACATAGACTTGTTTAATTTTATGTTCTAAACTTATTATTGATCGGTTTATAACGACTCCATCGGCGTTGTGTTTTAAACATTGAAAGTAGGTTAATAGTTTTTGTAATATATTTGGTTATGTTCATTCCTCTGCTTGTCTTTCTGAATCAAATCCCTTTATAATTGCATAGATTGCTATTCTAAATACAATAGTTGATCCTCTTTCTCCTTCATTCTCGTATTATAATCACTAACCTTTTTAAGCATTTTTTAATACTGTCTGCTCCTATTATTACATTAACTATATCAGTTAATCAAACTTCTATTTATTTGAATGCGCTTAAATCAGAGGATGATACCCAACACCATATCCACTAGGTGGAGCTTTGGAAAACATGTTCTGTCCTAACATCTAAAAGGTATTTTAGTATTGATCCATTCAATTAAAATGAAATTTTATTATGCATTAATTTAAAGTTCAGAATAGAGTAGTATGAAATACTTAAAAATATTATTCAATTTGTTTTAGAATTAATACAAAATATATCTCCCACAATTTAATTAATAGCAGTTACTCAAATCTTCAAATCCCAAGACAATCCACATTCATCATTTATAAATATATTCAAAGATTTGCTATTATAAAATAAAGCGACTTTTCTGATTCTTTATAGCTAAGTTTAATGAATCATCATTAAAAAATTAATAAGTTTATGCAAATAGTAAGATTGAATTTTAAAGCAGACACCTGCAGGAATCGACCCCTTAAATCGCCAGAGAAACGATAAACTACGACCATTCAGTTTCCCAACTACATTTTCTTGGGCCCCTCGGAAAACATTAAAATTGTGAAATTTTCAAAGACCATTATTTCAAGCAGTATCAAATTGATAAGGTCAACCTCTCCACAAAAAATTCAAAACATAAGTTTAGCTGTGGAATTTGCTCATGCATAACCCAAACATTAAAAAACCTAAAGTGTTCAACTTAGTTAATAAAATGTTGACTAACTTTTCAAAGCTAAATTCTAGAATCATGAATCAATTCAAGGGAAACCATATCCTTCAACAAAATATAGTTATGGACTTGTCAATAATCATAAATCTGAAATGACCTTGGACACTATAAGTGATTACCCAAATACTCCAACTTTAACAGTTCCTGCGTTAAAAGTTGTTGATAAGGCCAGCAATGTTTGGAGTGGAAATAGGTTCAATTTATCGAAGAAGATAACTGGATAAATCCAATTCCAAAATGGATTTGTTTATGAGGGAGAATTATTGAATTTTGATGATACAGTCATTCTAGATGGACAAGGAACACTATATTCTAATGGATCCAAATTACGAGTTATTTATGAAGGAAGATGGAAGAACAACTTATTTCATGGCAAGGGGAAGTATTTCAATCAATACTAAATTGAATCTTCCAAAGATTGGCATTTCAATTGGAGAATGATTTAAGGTATGATATAAAAATATACATTATAGGCACTTTCAATAATGGAGAAATTATACAATGTAAAATTGATTTTTTCTTAAGTGAAGAGATACTGTTACATAATATAGATTACTAAAAATGAATTAAGCACTATTTAACCATTAAATGATTATATCATCTACTATATAAACTCGAATTATTAGTTTTATTATGATTAGATAGATCCATTCGAAATTCACTTCAATATTCTAGTACTTGCTGTCGCAATGAATGTTAATTCTATTATCTAAGTTATTTCACAATTACTGTCCTTATGGCAAATAATCGGATTACAATTTTAATTTTATATATTATCTGGTAAATCTACTAATCTTTATTTTGATCTCAAAATATAAATATTAGCATGATATCAATTCATATTGATAATCACCTCTAATTTAATTTTTAGTATCATATCCAAAATATGTAATATTTTTATCTAAATTATTAACATTAATTTAAGATTAATTTTCAATCATATTCTACTTTAATGATGATTCAAGTAAGACAGTTTCAAATAAGCAAAATGATATATAAGCAAAATAAGTCATACGTTAATAATTCTCTATTTATAAAGCTATTCTATAAAATGGTCATCTAATTCGAAAAACTTAAGAAATTTTGATCTGAATTGATTAATCAAGTCTGTAAACATAATAATAATAATTAATTAGTCTATTTAAGTTATTTAAATATATATAAATTCTCTGATTTTAATCAGTTTACAAACTTGGCACTAGGAGGTTTATTTTGTTGTGAGGCACCTTGAGCACCCTATTCGGCAGGCTTTAGTATTTGGAACGAACACATAAGGGATTCATCGATAGTCATCATAGAACCTGCAAATGAGACTGCATACAAATACCTGCATTATCAAACTCACCACAATAATTTGGAGCAGAAAACAAAGTCACCAATTATCTTTTGCTAAAGAACTCATAGCCATCTTCAACTACCTATAATAAGAGCTGTGGTTACTTAATGTGCCCTACAAATGAGATCTAATTCATGCTTTTTAAGGAAGACCTGGACAATTTCTTAACTAAACACATAGGAGACTCCTCTTTCATTGTCTGCCCATCCTTAGACATCTTTATCTGGATCCGACCAGAGTAAATCACATAGGAGTCCTGTATCTGGGACATCAGTAGGCCTCATAATTCTCCTTATTTGCTCAAGATTGGACAATTCAGGAGACAAGCCTCCATGCATGCATAGAATCTTTTCATCTATCAGGGCTGCCACAGGTAGACAATTAAAGCAGTCAGTGAAGGTTTTCCATAATTTAATTGTGTATCGACGTTTACCTTAATATATTGATGTTGTTTACATTCATCGTAAAAACCGTAGATTCTATTGATGGATGCACATTCATGATTGCCTCTCAAAAGGAAAAAGTTCTCTGGGTATTTAATTTTGTATGCCAACAGTAAACAAATGGTCTCTAAGGATTGTTTACCTCGATCTACATAATCTCCCAAAAAAAGATAATTGCTCTCAGGAGGATAACCACCATACTCAAATAATCTCAGAAGATCAAAATATTGACCATGCACATCGCCTATGAAATCATTAAAATCAACACATCACCACAAATCTTCAGAGGTGCCTCTAATTCCAATAATATCGGCTAGCTGATGAAAATGTCCCTTGCTTTTATACAAAGACCTCGAACTTCAGGTTCTGTTAAATTTACATTTTTTCCTGGCTTGCTCCCTCTGACACTGAGTAATCTCTCGATTATGTTGTCCACATCTATTTCCCCCTATTTATCCTTTGCCATTTTGATATTTTCTTTTATTAATAAATATACGATGGCTAATTAAAGCAATGATAGCATCTTGGACTTGAGAGACATTTGCAGCAAACCCAAGAATAGCATTCACGATAATCTCCTTTGGAAATATCAAGATACTCAATTTTCCAGACCTGCTGAATCTCAATACAATCCAGAAAGTTGTAAAATAAGCTACACCATCAAGGAATATTCCATTCAAGGAAAGCTTTTGAACAAGGATTATAAGAATATCAGAAAGATATAGCTTAAGCACGATAGAAAATCGTATTTTGGATTGCATTTATGCTTGGAATCAATGGGCAATAAAGAGGTTTCTGTGTTTGAAGTTAATCCGATTTTGAGGAAATCAATTATTCAACTAGAAGCTGAGAATGAACGTCCAGACATCCCAATCATCAACTTCATTGAGAACAAATATAGAAATATAATTGATTAGCCTTAAATATGGATTATTGAAGTTCATGACATAGAGGAGATTGAGGATAATGAAAAATTAACTTTAGAAGAGAGGGAATAAAAAGTTAAATAGTTGAAATCCTAAGCTACTTAACTATTCAAAGAGTAGAAATACAAGGAAGCCATTTAAGTTTATAAAAATATTCACTCCAAAATTGGATAAATTCCAAAGGCTTTGAAAAATACCATGACTCAGGAACAGAAGACATTCTTTTAGGTTGAACTCTCAAGGGTTTATTCTAATTAAGCCATTTGCCACTTATAATTGAAAGAATATGCAAAAGCCATAGAGACATCAAAATAAGCAATGAATGATTGGGATCAAAATTTTAAAGGTATAAAATTTCATATACTCGATAGCGTATTTTATTTATGCTAAGGCTCATTTTGAAAGAGATTAAAAAAGTGAAGCTCTTGAATATTTTTAACAAATCATTCAAAAATTCCCCAATGAAGATGTTACAGAAGTACAAAAGTATTTGGATAAATGTAAACAACCCAAAACCACAAAAAATGAGCAATAATTATATAAGAAAATATTTGAAAAATTACAGGATAAAGATGAAGATGAAATATAACGAGAATAGAAAGAGAAATTTGAGAAAGTAGAAAAGAACAGACAGACTGAAAAAATCTTAAATTCAGCCAAAAATGGGTAGTCCATTAATCATGAAGAAATTTAAAAATTATAATGATTTCTTTATCATAAAAATTAACTCTTGCATAAGGGGCAATCGCTTTTGTTGCTACTATGAAACCATTTCTAAATACAAGTTGAATGGAATTTATGTTTGCATGTTCTACAAGCCATCTTTGGTAATTCTCCATTCTAATGGATGATATAATAACAAATAGCACATTCCTCCAAATCTAAAATTAATTATTAAATTGATTTATACCTTAGAATTGTTAATCAATGTTTTTCTTCCATAGTTTCAATGCAGTTAATATTGTATCATTTTCATTTTGTAAGATCATTCTTATCATTAGACTCCACTTTTTTAATTTGTCTTCACTAATCTTAACTCCTTTCTTAGTTTCCACTTTCAAAGGTTTCAATGGAAAACCAACTGGAACTTAAATGAGGATTTCTATTTTTTATTCTTCCTTCTAATAAGTTGCAGTTATTTCTTATTGATTTTTAGAAATGAAAATATCGAAACCTTCACTACGCCATTCCTCTTAATTTAATTCAATCAATTCAATTTCCCTTGTGTAAATTGCTTTACTGATAATCTAGAGCAAATCCTCTAATTATTTCTTTTAAGTTGTATTGCATTCCTAATTGTACCATTACTTAAAATAACTCTATTAAGCAACAATAAATTAATAAAATGAGATGACAATCATCTTTAATAATTCAGATTGGTCATCCTAAATTACCATTAGATTTAAATCCTATTAATAAATTTCCTTATAGTTGAATCTTGCCATGACTCCGTTGTCATTCAAGAATTATAATATATATAGAAGATTGCTCAAATAGGTAGGATACTTATCTTTGAATTGAACACAATTCTTATTCTACAAAACAACCAGCCAAGCCAGTAAATTGGTTAATATTTTACCATCAAGAGGGAATGTTATGATATCTTCCACATCTTCTTCATCCTCTTGTCTCAATCTTCTCATTTCTTCTTTTTTCATATCAAATCCATCTAAAACTGGGCTCAAACCACTGTGATCTTATATGTTCTTTAATGCAATAAATGCAGCCTTTTAGATACTAATGAATGGACATTAGAGTAATTGGTAATATATTGTATCATCGATCTTTTACCATTGTTCCATCTAAATACAACGCAATAGAGTCTCTGCATATTCTATAAATAGAGTATCATTTTATTCGTCCATAAACTCTGGATTTGGATTTTCACAAAATTGAATTATTTATAATAAGGAATCTGTTAATTCGAAATTCAGATAATCTATAAATTCTATTGGAAATGCTTCAATAAAGTTCAATATCTTTCTCACAAATTAAAGTGCTGACACAATACTGAATGAATAGAATCGTTTCAATTGAACATTCTATTAAAATAGTTATCTAAACAAATTATTAATTTATTTAATGTATGCTGCAAAAGGAGTGATGGTCTTTCTTTCACAAATTAAATTTATAAAGTCAAAAGCAACCATTTTATCATAATTTGATTCCAAATTCATCTCAAATAACAATTTTATAATCTTATCCAATTCTGCCTCATCCTCTAATTCTAAAAGATTTGGTTATTATCTTAGCAAAAGAGTATACAGATCCAAATATGAAATCTTATTACTCTGATAATAAGTCTACAAGACATTTTGGAATTGTTGCTTCAAATCAACTACATTTATTATTTATCTGATAGTTATCAACTTATTCACATTGTTCCCATCCAAAGCTATTTTAAGTTAATCCACAATTAGTTATGCCAATTAATCCGTTTATTTTGATCTATAGTTATTCTCTCTCTCCTCGATTATTATTTATTTAATTAGGTTTTTAAGAGCCACTCCATAAACAATGTCAGTGTTGTTGAACAGCACCTTTATGAGATCCAAGCTTTTTGGTTCTTATTGTTCATATGAATCTAGGAAGATGGGAATTATTTGATTTCCAACGATATTTTAGATGAATCTCTTCAACTTATGATCATACAACATGATGGATGAATAATTGGAAGCTAAAAATACAGCCAATAATTCCAATTGATTATTTTAATACATTTTTTTGAAGTAATCCTATGGAATTTCAATCAAAGACAAGATTTTCCATGATATGGGACTTTAAAAGTTAAAATTCAAAAACTATAATAAATCTTGGCTATTCAATTATGCAAAGAGATCTTGGAAGAAATGAAGGTGTTAATTTAAGGTATCAGTTCTTATTAATGGCAAAGTAGTTTAAAAGAATTAAACAAACAAATCCTAATACTTTTTGTTAATTAATTTAAAGAGGAAAGTGCCTTTATGACTTTAATTCTTTAAGTACAATTGTAAGAGAACATCAAATATTAACTATTATGGCTGTAGCTTATTCATAACGTATGATAATTCTTCGAATATTTAGAGGTAGTTTTTATCCATAGTCTTAATAACTGATTAGCCTATTTAGGTGTATTTAGAAATCAGTATATTTAAAATTTATTAATTAGCATTTTAAATGATGCAAGGAATGAATATTTTTTAGCTTAAGTTTGTGATGCTTAGGGATTAACTTAAAAACTTAGTTACAAAAGTTTCATTCTACTGTAATTGTTAATACTTAACGAATTTCTCAATGAGATTGTATTCTAACTGAGAATCTTTCATAGTTAAATACTTTTGATAAAATTATGGATCGAGACTTGCGTCAACAAGATTGTGTAAGCAAATCCATTTTAATTTGAAAGATTGCTATTCTTCTTTTGGAATTACTTACTTGTACTCTTGAGTAATGATCTTTTATAAAATGGATTCAATTAATTGTTATTGATTTATTCTTTGTAAGTTATAGATGCATATCTTAATCTAGGCACATCTCTTCAATACTTCTTCTGATGAAACCATTTCAATGGAACTAAACAAATTATTGATTATTTCCTAAATCTTTTAACCAAAGTTCTCCCTCTTAAAATTCTTAGAATTTGGTATGATTTCAAACAGCTAAGACCCTTTGTCAAAATCATTATTGTTGTAGATTTCATCGAAAACTGAAATCAGATACTGTTAAACAGCTTGATAGGCAGGACTCTCCTCCTTTACTTTGAGTAGCTATTAAATTATGTTCACAAACACTGAATAATCATCCAATTACAGAGTCTTGAACTCAGCGGTAATAGCTTTTATGATTTCATTCAAGAATTCTTATTATTCCTCTTTGACCTTTAAAATATTCAAGAACTACAACAAACTAGCTGGCACTTATTTATATGGACTATGATTATATGCTTAACCACCTTATTGAGACAGAGTATTTTAGAGGACTGATCTGATTGATTGCACAATGATATTTTTAACCTATCCTAAACATTGATTATATTGCACCAGAGGAGGAATCATTCTCTTGCAAATTAGAAAGTAGAGTGTTTCAAAATAACTATTGATTAGGTTTTCTGAAAAAAATCTGCTTTCTTCATGAGTAATACCAGACAGTATGGCATTGAGTAATTTTGTCATGGAGGCCAATTTCTATCTGTAAACCTCCTCCTTTTTAATATCAACCACGCTGTAGACAGGATTCAGAGATACAAATACGACCAATTGATCATACAATAATTTACCAACTCCAAAACCAGCTTTGGATATTAACTCCAAAGATTTATTTTCAAGGCCTTAGAGTTTTAAGATCTGATCCTATTGAACTCTTTGGAATAACTTAGTAACAAATCCTTTCCATAATGCACTTACAATCAAGCGATCTTTTTGTTCGAAGAGTTAAACAGTCTTTTTGAGCAAGGGATCGCTTTTATTGAGGACAAAGGGAGCTGATACTTCATTTGACAAGAGAAAATGGAGTGTTTCAATGATGGTTGCTACAATTCTGGTCTTCTGAGTGTTGAGCAATTCTACAATGATGGTAGTCTTGTTAGTAAAATCGAGTAGTTTCATGATTTATTCGATGAAGTCATTATCGGGATTCCATTGTATGGCTGTTTTGATGGAGTTGATTGTTGATACTTTCAATCTCTCATAGATGTGATCAACTTTTTCATCTTCCAGATTGGATTCCTATTTGATAGTGGCTATGGAGAGGGACAGGTACAACTTCAAGTCAATTATGTATTGATCACTGCACATTTTGATAGCTTGCACTTATTTTTCTTTAGTTGGGAAGGCAACTTGAAAGGCGTTCATGGCAGCAGTTGAGATCTAATTAATGAATGAAGTGGATTGGTACTTCGGAATTGTAATCGTTGATCATAATAAACCATTGTGGAAACAATTGTTTGAACTTCTTGGATAAGGATTTTTTTCCGTATTCACAAATTAAGGATAACACTTGATTGGCCAATTCCAAAACTCTTCTTTCATACTCATTATCAACATATCTTCTATATATATTTACAAATGTAGGTGTGAATTGATCGAAGAATTCTTGTGATTTGTTTGGCAATATAGTTTTGAGTTCCGATAGTGTTTTACTTTTGGTTGTCTCACTCTTCTTTTGGAGACCATGAACAATCTTCTGGATTTCTGGATCTGTAATTACATCTTGCTCGATCTCCCCTTTCAAATATTGATTAGCTAGTTAGCTGAATAGGTTTGTGGTTTGATTGATCATTAATTAATTAATTATTAAAGAAATTTTATATAAGGTATTCAATATTTACAATTATAAATAAGATAGATTTTGTAAAAATCTACTTTGCTTATATTGATAAGGTATTCAAAATAATACTTAATTCCAAATAACGAATTTCCAATAAGCATATTTAGATAATGTTTTATTAAAATTTAAATGTCTCATTCTTTTGAATACTAAATTTCTTATTATTTAGATAATCAAATATTAGAAATGAATTTTCCATTTATGGTTTCATAATTGAGATGTGCTTTAATTTTTATGTCTCTCTAATTTAATATTTATGTCTCTTTGAATTATACTACTGATAATATTTCACACATATTGTTATTTATTTATTAAAAATGCTCAAAGTTCATGAATTCTTTTCAGTGGCCATTTAATTAGCCTACAATTCTGCAAAAATTATCAATTCAGTCAGATTGTCTAAGGATATTGGTCAAAAATGGAAAGGGGTTGATGATCCTGTCACCATAGCTGATATTTAAGCACAAACATACATAGTTTAATAATTGCATAGACATTGGTATTAGAATTGAATTAACCAAGGCCAAAGTTAACAATAATTGGAGAGGAATCCATTTCATATTCTCAACCCATTGATTTGCCTGATACTCAACTCTAATTGTATGATGAGGATATTTTCAATAAAACACATGACAATCATCTGATCAGAACCCAGTATGAAATTGATGATCTCTGTGTTTGGGTTGATCCTCTGGATGGCACATTGGATTTTGTCAAAGGCGATTATGAAAATGTTACAACATTGATTGGTGTTTCCTATAAAAAATAAGCCTTAATGGGAATAATCTCACAGCCTTTTATTAAAGTGCAAGAACCTCAAAACTCTCATGAATTCAAACCCAAAATCTACTTTGGTCATCATCCACAATAAAGAGTGTTCTACACAAGTGATTGCTCCTCCAAAATTCCATAAGAGTTGAAGAAACCACAATTTGATCCATCGAATGTGAGATTGTGCACTCAAAGGAACAGATTGAGCAATTAGGAATTGCAGAAGATCAAATCTTTGGGTTGCTAATTGTATCAGATGGGAGGATCAGGCAAGAAGAGTCTTACAGTTCTGGAGGGTGAAACTGACATGTTTATTTGTTTGGGCGTAGGAATGAGTAAATGGGATATTTGTGCTCCTGAAGCTTTGTTTAAGACATTTGGTGTAAGAGCTTAAATTGTATGATAAGGGAGATTTCGTTGGATTGGCTGGTTAACATTATGAATACAATCCCAAAGATAAATCCTTTGACAATCCTTATGGAAATCTATCAAGCATCCATTCAGAATTGTTACAAAAATACTTACCTAAAACTTATGGGATGTTGTGATATGTATATTAAATTTAATTAAAATTAATGGGTAACGAATAAATCAAACCAAGTATTGCTCATTCAACTGAATGGACATTTATAAGAGAAATCAAATCACATCCTTTATACGGACACATCAAGGTTTACAAAGGACCCTCTGATCAATTGCAGTGCTTAAAGACTGTTATAGTCGAGGAGTCCCAATATAAAGATCAAATGGATTCTCTCAAAAAAATGATGGTCAAGGATGTCCTATCCTAAAACCAAACAAACTGTTCTTCCTTAATTTGTATCAATCGTTTGGAAACATAAAAACAAGAAGAGTTCTGCTCAAATTATGTCAAAATATATTTAACAGCCGATTATTCAGATTAACCAATTCAATAACTAAAAGATGTTAGATCGTTTATGCTAGATATAATCCAAGCACTCTCAGTAATGGATTCACAAGGTGTAAACAATTGTCAGTTTTGTCCTGCCAAAATCCTTTAATTTGGAGATCGAGTTAAAGTTGTTAATACTTAATTATTTACAGAGATTTCTGATTATGAATAACTCTACTTTAACGAAGTGTCTAAAGATGATTGGATGATTGCACCTGAAGTAATGAATTCTTTGAAAGTTAATTGTCCTCCTACATTCAATAGTGAATCAGCTGTTATTTTTAATTTTGGAATCATGATGATAAATTTATTAACTGGAGTTCATCCCAAAGATGCATCCATTTATGATTATAAGAATTTTGCTCTCAAAGATAATTTGTCCGCCTATGCTCATTCTATTGATTAATTACAAATACCAAGTAACAATATTTAAATATTACTTAGGTCATATCAAATAATTAATCTAAGATTGCGTTAACGTTAAACCCACTCTCAGACCCACTTTCAAGATGATAACTAATTCATTAAAATAAATTGAAATTCCACTTCAAGTTTCACAAATTAAAAATGAGGAAGTTACCACTAATCAAATATTCAATCCTTGTTATGAAGATGTTAAGAAAGTCTTGAGTGAGTCTCACGTCAATAAGAACCTTAATTATCATAATGAATCCCCTCAGAAGATTGAGAAATAGTAGTTTATGACTGATACTCAATAATCCGCATAATTCAGGAAATCCAAACAAATTTATAATTTAGAAAATGCTTATAACTCTAGAGCTTCAATCTAATAGAAGTAACCGATCTAACAAGCCTCCACCAAAATAAAGACTTAAGCAAAAGTATAAAAAGTGAAAAGCCCAAACAAAAAGCCTAAACCAATCAGGGCTAATGGGAATCACCAAAAATGATATTATTATATAACTATTTTATTTTCAAATTTTATTAGCCTTCATTCTCCGATGTCTGATTATCAGATTAAATATCAAGAGATCAAAGGGAGTCTAGCCCTTCTGCTGTAACAAAATTACATTCTCAAACAATAACTCAAAGAAGCCACTCAGGAAGTGCAAGAAAAGCTATAGCTAAAAGAGGAATGGGCTTAGGAAGTGTAAAGAGTGTAAGAGACTATACATCAATTAGCTTATGACAACCAAAGTAAAAATGAAGTTTACATTAGATTATTAGCAGGAAAACGAGTAATTAAGTAGGGAGAACTAGGAGTCTTAATATGTCATTGAACAATAAATTGAATAGATTACAACTCTCAAATAATAAAATGAAACACTCCTACTCTAATTGGATGAGAGTAGACAACAGAATTTGTAAAAGGAAATCACCATTAAATAATAGAGAGATGAATTCAATAAATAGTTAGAAAAGCATTAGTCACAGCATTACGAGGAAATCAAAAAGTTACAAGGTATCATTGACAACTAAAGTGGATTGATCTAATCCTATGAAAAATTGAATGAAATTGAAAAACTAGACACCTAAAATTCCTTTTATTAACAACAAATGGCAATTGAGGATCAGATGATAGAGTTAAAAAATAGAAATATCATACTAACCAATAAAATCAATGAGGAGAAGTAGAAGTATGAATAGTTATATGAATAACACAAAGATGAGGTTACAAAATTATAAGGGGTAGTTAAGGATTAGAAGGAATTACTTTCTCAATATGAAAGAATTATTGAAAGGGATAAAAAGTAAATGTAACCCAAACCTGAGAATAATTTACACTATACCCAATCATAGGTAATTCCACAATAAGCAGTAACTCTATATTAACATGAACAATAGCCATAATAATCCTTTTAACCATAATCACAATAGGTTTTGAGTTCACCCTTATAATATGAATAATATATTTAGCCAGCATTGTCCATATAAACTTAGCCTACATATTCATAACCTGCATATACATAACCTTCATAAAATTATACATAACCCATGAATACAAACATCATCTATACGTAACCTGTTTCACATAGATAACCAAAAACATTTTTTACGAATAATAAAATTAATCATCAATTATAATAGCAATAATTAAAGGAAACAAAGAATTAAAGGGAACATCCCTTTTAAAAAAACAGTTTCCATTTGGTTGAAGGAGATGATGGCTAAAGATCTGGTCGAGAGTTCCAAGAATAGTTTTTATATAAATGTTAAAATGTTATTGGAAGAATGGAAGATAAACTGCAACAAATGTAGAGTGAACTTAATATTTCAGATGTCTCTGATAAACCAAGAAAACTCAAATGATTAAAATTTATGTATTGTTAATTTAGTTATAAATCACAGCAAAAAGACATCTTGGTGTTATGCAAACGTTACTTTTTTTTTTTAACTGTCTACTCTGTTTGGATTTTTTAAGATCGAAGGTTATTTTTAATATTAATCTAATTCAAGCAGATTTGTTGATTATTAAGGCTTTTAATTAATTTTTGTTGTTTTAATTGAAGGACTAATATTATCATAATTCTATTTAATTCTATATATTTACAATATTATTTTAAAATCCAAAGTTGAATTGCTGAGATTATTAGCTCAATTATTAAAACTAATTATGAAGTTGAAAATATTCTTATTCCTCTTATGATTCATATTATAATTAATAAAATTAATCCTTGTTTTATTAAAGTTAATTTTCTACTTATTATTATAATTTTTAATTCTACTAGATTAAACCTTATTTAAAAGTACGAGTTCTATTAAGCTGTTTATTAATTACTCTATATTGTTCTTCCAAATTTGACAACATCGATTTCAGACTAAAAATCAATCATTCATTTACTTATCATTCTAAGCTTGCAATTAATACATCTCTTCTTTGTTTAAAAGTGTATTGTTTTAGTAAAATTCATTAAACTAATTTTACATTTTGTAAACTTGCTAAGTAGAATCATTAATTTATTATCGCATCGAATTCATTTCATTTTAATCATACCCTGGTAATATATTCGCATTTAATGGTTCAATTACTTATTGTATCTAGTCAAAATTTTAAACCTATTGAATTCCATTATTGGCATCTGATCCTAATCTTTATCTAGGTTAATTGAGTAGATTGGAATTGGAACCAAGTCTTTATTGAGGAACGGCATTTTGATTTGACTCCAATCTAATCCTTGGGTTAATGGAGATTCTTGCAGCAAGCTGAAGTAAAGAATCAGGTAGCCTGGTTGGTAGAGGGTATTTACATTTACAACACAATAAAACCAAATGAAAAGCAACAATAAATTCTCCTTTGCTTAAATGACCCTTTTCCCCAATATCACATAGATTCCATATTTCTTTTAATTTATCTTGACTCAATCCAGATTTAGAAAATAAGGCTTTTGCATGCTTACCCTTGATTGTTTAATTGCCATCTTTATCCAACTTGACAAAATAGGTTTCGTATTTTCTCATCTATTCTTCAGGGATATCGTAAATTGGATGTTAGTAACCTTAGATTTAAGGCAGGAGAGTGGGGATATTTTGTGTAAGTAATTTCTGCTCTGGATAGTAACCATCTTAGGCTAATGCAATCAATTTAAGAGCAGCAAAAAATTCATCTTTTGTGAATATCTTATCATTAGATGATGCTATCTCATATATAGTCTAATTATTGTTAAGTAGATTATTACTTTTAAGATTTGTTAATTTAAACCACTTGCCTATAAAAAATTGGTCGCCATATCTTTTCTGAGTATTCCTTAGTCCTTAAATTTCATCATCATAAATATTTACTGTTTTATCGCAGATTGTAAAGAAATATTGGAAGGTGAGTTATTCATCAGAAGTATATTAAATTGACATTAGCTATTTATAAATATTAAAACAATCAATTTTTTTCTATTTAAATATTTCGATTTATCAATTGATGGTAATCGTAAATAGAATAAATATTCTACACGACATATTAAATATAGGGCTTATACAATTCCCCATAAATCTTGACCACTCCCTCCCATCCATACTCAATCATTATGCAAGCAGCCACACTCTCCCAGAGATCACCCATAATCTTCGGAATCTAAGTAGAATATTAATTAATTAGGTAGAACTCATTAAATTCTTCCTATCTAAGAGCCTCCAACACTTTCTCTATCTCATTTTAAGTTTCCTGACACAACCCTATAGCATATTGATGATATCCATGATACAGAGCCATCGTACCCATAAAGCCGTTATCAAGTAAGGAAATCTTAGCTGTATGTAACATGCCTGGACACAACAATAACTTCGATTCTAATTTACCTTCTCTACACATCTATTGCTAATCTTGAGAATAATAATATTTCTCGCATTCCTTATGTACATTTGCTACAATCAAGAATTCAAGTATTGCATCTCCCAAGAATTCAAGTCTTTCGTAATCTTCAACTGTCATTGCTTCATTGAGTCGAGATAATTTGCAACCCAAAAACTATTCGAACTTATCCAGTGATTGATTGTAAATTGAATTTTGAACAAACGGTCTTATTTGTTTCTGTAATTTCAAAGGGTATATTCCACAGTTTTTGACATCAGAAAATTGAATTAGACAATTGCCAGTGTAGAAACTTGGAAAAACACCCTGAAATCCAAAATTAGTCAACTTAAAGAATTTGATCACATCACTGAATTCGTAATCTCGAATGTAACAGGCACCACATATAGCCTCATAAATATCTGCTTACTGTTTTCTTGATAATTTGAAATCATCCACATCATTTATTGTCGTGGTCATATGATTTCTTACTTTTTTGTAATGTATCTTTGAATTCATTGTTCGAATTTGCAGAATTGAATACACATCGGACAAATGTTTGTTGGTGATTAATTTAATTCTAAGGGAAGACAATAGACTTTCATTATTTAATCCTTTATCTTCAAACAACATTGCTGATGTCAGATACTTAATAACTGAGTCTCCCAACATTTCTAGGTTTTAATAGTTTCTTTCTAAGTTAGAAGATGGACATGAAATTGCTTCTTCTATTCGTTCTATCTATGCGATATTATTCATTCTATTATAGACATTCTAAGTTTTCGCAAAATGCATCATCTGACATATCAATTATGAGAATAGTCTACCAATTAAATTCACATATTCAATCCGTACAGGATAAGCGAACAGTTCACTCTCTCCAGCCAAAAATATTTATTAGCTTTTAGACACTAGAAATGAACATTTAGAAGTATTCTAACAATCTGGGCACACTAAAATAATCTAAAATGTGTATCATACTCAAATTTTAATAATCCGCTTAATGATGCATTTAATTTATGTGTTTCATTTGTTGTAATAAATAGAATTACTAATCTCTGGTTTAATTGTTGAATTTCTTACGAATTGCTTAGACTGAGTTCATTGAATTAGGCAGCTCTTTACTATCAAAAAATTTATATAAAGTAATGTCTAAATTGGTTACTTGATAATGCTACTAGATCTCACTTAACTCGTTGTAGATTTGATTATCGATCAGAAATCTAAAATACTCAATCAACAATGTATTTTTGTCAAAGCGAAATAAGACATTGTACAATTTATAGGGACTGTCCATATACACTAAACTATTGGATCTATAGAGTTATTTGATAGATTTGAATTTGCAATCTAAAAATTGTTGCACTTTTTGAAAGTCAATCCCCTTTTCTCCTGGAACCGTGAGTATATTCACTTAATCGCATTAATTTGGGTTAATAAAAGACTCAGTACTCCGAGCTTGTTTTGAATAAGTCTTAGCTGAGTTGTTTTAATACAAATCACAGAAAAGCAAAATATTGAAACTCACAATTGACTTAAACTATTCAATCGAAACTATCAATTTTTTTGAAGTTCTATTCGTAGGTTATATATTTGAACTAAACATGGTGAAGCCTATGAATTTCTTATAAATCGCAGTTACTTAAGTTGCTATATTCAAAGTTCCTTGGAGAGATCAAAATTAAGGATTGATCATCAACTTAGAAGTAATTCAGAAACAATAAGACCTTTGAACCCTTCTCAAAAGTAATGTAATGACTTGATATTTACGGTGGCAAATACCCTATGGATTGAACATTAGTAGTTTCAGTCATTAAGTTTATGAATATTATTTATACATAATTTTGAGTAACAAAATACTCAAATTTACATGATAAAATTAGACAAAATATAATCAAAAACATTAATACTTCAGCTAAATTTAAATTAAGGATATTTCGACTAGTTAGAACAATTATGTGATGAAAATCAATACATAGAGCAATTAAGTGATGAAAATCCTCGATTTTGAAATTGTTGAACAATTTTAGACTCTCATAAATTGGATTAGCATAAAAACATGATAATAGGAATGTTGCTAGCTACTTAAGAAGGAGATGGTATTATAATTTGTTTAATCCTCCAAATTATGATTTTCAATTGATTGATATAAATATTGTCTTAAGTATTAATTTAGATTATGATAAATTTTGGAGGGACTTTCTGTATTGTAATTGCCCTTTCTTATTTCACCTGAATTGAAGGTATACCTAAGGATGATGGAAGAATGATTTTGATTAATTATATTTTTGTGTTCTATAATAATCATTATCTGTATATTAAGTACGGGTTAAATACTTCTGGTACAATGAAGAGACCTGCACCTAAATAACTGAAAATGGTATTCCTTGTTACTTTGATAAATGAAGGAGTGACTGCATAATACAATATTTTTACATCTTGCTGTTAAGCCTGCTGCGGTCAGGGTTGTCAGACACAAGAATACAAATCTTGTATTGACGCTTGCTTTGTCTAGAAGGTATTGCTTTTTGAGAGCTGGGGATTTTAGGATTGTAAATTACTTGTGATGCAATTGGGTAGATGATCAAAGAATTCAATGGTAGCTTGATAGGTTTAGCAAACTTATTGTTGAGTGTCAGCCTTGAGAATAAATTGGAAAGAATACTAAGGGATTCTATTGGGACTCTTAATTTTCCATGAGTGTGTTATATGTATCTAATAAAAATAATTATGTAGAAACCGGAATTGCAGAGAATTTTTAAAGACCTTGCTGCAAAAGTGCCTAATGAATAAAAGGAGAAAGCAGCCATGGAATTGCAGAGTGTCTACTACAAATACATTCAATAGAGTGATGAATTGTTCAACAAGATTCAGAAACTCATAAATAGTTCTGAGATTCACGAGAAATTTGGTAATGTCTCTAAATTCTACAATAATAGGAGGCATTTTGGCCTTGGATTAATTGACGACAACTGTGTAGGAGGCTCAAGCATTAACCTTTGTAAACAAGTTTATTCCGAATGTGTCAGGTCAATTCATCTATAATGATGAGAAGTTTTTGAGGAAGAGTGCAGAAGTCTTTGGAAAATTACTCAGATTGGGTGGAACTAAGATAGCTCAAGTGGTGGATTCACATTTTGTGGAGGCATAAAACTAATTGAAAAGTGAAAAATATAAATTAGCTGGCGTACTTTGTTTGAAAGAAATATTAAATGAGGCTGCTTCAATCACTTTTAATAAGCTATTTTAAACTATGCAGACGGATCGCAATTTTACACTCATTCATGGTGCCATCAGATCAAAATAATATTCCTTACGAGAAGCAGCTCTCGACTTATTCAGTGAAATTGTAAAACAAATTGCATAAAGAGAATGTATTCAATAATAGCAACATTATAGAGTCCTATCAAGATTACCTAGTGAAAATATATACTGATGAAATTGAATCTAGAAAAAAATCAAAGGAAGAAGAATACATCCATGGCAATATTATGATGATCAAAATATTACTCACCTATGCCAAATAAGATGTATTTCGCATCAATATTGTGATTAGGTCTTTTCACAACAACAAATCTATGATTAAGGAGAATATGTTCTCTCAAAAAAAGATCACAAATCAATCATCATCAACAGGGCTGTGATAGAAACACTACCAATCTTGGCCAAACATGCTAAACATCATGCAGTCCAGGAATTCATGGAACAAAGCATATCCTTTCTATTATCATAGACTGTGCAAGCCAGATCTGTGAAGGACAAAAGTCTACCCTACATGACTTTGGCCATGCTCATCTCATTTTTGAATGAGAACATGCTTCAAGATCTAATTAGAAAGGTGATCTTGCACATTCGTCAAGAATTGCTACAGAAGAACTTTTGTGTTGAAATGATTCACTGCTTATAAGTCATATTTTAGAACTATACAAGGAAGTTTGCAGAATTCACATCAGTTGATGTCCTAGTAGATGTATCACTATTTCATATTCTATTAAGTAAATACTCTTAAATGGCTTGCATCCACAATCAGTCTAATTTCTTAATTAATTATGCAGATAATAACCCAGACAATCTGATTACATTCAATAAAAGCTCTTATAAACAATTGCAGCCATTCTTCTGAGAAAGATTATCAACTTTGTCAATCCAAAATAATAGAACTTTGATGGCAGCATCCTGAATGATTTTTAAGGGTACTTACAAAAAGCCATTACCACAACAGAATTCAGATCTCCTGAAGCCATTGCTAATGCCATTCAAACACTCAGCACTTTCTCATTTGATTTATAGGACAGTCTTGCAATATTTGTGAAGGATGCCGTACTACCCAATCTTGCTAATTCTAATCCAATCATAAGGAAGGCTACTGCAAAAGCAGGATGTCTGTTGTACATAAAGAAAGGGAGATCGACAGGGTAGTAGATGATCTCCAAGAATGTTATGTATGAAATACTAGATAAGTTTATGAATGTTGCCATTTCAGATACTGAATAGGATATCAGGTAAACAATGCTTGCATCTCTAAATGAGAATTTTGATCCATATTTAAATTCGCCTAATAATTTGAGAAAATTATTTTTATGCATGAATGATCCGATCTCAGAAGTTTAAGAAATTGCTTTAACTATTCTTTGTCGTTTATCCATTTTGAATCCCTCAGAAATCATCCCCTTTCTTAAGAAGACACTATTTGAATACCTATAAACGCTGACATTTGACAGCAATCAACCAGAAAAACAAACCATCAATAAGTTATACTTATTGACATCGCTAATCAAACATGGCCGTACTATTGTCCAACCCTACACCAGCAATATAGCAAAGGTCATTCAATAACATCTAAAGAACCCCAACACTAATGCTATTGTAACTTCATATTTGTTAAAGGCGTTTGCTCAATTAACTGAAACGGCAAATCAAGAGATACTTGTTAATTTAAAAGAAGTCTTTGATATCATTATAACAGCAATGCAAGATAAGAGTTCTACTCTTAAAAGAGAAGCTGCCGTCAAATCTCTAAATTTAATTATAAAAAATACAGGGTTTGTTGTACTCCCTTATTATCGTTTTCCCAATCTAATGGATGTCATATTCTAGTTAATTAGAACTGAAACTATCCCTGAAATGCGATAAGAATGTTTGAAATTACTAGGCAATCTTGGAGCTGTAGATTCATTCATTTACAAAAGTGTTTAGGGAGTGCCAACCAAATAAAAATTCAAGTTTCTAAAAAATTATCAAAATGCTCTCAATTCTGTTTCATCAAGTGAATTAATGAATGAAGTCAGAGGATATAGTGAGGATTTGATACTTATAGGTAATTTCAGTTCTAAAATGTTCTTACATCTTGGAAAATTGAAAATGCAAACTGATCAAGATACTTTACTCTATTAAAATAATAATGCTTTGATAACGAAATCAGTAACATTGGATACTCAATCTCATTATCATTAAGCTATAAACTCATAGGATATTGAAGAACTGTTTCAACAAGTTCCTGTCATATAACTAAATGACATTGATTATTATTCAAAAGTGACCCTAAAGACGCTATTATAAATTCTGTTGGATCCATCTTTATCCAATAATCATGAATTAGCACTCGAAACCATTATGTGGATCATAGGAACCTTAAAAGCAAAGACTGCAAGTTATTTGAACTATCTAATACCAGTTTTTGCTCGTTTGTTGTAAAGGAATGAAGAAATGAAAGAGAAAGTATTGACATCTTTGTAAAAAGTAATCCATTTGTGTGGAATATAATTCAATCCTCAATACATTGATTAAGTGATTGCTTGTGTAATGCTATTTTGTTAGGGATAAGAGTCATCAAAGTTAGTTTTGATAGGTTTAGAGATTATGGAGACATTGATTAAAAGTAGTAAACCACACTTGAGACATAAAGTGGAACCATTAGTTAGACTAATCAATTAGGAAATCAGTCAATTTGAAGAGGAAAAAGATCTAGTTCGTAAAGGCATAAAGATATACATATTGTTAGAGAATTTACTTGACTGCTAATTGCACATGTTTATCCCATTTATGTGCAAGTTGTTAAGTAAAGAGGTTTCCAGTGTTTTATTGGAGGTTAGAAAGGATATAATAAACTTATTTGTTTCTTTATCAAGAAAATGCCCAACTACAGTTCAATATTTGTCATTGATTGTGAACTCACTGTTAAATCTAGTGGAATTGAGTGCAAAGACACAACAGCAATTAGAAATGCATCAGACAGTGTTAAATTGCATTGTTAACCTAATCTTATAACATAAGAATCTTATGCTTGTGTATTTACCAATGATCCATTTGCAAGTGTAGAAATACAAGATACATCATCAATAATATTAGAAATTAGTAGAAATCTTTTTGATGTATGGTAATTTGGAAGACTTGAACAATCTATTAGATGAGGATTGCAAAGCTATTGAACAATTATTTCCATCTTAGATTACGTAATATTATTCAATCGAACCAAATGCACCAATGTACAAGAAGATAGAACCTGAAGAATTGGTGGCTAAATTTGACACAGAATAAAGAAATCTGAAGGAAGAATGGCAAGAGTGGATGCGTAATACAAGTGTGGAATTATTGAAGTTATCACCATTTCTGGTATTGAGTCCCTGTTCATCTATTGCTGAGATGTATTAGACATTGGCATATGAATTATTCAATATTGCATTTGATTCAGCTTGGTATTTCTTGAATGATAAGCACAAAGAATTAATGGTCCAATACTTGGTCAGAGTAATTAAGGCTGACAACATTCCCCTCTAAATCTCATAGACAATACTAAATCTGGCAGAATTTATGTAGCATGATAAGGAAGGATTGCAAATTGACATTAGTTCTTTAGGAGAATTGGCTGAAAAATGTATGGCTTATGCTAAGGCTCTCTATTATCGAGAACACGAATTTGAGACTGCCAATTCAAAAGCCATACAATCTCTCATATCTCTTTATACAAATTTGGGACTCTAAGAATCTGCCAATGGTTTATTGACCTATGCTAAATAGTCCCTCAAGATTTAAGTGTAAAATACAGATTATGAGCGATTAAAGAAATGGGATGAAGCCCTACAAGAGTACAGACAATAGCAACTGAAGTACGAAAATGATTAGAGAATGGACTTAGCTATTAAATTGGTGGTTCCTAAGATGAGATGTTTGAATGCATTGATGTAATGGTAAACATTGATTAGTCAAGCAGAGGAGATATTTAAGAGCAATGAAGATGCTAAACAAAAGGAAATTGCTCATTTAGCTGCAAATGCTGCTATGCACTTAGGGCAATGGGATAAATTGGCTACTTATAATGAATAAGTGAATGCTGAGGAGTCAGACAAGCCATTTTGGAAGGCTGCTGTTTGCATTTCCAAGGGACAATTGGATGAAGCTAAAATACAAGTAAGAAAGAGCAGAGAGAGATTGGATGGTTTGGTTACAGGATTACTACAGGAATCATACGATAGAGCTTAAGATGGAGTATTAAAATTGTAATAGTTAGTTGAAATGGAGGAAATTATAGAAATCAAGCAATTTGAAAATAAGGTATAGAAGGCAGCCTAAGAGAATGTAGGTGAGTATTCGTATATTAAATTATTGGATGAATTAGAGATTCGTAAGAAAAAGTTAAAAGATATATGGCATGATAGATTGAGTGGAGCACCAAAAGATATTGATGTCTGGTACCGTTTGCTTTCCACTCGTCAATTGTATTTACCTAAAGTACATGATCTTGACATTTGGATTAAATTTGCAAAGTTATGTTTGAAGAGATAAAAAATGGTATTATGCAAATCTACCATTGAAATACTGAAAGAATAGTTTTAGAATTAAGGTTTGGCTCCACTGCCTGTCACTCTTCACATTTTTAACATGTAATTTGAATATGTGCATGCCAAACATGAAATCTAAATTCTAGATTAGGTGAGAGAGTATTTCACCAATTAGGAATAGATAAGTTCTATTGATTCTAAATTAAAGGCTAAGACATTTTTTACTCTTGGAAAATGGGCTTATGAAAGAGCTGAATCAACAAGTGATTTAGAATAGATCACTAAATAATTCGATGAATCCTTGCAATATAATTCCACTTATGCTAAGGCTTGGCATTATTATGGGTTATGCAATTTCGAGGTTATTGAATAATAAGAAAATAGATAATCTATGAATGCACATGTATTTGCAGCAGTCAAAGGATTCTTGAAATCTATATCCCTAGGAAGTAGAGATATCAAGAAAGGTAGATACATTCTATAAGATACTTTGCGTCTATTATCCTTGATATTTAAATATGGAATGGAAGCTGCTATATCTGATGAATTTAGATAGAATTATAAATAAATAGACGTTATTGCTTGGATTGATGTCATTCCATAAATTCTAGCCAGAATCCAAATTCAAAATCCCATTATTTAATAGTTATTACAAGATCTATTAATTCACATCAGTCGAATTCATCCATAAGCTCTTATATATCCATTGACTGTGGCTTGTAAATCCAAAAACCAAATTAAAAGACTGTAAGTACTTAAGATATTGGATGATATGAAAAAGCATTCTCCAATTCTTGTTAACGAAGCTTTAATCATTAGTGAGGAACTCAATCGTACTGCCATTTTATTGAAAGAAGCATGGAGAGAAGGAATCCAAGAGGCATGGACATCATTTTCTTAAGACAAGAATAAAACACATGTTGAAAGAATTTTAAGAGGATTACATGATAATATGAGAGTTAAACTTGAGAGTTTGAGTGAGATCTCATTTCATCAAACATATGGATAAGAGATATTTGAGGCTGAAGCATGGTTATAGAGGTATTTAAGAACTGAAGATTAAGTATGTTTATGCGTTGCTTTTGATATCTATACCAGAATCTATCATAAAGTTTAGAAGAGCTTAGAAAAAATGAAGAAAGTTCATCTTGAAAATGTATCACCAAAATTGCTGGCTACTTAAAATTGTGAAATCAGTATTCCTGGATTGTATAAAACAAATAAATAACTTATTACAATTAATGGATTTGCTCCTAGATTAGATGTTCTATCAAGTAAGTAGCATCCAAGATAGGTTAAGATATTTGGAAATGATTCAAAAGAGTACTAGTTTTTATTAAAAGGACATGAGGACTTAAGGTAAGATGAAAGAGTGATGCAATTATTTTCATTAGTAAATCGATTACTCACAAATGATACTGAAACAGAGAGGAAAGATCTTACAATTACAAGATATTCTGTTATACCTTTATCTCATAATACTGGATTATTAGGATGGGTATAGAATTGTGATACTTTGCAACAATTAGTAAGGGAGTATAGAGATAAATATGCAATCAGATCTAATGCAGAAAGCACTTTAATGGAATAATTTTGTGCTCAATATCAAAATCTGCCTTTGCCTAATAAAGTTGAGATTTATAGACACATTTTAGAAAATACTAGAGGGGAAGATTTGCAAAAGGTGTTGTGGATAAAATCACCAAATTCTGAAGTTTGGCTTGAAAGAAGAATTAATTATACAAGATCTTTGGCTACAATGTCAATGGGTTGGGTATATTCTGGGAATTAGGAGACAGACATCCATCGAATTTTATGTTGTAAAGATTAACTGGCAAAATTGTACATATAGATTTTGGAGATTGTTTTGGTAATGATACATTCTTATACATCAATAGAGGTGGCAATGAAAAGAGAGAAATATCCAGAGAGAGTCCCTTTCAGACTTACGAGAATGTTGGTAAAAGCAATGGAGGCTTGTGGAATAGAAGGAGTATATAGACATACATGTAATATTGTAATGAGAGTACTAAGGGAAAATAAGGAGTATTATTAATTTTAATATTTTAGATCTCTATTGGCTGTGTTAGATTCGTTTGTGTATGATCCTTTACTTACATGGAGACTTTTGAATGCATAAGATCATAAACCTAAAAAGGAGGCTAGGAATGTAGATTTACACAAGTAAATCCCACAGTAAATGATCAATCAACTTCAATGATAAGGAAATTAGTTAGGGGAAGAGTTTGATTCAGGTCATTCCAGAAGCTAAAAGGAGGGGCAGCATAATTGATGACGGAAAGCAGTAGTAAACTCTGAAGAGAAAGGAGAGTGGAAGGGAGAAGGAAATATATTTTGAATTTGCTGATGAAGAGAGGGAAATCCCAGATGATTTATAAAATTAGAAGGGGTTAGAGGTTATTGAGAGAATCAAGAAAAAATTACAAGGAAGAGATTTCAAGGAACATGAGGTGTTGTCAACTGAAAGTCAAGTCAATCAACTCATACTATAAGCAACTAATCATGAAAATATTGCACAAGCTTACTTGGGATGGTGTCCATTTTGGTGATTATTATGATAATCCATTCCAATATTAGTAATTATAATATTGTTTTATTTTCAATTTAAATATTAAATGTTGCAGAAATCGATAAAATATGAGTTGTGTAAATCACAAATACTATGACAATTATTCCTTCTTTATTGGCTTTACTAATAGGTCATCCATTCCTGCATTTAAACATGCTGTCTTCGTCTTTGGATCTCCATCTGATATATAATTAATCAATATGTATTGTTACCCCCACTCAATCCTAATATCTTGCATTTAGGCAACCCTTTCGCTTTCTCATGAGCTCTTATTTGTTTGGTCGACTAATAAAATGTTCACTCCCTTACATCATATCCATCCATAACTGGCATATGAATATCCATTAAAACATGAGCGAAATTAGGTGATTTTTAATAAGTTTCCAGTGCTTCCTTTCCATTAGATACTACTACACATTCTACTTTAAGAGCTCCGTAAAGCATTTTTATCAGATTCTGAGCAAAGGGCTCGTCATCTGCCACCAAAACCTTCTTTCCGTCCATAATAATAAAATATATTTATTAATCACAATTTATTCTTCCTGTGTTTCTTCTCGATCTGTCTACGTTTTCCCTTCTCCATATTCTTCAATTTCAAGTTCTTCTTTATTTTTTTGGACTAAAATTGTATCAATAATGCAATACCTTCAACAGTTGTTCTGGCCTCTTTATCTCCTATTTTCCCCCTCTCTGTTGTCCTCCATCCTCTTGATTAAAGTAATATCCTTTGCCTCTCATTTATCTCCTCTTAAACAACTCTTTCGCTCTAGAAACCATTTATTGATCCTACAATTCAAAGATATCTTTACCTCCTCTTCTCCCACATTCTACAATTAAATGCTTGTTTGTTTCTACCACTTCTTTGAAGTTTTGCTTTCCTTTTTCAACCTTCATCCCCCGATCCTCTTTATCTTACTACTAAGCTGCCTTTGGGTTCACATACTTCTTCTTATCCTTGTCCCAAACCATCTATTTTCTCTTACGTAGAGCATCCGTCCCATCTGAAATTACAAATGGATTTATATCCTCTAATGTAATCTTATGCAAATCTTCGAATTCTGACTTTTTAGTTGGATCCCTTTAAGTTGGGATAAAGAACTTTTGATCCATAAAATTTTCTATATTTAATGATTTCGGCTATTCCTTTAATTCTATCTTTGGAAGAGGCTTGCGTTTTTGTACATCCTTTAAATGAGACACAGCCTTCATGAAAGGATCTGATTTCTAATTTGATTCAAACTTCTTGATTTCTATAACACTCTAAGCAGATTTGAAATTCTTAATTTACTTAAGCATATCCTTTGTGTCCTCCTCAACTTAGATCTTATCCTTAAATAATGGGTGCACTAAACTGGTATCTATATTTGTCTTCACTTTCTTGGCTGATCCTCTGGTCTTACGAAACTTCTCATTAGCTCTGGTTGCTATTTCTTTATAGTTCTAAAACTCAATGTCATCATTCAAGTCATTCAATTTCTCTTGATTTTACATCAACAATTCAATTGGCATATGGCCATAAAATGACAATGAAGGGTCACTAAAATCACCCTCATTGACCAATTTTCTACCAACATATATCATTGTTTCTTTGATGTAAAGAATCTCCTCTGATGATATCAATGCATATACATAACCTGCCTTACCTGCTCTTGCTGTACGACCAGATCTGTGTATAAATATTTTAGGATTGGATGGATAATCATAATGTATAACATTAGCCACGAATGGTAGATCTATACCTCTACTTGCTAAATCAGTAACAATCAACACTTTCACTTGATTCCTTTTGAAGTTATCTAATTATTCTTTTCTGTCCAACTAATCCATTTTACCATAAACATGAACATTTGAAATATGAAATTTATTCAAGGCATAGGAGAGCATATCAACCAAAAATCTAGTTGAAGCAAATATCAAACAAGTGTCATCAAGCGATCTAATCAAATAGATGAGAGCACTCAACTTATTGTCATTAGCTGCAAATAAAAAATGCAATTGCATTGAATCTGGCAATTGGAACTCCTTGTCCAATTTACAGAATATGTAATCCTTTAATCCTACAGATGCGAACATACTGAGTTGTTCTGGAATGGTGGCAGAAAACATCAATGATTGTTTTTAAGAAGGAAGATGGGATAAGATTTATTTCAGTTGATCTGCCAAACCCATTTCAAATAGAAAATCTGCCTCGTCATAAATGACCATTTGGACTCTAGACAATTTCAGTCTATCTTCCAAGAGATGTTGCAACACTCTACCAGGGGTACAAATCAAAATATCTGGATTTGAAGCCAAACTCTCAAATTAACCCTCGAAGCCATGTCCTCCGACCATAATAGAGTATTGGATGTCTGAGAATTTCAATAAGGCTTTCAAGACTGATGCAATTTGCAAGGCCAATTCTCTTGTTGGGAGGAGAATTAATCCCCTTATGCCGACAACTGTACTGTGGTTCTGGAGTTTGTTAATGAGGGGGATCAGGAAAGCAGCTGTTTTACCAGAGCCGGTTTTCGAACAAGCCACAATGTCACGTCCTGCCAATATTTGGGGTATTGCCTAGATTGGATAAATGGGCATTATACTTTTCTTTAAATTGGAGTGGGAACATTAAATCCTTGACTTTTGATAGCTCTATAAAGTTCTGGGATTAATCCCATGGATTCGAATCCTCCAGATTTTTTGACTTTAGTTTAATCCATATATTAAATTATTAAATGCGATTTGGATGTTAATATTTATGATATTCCTTAGAATTTGATATTGAAAGACTTAAATTTTAAATGAAATTTATAGACTTAGAAATGATTTAAATGATCTGAACCATTATTGAATAATGAATTGGTTTCTAAAATATTTAAATTAATTTTTCTCCATAATTAATAATTAAAAATGGAAAGAGCTGCAAATCTCATCTTAACAGCAGGATCTCTACTTGTCGGAGGTGGAATGCTATTTAAGTCCTTCTTCTATACCGTGGATGGAGGACAAAGAGGATTAATATTCGATCGATTTTAAGGAGTCAAAGAATCTATCTAAGGAGAGGGAATGCACTTTTTCATCCCAGTTATTTAAGTATTGAATTGCATCACGATTTCTCTAGTCACCAATAGTGGCTGAAGTGCGTCTCTAACCAAAAACTGTGGCTTCTCACACAGGTACTAAGGATTTACAAACTGTTGATATCGCTATCAGAATGCTTCATAAACCAATTGAATAATATTTACCTGAAATTTATAAGTAGAAATTACAATTAATATTTTTCTTAGAACTATTGGTTTAAATTACGAAGAGAAGATTCTTCCATCCATTGCTAATGAAGTCTTGAAGGCAGTCGTGGCCTAATATGATGCAGATTAATTGATCAAAATGAGAGAGAAGATATCCTAGGAAATTAAGGAAGGTTTGATTGAAAGAGCAAAGGAATTCAAAATTGTCTTGGAAGATGTATCAATTACTCATTTGGGATTCATGAAAGAATATGCTCAAGCTATTGAAGCTAAATAAGTGGCTTAGTAGTTGGCAGAAAGATAAAAGTTCATTGTGTTGAGGGATGAAGAAGAAAAGAATGCAAAAATCATATTATCTGAGGGAGAATCAGAAGCTGCAAGATTGATTAATGAAGCAGTGAAATCTTATGGAACAGGTACTAATTGATTATTCAATATAATAGCCTAGATTGAAATCAAGAAATTAGAAACTGCAAAACATATTGCTGAAACCTTAGCCAAGAGTCCAAACATTAGTTGGATCCCAACTGGAAATGGAGTTTCAAATCTATTGAATTTGAAAACATTTTGAGAATGTAATTTATATTATTTGAATGCATATATATATCATGCTTTGACGAGTTTTCTTAACACATATTATAAGATTCCTCCATGTTTGTAATATTCAATTTCAACCTCAGTGTCTAATCTGGATTTTGCCTAGAATTTCTTGCCAGTTGCTAAAGATAATAGAAATAAATGATTACATGTTTCAACAGTGTATGTTTAACCAAGAGTTAAATTGCTTTCATTGACATTGATAGTGAATTATTCTTTTCCAGTTAATCCAAGAGTGTCAGCACTTTCTCCCTTTAAGAATTCAAGTGGTAGGATACCCATTCCAACTAAATTGGATCTGTGGATTCTCTCAAATGATTATGCGATGACACATTTAACACCTTACAAATATGGTCCTCTAAGAAATATGATATAAATAATTACTTTGCTGCCCAATCTCTGCTACTTCCTGAACCATACTCTTGACCAGCCAAAACAATAGTTTGATTTCCCTCTTTCATGTGTTTATCAGCTGCATCGAAGACATCCATGACATCTCCTGTTGGGACATAGACAGTTTAAGGTCCAACCTTACTGACCAACTTGTTGATGATACGAGTGTTAGCAAAGGTACCTCTGGCCATGATTTCATCATTTCCTCTTCTGGCACCATAGGTGTTGAAATCCTTTTTGGCAACACCTTTGCTCTTAAGATAACGTCCAGCAGGGGAGTTTTCAGAAATAGAACCAGCTGGTGAGATGTGATCTGTTGTGATGAAATCACCCAAGTTCAAAAAGACAATAAGCATTCTTAATTGGTTAGACTTATTTTGGATTCAATTCTGTGGTTTAGAAGAATGGTGGGTTGTGAATATAAGTGGATTCTGGTTTCCATTAATAAAGATCTGTCTTGTTGACTTTCAATTGATTCCATCTTTCAGTTCCTTATGCGATTCTTGAGTAGATATCTCTGAACATTTATGGTTTGAGTGCTTATTCAACAGCCTTACCACATTATTCTCTGCTTGGCCAGATATCTTTCAAAAATACTGGTTTTCCATTTTTATCAGTTCCAATTGGTGTTGTATCAAAATCAATGTTGACTGTACCAGCTAATGCATAAGCAACAACCAATGGTGGAGATGCAAGATAATTGGCTCTAACTTATTAGTGGATTCTGGCTTCAAAGTTACGATTTCCTGAGAGGACAGCTGCAGCAACTAAATCCTTATTTTTAATGGCTTCTGCAACTTCGTTATCTAATTCTCCAGTGTTACCAATGCAAGTCATACATCCATAACCAGCAGTTGTGAAACCCAATTAATCAAGATATTTGCTGACACCAGATTCCTCGAAATATTTAGTAACAACATTGGATCCTGGAGAGAGAGTGGTTTTGATGTATGGCTTAACTTTCAATCCCTTTTCAACAGCATTCTTAGCCAAAAGACCAGCACCAATCATACTTTCTGGATTACTTGTATTTGTGCATGATGTAATAGCAGCAATAACAACACTTCCATGTTACAGAGAATATTTCTATCCTTGATATGTGAATTCTGCAACATCTGTTTATTTTTCTTAAGGAATTCCAAATCCTTTGAATCCAACCTTATTGTTGAGACAAGAAGCCCAATCTTTCTTCATTTCAGCCAATGGTACTCTATCATGAGGTCTCTTTGGTCCTGAGAGTGATGGTTAGACTGAGGCAAGATCCAAATCTAAAACATCACCAGAGAAGTGGGGATCATTTCCACTCTTGTAATCACGGAACAAACCTTATTCTCTGAGATAAGTTTCAATTTGTCTAACTTTGCTTTCTGGTCTACCTGTTAAGTTCAAATAATCAATAGTCTTGTGATCGATTGGGAAGTATCCCATGGTGGCACCATATTCTGGAGCCATGTTGGCAATGGTAGCTCTATCAGCAAGAGATAAGGTTTCAACTCCTGGTCCAAAGAATTCTACGAATTTACCAACGACACCTCTCTTTCTTAACATTTATGTGCATGTAAGGACTAGATCTGTGGCTGTGACATTTGCTGGTAATTTTCCATGTAATCTGAAACCAACGACTTCTGGTAAGACCATTGATATTGTTTATCCCAAGCATTACAGCTTCAGCTTCAATTCCACCAACTCCCCATCCTGTCACTCCTAAACCATTAATCATTGTGGTGTGTGAATCTGTTCCTACGACTGAGTCTGGGAATAAATATCCTTATTCTTCCATGACAACTCTTGCCAAATATTCCAAGTTCACTTAATGAACAATTCCTGATCCAGGTGGAACAATCAAGAAGTTCTTGAAGGCTGTTGATCCCCATTTCAAGAATTCGAAACGCTCATAGTTACGACTGAATTCAATTTTCTCATTCTCTTCATATGCTCTTGGTACTCTTGATACATCTGCTTGAACTGAGTGATCAATCACCAAGTCAACTGGGCACAATGGATTAATCTTTTAAGGGTCTCCACCTAGTCTCTTCATTGCATCTCTCATTGCAGCCAAATCTACTACTGCTGGCACTCCTGTAAAATCTTGTAAAATGACACGTGCTGGCTTGAATGGAATCTCTATCTATTTTGGAGCATTTGTCTCCCAATTCAAGATATTCTAAACATCCTTCGATGTCACTGCAAACTCATCACAATTACGCACTGCTGATTCCAACAACACTCTGATCGAATATGGTAAATGATCTATACAATATACACCTCAAACTTACTTAATTTAGAATCTCCCAAAGCTGGTAAACTAAAGAATTTATACTCCTTTCCGTCAACCTTGAGTGTTTTCTAAGCCTTAATGTATGGGTTTGCTCTTGCTCCGAACCTGAATCTGGAAGTGAATCTTATCATAATTAAAAATTTATTTTAGGCATCACTCAGCATTAATAATCACATAAATACTCCATTTTTTTATAATAATTATTCAAAGATACAAAATATTTATGCATTTTATAAATAATGACGATATATTTTATATTAACTATTTTTGGAATTATAATTATTAGACAATTTTTCCATCCTCAAATGCGATTGATAATATAAAATATCTGATTTTAATAGTTATAATTATTCTCAAAAACAATATGAATTAAGCAAAATTATTATTTCACTTTAATAATTAGTTCATTTTTGGATTACCTCACCTTGTCTTAACAGTTATTTTGAATTATAACATAATGAATGATTAGATCATTTACGATCAATCCTTTGCTTTAAGTTGTACAAGAGTAAGTTTACAGATGTTAATAAATAAATGCATTCAAATCGATTTGATGTTTTGACAAATCAGATTATTCATACTTATTTAATTTAGGCATTCCCTTCTTGAGAAATCAACGCCTATTAGAGAATTATATTAAATGTTCTTCAGATAAGCAAGTATAAATTCAATCTTTAATCATGCTAACTTTTTCTTTATTTAATAGAATAATGGACCTTCATATAAGGTGGCTGTAAAAAATTTAATATATTTTCAAATGAATTTATATGATATCGAAAAAGAAAATTATTTTCAAGCTATTGTTCAGCTACGAAGGGAAATAAGTTTTCAAAAATAAAATCAAGATTCTCAGATATCAGTATCCAATAATTCTTCATTATCACTTTATAATATAAATAACTAATAATATTTAGAGGATCAAGTAAATGTCAATGATTAGAATTAAAATATCATTCAGGGAGGCAATTAAAATGATTCAAATATTACTCAAGTTGAGAAAATATCTTACTTCGAAATTCTATCATAGGCTGAGAAATACTTGAAATTAGTATTGAATTATGGCTACAATCTATAACCTTAAGCGTTAGATAAAAGATTAAACGAATATGAAAATATCCTATGCAAAAAAGTACAATAGTGTACTGAAAAAGGAACCTGCCAACACTTCTCCTTTAATTCAGATGATAATTTAATTGCAATATCAAAAGGAAATTAATTTACAATATTCAACTATAATGGGGGATTAAAAGATAATTTACAAAATTGTGTCCATCTAGGTTAGGTAACTGCCTTAATTTTTAGTAAAAAAACGAATTTTATACTTTCAGGAGGAATGGATAATATGATTCGTCTGTGGGAATAATAACAAGATCAAAATCAATGGAAAGAGAAAATATTTAAAAATACAAGAAGTCCTATTAGCTGTATGATATTAAACAAATAGGAAAATAGTATCATTGTTGGTAATAAATATGGTTACTTATAAATTTTTTATCTAAATATTGAAAACTCTATGATTACATTTACAAATGAAATACAACATATTCATACAAAAGAGATCTGTGGAATTAGCCTTAATCCATCTTAAAATAGAATAATTACTTGCTCATTAGATAAAAAAATAGTACTTTGGAGAACAAATGAAAAGGGATATCTGGAGAATATCGAAGAAAGTAAAAGAGATAATGCGATCACTGGCATATTTTTTTTAAATGATAACAAAATCCTTTTAGCTGAAAATAAAAAAGGATTGATTCAATTGAAGTTAGCAAATGACATATTTCAGAAGAATGAATAAATAATAATTCAAGATGAAAATGAGGATAATTATTATTTTCCAATTTAATATAATTAAATAAGAAAGATCCTCTTAATAAAATCTAATAGATGTATTTATATATTGAAAGAATTAAATAATGATGTCTATGAAGAGAAAAGAAAATTAGAATTAAGATCTATAAAAATATACGGTACTTTATCAACTAATAGCAAGCACCTAGTCATTTATAATGAAGAATAAATATATTCCTATGTATTATTTGAATGATTTATATATCTTAACAATTATTGTATTATTTCTCAAGAAGGAGACCTATGTTTAAATTATCAATTCTATTGATTTGAACAACATTTGGACATAAAATGTTTGATTATTATCAAAAACACATTCTAAACATGATCCTAATGTAAACAAATTAGAAAACATATCACAAAATGTATTTTAAATATAGATCTTTGCAAGTCATCAAATATCTTTTGACTTAAGCATACAGTAAATTACTTAAATACCTAAATTAAATACAAAAATTAGTAATTATTTATACCATATTATATATTATGAATACATAAGTTTATGACCTTTTTACTTCGAATGAGAATCCAAAATTTGTAGCCAAAATGTTAGCCTAATATAGGATCATTCAATTTCTAGGTCAAGGAGCGTTCAGTAGCGTATTTAAAGCATTTTGTGATGGTGAGTTTTTCGCAATCAAGGTGATGTATTTTAACATGATGTTAGACAGATAGTTGACAAGATGAAAGGAAACGCAGAGAAATTATAGCAGGAAGCCTTAATTTTAAGTTAACTGAAGCATCCTAACATCGTACGATATCATAGAACATTTGAATCCAAAAGAAGACTCTATTTTATATTATCCTACATAGAAGGGAAAACCCTCTAACAATACATAGAAGATGGCAGCGTCAGATTTTCCGAGAAAGAATGCATAGCTTTAATTCACTAATTGGTTGATATACTGAGCTACCTCCATTCCAATAGGATTATTCATCGAGATATAAAGCCCGGTAAGATCTCTTTTTGATAAGTAGATAACATGATTGTTGATAAGAACCTTAACCTCACTTTAATAGACTTTGGCCTCAGTTATATAACTACCTAGTAAATAACTACACATTAAAATTGCGGAACTCTAATATATATGGCCCCAGAAGTACTGATGAAAAAGGAATACTTCAAATCTGTAGATATCTGGAGTTGCGGCATCATTCAGTATTAATTATTAAAAAATTGCCATCCATTTTGGAAAAATTAAAAAAAAGAAAGTTATATCAAATAGATGTCGATACCACAGAAAGTAGATTTTAGCGGTATGTCCAAGTATAATTTTAAATTTGAAAGAGCTGCTATTTCTTTTTTTGAAAAAACTGCTGCTTTTGAACCTGAAGCAAGAATAACTGCTGAATAGGCTTTGTTGCATCCATGGATTACCTGTTAGTCATCAGAGACATAGATTATGACAAGCAAAGAAATATTCTAAGCCTACAGAGGAATAGTTGTATTCACAAAGGTATGCAAATTAGAATATTCTAGTTTTAAAAATTACTTGTTTTTATACAATTTATTAAATCAAATAGTGAAAAGGCCATAAGAGCAATAGTTTTACCATAAAATTAGCGTTTTTTTTCAAAATAAAAGAGTCCAAAGAAACCAAATTTTATTAAAATACCTACTAGATCTTGTTTAAATTCAAGCAATAGTAGTAGAGAAGTGAATTTTATTATTTATTTATTTTAGAGCTCTGAGAAACACAAAATAAAATTACCACCTATTATTCATTCAAAGAGAAGTCCTAAGGGCGAAGCAAGCCCTTATCCTTTTCCTTCCAATTATAAAATTTCAAATCCAACCTAAACAACACTAGAATTTAAAAAATCTCATTTTAGATTGAAGTGAATATCTTTTTTGTTTAATTTTGATATTCAAATTAATAAAGAGCTCAATTATTTTGATTTTTATTATGAAAATAATATTAAAAGCAAAGCAATCTTTTGTTAATATTGTTTAATGAGAATTTAGGAATATAAAATCATTTTTTTATCTTTTTTTATTCTAAGTCTCTCAATTTCCAATAAGGAATATTTTCATTTTTGATACTTCCTCTTTTAGATTTAATTTTTTAACATTTCACCTACAGAGATTCTTCAGTTTTTTATTTCCCCAACTATTCATCCAATCTATCAATTTTCAATGCTTTATCCCAAATTTTACTAGTTGGAGAATTATGAATTTCATTAGGGTTCAGAGCAATCTATTCTAATATTTTCTCTTTATCTTAATCCAATATAATCATTATTTTTCTACACTCAAGCCTATTTGTAAAGTTAGAATTTGGTATCTCTTCCCCTTTATTTGATTCAAAGTAGGGTTTTCCGTATTAGTATTGAGTCTTTTAAACAGGCTTAAAGTTGTCCTCACAACATGAGTGCTTCCTTTTTTCAAAAAATAAGTCAAGGTTCTTTTAGAGGGTAATTTAATTTTCCTATATCTTCATATCCTAAGAAGACTTGGTTCTTTCAAATGGGTTTCTTGGTTCTTATCCATTTTCCTCTCTATTCGATTACATGAATTAAGCAGTTCCAGGAGTATCTACTGTTTTTTAAATTAGTTTAGAATCTTCCGTTTATAGCGAGGCTTGAAATGTAATTCTATTTGAAATAGGATTGATTTCTGGTCCCCAAATTTCAAGAGGGTTCGGAACCTTTTCAATTATTTTCTTTTTTAATTCTTGCAACTTCAGAAGGGTGGTATCTCTATCGTTGATGCTCATTCTCTTTCTGTTAATTATAATGTTCTTTAGGGGTAAGGCTTCTTAACTAACTCTAATGGGTGAAGCGTCCGTATTATGAAGTGTTTTATGCTTTTTTATTTAATAATTGCTCACCACATCCCTCTATTGATTTGGTTGATGCTGGGATTGATTGGTATGACATTTCTAATATTTCTTAAGTAACTATAAAATATCAGGGGTAGATTTTTGTTTTTGTCTTTCAGGTTTATGTATTTGCGCATAAGAGCTTTATTTCTAAATTACATATTCAGATAGTTTTCTCTTGATTGGGGTGTGTATTTTTGAATAGGAATCCTTGTTTCCTTGTTGCTGATGCTCACTAAAATTTGAATGATTGGTAGTGGTCATGTGTTTCTGTTAATTTAATTTGAGCATAATATATATATATATATATTAGTATAATCATAGCATTTCAAGAAACCTCTAATTAAGGTTCTTACTTGATTTTTGTCGAGGAGGACTTGCCAACGATGTCCCAGATCTCAAATCTATAATTACTGATTCTGAAGGAAATCTTAAATGACATGGTGAATGTATTTCTTTGATAGATGTCTATTTTATGAAGAATATTTCATCCATCATATCCATTCTGTCTGAGTCCCCAATAACTGCGATAAGCAATGGCTCCAATTTCATTTTGTTTGGATAAGTTTAAGATTTATGATTCCCATTATGCTACTACTACATAAAGGGTCGATTTTGACAGCAACCCATCTTGTTAAAGTTGAAGAGCTTATAATATTTAATAAATTTCAAATCATTTATTTGTTTACTCAAATTCATTTGATCGTATCTTTTATTTATTTGTTGCTATATAATACATTATATAAGACAAATAGGTCGATAGTAATAGAAATTAAATTATAATATTCCTAAAAGGTATTTTAAAACTAATGAGTTAAATTGCTCGAACACCTTATTATTGTTCTGAAAATTAGAAGAATTTAAATTAATTTTATAATTATATTAAAATTGTTTGCTTTTTTGTTACACGGTGAAGTTTAGAAAATGATTTTCTTATAGATTACAATTATATTCAATCAATATTGTTTGTGAAACATTACATTAATGTTTTAAATATTACAATAATTATTATAATAGCTTAAAGTTGAACTATATGAACATTGACTTTCGTTAATAACCAATAAGAGTGGGGCTTAAAAAACAGTCACTTCAGAATCTAAATTATTGAAAATATATAATCTTCTGATTTATCTATAACAAAGTCACTTAAATTCTTATGTGTATTATTTGTAGATTCATAGCATTCCTATAAATTTTTTGTTGAGATTTTTGGTTGTATTATCTTTAACCAATTAGGTCGAGTTTGAATGTCTCAAATTAATGATGACATCATTTTTAGACTACAAACTAAGTTAGTTCTCCAATTGGCTAAGCTGCTTCTCAATGAGTACATTATCTATGCATGTGCTGCCAAGTCTTTCCATCTTTTCTTCAAGATCGATGCATTCATTATCTCCTTTAATGAGATTTAGCTATAAGGGTTGCATCTGAAGGGTTTTAGGCGAAAATTGTTCTTTAATTGAGACGAATCCTGTAATCTAATGTTCCTTTTCTGCATTTGAGATTTGCTAACAACACCCAATTATTTAATTTATTATCTGGAGAGACAAAATATTTTATTTTAAATTGCTTACTTATAATTTGATTACTAAAGCCAATTAGATGATATTATCCATACTCTTCAAAGTATTATTTATATTGTATACAAGTCCTCTCATATTTTATGCCAAGATACAGGATATGGATACTATATTTTTATTATTTTTGAATATTTACAGTTTTAGAAATTTCGAAAAAGAAAGAATTAATGTTGAATTTATGATGCTCATCATTAAATATTAATAATATTTTTTATATATCAAAACTTTAATATTAAAATATATTATATAGTAAATTAATTTAATTCTTGGTAATTAAGGTGAAAACATTAAATAATTTTTCAAATCTTTATGAGCAATAATTTATTCAACGTACTCAACCTCTCCGACACCGAAGAAGTCCCAGAATAATAATAGAAAAAGTCTAAGAAAAATAATAACAACAAGGAATAGGTTATACCAGTTGAGTAGGTATAAAAAGAAAATACCAAACATGCTAATCCCGCTCCTAAACAAAAAGGCGTTCCTGCTGAGCCACACCCTAAGGATAGATAGTCTGGCACTGGAAGAGGCAAAGAACAACGAAAAGAGGGCGGAGGCAGAAACAATTGGGGAAATTACAAGGATGACCTTAAAGAAGAAAAATATACTGCAAAAGAGAAAAAGCCTTAGGATGCACCAAGAGAAGAATAAAATGAATAAACAACCCAACCAGTTCAACCTCCTGCCCCTGAAAAGACTCTTGCCGATTATTACTAATAAAGAGGAGCTGTAATCATATTTAATATAAATTCAGAATGTTGAAGACGTCCTCAAGAAGACTGAGGCCAAACCATAAGTGACCAAGGAAATTGACGAAGAGGCATTGAGAAAGGATAAGCTTTTTGTCATGAAAACAAGAGAAGACGAAAAAAAACAATAAGAACAAAAGTAGAAAAAAACAAGACAATAATAACCATATAGAAGTGAATTAAACAAAGAAGCTGCTGAATATTTGGGATTCACAAATCAAACATAAGAGCCTGAAAGAAAGAATGAAAGAAGAGGAGAAAGAAGATAATAAGATAAATAAGAACCAGTTTAAGAATAATAATAATAAAGTGAAACATAAGCTTAAGAAGAAAAAGGAGAAAGAAAGGAAAGAGGAGATAGACAAGGAGATAGATAAGACAGAGGTGATAGACAAGGAAATAGAGGAGATAGATAAGACAGAGGAGACAGATAAAATAAAGGATACAAAGGAGATAGATAAGATAGACCATAACATGATAGATAAAATAGAGATAACAACACAAGAGATTAAAGAAGAGGAGATAACCACAGAAAGGGAGATGATAATAGATAAGATAAAAGACCTCAATAAAGATAATAAGTATTGACACTTATTTATTATTTTAGGAATAAGGAATTCAATTGGATGACAAGGATTTCCCATCTTTATGAGTATGATGAGTATTATATATATGTCATTATTTAAAATATTTATAAATTGAAATGCGGATTAAAGATTAATTATATATATATGTGCATATAAATCATGATTATTTAACTAATAGTCTATGAGATGATGAAATGACTTTGCCTTTAAGTAATCTCTTTGAAGGTGCAGTGCTTGGTCTTGAAAGTGGTTTAATTGCTTGGCGATCTGATTTGATACTAAATAGATTAAATTTTCTTTATAATTATTCATCAACAATTTAGTTTAGAGTGAATTTCTTATTGATCCAATTATTATCAGAGGGCTGAACCATGAGTTTGATAGGCATTTATGAGTAATACATTTTAGGCTGCGGTGTGCTGAACTTCTTGAATTCACTAAAATATAATAGTTGAAAAAATAAACATCAATTAGTAAGGAGGGATGAATTAAGACACCAAGTTTTTTTTCCATTAAACTTTTTTGAGACAAATTTCTTTTTTTCTTTTAGGCTCATTAGAATAATTGCGTTAACTATTAAGATACGTATTTCTTGCTAATGTTTCATCATCATTATGTGCAACGTCCCAATTATTACTGAGTTTGGAGATTTGAAGCCATTTTTCATAATTGAGTAGCTATTGAAAAACATTGGATCTAATTTCGAAATCGTTTTTGAGATTGTGGATGTATTGCAAAGTCTTTTGTAAGGTCCATTTGAATCTAGGAGTAAGATTTGGAGAGAATACTTGCGCATTAAAAATACGACAACAACAAAGACTGAGCGATTTAATGCTCTAATAGAATGGACTAAAACAGCTTCTCCTGCTTCGAGGGTATCGTTTATAAAGGCGTAGCAGCGGAGATGATCGAATGCGAATTGGGTTTCACTTTCCAACCACTAATAAGACATATATTCAATGCCGATGGATTCCCAATGATTAGGAATGTGTTTGGCAGCACAATTAATTATCTTGGTTATCTTGTTAGTCACCAAGAACTCTAGATCCTCATGTTTTAGATCACATTTACATGGGCTGCACCCTAATCGCCAAGGTAAAGACCATCAATGATACGGGTGGGCAATTACATTAAAATATATATTTATTATATATGCTCTAGGAAAGCGTGCTCAAGTTGAATCAGCTCTTGTAGCAATATAGTTAGTCTAATATGAATGATGCATCAGAACTTCTTACTCTGGAATAGCAATTACAAGTAAGACAGTTGGTAAGGGTGCTTTTAGCATACAACCTCAGAGTTTCATGCGCTCAAGGTTTCATACGAGAAGTACCACGAGATTTGGAGAGAGCTTCTGTTACAGAATGAGTGTAGACCCACCGATCCCATTGTGATTCGTTAAGCTGGGTCAGGAAAGAAGAGTCTCCTCAAATTATAACTTAGTTCCCCTATCGACCCTCTACTGTATCCAAGCATATAATAACAAGTGCCACGGTTTAACATCTTAATGCTATATCAATTAAAGAGTTGGACACATTAGCCAAATTGATTGAAAGTGAGCCATATTTTCAAACTCCGACTTTTGTCACTGACTCTGAGATCTAGCTCGATCGATTGATAGAAATGCATAGGAATCAAACCAACAAGGAAACCTCACCAATATGCTCATGGATCATAGATTACTGGTCTTGTATTGAAAGATTTACAAGGATATTCGATCAATACATCAATCTTATTGGCAAGTATGAAGCCAAACTCTAAAATTCTATCAAAACCTCTTCAGAATTAAGCATTCAGAAGCAACTGAGTAACATCACTATTTATTCTAGAACTGTCATCCGGCGAAATCAAAAAGAAAAGTATCTCTGATAGAGACTTGAATCCCTAAAAGGATTCTTGCATACAATGTTGTTAATTCTGATGAAACAACACAAATTTCAAATTATGAGTAGGTGTATGTATGTATCTATACAATATTAATATTCAACTATTAAAATTAATTATGAAACAGAATAATTGTAAAATAAAGGACATATATTCTGAAAAACTCATACAGCCTCTCTACGATTTCCAAAAATACCATCTCAAAGTAACTTTCAATATCAATCTACTCTAGAATCCTAATAAATAGACCCCTCCTCACAAACCTTTAGATAAATAGATTGCGAATAAAACTGTCTCTCAATTTTATAACCAACAAGCCTTTCTATAAAAACATAAGACCAACCAGCAACTTCTGCTTTAAATCCTTTAGCCATCTTAACATAAATTGCATAAAAAGGAATATCCTAAAATCGTTGTTGATCAAAAAAATATTAGCGAATAAAACACTTGCAAAGTTATTAAAATTAATAGTTAACCATTAGTCGATGATAGAAAAAAGTAAGAAAAAGACAATAGAAAATAAATAAGTGAAGTAGTTTTAATGTAAAAATATCACACTACACGATTGATTGAGCAATAAGATCAAAAGACTAACTCCATTCTCAATAAATTGACAAATAATAAATTTAATAAAAGCAGATACAGCAATCTCAACTTTCTGTAATCAATAAATAAATACTCCAAATTCATAATATTTGTAATACAAAAATTTGACTTGTTTGGTGTCAAACACTCTTCTTCCTTTATTGGGAAAAATCCTCCAACATATTAGTGCTCATTCTATTCAGACCAAAAGTTGCTATACAAAAGCAAACCTTTTGAATATAATGAATTTCTAGAATCTATTATAGGATTTCAGTGTTAAGAATTTACATCCATCTATGTTGTGATTGAAAAGATTAAACAAAATGAATAAGTAATATCTTTCATTATTGATAATTAGTTTTAAGTCGGATAGGTTATCTATATTGAAAGTTATTCTCATATTACAAATACACCTCTGAAGGAGAATATAATCATCAAGGTTAGTGATGAGATAGACGGTGAAATAAAGAAGACTATATCTGATGAATAAGTTACAGTTGGAATATTACAATACAAAGTATTATAATTATGCCAGCAAAACAATTAAAACAAGTTGTAAGTTCCTTAAGCTTCTTATGCGATACAAATTTAACAGTCAACTCCTCGACATTCTGCAACCTAGATTGAAAACAATGTTTCTACATAATTAAAATGATTATTAAGTTTTATTCAACTAGTTACATTTTTCAAATAATATAATATTATTAGAATATTCTATTCATTTAAATTTTAGATGGAACAAATAATATATGTTATAATATTATCATAATTGGATTATGATATAGTGAATATGAGAATTAAATAGCAGAATGTATTCATCATTTAAATTTATAAACCAAAATTGTGAAACTATTCATACTAAAGATATCTTCAGAATGAGACTAAGTAATTATTTAAATAAATCAAGGCAGTTTATTAAATTCCACCGTCGTTGTAAGTTCCTGGAGCTCTCTACTATATGAGGAATATTTTGGATTTAGTTAGCTTTTAGGAAATATGACTTCGGGGGGTAGAGGTTGACTCTATGGAATTCGTTTCTTTTGTCTTGATCTTTTGAGTATTTTGTCGACGGGGCTATTTTTAACTTCGAAATTGGTTTCTTATCTTTCAGGCAACAGGAAGAACTTAGCAGTGGATTGAGGAGAAAATCTAAATTTTTCTTTGCGACTGCTTGGCAAAGCTTTGGCTCTGAATTAATATTATGCTCTTTCTGTTTGAGGGCACTGTATTGATTCAGATTTTTGTTATCTTGTCGATTCCATAGATTTAAGCAAATATCTACGCTGACTGTAAGTTCCAAATCTTCCATCATCGTTGACTACTCCGATTTGTTTTACGGAGAATGTCAATTTCTCATAATTTTCCTTACTCAATTGAAGATTATTAAGGAGCTCCCTCTGCTTGTTCAGATACTCCTATCTACGCTTGATGTAATTCATGTACTCGAAAGGACTTTGGACCTTGACCACACGAGCATTGAGTCTAAGAATTCAATCATTTGAAATTACTCTTGGGTATTGTATAATACTTTGGGATGCACCTTTGAGAGGAGAGTCGGCTGCTTGATTTTTGATGACATTAATTATTAATTTATAAATCACACAGCCATAGAGTAATTATTTAGTTTGTAAAGATGTTAATTCTTAGCAGATTTGATCAAATTGTCTACTTGAATGTACAAAGGACTTTTGGGGATCTTGGGAGATATCAAGGTTATATTTTTTGATTCTCGAAGGACTGAACCTCTGATTAAAAATAAAACATAATACTCAGTGCGAAGTCTCGTTGTGCCATTCTTGCTTTGCGATCTGGATTTATATAATGAAGTGTTGTTGGATCGATTTTCATTGACTGATGGTTGCTTTTTGGGTTTCAGCAGTCGTATCAATAATGTTTTGCTGGTCTTGGGCACAGTACGTTCAGTTTCCATTGATTTATTGCGGATGGGTTTGCATAAATTGTATAATCCAATGTTTCTCAAGGAATCCAATGAATCATCATCTGAAAAATCATTCCCTTCTCTTTCAAATACATAATTATGGTTATGACGACTCTTTGCAAATCGCTTCTCTATTTCCTACTTGAACTCGATTGTTTGTAATCTCACAAGCTCTTCAGACATAATATATCGTTAGAATTTTAATTAAATTAATATCAAATCGAGTGACCCCATAGACATCTCTCTATCACATACATAAGTTAAATCATATTAGTTAGGACAGGAAAGAAGAAGAGAGAGAGTAAGAGAATAGAAGGAGTATCAATTTCTATAACTATTGCATTTATAAAAGTTCAACATTTTCACTAATTTTATGGAATATCATAGTCCTTGCTATTCGATTACTCTAATATACATTAATATACTCTGATTGTGATCTCTTTAGAAATGTGTAAATGAAATTGAATGAATTTTTAAAGATAATAAAATAAGGATCATTCTTATGTTAAATATAATATGAAGTTGGAATAACTTAAAAAAATATATAATTTTTAAACACTATTGGATGCTATTTAATTATACAAAAATATGTGTACACAGTGATTAATTAAAGAATCTATACATATTTGAATAATGCGTCAAATATTTCCATACATTTAGGCTAATAAGATTTATTTAATTTGTTTGACCAAATATTTTAATGAAAATGATGAAATCATAGTAATTGCGAAGAGACTTAGAAGCATTTCAAAAATAGCTGAGATAAGCACTTCCAACAATAATCAATAGAGTGACCAAGGATATAGGATAAATGCTTTATTTTGAGAAGCTGTTTAAAGATCTAAAGCCAAATTCAGTTTAAGAATTATACTTCCAAAGTCTTCTTAGATTGGATCCCCATATAGCAAGACAATAGCCATAATTAGATGAGCCAATTCAGAATATAAATGAACTGATACATCTATATTTTGAATAGCAAGCAGAGAAATTATAAGAGATGGTGTTGTTAGAGAAGGAACTCAAAATGATGAGAGAATTGGAAGAATTGTAAGTAAGTTAGGAGAGTACACAAATATAAAATTCTTTGATTGAGTTAGAATAATCGAAAGGGATGGATGTGGAAAAACAAAACATGGAAGAAGTTTGCAATACAATCAAAAGGAAATATTGGAGATAAGCTTAATCACCAAGTTGTGATTAGTGTTTCTGTGGAAATCAACTACATTATAAGTAAATAGTTAAATGTCAATTATGCGAAAAACATTTTCATATTAATTGTCTAGACAAAAGTTATGATGAAAGATATGTCAAACATTTCACATGTCCAAGATGTACCTTATATCATATGGATTAATTTTGCGAAGTGATCTCAGTCATTATCGAACCATTCTCATTTAAGAAGACAGGGTTGACCAGCACCAAAACCGTAAAATTTAAGTCAGATACTAATATGATTGATGTCAGATGTATTAGAATGGATTGTCCTCTGTCAGCAGAAGAAATTACATGGCCAGATCTAGGAGAATTACACATTAACAATAAGAAAGTGGCTGAATTTATTCCATTGGCTCAGCAGAGTTGTCAACATAAACGAAAAGATGAGAAATTGATATTCTCGATTCCATAAAATGAAGAATGCTCTCTAATGATGAAGGAGACTATTCCTGGTATGGAGTAGAAGAGAAAATATAGAATCCAAGGGGAATAGTTGCATTATGTAGCTGGTTACAAAACTAAATAATATTCTGGCAAATAGCTTATAGAGAAGATTATAACATCGAGTGAAAATTGGATGAGTGTAGAATAAGCATAGGATTTTATTATACTTCAGATGAATTACATATCGTCTACAGGTATTAAGTAAATTAAATAAACTATTTCTTTGTTGTGTTGCTTATGTTCCACTTTGATGGTCACTCCTGTCAGGGGAATCTATTGCAATCATATTCAATGTTTCTCTCTAGAAAATTACTTATTGATGCTTGAAATGTCAAATCCAAGGAAATGGAGGTGTCCCATTTGTAAAGCTAAGTTATTCAAATTACAAATCGATGCTTTGCAATATACAATCTTGTAGACCATTAGACAATACAATTTATAGGAGAAGTACTCGGAAATATCGTTCGATCATATGGGAAATATATTGGATGATCTCATTTAAAAATTTATAGATTTTAATAATTTACCAGAACATGCCAAGACTAGTAGGAATAGAATCTTACAATTAGAAACTCTAAGCAATTAAAGAAGGGAATTTGATAATGAGATGGAGGAATCAGAATAATTAAATAATAGACCTCTTAATCCTAATTCAATTGTTATAGAATAATATTAAATAATCATGTTGATCCTAATCTTAATTCCATTCACCTTCTCTTTAAGTTCTGACTGCTAATACAGAAGCATCACAGATTGTTTGGAATTAAATATGCACAATCTAAAATTCAGATGTTCGATCAAAAATAATAGATGCATTGAATAAAGACCTGAGATGAGTCAACCTTAACATTAAGGAACCTTAAAGTTCCAATACTTAAGTAAGAAGGAGAGATTAGAAGTCTAAAAGAATGCTCAAAAAAGGAGATCTAAATTTATCAAAAATAGATTTCAAGATGAATACTCTGAACAAGATTTTGGAACCTCCTTCTCGATATCTAATTCTTATAGTGGAGACCTCTTCGATAACTTCAACGGCGATGGTAGCTATTCGTATTGTATTTAAATTTGATTCAAACATCTTAGATTACTAAACTTTTGAAGATGAAGAGAGCAGTTTGGAAATTGAATTAGTTCCCAAAAACCCAATTCCAGAAAAGCCCCCCAGTTTCTCCATAAAGCCCGACTTCAGTACGAGACTAATTGTTGATATTTTTTGTGTAATATTGTATACAATGTATTTATGAATGGATTCTATTAGTAATGATACATGATATTTGATATATTAATTAAAATTAGATTCTAAATTATATCTATTCAACCATAGTAAATCTTTTATTTTTCCCTTATGTTTTAAACTTGATCCCTTATTTCTTGAGGACAAGAGCCGCACTCATCAAGTCCGAAATGATACTTCTACACTTCACAATCAGTAAAGTAGGCAAGCAGTAAGGCATCTGCACTCTGTCCAAACATATCCATAAATAGAGTGGCTATTGACAATGTAATAAATGCAATAATTGCAAAAGTGTACAATTGAAGTACAAAATCGGTCTACTCCTTGACATAAATGAATGTTCCAATTGTGGTTATTAGAAATATGAACATTTTGCTGAAATGAGTGAATTGCTCTCCCAATCCTGAAAGAGTTTCAAAATCTGAGTGGTTTCTTTTGATTACAAAATGAACAGCTTTGCTTGATTCAAAGTAATCTGCTGATGTCATCACGATGTACACAAAAGCATAATTGTTGATGTACATAATGAAATTCTCACAAACACAGCATAAACACAAAGAAATCGATGCAAAACAATTCAAAATAAAATTGTGTCTCTTCAATCTGCATCGGTTAAGTGAATCCTATAATCTTAATTATCAATTTACATATATCAAATTGAATGCTTTTGCTATGCCACTGAAAAAGAAACTGTAAATTGCTTCGGCTGTGATACTTCCATTATGGTATCGCACAGCCAATTTGAAACTATCATATAAAAACCCTTTGTTGGAAGATGCATGGAAGTACCAGAGTGTGGCCGTTGAAGCATTTAGGAATCTGGCCAAGGATAGGATATATTGCATTAACCAAATTAAAGCTAGTACAGTAATCATCAATTTAATTAAAGTATCAAATTTGAGTTGAATCTTTTCAAACGGATAAATTTATGAATCTAATGAGTAATCCATTTATTGTTCGGAAAGTACTGCCAATGCACTTGCTATCCATACCAATAGAGTAGACATTACTAAGAAGAAGAACACTATAGGCACAATGATGATTGTTTTGTTTTAGTACAAGAATGTGGTTGCCAATTTTACAAGAGATATCATGAACTTCATCTTCCTTAAGTTCCAACACAATGTGAATATTGCATATACGCATAGCACTGCAAATGTTATTGATGCTGCTAACATATATGGACTCCATGCATAAGTCGATTTGTCGAAATAAGGAAATAAACTAATTGATATTAGAAGAATATGTACTCTAATGGAGATCTCAAGAAATATAGCAAGAAGTATGTACTAAGAAAACCAGTCAAAGAGATATAGACTAATATGAAGACGTAAACTATGAGGGTAGTGCACAATCCGATCATTATGGTGAAGAAGAAGGCCAACAAAAAGGCAGCTCCTCCACTTAGGGCAATAATTGGCAAATTCGCTCTTGTGTTTATCAGGGCTTATTGAATTTCGCCAACTAAAATTGCTGGTTGCACTGCATTTTTTAAATTATCGTCGGTTGGTAAACAGATGTTGCCTGAGTAGGAATCAGATTCATAGACCAAGACTCGCTTCTCTGGATCCGATGGACTTGGATTATTGTGACAGTCATTGATTAATTTATTCGGAGCGCATAACAATAGTTTATCTTCTTTTTTAGGACATTTTTCAACACAAACTGTTCTATAAAGATATTTCTAAAGCCAAATATAAAGAAGCTCACCTCTTCTGGAGTTACGAAATAAATCAACGGAAACTTATTCAAATTTCCTTATCCACATTCTCTTCCCTCAGAATCCACAGGAGTGTAGAGTCTCTCGATATGTTGACTGCTGTAAGTCAGGAAATAAAAATATCCCAAAGCTCCAATAGACAGTAAAAATAATAAGCAGCAGCAGAGATTAGTACATGATCTATTTTAGTTAGGACCATTTTTTAAATAAACAGGAGGAATGTAACTCATATTAGTTTATTAAGAGTAAAGTGCTATGACTGTTTCTCCTTACTCTTCTCCCACTTCTGATTTGCGTTGAAACATTAAATTTAATATTATCTCAAGAATTGTATAAGAATTAAACACAATAAAATTTATATGGAAATGATTGTGATATCCAATACTAATACATTTATTAATATAATATAAATGCTATTAAGAGAAATAGCCTCATAATTTTGCAGTCAATTTGAAAAGAACATCCAAAAGACAAGAAGGGCTCCACAAGTTGTTAATTAGGTCAAGGCAGAAGAAACAACAGAGGAAAAAGAATCTGATTACTCATTAAGAAGAATGCCTTTTTATAGATTCCCTGTCGGACTCTAGAAGAATTTGTATTTAATGTTACAACTATTTGTGAAGCTATTATTTAACAGGTCCATTAATTTTTCTTGATATGACCTAAATGTAAAGCCCTTATTTCTCTTACCAACTCACTAATGCATTTTGCTAATTGAATGATGTATACATATTTGGCTTTGCTGGAATAGTAGGTGCTATTGCAGGATGTCATTTTGTATCTGGCAAACCTTTTAATTACTTGGGGTTATATAGCTCGAGTTAGTTGATATGTCTTTTAGGCAATAGTGTGTTAATGTACTGCTTATCGCCTTATTTGTTTGGGTTCTACTTCTTGAGCATTCTATCGCACTTGATTTGGTACAACAACGCCAAAAGTATCATCGGAGTGCCTAAAACATTCAACAATCTTTATCTCAAGTCTATGGTGTTTTCCTCGCTATTCATATTTGCAGTACGATTTGTCATAATTTTTTAATAGGCAATAGGCGGAGTCGTGCTCTTGAATTAAGAAATTAAACATATAGAGATCAAAATTGAAGAATTACAAAAGCTATCAGATTCGCTAAAATCAGGACTATGAAACATGTTAATTAATTAAAAAGAAATAAATATAATTTATATTCATATATATCCTAATGAAATTAAGCCAAACTCCATAAACCAAAGTTTCCAGAATGGATGAGACCTTCTCAACTGATATACATAATATGTGCTATAGTCGAGTCAACATCCTCACCAATGAGGTAGAGAAGCTAACAGATGTTCTGGGAACAGCCTCATAAGAAATGGAAGTTCTCAAAGAACAAAATCGAGATTTGTAAAATCAATTAACAGAGATGGAGCACTCAAATTAAATTGTATATTTTGATATCATGATTAGGTCAACTAAGAGTTTGATAACATTTGCGAAAGATTGAAATAAAAAAGTATAGAGGCTGAAGAGTACGCCTTCTAGGTCTAAAAATTAACTCTACAAAAACAAGTACTTAATTGTGGTATAAGAATAGGAAATCACTCAAAATTTGAACAAGGTGCTCAATGAATTGGAATAAATAAATTAAGTGATAGACATCAAGGATCAGGAAATCCAATCTGGAAAACAGTAATTTATTGCAAAAACAGAAGAATTATAGCAAAGTTTATAATAGACTTACCATTTGGATTAAGCTTTGAAAGTAGTTAAGGAAGAAAAATTAAAATATATTTATGAATATTAATAGTTGTAAAAATTGGTAGAAGAATAACAATAATAAATAAAAGAATTAAATGAGTACAGAATAGGCTATGAGACATTGAAAGTGGATTTGAATATTCTGAGAGTCAATTATACGAATTTACTTAACTAAAAATTGGAAGAAAAGAAAGAGTTAGAAGCTCAAATTGATGTGTTGAGAGATATGCATTCGTACACTATTGAAGATGGATAACTAAAATTTGCTGTATAATCAATCTCATTATATTGATAGGATTAAATTAAACAAGAAATAGAATCATTCAAATAACTTTACGATGAGTAGTACAAATTTGAAAGGATGACATATGAATCCACACTAGATCAACTGAAAAATTAAGTGGCCACACTTTCAATGCAATTGCAAAACGCTGAAATTTTGGTTAGCACTCATAAGTAAAACTTGATGAATCAAGCTCAATTGAGTATGTTTGAGAAAAGCAATTAAGTAAGTGAATTAAAAGCGCAAAATTATGTCTTGTAAGAATCCCTTATCACAGCCAACAGGGAGTTGAATGAATTGAAATAGTAGATGGAGAATGGCAACATAATTAGATTTGATGAGGATGTGAGAAGATAGATTGAATATAAATTAGATCTATGCTAATAATTGCAAAAAGACAAAGAAGAACTCAATAAAGAAAACTAACAACTCAAAAGAGAGAACAAATTGTTAAAAGAAAACAACGAATTGATGTAATAACAATTGTCACAACAGCAATCAAATATAAGTTAATTGCCATAATCTCTTCTTCTGAGTTAGATATCACCATCAGGTATTATATAGTCTGTATTTCTTTAAGGAATTTCACCTGGGCAAAAAATCAACGACAGCGAAAAAATCAAATATTTATTAAAGGCAGTTGATCAATTGCAAAATGCCATTAAAGACAGGGATCAAGAGATTACTAAATTATCATAGATGGCTAGTACCAATGTTGGGTTGTCTTCATTGATCAATAAGCCAAATTCAAGAATGCGATTTTACCATCTCAATTCAGATGATTTAAATTCCTTTGATAAATAATTATGAATTATATAATCTATAATAAATGAAAAAGAATAATACTAAGAAAACAGCAAATACGAAGGTAAAAGTCAATCCATGTTCAAATGATCGTTACTATATGGATTAATCCATCGATGAAGAAGTCTACATTAAAAATAATTATAAAGTTGTTAGAGAATTGGGCAGAGGTGGTTATGGAGTTGTTTATAAAGCGTACATTAATTATTCTAACTATGTAGGGTTGGATTGAATCAAGGTCAAATTGATAAAAACAAAAAGTATGCCATCAAGGTTAATTTTTCTACTGTGTCTCCAGAGCTAATATTTGCTGAAATAGGATTTTTGAAATTAATTTATGGCAAAGAAAATATGCCACAATTGGTTAATTTGTTTCTTATTGATCAAAAAATATATATCGTCATTGAGTACTTTACATACAAACCCTTCATTGTATCACTCCTACTATATTTTAGACATTCTTTGCTACTTTTGATATGATGGAAGTTAGACGATACTTATATGAACTACTTAAAGCCCTGAATGTGTTGAAATAGAATGGAATCTATCACCGCGATGTTAAACCTGGAAACTTTCTCTATAATCCTAAGACAGGCAAAGGAATCCTTATTGATTATGGTCTAAGCGAAATTGATAGATCCTTCGTCGCCAAATTGATTGAGAAGGAGAAAGAATTATCCAAGAAGGTATGGAGTTTCTATTTACTTTAAGCATCCCCAATCAGATGAAGTCTAAGAAATTAGAAGGAAGATTAATTTATACAATGAAATCCAAAAAACTATAGATTAAATTGGAAATAATAAAATTGGCACAGAGAGCTTTATGCCCTTAGAAAGCATATTGCATTACCAAGTATTTATAGATAAATAACTATTGAAGGATCAATCGTATGAAGTGGATATGTGGGCTGTAGGAGTTATATTCCTACAATTTTTGACTAAGAAGTACAATTTATTCAGCAATGTCCGAATGATTAATAAGCCTGTTGTGACTAAAAACTTTTTTTATGTCAACTTCATACTAGAATTGGCTAGTTTGTTCGGCTCTGAATAAGTGAAATAAATATGTGAGCAGTTTGGTAAAATTAAATTATTTATCAAAATAGAATATGATCTTAAATTGCCTTCAGTTGTTGCAACCAAACCTGTGTAATGGAAATCAATAATACATATTGATGGATTTGATAGCGATGCTGAAGATTTGCTTTCAAGATTACTTTGTTTAAATCCGAAATAGAGAATCAAAGTTGAAGATGGATTGACGCATCCCTTTTTTAAGCCTTTATTAGAATAAGAAAAACAAACATAAACAAATTTTTAAGATAATTAAGAAATAATGCAATAAAAACTATAAGAAAATTGAATTTATTTGATATTTTATCTAACAAGAGCTTCTCATATTATTAAGATAGCATAATATATTATAAACTTAAAATTACTTTTACAAATAAACAAGATAAATCTAAAACATCCTTACCATCTATTTTTATAAATTAGAATGATTGGATTTAAAATATTTTTATTTATATATTTATTCTATATAATAAATTATAATAAATATATAAAATATTAACTTAAAAATAACACATTTGATGGTTTATGGTATAGAATTTGATGTAGAGAATTATAAAATAATTGTGTTTATATTACGTGAAGTTCTGTTTTGTTTATATGGATTGTCTCCTGTGAACAGAATGCTTTGTTGACTTTCAGTTATTTAAGAGCTAGTGTTATTGAAAGTCTTGTGAAAGAACATTATGATTATGGATTATAAAAGAGAGATAATGATCCAGAGTCGGAGATTGCTCTGCATCATAATGGTTTTAAATTAGAGTATTTAATAAGATACTCTTAATTTGAATCTAATTAAGAGTTTGTATGGTTATTGTAATGTATGGATGAATGTTTAAGGGGATTTTTGATATAGATTTGAGATTGAATAATTGCAATATTGTGATTCTGGTGTGCTCAGATTAAATTTTATGATTTAATTTAGTGTCTAAATAGGGTGATTTTCTAACAGATTTGACAAGTTTAGATATATGTGAGTGTGATATCGAAAAAAACTAGAGGGAAGTAAAATGTCTGTGATTCCAATTATTTTATTTTATAAATATTTGTAATGGCTTCTGAAATGAGGATTGAATAAAAAAAAAATTAAAAAATTAATGACTGACCAAGAAAAGAGCAGTGATGTTAGACTGGTTTAGGATGGTTAAAAAAATGTCTAAAAACAGAAGACTGGATTAAAATAGATCAATCTTGATAATCTTGTGTATAACAAGCGAGAACGAAAGCAAACTGGCGGTCCAGGTTCTTAGTTGTTTTAGTCTTAGCACTTTTAGCTATCCCTTAAATTTAATAGAAAAAAATCGTTTAGAATAAGTAAAGTTATAAAAAGAAGAATGCTGAACTGCAAACTCCTCCTCGTGAAGAAGTTCAGCAAGTTCAAGAACCAACATTGATCAAATAATAACCAATATCCTGCCAATAATTAGTCTTTGAATCTGATAACTCGTCAGATTTTGATCCAAAAATAAAAGCCAAGAAGTCCAAAAAGTTTAGAAGAACGCATAAACGTTTAGATATTGAAGATTCATCAGATGAGGAGCAGTATAAACGAAGACTCATCTTGAAAAGAGTTAATAAAATATTCAAGAAATCTTATGAGTAAAAACAAATCTTAGCTTCAGGAAGTGAATAAGAAAATCTTGTAAAAGAATTATTCAAAAATATTTATGTAAAAATTTTTAAAGGTATAAAATGTCCATATCTTATAGACATTCAAATATCTCCTGCTGAACTCAAGTAGTTATCAAATCCAGAATATTCAACTAGTTAAATAAGTGATTGCAAATAATAAGATGAAGAAATTAAACCAGAAGAATAAATTCGTATTTTAACTGAAGATGGAACAGATTTTGAAACCAAACGAAACTTGAAATTGTTGGGAATTGAAAATTCAGAAATTCTATCCAAATTGGGTGAAGTTAAGTCTTATATTAATTGTGATATACGATATTTTAATTTAGACTTTTTGGTAGAAAAAGTGGGTGGTTTTGATGGTATTTAATAATAATATTCTATTTAGTTGTTTTGATGGATCCACCTTGGAGAATTAAAGGAGGACAATAAAATGATTCGTCCTTTATGTTTACTAATAGCAAATTCTCACTTGATTACAACACTATGAGCAATTAAGAGATTATGGATATCAAAATTGAAAAATTGAGTAAGAAAGGATTTTTGTTTCTTTGGATTCTCAATACATAACTAAACATAGCATATGAAATGGCTAGCAAATGGGGATATGAGATTGTTGATCAAATTATTTGGGTTAAACTAAATCCTTAAGGAAATAATGTGTATCTTTCTACAGGATATTATTTTATGCACTCTTTCGAAATATGTTTAGTTGGGTATTACATTATTTCAATATATTAATAGATATAAATGTCCTCCAGGGGAACATGTAGAGTATCATTCTAAAATATCTAACAATATAATCTTCAGTCCAGTAAGGAACAAATCACAGAAACCTATAGAAATGTATGAAATCATAGAAATAATGATGCCTGGAGCTAAAAAGGTAGAAATCTTTGCTAGGAATAATAATCTAAGACATGGATGGTTTTCAATAGGTAATTAATTGGGAGAAACATATTAAAAATGGTTAGTTTAAATTAGTTGCAATGTGTGTGGAATTGCATTATAACCTGGAATATGTAGATACAAATCAAAAAAGATAGCCAATTTTGATATTTGTTAATAATGTTATGATAAGAAGATAAGCGAAGGAGAATTTAAAGAGAGTGAAATATTCTTTTTGGCTAATAAGGCTGATGAAGAAGTGCTACATTAATATCATCAATGCAATAGGTGTGATTAGAATCCTATTTGGGGTCCAAGATTTGAATGTATCACATGTGACAACTATGATTGTTGTGAAGCATGCTTTGATAATCTACTCCAATCTGGAGATTTAACTCATATGGATCATGATTTCAAAGTAATTGAATTACCAACATTTGCTGAAGGCATCCCTTGTCATGATGCAAAATGTAATGGATGCTTTTAGAAACCCATCCTAGGTGTTTAATTTATTTGCAAATAATGTACTAACTTTAGTTTATGTAATATTTAAAATTATGTAGGTTAAAACTGTTTCTTTACAAGAACTCAATCTGAATTAAATGGGCAAAGACATAAAGCAGATCATCGATTTGAACCAATTTATGAAGTCTAGAATTTCTCTAAGAAAACTTACAAATGTCAAGGATGTGAATTAGAAAAAGCAGGATGTGTTTACAAATGTGAAAATTGTTTTGGATTCTATTTTTGTGAAGAATGTTTTGCCCTTAAGAAAGATGATTGGAAATGTTATGTTGCTACAAGTCATAAAAATTATCATACATTTATTAAGATATGATATTATGAATCAAATTTTAATATTTTATATCCAAATTCCTGTGATAGTATTTATTATTAAGTTATTCTCTTCCGCTTATTTTTTAATCATTTTTATTAAAAGCTATTCAAAAATATATTTTGATCATATTATAAAGAATATCTTAATCATATAACTCTTTTTACTTATATAATAAGTTTCATTCTTATTTTATTAAAATTATAAAAGAAATAATAATTATATGTTGAAAAAGAAAGGTTCAGAATAATTAGATATCATATTTGAGGCAGGAGAGGATCTTTTGAACTTCTCTAAAAATCAAGTCATCATGATAAAGAATAATTCTATTAAGCTGCCGATCATTAGACCAAGAACATTTTTATCATATAGTCTTGAATTTTGTGGGATTACAGGTCTCAATTACAAGATGCTCAGATTTCAATCATTGGGCAGAGATATTAGAGTACTTTAACACTATATTACAAGCCTGAAACTAGTATCATGACATCATGCTTAGTAAAAGTAATACATACAACAGAGTTTTCATAAATGGCATAAAATCCCTTAAAAACTTCATTCTAAGGGTTGTTTATACAGGGGTTTCATAGCGATATCCTGCTTTAAATTAATGAAGAAAGTGTATTTGAATTGTTAATTAAAAGCCAATACCATTACACAAATGTATTTTAGCGTGTAGATCACCAAAGTTTAGTGGAATGTTTTCATCGAACATGATCGAAAGCAATCAAACTTTAGTTAAGGTCGAGCATAAGAAACCTGATTTATTTAAGGTCATGTTATAATGGATTTATTGTGGGTATTGGAAAGAAGTACCCTAATTTTATAATTAGTTTAGTTTCCAGAAGAAATTGAAGATACTTGTGATTTAATGTTACTTGCAGATGAATATTTAATCACCGATCTTAAATAGAAGTGTGAAGAAGATATTATTTCTAAATTAGATAGCAGCAATATATTATAAATATTGTTATTTGTAGAAAAGCACTCAAATATCATATCATAACAACTTTTGGAAAAAACTAATTCGATGTTCATAGATGACTTTGATAAGATCCATAAATTAAATCCAAATTTAGAACAAGATATAACAAGAGTGCCTGGTTTAATGACAAAGCTATTTGAAAATTTGCATTAGAAAAAAATAAGAAAAGGGAGAAAAGTTCATTTTGTTGTTGATGATTTTGAAGAATCCGATTCTGATGACTATGTTAGAAATTATACACAACATTTCTACTAATGATTATAAGATGATTATCAAATTATATATAAATATTTATATAAAATTTTAGATTATCTAAGTTTATAATCTCTTTAATATTTATTCTTTGAAAACAAAATGAACAAAATTTGCAATTTACCCTAGAAATAGAGTAAGGCAAGAATCTTATAAGTTCATTAAACTAGCAAATATGTGTTCTAATAATTTTTCGTCATATTATTGACCAATAGTATTTATTGGTATAAGGGCGTACTCCATTCATTAGCTAAACTTTTGGATTATTAATAACAAAGTTGATGTGGCCGAGTTGGTCTAAGGCGTTGGATTTAGGCTCCAATCCGCAAGGGCGCGAGTTCAAATCTCGCTGTCAACATAATTTTTTTTATTCAAAATTAAAAAATTTATATTTGTAAAAAATGAGATTAATAATAATACTAAATATATTCATGTTATTTTCTTTTAAAATGAATAAATAAATAGTATTAGGTTAATACATTCTTCCCATTATAAATCTCTTTAAAATTAGGTTAACACCCTCTCTTTATAATATTAATCAAATTGAAACAATTTAAATTTTTATTATTTTTCAATACAGAAAGTTTTCTTTATAATTTGATAATTAATATAAATATATTAAATGCAAGTTTCTTGTCGGACAAAAAATGTGAATAAGTATTATAAAGTAATAGGTGAAGTTGGATCCGGTACTTATGGTAAGGTTTATAAAGCTAGGTGTCTAAAAACGAATGATTTTGTGGCTTTAAAGAAAATTGATACTAAAGATTAGAAAATAATGGCTGAAGGTATTATAATTGAGCATTTATTAAGGATTTCCAATAACTGCAATAAGAGAGATCAAATTATTGAAAATAGTGAATCACAAAAATATATTAAGATTAAGGGAGATAATAATAAGCAAAGCCTCTTTTAGAAATAATTTTAGAGGATCTACCTTTTTAGTATTTGATTATTATGATCATGATTTTGCTGGGCTTCATAGACAGCGAAACATCTTTACACTCCCACAAATAAAATGCATTTTCCAATAATTATTAGAGGGCGTCAAGTATCTTCATGAAAGCAAGATCATTCATCGAGATTTGAAATGCGCTAACATACTAATGAATAATAAAGGATAGGTGACTCTGGCTGATTTTGGTCTAGCCAGAACACTATCAAATGTGAATAATCCAAAATATACCTACAAAGTAGTCACCTTATGGTATAGAGCCCCTGAATTGCTCCTGGGATAAACCAATTATAACACCTAGATTGATATGTGGAGTCTTGGTTGTATCTTTGCTGAGTTGATTACAGGAGAAGTGCTTTTCAAAGGAGATATCGAATTCAGATAAATGGAAAGGATTTATGAGTTGTGCGGGAGTGCAACTGAATCGAATTGGCCAAATTGTGTTAAGTTGAGACAATGGGAAGAGTTTAAACCAAGAAGGAATTACGAAAGACTATTGGTCAAGCATATTAAAGAGGTTTGTTCAGCTTAAAATAAATAAATTGATTAAGTGACTTTAGATCTCATAGATCATCTCTTGATATTGGATCCAGAAAAAAGGTTAAATTCAGTATAAGCATTGAATCATGATTTTTTCAAACAGGAACCAAAACCTTGTTAACCTAGTGAAATGCCTTAATTTGAAAAAGAATTCCATGAAACATTGTTAAAAAACGAAATGAGATTACAATAGCAAAGACTCGAAAGATAATAAATTAGACCATTATCAACTAATACATAGAAACTTTAAAAGGTTGTGCGAGAAGAGAGAAATACATCAAAGCCTTAATAATCATCTCCTTCCAGAAATAAACAAGAACTAGATTTTGAAGATTTAATAAAACTTGAACTTGCATAGGAAAAGAAAAAAGTAAAATTAAATTGAATATGATTTCTATATATCAAATTAATATGTAGCCTGTATTGAGCGACGGTGTTCCATTTTGTAATAATCTTGCGTTATTGGTTTAATAGTCAATCTAATAATTATACCTGATAGTTACTTCATTTACTACCTAGTATTGTTCATGATGTTTTTAATTGTTTGGTAAATTTGTAATAAAAATCAAAAATGAAACAAAATAATGATACTACAGAAAACTATTACAAATTAGCACAAACATTAAATTTAACTTCATATTAATAGTTGAAATATAAATTATGGAAATCAAAAATGAAGTATCCCCAAAAAGAAGATCATTAATTTAGATCTATTTTAGAATTAGTGAATAATAGAATATGCTTTTAGTGCTTAGATCTATATATTCTCGAGTATAAGGTCAAGAAGATTAAAAGTAGATAAATCCTTATTTACTTCTTAAAATATAACTAATTGGTTTTTTCAATCCATAGATTAAAGCATTATAAAAGAGATTTGGTCAAAAGTTTAACAATGAATGCTTTTGTTTATAAATATCTTTGTAAATTTAATCGACTTTTATTATTACTCATCGAGCATCAAGTTATATAAATTTCTCTAATTATAATGTTCAATTTTTAAAGGAAGAATTAATATTGTCTATAGCCTAAGTTTATATATAATGAATTGGTGCCATCACTTTTTAAATTACCTTTCTCAAAATCAAGTTTTGTTATAGGTTAACCATTGTAAGAGTAAAATCTTAATGAAGAGGGAAAGATAATTTAATTTGATAAGACATTAAGATTTTAATATTCATTAACAAATATAGTTCGTATGTATGTTAAAAAGTTATCAAATCAATGTAACAATTTATATTGGCTCATGTTAAAATAGAAATCACCTAAAAACAGAGACTCAGATATATTTTAAAAGATATCATATAAATGAGAATAAATTTTGTTATAGATTCATATGTTTTACTTTTACCTTTTTGCCTTGTTTTTGATTTTAGACCTATAAATTCACAAAATTAAAATATAGAAAATTATTTTTCATTAAAATTATATATTTATAAAAAATCTTATTATAAAAGCTATTTTAATTTAGAATTTTCTGGTTGATTAATTTGTCTAATTGGTTTGATAAGAGCTTGAAATTATCAATCAGCTTGATAAACACATCCTTGCATTATTTTAAAGTAGGGTTTGATTTTTTGTCAGATTAAGAATTTGCATCTATGGCAATTTTTTATTTTAACTTACGTTATACTAAATATTTTCTAACAGTTTCTATTTCCTTAGTGAGAAATACAAAGATTGTTCGTAATATCTATTCAAGCATACAAGCTGATCATCATTGAATTCTATATGTTAAATAAGGATAAGAAAAAAAAATGAATTATATTATTGGTCATTTCAGCATAAGAAGAAATTTTTTATTTAGATTATTTGCCCCTGGAGATAATCTTTACGACTTATAGTCTTCTTTTATTTCTTCAATTGGTTCTTCGTCAATATTTAGTAAAACATGACTGACATATTGAACCTCCTGTAAGGGCTTTGAAAAGAAAACCCTAGATTTTATGCTAGTTAAGGATGGATTATAACTGCTTTTAATTACTTGTTGAATTTCCTTTTCACTCTATAGCTTTGCACAGCATGAACTACCCATTTTTTAATTAATTTTATGAATTAATAAAGTGTGTTCAATTCAAAATTGCAATAAGCCCTGGATTGCCTCATTGACGATTCTCTCAAGCCATTTGATCCTTATAGATTTGTAACCATCATGGAAACAAAATAAATTTAACAAGGGAGTGCTGAATAACCAAATAAAGTTAATAAGGAGATTCCGCACGAATTGAAAAGTTAGAAAACTCGTGAAACGCTGTACTTGTTATAAAGTAAAATTAAACAAGAATTGCATGTAAAGATTTGCTAAATGATTTTAGGAAAGATTTTCAAACATAACTGCGAAAACAAATATTCCGACAGTGCTTGAGCAATTTGAGGAGTAATACTATTAAAGACAGTGTCTAAGAAACTTAGACATATACTAGGATTAGAGAGAATTCTTAATTTGTTCATAGAATTATGATGAAGACAATCTTATAAACTCACTAATTAATGAAGCTATTTTTGATTCAATATAATAAAATTTATGAAACAAATCAGGATAAATCTCAAATAATTATGCCATTTTTATATCGCATTTCGTTAACAAAAGATCAATAACTAATATGTTTAATTAAGAATAATTTAAAGATAGAAATTCATTCTCTTTTTATGTTCAAAATAAAGGAACAAAGTTAGAAATTTATAATTAAATTTTCTAGAATTTAAATACAAATTTTATCTTCCCAATAGATTCTGTTTTAAAGTGTTCAAATACAAAAAGATAAAAAGACTTTGCACTTTAAAAAATCATACAATTATATTATTCTATATTATAAATTTATTTCATTAGCTTGATGATGAAATTTCTTCTACTTTGGTGATTGAGTTAGCAGATTGGTTCCAGGGACTAATTTATAAGGATAATTATACACAACATATTATTGAACTTCGAAGATTCTTTTTGCATCGTCTTTTGCATATTAAACAAGAACTTTATAGTTTATTCCTGCCACGACTTGAGTAGTCACTTGAAGTAGCTTTTCATATTCATATCCATCTTTGGATAAATTATATTTAGCTTCAACAGCATCTAAAGATGTTATAAGAATGCTATTGTTTTGTTATTCAAATTCCTCTAATGGTTACTAAAATTTTTAAACTTATATTACTTTGATCCAACCACCAGACATTTGTTTTTCTTGTAAACTTGATTGATGTTCTTGAATAATTTACGATAGTTTGTGTCTTAGTCCAATTGTTTCAAGACTGCAATTGGCAAAACAAAGGATTAGAGCGATAAATAAAATTGCTTTCATAAAATAATAAAAATAATAAAATATTAGGATTAAAAATTACATAAATTTGATCAATTTTTGGGGATAGGATCATCATGATCAGCAATCAAATACATCATACTAGCAATGGCAATGACATTATCATCCATATCATCGGCATTCATCATCCACATGGAGTCTCCAGCAGTATGATGATATGCAAAATAGAAATCATGGGTCTCATTATCTTCTATTTTATTGTTCATAATTGGAGTTCCTGTAGCAGCCCTTAAAGCCGCACTATCAGCTTAACTTCCTGCATTGGGTAGTATCTACTCAGCTCCTATTTCAGTCAAATATTCTTAGGCCAAATAAGTGATAAGTTGTCTAAACTAAATTAGATAAATACGTGAATCTTTCTCCTCCTGTGACACCAAAACCATATGGTTTAGTAGATCCAAGATCTGATTCAAATGCAACTACATGGTTTTCTTAAGAATGAGTCTTTGCATAATGTTAAGCACCATCATTAGCCATACCCATTTCTTCTCCACTCCAAGCGATGAATCTGATGGTTCTCTTAGGTTTAATACCTAAATGTTTCAACACTTTCAAAGCCTCTAGACACTCTAATACTCCAGCTCCATCATCATTAGCACCTGTCTAAGATCCCACATCCCATGAATCCCAATGACCACCCATTAATACGATTTCATCTGGATATTTTGATCCTTTGATTTCTGCCAATATATTATCACTTGTGGTTTTATATTATTATCCACCAGTCTTAATCTCAATCACAACTTTCTAGCCTCTCTATCTCATTCTATCTATCATATCTGCATCTTCAACTGTGATTGCAACAGCTGGATATTTGATATTTTGATAATTTGTCATTCCCTATATTTTATAGTATATATACATACCGTATGTGGTGACGAAATCGAGACACTTGCAACACTTCTTAGAATTGTTCCTACAGCTCCTGCATCTTCTGCCAACTTGGGTCCATTTGTTCTAAATTTTACCCCAGCAGAGTATCCTTTCCACTCATAGTTAAAACATACGATCTTTCCTTTAACATCTTTAGTTTGTAATTCTTCGAACGAATGAACAACTTCAACCTCTGCTTTCACAGTTCCTGCTGGAGTCCATCCCAAACCAATCATATTTAATTTCTAAGGGTACTATCTTGGCTCATATAAAGTCACACTTTCTTCACCTCTTTTCCAAGATGTGATTTCTCCCAAATTCTCTTTCCAAACCTTGTCAAATCCATAATTTTATATCTCTTGCACCAGAGCATCTACTGAATCAGCCATATCTTCAGAACCCCACATTCTAGGACCATATGTGTCCACATAATAAGCCAAACGATTATATGATGAGTGGTACAATGGCGAATATGGATTTTTGATAGTTTCTCTAATTTACTAAAGATTTATAGGAGAATAATACTTAAATCACATGAGTTTTGACCTAATCTTTTTTGTTTCTAAGCATGTAGGCATTTATGCTTAAAAGCAAAACTAAAATTATGATAATTTTCATTTATATCAATTATATAAATTAATGGAAAAAAATAAAGAATTAAATATTCTAAAATATGATGATTTTTAAGGAATTCCTAAAGAAGTTATTTGAATATTATTACTAATTATTAAACATGATTTCTAACATTTTGAAATCAAAGAAGTAACAACTCCTCTAAGAAGGTCAATAGAATATCACACTGGGGAAATTGGTCAAATTCTCTCACTATGAAACAATTTTCAAATATTCTTTCTTTGCGGTTTTATGTAACTTAGAATTTTATTGTCATAGTTGTTATTTCTTTGTACAGCTTAGACGTCATCCAATTTTAGCAATTCCTAAAAGAGAAGAACCTCAGAAGATTCGATTGGTCTGAACTCAAATGGCTGGTTATAGGATTAATCCTAATTCATGTAAAATAAATTTTTTTATAAATTAAGATCACTAAAGAAATAAACAGATATTTGGTTCACGATTATGTATCGAATTCATTGGATAAGAAATATGTTGGTTTTGATAGATAATTAAGAGTTCAAAAAATTGTAAAATGGATTTATGATACTTTCTACTATTCAGTAGCCACTATATTCGCATACATCGTCTTTAGAGAGGAGAAATGGTTCCCAACCTAATTGGGTGGCTAAAATTTCACAGAAACCATGTATGATTTCCCCAATATGCCTGATGTATAAATTTAAATAATTCCTCTTAGAATCCTTGGGTTCCATTCTATTACATGATTTAAACTTCAAGTCATGTTCACGCTTTATTATTATTGATGTTCCATGGCACAAAGATTGAATTAAAGTATTGGGAATATTTACTACATCATTTTCTTGCTGTTAGTTTGCTTTACTTCTCAACCATTTATAATTGTGAAAGCATTGGCATTGTTGTTTTGGTACTCCACGACATAAGCGACATCTTTTTAGCTTACGGAAGAACTTATGCTGATATTGGAAAGAATAAGATCCTTGTTTATGTGAGTTTCTCAGCTATACAAATCTCTTGGCTTTACACCAGAGTCTATGTATTCCCGATAAAAATATATGATATCATAGTAAATCATCCTGGGTTTTCACTCTACTGGTATTAATTCAATACTATAAAAATAGGGAAAATACAAAACACGCTCTATACAATCAAGTAGGTTTAATGGTCGTTTTGTTTGGAATGCACATTTATTGGACCATTTTCATGATTAAAGTCGGAATTGGAATCTTCTCAGCTGGTAAATACAAAAATGTATATGATAACAGAGAAAATAAATTAGATCACAAAAAGGAAAATTGATTAATATATATATCAAGTATTATGAAATTCATATTTGTATTTTTAAATATCATTCTCATTACTTCTTTCTTGGTTTTTAGCCAAATTAAGTTACTGTGAAAAATGCAAACAAAATATAAGTTGTTAAATTAAATATGTAACTAAATTATTTACAATAATATATACTATACTGATCCATAAAATCTTAAATTGTCTCTTACATTCATCAATTAAAATCCAACCCCAAAACAATTGAATAGAGAATTAACAAAGTAGAATCTTACACATTTGAATAAGATATTTGAATCCCATATCTTTAACACATTAGTATTCTATCCTAGCTTATGGATATATTTATTGATCATTCCAATTAAATTCCAATGGAAAAAAGAAATGTAATAGCCAGGATAAAATCCATGCCAAAATGCTGAGACAGCAAATGTTATTAATTGAGCCTTTTAGGATTTGGCTGGACTTGATTTTAAAACTGATTCAGGATACACTCTCAAATAAACATACTTTTTAAGCCAAACTTAAACAGAAATATTCCACAATTCTATTTTATCCTTTGGATTTGTAGTCAAATCAATTGTAGGGTCAATCGATCTAATTCTTAACCATTTGTCTTTTCCATCCTAATTTCCATTATAGGTAAAACCAGCAGCAGCCAATCCACTTTCTGAGAATAACCATCCTGAAACATATTTGGTTCTATGTAAAGTGATGGTCAGATTTAACCATAATATTTTGTAGAGCAAACAAGCTTCATCATATTCTGCAGACATCAAAGATTCCAAAGACCATCTTGGATATACTACAACAATGAAAAAACTGTATATCAGTGCATTTCTAAACAAACGGAATGTTTCCCAGAATGTACTTGGAATTTTCTCATATACGTTAGTCCTCTTAACAAAAATATCATAGTCATAATAGTCAAAAGAAGGCTAAATTCAATATTATAACTTACTCCAGCCAGGCATCCACAAAAGAAGAACATGTATCCAAAATAATCTGTATATGATGGCATTTTTTGTAGTTTTCTTTCTTGTTAATCAGAATTCAATTCTTCGTCTTTTCTTAATCCATCCTCATAATTATATGCAAATGAAGTCCATTTTACAGTGTTCATCATTAATATAGTCGTTATATCTAATTTCCTACCCGTTATTCAGATATTTACCAGCCACCATAATCTGTATATTGTCTGTAAATGTGATGTACTGCAACATAAATGAGGGTTTCATAAAATACCCATTTTGCCTTTATGCCAATTTTATTCAATGTAATTCGCTTGGTCATTTCATATACTATGATATTCTGTATTATCACACTAATCAGTTTCTCTTAGTAGAGCATGTACGATAATAATAAACCAATAGTCAAACCAAAATATTTTCTTAGTTTAGCACCTAGTGAATCATGATTATTTCTAAATACTCTTTAATGTTTTAAATAGGAAGCCCAAAGGTATTGTGATTATGAACCCAAATACCATTCTTGCTTAGTCTTCTGGGAGACCGATCAAACCTCCAAGCCATTCAAAAAATGATAGGAGCATCACTATTTAATTTAATACTTAAATATTATTAATTAGAAAATATCATTATAACTAAGTGTGTTGTTCTATTATTGATTTGTCTTCGTAATGCGAGGATATTTATAGTTTTTTTTATAAAATTTTTCAATTATCAAAATGGATGTTCCTATCAATAATTTCAAAGGGGTAATGTTATGTAACAGACCAAATGAAAATGTTATGGTAATAAAAGAAAAGTAAGGATATGAGAATTATTCAGGCCATTCTGCTCAAGAGTCTAACCTTATGATTAATGGGGATTAACAAAAAAATATGAAGAACCTAAAGTGGTTGTACCTCAAACTAATCCTGTATTAGAGAGACATAAGAAATGGTTAGAGGAGTTCAAACTCTAAAATTAGATTAAAAAACATGCCAAGGAAGAATTATAAGCAAGAGAAGATGAGAAATTTTTAAGAGTGAGAGAATTGGCAAAGAAAGATAGAGAAGTAACAAAAAAAATGAAGGAAGATTACAAATAGATGAACGAGCTTATTAAAAAAGAATTGCAAGAAGAAGCACCAAAAACTAAAACGTAAGACAATCATAATAATTGTAAAGTGTGGCATTAACAGCAGAGAATCTAAAAAAGTTAGAAGAAAAAGATTCTAAGTCTGAAAGTAAACCAGGCGACAAGAAAAAGAGATATAAAACCAAGCCAGTTTGGGCTATGACTAAAGAAGTAATTAACAGTTATAAATATTATAAATTAGGAAGAAGAGCAACATTTGAAGAACGAGGAAGATGAACTTTTGAATTTTGTAGAAAATCTAGATTATGATTCATATGTCAATGACTTAGAAGTATCTAATTTAGATAATTTAGGTTAATGTTATGCTCAAGGCTCTCTAATAAAGAGTTGCCGATATTAAAAAATAAGAGTACTAATAAGAAAAACCAGAAAATCAACCTGAATAAAAGTAAGAATAAAGAGAACCTGATATTTACGATAAAATTAGTTAATCCTTAGGTAAAAATGATGAAGCTAGATCAGTGCATTCTGAAAAGACTTAAAGTAAATTTGGTCTTTAAATTAGATTCTATTAATCAACTAAGGAAGAAGCAAGAATAGCTAGAATCTGGAAAGTAAGATTGGGATAAGACAACTACGAATGGAGATTAAAAAGCATCATTAGAAGATAGAATTGCAAAGCATGTTGCGGATGAAATCCTTAATTAATATAAAGTAAAGCTAAATTCTCCTATATAAGAATATGTCAAATATACATTCCAACTCATCAATCAGAAAGATATTAGAGAGAGAAGCCAAGAAGACTCTGCTGGAGACTGGTTTACCTGGACCTGTTATTTCAGTCATAAAAAATGAAAAGATGCCTAGAGATCCCAATACACTACCTTACTTACATCGTAACCCAGCCATTTGATATATCGATTTCATTTTAAAAGAGGCATTTTCTGTATATGTAGATTTTTTATTACTTTCAATAAATAACAAAACTATAATAATGCTTTGAGATATAATTAATCAAATATCCTTGATATTTCCTTCTTCTAGATTATCATAATTTGGAATTTAATCTTCAATGTGTGGTGCTAGTGATGTGACTAATGGAGCATCTCCATATTGAAGCACTCTAACTGTAATATTAAAGTTTTCTTCGTCTTGTAAAATAGATTATTTTATTTCTTATTGCTTTTCAAAAACTTCCTCAAACCCTACATTCTTTTTATTTTGCATTCTTCTGAAATGAACAGCTAACAACATAACAAATAATCCAACAAAAGAATAATACATCAATGCAAAAACTGCAACTTAAGAATTATGTCTTTCCATTAGAAACCCATATATTGAGGGAGCAGGTAAAAAACCGAATAGGTTTTGAAACATTGTTGTACTTGAATTGGCAAATGCTTTTAAATGTTTAGGGACCGAAGAGAGCATGATTCCCATCAATGGTGGAACTATTGCTCCTCCAAAAAATAATAAGAACCAAAGACACAGTGCTCCAAACCAAAATGTCTCAGTAAAAGGTACTGGAGCAGCACTAATACAGCAGAGTGAGCAATATAAGACACATACATATAAAGATTTAGTTCTTTAGTATCCACCTAATTTTTGGGCTATTAACCCTCCTGTAATACAACCAAATACTGGAGCTGTTATGGAAACTATTGCAAATACTATATTGACTGTTTATTTCTCCTAATGCATTTCTTTAATCATATAATCTGTCATCCAAAATTAAATGCCAGTTACAATAAAGTATAGAATGCTGATCACAATAGTGCAGCATAACCATAATTTTATAGAATAGAGTTCTTTCATCATTTACCAATAAGTTTAATTTGGTTGATGCGCAAGAAGTGAACCAGTTTATTACTCATCATTAATCGACTTATTTCCAAATTTGTTTTTTGTACTCTTTTTTATATCAAAGTCTTTATTCTATACAAAAATTATGAAAATTATTGCACAAATGGTTAACATGATTACTTATGCATAAAAAGCCACCTACCATTTCCATATACTAGAAATCACACTTGATAAAGAATATCCAACAAATATGCCAAGTGGAATGACTCCTTGCAGAATTGTGATCCAAATTGTTTTAGAATCTCCTCCAAAATTATCAACCCAAACAGGAAAGTAAATCATCATAGGGGCCTTTGATATAATAATTAACTACTTTTGAACATCCTGTAAGAAATCTAAAAATATAAAATGGCCAACTCGATCCATAATTCATGGGGAATAGGGCTAAAGAGGATATCATTCCTAAATAACTTAACATAACTATCAGCTTGGAATTAAAATGGAGAAACAGTTTCCCTCCAAACAAACAAACTAGACTAACACCTGCATAAACTTGTGATCCTAAATATCCTAACTATTCTGAAGTTAATTCAAGGGAATCCTCAATCTATTATATTGCTTAATAGAATAAAGATCATACCTGCTGGAATGATGCCCTAGTCTAGATTAATAATAATGTTGGTGCAAAGAAGCAAACAAAAAATCCATTTTGGCTGAAATTCCATATGTTATTTTAACGAATGTTACGTAACCAAGGCAATTAAGAACTAAATTTGATTAAAAATGTATACTAGAAATATAGGAATTTAAGAATTTAATTTTATTCAAATAATCCATAGATTCATTTGAAATCTCTTAAAGGCAAAAGATAAAAAAAACAATTTAAACTTGCTGTTTAGATACATTATCTTGTGTTTTATAAACGAATCTTCATATAACTCAAACTAACTTATGAAAGTTAGATAAGTATTTTTAATTTTTAACTCATATTTCCTGGTTAAGACAGAAAAAGAACATAAGATATTCATTTATGAATTAAATAATATGAAGAGTATTTGCTTGCAAAGTCTAAACTTTGAAAAAGTTATTTTATAGAAAAATTGAACAATATGCAAAAATTATAAAAAATTTGTGGAAAATGTTTTAATAATTGACAAAATTATATATCCATTGATTAATACACATAATATAAATTTCCTTTCATATATATCTCATATAAATATCTGAAAGACGAAAATGGTTATTTATATTATAGAGAAGTAGGGTTTGTGGTAATACTAAAAATTTCAATAATATATCATTAAAGTAAGACAATTTTTTAATTATTTTTCATTTTTAAAAGGCTAATGATTATAGAAACGTTATTTTACCATGTTTATCTTTACTTTTTTTAAATATTCACGTGTCTTATTTGGTTCATACAATTGTTAATAAATTGTGTTTTGTATAAATATTCAAAAAGTGAAATAATTCATCAACTTATAATGAAAAGTTAGATTTTGCTTTTAGAGGATTATGAAAAGAGTCTCTGAAAAATTTATCTTTTACTTAATTTCTATAAATTATTTTAACGGATGTTACAGCAATTTTAAGAGTTGGAAAAGCTGGGTTCAGGTTCATTCAGCGAAGTTTGGAAGGTAACTTGAATAATCTAGATAGGTAATGAGGAGAGCTGACCATTAAATTTATGCAATGAAGAAAATAAAGATGGGAACCCTTAATGAGAAAGAAAAATAGAACGCCCTTAATGAAATTCGGTTACTAGCTTCCCTGAATTAAGAATTCATTATAGGGTATAAGGAGGCACTTTACAACGAAGGTATTGGTTATTTCCATATCATAGACACATAAACTTTGGGAATTATTATGGAATATGCAGAGGGAGGAGATGTTGCAAAATAAATCACAAATAAATAGAACAAAACACAAAAGTTCCAAGAATATGAAATTTGGTAAGCCCTGATTTAGATAACACAGGGTTTGAAAGAATTACATGAAAAATTGATATTTCACAGAGATGTCAAATCAGCTAACATTTTTATCTCAAATGGGGTTTATAAATTAGGAGATTTAAACGTTTCAAAAATTGCCTAAAGAGGTCTATTATACACTTAAACAGGCACTCCATGTAATTTAGTTTAAGTAAATTGAGACTATGCGTCGCCAGAAATTTGGAGAGATGAACCATATGACAATAAATCGGATATCTGGTCATTAGGGTGTGTTTTATATGAAATGTGCAATTTGCATCCTCCATTTCAAGCTTTGGATATGGAAGGCCTATATAAAAAGATTTAGAAAGGAATCTGCCCTGCCATAAACGGGTATAGTAATTAATTAGTTTCACTGATTGGTTAGATGTTGAGGCTTAATGCATCAGCTAGACCTAGTTGTGATTAAATTTTAAATAGTAATTTAATGCATTCTGATTTTAGTAGATTGTACATCAAAACACCCTCTATAGCTATTAATAAAAGAATGATGAAAACAATTTAACTTCCCAAAAATCTTAGTACACTCAACGATATTCTACCAACAAAAAAGTACTACAATGAAAATAAAGAAAATGATAATGAATCAGTTAGATATAGTATTTAATCTTCTAAGCTAATGCCAATAAATAGAAAATCTGTAAATAATTCGTGTATTGAATATGAAAAAAGATTCTACAGAATTTCTTCTGTTCATGAGGAAATATTGCCAACCCTACCTTCTGAATACAAATAACCAAAAGTGTTATCGAGACGTAGGCCAAGTAGTTAATATAAAGAAGAGGAAATAAATTTAGAAAGAAGAGCAGAAGCCATTGTCTCAAGAAAATAGTTACAAAAATAATTATCGGAATAACATCCTTTGCCCAAACCTATTTTAAAGAAATAAATGAGCAATCTTCCTCATTTATACCGGAATGTAAACGATTCTGAAAGATAAGAAAATAATAAATCAAAATATCATCAATCTCCAAATAATTACGCCCGTAGGAATATTAGAAAATAAATTACTTCATAATAATGATTTCTATTTTTTTAAATATAAATGTTTATCATCATGTTCCTATTTTTAATAGAAAGTATTTAAGAGTACTGTGAGCCTTATGGCGTAAGATTATTTTTAGGACATTATTATACAAACTTAAAGATCGAAACAGATGCATTAAGAATAGTATTCAATACTAAAGTATGATTTAAGTATTATATATAGAATTAATGTAATAAATAGTTTTAGGTATTCATCAAAGGAGATTAAGAATTCAACATTACAACTTATAAAACCAAGTTTTTAAACATGACAGATATTTATGTTGGTACAAAAGCCAATATAGAATATGAAACATACATACATACTTTCCAAATTCCAATATAATAAACTTCAAGAATTTTGTATGCTTTGAAGAACAATGATAAATTGATTAAAGAAGCTTAAGTTAAATTACCTCAACTTCAACAAGATACTACTAAAGTTCTCTTTTTTGGAGACATGGATTCAAGATGGTTATTCAATAGATCCAAGTAAACCTTTGATTGGTTTGAAGAATAAATAAACCAAAATATTGAGTATGATAGTTTGCTTTTCACTGGAGACATGGCCTACGATCTTGAATCAGATAATTGTGAAAGAGGAGAACTTTGGATAAGCAGAATTAGTTTATTTACTTCATAATATCCCTTTATGATATCTCCTGGAAATCATGATGGCGGCTTTGATTATAAATAGACTTTTCTTAGAGAACACTTTTAAATGTTATATCTAACTGAATATGATACTTAAAATTATTAAAATGATTTTTATAGTTTCAATATTGGTATGGTACATTTTATTTAGTATGATCCTGTTATGATAGTTTATAAAGCTGATCCAAATAACTATATTAAAAACAGATTGTTATCATAATTTAGAAATGATTTAAGTAAAGCAGTGTAAAATAGAGAAGAAGTACCTTGGATTGTTGTGTTTACACATTATCCAATTTATTGTAATTTTATGGATGATGATCAATGCGTTAATAATTTTAAATATTTAGCTGAATTTGAAAAGTTATTTTAAGAATTTCACGTGGATCTATATGTCTCAGGTCATTAGCATAATTATTAGAGAAATTAACCCTATTATTAAAATCATTCAGTTTCATATTAAATTGATGGAAATATCTACTATAACTATGAAAGTCCTATTACAATTATAGAAGGAGCTGGAGGAGCTGATTATGGTCCAGAAATTATGATATGTAAATTATGATGTTAATTTTCAGATAATGATTAACCATATACAGCAAAGTAGTTAGCATAAAATGGCGTTGGTTTGCTGTAGGTGATGAACAAAACACATTTACAATTTCAACATATAAGAGTTTCAACAAACCAAGTTATGGATGAGATTTGGATAATGAAAACCTATGATAAAGAAAAAGATAATTCTTTTGAGTATTGGATCATTACTATAATTATATGTGCTATCGTTATCGTTCTGGCTTTATTTATTTTTATTTTTGTAAAATATAAAGGTAGAAAATCAAAAACATACTAAAAGGCAATGGATAATTTAGTTTGAAAATATAATTTGTTTATTATATAGATTCGTTTCATTTAATTGATAAAATGTAATTTACATGTCTTTTTGTTGACATTTTTAATCTAAATTTATATTAATTAAAATGAAAATATTATAAAAAAGGAAACTTTATAATTTTGTATTTTATGTTGTTCATCATCAAAATTAATGACACAATAATAATAAATAAATTTATATAATTAATTGAAAAAGTTGTAATACTGATTTGGATATTATTTATACAAGATAAAAAGTCTATTAAATTCTGAAATTTATATTAAGCTTAAATGAGTCTTAATAATATCATTTTTAATATCTTTTTCTACTTATTTGTAACTTTTTCTTTTGTCAAGAATCCTATGTTCTGAAAAACAATAAATTATTTTTCTTCTTTATAATTTTTAGACTAGAATGGAAGATTCATTAACAATCCCCTATTTAATAAATTAGTAAATAAATATATTTATGAGGTATTTTCTTGTAATAAGCCAAAAAATTTATTGCCCTAAAAAAGTTTGAAGCCTAAGATTGGGTAGTTTTTGAACACTTAAATCATAAAAAAATTCAAATTTTGGAGGAAATAAAACTTCTAGAGATAAAAAATGTTAGGCTAATTTAATAGACTTATTTTTATTACCAGAATCTAATGTAGTACCATCTGGAGAGAAGCTTACGGACCAGATTGAATTAGTACGACTATCTAATTTTTGACTTTTATATTAACATTCCATAAACGGATAGAGTTATCATCACTGCCAGATGCTAATTTAGTACTATCAGGGGAGAAACAGGCTGACCATGCGGTTTTATTTGTAATTATCTAATTTTGTTTTTATCAAGCTGTCTTGACAAGCCATTAACGAATAGTAGGATCCCCCGCTACCTAATACTGATTTAGTACCATTAAAAGAGAAACAGACTGAGTGAACTGAATTTGAATGACCATCTAATTTGGCTTTTTATAGTTATACCTTTAATCCCATAAATAGATGGAGTTATCTTTACTGATGCTAATGTCTTACCATCAGGAGAGAAAAAGACTAACTTTACTTTATAAAAAAGTCTATCAAATTCAACTTTTTTTCAATGCTGTCTTAAAATCCCATAAACAGATAGATTTATAGAAACTACTAAAAGCTAAGGTCATTCCATTAGGAGAGAAACCTATGTTTTAACTTTGAATTTTAGAGCCATCAAATTTGAAATTTTATTATCTATCTTAACATCCTAAATCAGATCGAGTTACCCTTACTCCATGATACTAATGTAGTACCATCAGGAGAGAAACTGATCGGATAATCACATGAGTATGAACATCTAATTTGGCTTTTATGAAACTTTCTTAACATCCCATAAGCGTATAGTTTTCCATCATCTTACTAGTTGCTAATATAGAACAATCAGGAGAAAAACATTATGTCGTATCACTATCATTTTGATCAATTATTATCCTGTCCTAACATCCCATAACATGATAGTGTTTGAAATTCATTTCTTACTAATACAATTCCATTCGGAGAGAACTAGACTGGTCGATTTTAACTCTGAAATTCACATTTTTATATTCCTGTCTTAATATGCCATAAACGGATACTCTAAGACATTAATGTTTAATACCATCAGGTGAAAAACAGACTGAATTTTAATGGCCTACAAATATTTTCAATTATTTTCCTGTTTTACCATTCCATAAATACACAAAACACTCGATGGAGGATGCTAAAGTACCAAATGGGGTGAAATTAACTGATGTGATATCATGGTATTACTTTTTTATAAGCTTTATTTTTCCTGTTTTCACATTCCATAAAAGAATATCATTTTTACTACTACATGATGATAAATTTACAATCTAGAGAAAGCAAAATGATCTGATACTATTCTTAGAAACAGCTAACTCCATCAATTCATTTATTCTTAAATTCTTCAATTTACAGTTTAATAATTGGCTCTACTTAAATTCATTCGACTAATAATAACATTGTCAAATTTAAATCCACTAAAGTCACATTTAACAAAGTTAGCTTTTATCAAAGAAGTATTTTAATTTTAATATTTTCAACTCATAAATGAAGAGAATTTGATCCACTATAGATGAAATTATTATGATGGAAAGTGACATGCACTAAAACTTTAAAAAATTCAATTATGTCTTTATGACCCCTTATTGTATTAATTAGAGTATATTAATTAATTAAAACCAAGATAATCGTATTTTATCTCCAAATTATAATTAATTATTGATTCAGATTTATTTGCCTTTTAAAATGCAAGAATACTAATACGATATTATCTCTATAAGAGATTATATCAAAATATATCTTTTTTTGTGCATTTTGATAAAATTGCTTTGTCCTTAGTGATATTTTCCTGTTGGATTTTAACTTTAGTAATCAATATTAAGATTATGATAATTCAAGCATTCTACATTGAAAGATCATATTCGCATAAATGAATTAAATTTTAATCAATATATCAACACAACTTAGTAAGAAATTTATGATGATTCAAGACATTTAAATCTTAGAAAGCTGTGAGAAGAAAAATAGTTAAGAATTCTTTAAAGAAGTATACTATTTTTGAGATTAGTATTATTTAATAAATATAAATAAATTCGTATTAAAATTTCGTAAAATTTGAAAATATACTTTCTTTAGTGAGAGAGATCACAAAAAATCCTTTTGTTCATTTAAATCCTAAATTTACTTGCATAGAATTATGAAGATTATTTTAAATTATAAATGTTTATCATCTTATTCCTATTTTTCATAGAAAGTATTTAAGAGTACTGTGAGCCTTATGGCGTAAGATTATTTTTAGGACATTATTATACAAACTTAAAGATCGAAACAGATGCATTAAGAATAGTATTCAATACTAAAGTATGATTTAAGTATTATATATAGAATTAATGTAATAATTAGTTTTAGGTATTCATCAAAGGAGATTAAGAATTCAATATTACAACTTATAAAACCAAGTTTTTAAACATGACAGATATTTATGTTGGTACAAAAGCCAATATAGAATATGAAACATACATACATACTTTCCAAATTCCAATATAATAAACTTCAAGAATTTTGTATGCTTTGAAGAACAATGATGAATTGATTAAAGAAGCTTAAGTTAAATTACCTCAACTTCAACAAGATACTACTAAAGTTCTCTTTTTTGGAGACATGGATTCAAGATGGTTATTCAATAGATCCAAGTAAACCTTTGATTGGTTTGAAGAATAAATAAACCAAAATATTGAGTATGATAGTTTGCTTTTCACTGGAGACATGGCATATAATCTTGAATCGGATAATTGTGAAAGAGGCGAGCTTTGGCTAAGCAGAATTAGCTTATTTACATCTTATTATCCTTTTATGGTAACTCCTGGAAATCATGATAGCGGCTACAACCGTAAATAGATATTTCTTAAAGAGCACTTTTAAATGCCATATATTAATGAGCTTGATATTTAAGAATATGAAAATTATTTTTATAGCTTTAACATTGGTTTCGCACATTTTATTTAATATGATCCAGTAAAAATTATTTACAAAGCAGATCCAAATAACTTAATTAGAGATCAACTTTTACTACAGTTTAGAGATGATTTAAGTAAAGCAGTGTAAAATAGAGAAGAAGTACCTTGGATTGTTGTATTTACACATTATCCAATTTATTGTAATTATATGGATGATGATCAATGCGTTAATAATTTTAAATATTTAGCTGAATTTGAAAAGCTATTTTAAGAATTTCATGTGGATCTGTATGTCTCAGGTCATTAGCATAATTATTAGAGAAATTAACCCTATTATTAAAATCATTCAGTTTCATATTAAATTGATGAAAATATCTACTATAACTATGAAAGTCCTATTACAATTATAGAAGGAGCTGGAGGAGCTGATTATGGAGCAGAAATTATGTTACGTAAGATTTTATGAAAACTTAGTTGAAAATAAACCATATACAGTAAAACAGATGGACCAAAATGGTGTAGGTCTGTTATAAGTAATGAATAAAACACATTTGTAATTCTAATAGGTGAGAGTTTCTACAAATTAAATTATTGATGAATTTTGGATAATATAAAATAGAGACAGTTATGGTCTTTATTATTCTAATTATGAATACTGGGTCCTTTTTCTTCTAGTTGGGATTTTAATTTGCTTTTTAATTTTAATATTATTGTATTAAGTTAGACGTCTCAAATTAAGATTCAATAATTAATACTTGCGCACTAACGATTAAATTGTTTGATAAATATTTATATATATCTATAAAAAATCAAATTAAAGATTGCTAACTTAAATACTCATAAAATATTTATATTTAATTGCATTATTAAACAATATCACGATATTAGATATTATATATTGTTTAAAATAGAATTATTGTCAATTTTAGGACTTATTTAAGTTCATTTAAACATGATTTAAACGATTGTCTTTTGGTAATCATTCTTTCATATTGCCCCTTATAGTTTGATGTATTTTGCAATTGGTTCCTATGTTAATATCAGTTCAATAATAATTCAAATGTCTATATTCAGCCTAATACTTAATCAATAAACTTTTCGACGTTATGCAATCAATTCAAAACACAAAAAGCTAGGTTTCAATTCTGAAAGATTTTTTTTATGATAAATTTAGATTAAATCATATATTATTACCTTCATAACGATTATATAATTTTAATGTAATCGAAAAATTAATATTAAAAATAAATATAAAATATTTGTCAAGCAATCTTTTTGTATTTGATAAAATTTATTTCCTAAAAAGTTTTATAATGCTTACAATGATGAGATACAAGGCTATTTGAATCACAGACTCTCATTAATTAAATATTTAACATTTTTTTCTTTCTTTCAATGTTCATCATGTGTTATGGTTTCGAATGAAATCTATCTGAATTGTTATCTTTTGAATTTATAAAGGAGAATTAGAGTATAGCAACTTATCTTTAATCTTATTTCCTTTCCTTTGATTCAGGATGTATTATTGTTTCTTTATTTATACTTAGTGATCTATAATCGCAAATCTATGGAAGCAAAATATGATCTATGTCATTTTAAACAACTAATCTTTTTTTATAATGAATCATAGCAATAGTATAATTGAAAAATTATATAATGAATATTGATCATAATCAATAAATCCACCTAAATTAAAATTATTCTATATTTCATATTATTCTAATTTGCAATATCAAAAAACAAACCTTAACTTAACTCAACTATCTTATATTCTTGTTCTTCATTTTAATGTACAATTTAATTTTTAATCCTAATTCAACCTACCCCAGGTGGATATAAAAAGTGTAGAACCATATAATTTAGGCATTAATATCGATTTAGGGATGGGGAAAGAACAAAATGAATTAAAAAATGTAATAAATATACTCTTTTTAGAAACTTTATCAAATTAATGAAATATTTAAAAATAATAATAATTGCTTTTACATGATAAACTCAATTAAGAACTAATTTAAGCAATAGCTTGAATTACTTCAGGATAAGAAGTACAAAAAACCAGCTTTTGAAGCTTATAATATGAAGAGAGCCTTTGTCACTTTGGATTAAGCCTTTGAATATGTTGGAGACAATTCCAAATATCAATAGAGGATCACATTATTATTATGCATATAATTTTTGTTTTACTCATTTTTTGTTATGGGTATGCCCTATTTGTTATAAAATCCTTCCAAATATTGCACTGATGAAATCTGCATTGAATATCCGAATTGTAATAATAGAATAGATAGTTTAATTGGATTTGACAGTATTGCTAAAGAATTTGGATTATTTTGTAATGGTAGAAAGGCCTTTATAGCTGCATTATTTTTTGTTGGTTAAATGTTTGGAGGCTTTACATTTCCAATATTGGCAAACATTTTTGGAAGAAGAAAGATTTTATTATTTGGAATGAGTTTAGGTTCGATATCTATTTTTGTAGGATCTCTTTGTGATAATTTATTATCTCTTTATGCCCTCTTCTTTATTGCAGGATTTGGGTTGAGTGGCTATGAGACTGTCGTTTATGTGTACATTACAGAAATAAGTGCCTTAAGATTTCGATCTATTGCTAGCTCCTTGTTAATTGTTATATGGAGTTCTTCGATGCTTATATACCCATTTATCGTTGATATTTTATAGTCATGGCGACTTTTAATGATGTGGAGTATCGGAGTCCCTCTATTAATAACGATCATATTGGATTATTTTTACTTTGTAGAATCACCAAGATGGCTTATTTCTAAATAGTAATATGACGAATGCAGAAGAGTATTTAGATTTATGAGTATTTTTAATAAAAGAAGACCATTTGAATTCAACTTCATGGAAGAACTAGATAAATTCAACAACCGTTGTGTAAAAGTGGCTTCAATGAAAAAAGTGGAAACTTAAATTAAATTAATACAACAATCTAACTAGACTGCTGGATATTGGGAATTGTTTAAAAGATCAAAATTGCTGACCTAAACCTTAATATTGGTTTAAATGTGGTTTTTGAGATATTTCACATATTATGGTCTCCAATTTTCGGTATCTACATTTGGAATATCAATGACAACTACTTTGAGAATGCTGGCTTTGGTTGAATTACTGACTGGAATGTCAAGCTGTAAAATTATTTATTTATCAATTAGTATATTTTAAGTTGAAATACCCTAGAATCATTTCATTGCAGTTTTGCCTACTCACAATGATTTTGAGTGCCACATTAGCATATATAGATGTACCCTTAGAATGCTAGGGTTCATTATGCTGGCAACAAATACTTCATTTGGTCAGTGCTATATTGATCAAGGCAAGTATCACTATTTATAATTCAATGCTTAATACATATACAGGAGAAGCCTATGTGACAACTGTCAGATCATATGGGTATGGAGTTTGCATGACTTTTGGATAACTAGGCAGTACATTTGCTCCTCTCTATGTGTCTTATGTGTAGGAGATCTATCAATAAGCAAATGCAATAACAATAGTTGGGTTGTTGGCATTACTTGCTCTTGGATTAACATGGTGTGTACAAATCTTAATAAGCCAAATTTAGGTTTTTACAAGAAACTTACAAACAGGATATGTATGATAATTTGAGCGATGAAGTAATGGCAACCCAAACCCTTCCCCTGATTAATCAGGAAATGTAATTTGATGAAATCGAACTTTAACAATTAAGATGATGATTAATATAATTATATATTTTTTTATGCAACAGTTGAGGAGCAGCCATTTCTAATTAGGCCAAACCGATTAAAGTACACACCTGATACATAACAATATTAGAAAATTAGTTCACTTCAACCATGAAAATGAATTTTAAAGGAGATAAAGTAAATGATTAAGCCACTGGAGTTGGAGATAAATTGAATTTAAGAGGAGTGCATTTTCATTTAGGAGAGTCAAAACGTACAATTTGAATTCCTATTATAGCTTCATATAACACAATTTTCAAGACTGACTTTTAGGGTAAACAAATAGGTGAACCTGCTACCTTAAATGAAGAAAAAAAAAATGACTTGAGAACAAATCATTTTGTGCTTGGCCATCAATAGGCTCAATAAGTATCAATTACAAGAGCTACTTATAATGAAAAACCGCTCCAACCAGGATTATAAAATGAATAAGAAAGTAAAATGCATATATCCTAAATATGAGTACAAAAAAATAAAATGAGATCACATCATCATAATTTCGCGGAAAGTTCTCATAAGATGATGCAAACAAACTATAACTAACAATATTAACCTCAATAATTAGAACCCAAACAGGATTTAGCCGAAAGAGCAAGATAACTAAGAGTTTCCAATATATTTCTGGGAAAGGAGGTAAATAAGGCCATATACAATTTATTAGTAAGTTCCCATGATTACAGCCTAATAAGAAGACTACAATAAGAAGGAAGGAGGAGCTTAGGCTTCATTCAAACCAGGATTTCAATCAACTCATTTTAATTTTGGCAATGCGAATACTGATTTCAAAACCATGAATCAAGAATTTTTCCATCAGTAGGAAATAACATCAAACCCATTTGCAGAAGAAAACCGATAAAATCTCAGAGGTTATATCATTTATAATTGTTTTAGCAACTCATTTTACATTAGGAAAAGACAATTAACCATATCAATCTGAATAAATGTCACATTTCAGACCACATTCAGAAAATAAGATTAACTATATCAATAACACTGCTGCCTTATAAGGAAGCCATTTTACTATTGGAGATCCAAGATTTATGAATCATAAAACTTAAACATTTTATAACACCACTATGAAACCACCTGAATAATAGTAGCATTAATAGGCAAGAGATTAGTAAATGGATCGAGGATCTAACTTTAAAGTTGGAACAGATAATATATCATATAGATCAGAAATGCAATCCAAGTAACATTTAATCAATATTCAAGTTTTAAAAATCCATCAGGATAACCTGCATAATTATCTGAAAAACTATTAAAAGATTTACGATCTTCTCATTTTGGTTTGAATGATAATGTTAGTAAAAATACTTATTTGACCACCAAATAAGCGGAAGCATTAAATCAATAATAAGGCTAACCAAATAAGCTAGATCCACATGCAAGTGCAAATTTAAGATCTCATCACTTCAACCTTGGTTAGACAAAAGGAGACTTAATTTCATAAACACATGATATACATAGACCATTAATAGGAAAGCCAAATACATTAAATTAATAGTAAGCAAATAATCTAAGAAAGCATCATTTCGCATTATCATGATATCATAAGATAATAATAATTTATGAATGCCATCTTCTATTAAAATTTTTTTGGGTTAAATTATAGCAAGTTTAAATCTAAAATTTAATCTATCTTTTGCATTTTATTATTGGTTTGATTGAAAATAGCATTTAATCTTTTTGTCGCCTACAATTAAATTCTAATAATGGATGTTAAGGAAGCGTTCATGAGAAGTTTTTCACACATTATAGTCTTTATTTGATCATCATCATCAAAGCAGCTTACACAGTAAGAAAATAGAACTCTTGATTGTTTTTCTAGTTAGTTAGATGAATATCTTTTAATAAGCAATATAAAATTATATATACTATTATTTAATGTATTTATTTATCAATTTACTTAATCAAAGATCTAAGTCTTATTTCTTATTTTTTTTAGACTTTTGATTTCTCTTTTCAATTTCTTATTTCACTCTTTCTAAATCCTTAAAATAATGAATAAAATTACCTTATCAACTTGATGCGAACCACTTTGTGCTTTTTTAGCTTTCTCAGCTAATACTTTTTTTATGTCTACTTTATCAGCTTATTATTATTATGGTTGTTATTATTATGGTTGTTATTATTGTTGTTATTATTATTATTCTGGCTTTTTCTCAGCGGCACCTTAGGCTGGTTATTTATCAGCTTCCTTATTTTTGTTTTTCTTCTTCTTTTTTTTTTCTTAATCTCCAGCCTATTCACCCTCTTTTTAAGTAAATCCTAATTCATTCAATATAGCATCTAAATCTTCATTTTCTTTCTTCTTTTAATCTTTCTTCTTTTATTATTATTACTTTTCTTCTTAAGTTTATTTTTGTTTTAAGACTATAGTATAACTATACAAACATACTTTGATATTAATCGACCTATTCTTCTTTAGGTTATTCTTATTCTTTTGTTTATTCTTCAGTTTAGACTTATTCTTCAGGTTTCTATTCCTCTTCGTCACTGTCATTCAATAGTCCTTGGAAATTGTTTTTCTATAGATCTATAAATTTTGAATACACTTGGTTTGATTCTGCGAGCCTCTAATGCAGCTTATTACTCTTTTTAAATTTGTTCAGCCTATTTCTTTTACAACTCCTTGAGTCTAACCCATTCTGGCTTATGATGCTTTTGATAGGGTTTTTTTGACTATTTCTTTTGTTCATTATTTTATTCTTATGGTTATTCTTATTTGACATCTTGGGTCTAATCTTCTTACGGTTATGTTTCTTAACCTTGTGGTTGAGTAATTTCTTCATCATCTGAGATTTCGGCCCAATTGACATTTGGAGTGGTACTATCAGCCATTTCAAGATATAAATATTTTTAAATATTTTACAAAGTTAATAATCAAATCATCTAGGTACATTTGGATGTAGTGCCAATTCACGAAGATTACAATCCTCATGATCTTGGACAACAACTAATATCTTCTCCTTATTAATCATTTATCTGATAACAGCACCAACCAATCTCTCGTATTAATGGACTTCCTCTTCGTGTTCAATTTGATCCAATTTATTAGTAATGTACCACTCAGCTAAATCCTCCCATTTCACACCTTTAGCTTCAGTAATCTCTTCTTACATTTCTCTCTCCTTCTGAATCATGAATGAGGTTAACGCTCTTACAATATCCAAATACTCATCTTGAGCCAATTGAATTTTCTATCCTTATCTTCTCCTCTCTCTTTCCTTCTATTGCAACTCCTCCTCAATAATACCCATAGCTCTAGTCTAAATAGGTTATTGCTCTTCTAAATCATCAATAAATTTGGGTGTTTCATCCACTTAAAGAATGGATTAACCTAACAATTTCTCTGCTTCTTGAACATAAGAAATTTTGATGAAATCATCGCATTGCACTCTTGCCAAGGCTTCTGATAACCGAATCAAAGATTCCAACTATCTTACTGTGATACGATAACTTGTTCTCTAACTTGTTTGATCATTCTCTCTCAATCTGATATAAGCCTCCTTCAAATATTATGCACTCTCATGAGTCAGAATTGGCTTAAAAGTTCTAGCATATCTTATATATTTCCTAAGTTAATCTTAACTAAATCTTGGTTCTATAGCACCTTCCTATTGGCTATGTAGCCTCACAATATGAGTAGCAATTTGTTCATCCACGAATGGTCTGCAAGCATCTGTGATTATGAAGAATAAATCGAATCTAGACATAATTGGTTATGTCATATTGACATTGAATTTGAGAGTTTTAGACCTGTCATATCTTCCAAATATAGGATTTGCTGCTGCTAAGATAGATGTTCTGGCATTTAAAGTTGCTTAAATACCTGCTTTAGCTATTGAAATAGTTTATTATTCCATAGCTTCATGAATTGCCACTTAATCCTTAGAATCCATTTTATCAAATTCATCAATACAACAAATTCCATTATCTGCCAACATCAAAGCTCCTGCTTCAATACAAAATTCTCCATTCTCAATATCCCTATGCACTGAGGCAGTCAAACCTGCCGCACTTGAGGCTTTACCAGAAGTATAAACTGATCTGGGCAAGAGATTACAAGTAAATTTCAGAAATTGAGACTTAGCTGTTGAGGGATCACCAACTATACATACATTAATATCTCCTCTGATATGAACTCCTTCTTTTGTTGTCTTATAAACACCTCCCATCAACATTAGGAGAATTCCTTTTTTGATGTCCTCATAACCTTAAACAGCTGGAGCAATTGAATTGGCTAAATTCTTAAAGAGATCTGGTTGTTTTTTCATTTCTAAAATTTCTTATTTTTCATAATCATCAAATTGTTATCCTCTTTTGGCATCCTAATCACTCAAACTCTCTGTATATTCTTTATCATCTATTTGCTGTTTTTAAAGATTGAATCTATTGTTGTTAGTTTCCACACTGCAAGCTATAAACACAAACTTATAACATAGGTCCTTCACACCCAATTATTTTAATCCTGTAATTCCATCTTATGTTTATCCTCTCTAGTTATTCCCTTGATTTTAAGTTGTCATAGAACTCTTCAAGCCTGGCTTACCTAAACTAAACACATCAGGAATAACAGTCAAATATCCATTAAATGTGCATTTGTCTCCTGGTTTAGCAGCATCACATTTTTCATTGTGTAATATCACATCTATTGATCTCGGCATGGATCCAGCTGGAATATCTTTTGAGTCTTCCTACACTCTAACCTTTTGAAAGTCTGTAAATTGTGACTTATTTAGATTTATAGTCCATCTTGATTTATTATCACATTTAGTATTTGGACACTAAAATCTAATTTATGATTACCTTTTTTGGTTCTGTGAATTTAAATTATTATTCAACATTATCAATAATTCTATCGCACATCTAACATGTAAATTGTCCTGATAGCAACTCGGGTCTCACTTCGTAGGTACGAGTCACAGTTCCAATGAATGAAGATAATTTACCAATTTTATTTGCTCTCAAGTCTCTAATCTTTTCTGTAGCTGCCAAGTTAGAAACTGCCAAGAAATAAAGCTTTTCTAAATTTATTTGTTTTCAACACTTACATTAATCTTCAACATCTTAATGCTAGATGAACATAAATTCTTGGATGGCTCTTCTGAAGCTTGGTTCAAATTGATAAAAATCTGTTTGCATTATAATTGACAGATCCTAATATCCTTCAGTCTGTGTGATGTGGGTAAAGTCCAAATTTAATGTAGTACGATCATTATCTCTCATTATTCGAGCCTCCTCGTGGTAGTAGTAGAAACTTTCCCCTGTTTAGGGATTGATTGTCCTAAACTCTTGTAAGAAATGTAAGAATCGATTTTAAACCTATTGTTCACGTGTTTCTTACATAATTTAATTATTATTATCCGCGAAATAATATTAAAAGCGCCAATTAAAAAGGAAAATTTTTGTAATTTTATATCACTAAAAATTTAAATTATAAAATAACTCAATTCTGGTTCTTTTATTTGAACTCTCTTATCAATCATGCAAGATCTCATAAAAGTGGTGATTCTGAAAGTGCAGTTATATGTTTAAAAAGCAACTATTTAATCGACTAGCATTTTGGTGGCAAAGGATAATTTGGTAAATAGGATGGAGAAGTTCGATACTTTTTGATGTCACTTTTTAAGAGGTTTATTGTTTCCCGTCTATTTAAAGTTCTGATTAATTTAATTTTTATGAAATAAGCTAATCTCATTGAGGTTAGTGTTGAAGATCCTAAATTGAAGCCACTTCTCAAAGAAAACAACTAGAGTCCTGTGTAAACTAAATCATTGCTTATAAAATTTAAGTTTGCAAAGATTAGTGAAGTTGTTATTAGTAAATATCATTCTTAGATGATGTTTAGAATTAAATCAGAAACCTAGGAATATTATAGCAAAACTATGTAACCTTTCATAATAATCAACTCAATCAAATTAATATGACTTGGAGTATATAAAATTATCCTATGTTACTAATGAGAATCAAAAAGTCATTTATTGTAGCTCTGTTAACACAAATTAAGTAACAATAACAGTAAACATTAAGCTCTATACAAATCTCTTAATAAAGCTTGAATAGAATGATGTAGCTTTTTATAGCATCTAATTATATGGTTAGGAATAAGCTCCTAAAGCAAAATAAAGTTTTTGGGATAATTTCTTTGTCTAACCATTGTCTAATGGTACACCCGACCACCATACAAACAACAAAGATCAAGAAGAAAGAAGGATATAGGAAATGAATAAAATTGCATAGAAAGAAAAAATGGAACTTGAAAAGGCAGTAGAAAATAGTTTCGTTAGTGCCAAATATGAATAGATAAATTAAAAATAAATCATAGAGTCTATTAAAGACACCAAATAATTTTAGTAAAGATAAGTATATCAATTTCAAGAAGATGAACAAATGAGCTAAGAGATTTTGATGGAAAACAATGATTTATAGAAATATTAATATGGAGGGAAGAAACAGCCTTAAGTGAGGAGTGAAAATTTTGGATATACAGATAAGAATAGTGTTCCTGATTTGGGATTTAAGGGGAATGCTAAGGAAAAGTAAGGATAAAATAGTGATGACCAAATAAAAATACATTTTATGACAAAGTATAAAGCAGATGATATTAATCAGGCTTTTATGAGAATGCATTAATTATGTAGAATCATTTGATAATTTGTAGTGGAGGAAACAGGGGGAGCGAAGAGAGTTCTAAAAAATGTGATGTATAATTGATATTATAAAATAAATAAATGGCACAAAATCCTGCCATCATCGAAGTGGCTGAGAATCCTGAGGAAATCAAGAAGAAGATCAAAGCCTTGCCATTGAAAGAGAAGTTGAAAGCAGTGGCATTGAATTATTACTTGCAATAGAAAAAGAAGTTGGATATTGAATTGGAGAAGGAAATGAAAAAGCTTTAAATTCAATTCGATGAGAAGGCAGCAAAAATATACAAAGCAGTAGATATGATGAAATAACAGATAGTCAAATGAAATTATTGAAGGGACACGTTTGCTTACAGAAGAGGAATTGAAGGATGTTGATTTTTATCTGGAAGGAGAGGAAGCCACATAGAAGAATCAGGCCTTGACAGCTGAGCCAATCAATGGTTATTGGTTTAAGGCATTGAAGAATTCAGATATCATAGCACAAGAAATAAAAGACAGAGACGATCCGATTTTAAAATCTCTTACAAAGATCGAATATGAACCTTAAGAGAAGAGTGACAATTTTTCATTAAATTTTTATTTTGCTCCAAACGATTACTTCAAAAACTCAGTGCTCAAGAAAAAGTTTATATTGAAAGGTGTAAATTATTGATTCATATTTGAAGATGGTGAAAACCCTGTGAAAAGTGAAGGTACTATTATAGAGTGGAACGATGGCAAGAATGTGACTAGAAAGTTGATAAAGAAGAAACAGTTGGAGAAGAAGAGTGGTATAGTTAAGACGATCTCTCAGGAGGTGGATGCAGAAAGCTTTTTTATCTTCTTTAAACCTATCAATTTAGAAGACAAAGAACAAATAGAGAAATGGGTGTAAGAAAATAAATTGGATAAATATGCAGAACGTATGGATATCGATTATGATATTGCTCGTATGATTATAGATGAAATTATTCCATATTCATTGGAGTATTATTTGGGAGTCAAAATTAATGATGCCTTTGATGATATTGAGGAAGTGGATGCTGAATCATCAAAGGGTAGTGATGAAGAGGAAGAAAACAAATGAGGAAATATTAGATGAATTAATGAATATAAACAGTTAAATTAATTTATTATAATTTTTATAATAATTATTATAATATATATTTTAAATAAGATATTGAGGCTGAATTATATTACGTATTAAAATCAATGTTCATATCCTCAGACAAATATCTTGATATTAATTTATATAAAAAAGAATCAAATTTATGTACGTGAAACCTTTACCCTCTCTAACTCACATTGGTAGATACTATGTCCGCATCATAAAGGACTTGTCAGTCGTCAAACAAATCCCAGCTGGCTCAACAGTGCTTGTTGGAGGCTTTGGATTATGTGGTATTCCAGAGTGCAGCATCAATGCCTTAAAGGAGGCAGGCACAAAGAATATCACTGTAGTCAGCAATAATTGTGGCACCACAGATCTTGGATTAGGATTACTTCTAAATAATGGGTAATTGAAGAGAGTGATAGCCTCATATGCAGGAGAAAATCACAATTTAGCCAAGTAATACAATAATACAATCATTTATAGATAGTACTTTGATGGAACTTTGGAGTTAGAATTAGTCCCTTAAGGCACCTTGGCTGAAAAATTGAGAGCCGCTGGTGCTGGTATTCCTGCATTTTACACACACACCGGAACAGATACAGTTGTAGAGAAAGGTGGAATTCCCATCAAATATAGCAAGGGTGGAAACTCAGTTGAAATTGAATCTAAACCAAAACCTGTAATATCTTGTTATTTGACTCTTTTAGGTTGAATATTTCAATGGCAAGAAGTACATTAGAGAAGATTCTATTTGGGGAGACTATGCCTTGATCAAGGCCAATGTTGCTGATACCAATGGTAATCTTAGATTTGTGGGAACAGCCAGAAATTTCAACCAAGACATGGTCAAAGCAGCTAAAGTTGTTATTGCAGAAGTCGATTCCATTGTGCCAGTTGGAAGCTTTGGATTTGATCAAGCACACGTCAATGGAATATACGTTGACTATCTCTATTAAGGCAATAACTATCTGAAGACTGTCGAGAGATTAGTTTACGATTAAAGCGTATATGATAAGAATAAAGGTATAGGAGTCATATTATTTGTAGATATCAAGCCATAAGGAAAATAGAATGCAATAAGAAATAGAATTGCAAAGAGAGCAGCCTAAGAATTCAAAAATGGCATGTATGTTAATTTGGGCATCGGAATCCCAACTCTCATACCAGCATTTCTTGATTCAAGCATGACAATTCATTTCCATACAGAAATTGGTGCAATTGGAGTTGGTCCATATCCAAAATTAGGCCAAGAATTAGGTGATCTTTAAAATGCAGGAAAAGAGTCATGCACTTTGAATCCTGGTGCTACCACTTTTGAAAGCAGTGAATCATTTGGCATCATCAGAGGAGGACATTTAGATATGACTGTGTTGGGAGCGATGTAAATTACAAAACAAGGAGATATTGCTAATTGGGTTATACCAGGAAAGATGGTTAAAGGAATGGGAGGAGCAATGGATTTAGTGGCTTCTGGATCTAAAGTGTTAGTTGTTATGGAACATACTGCCAAAGGAGAAGTTAAATTTGTTAATCAATTATAATACCCAGCAACAGGAATGAACAAAGTCAGCCAAGTTATCACAGGTATTTAATATAATTATTTATTTATAGACAAGGCTGTGTTTGTTAAGAGAGATGGCCAATTGGTCTTGACTGAAATCTCTAGTGATACTACACTTGAATGGGTTAGAGCCAATACTGGATTTGAATTGACAGTCGCTGACGATCTAAAAACCTTCTAAGTTTGATACAATATAATAATATATTAATTATGGTAAAATAATAAAAAAAATCCAGTTTCACTGTTATTCCACCTCAACCAGATTTCCAAGAATAGGAAATTGAACTTTTATAAGAGGATCTCAATGATGATTTAATTAAAACATTATCCAAAGCAAATACAAATTCAATTGCCACAATTGTATAAAAATCTTGTTTACAATTTAGAGAGAAAAAGAGAAAAAGGTCGTGGAATTCAAATCCAGAGTTCTCGAATTAGTTGAGATTTTTGTTTCAAACACAAAGAACCCTACAATATTCATTGAGAGAATTTACCCATTCATCAAAATGATTAGCGATTTTAAGAACCCTTAAAAAGTATAGTATATCAATAGAGTTTGCAAATTAATACACTAAATCATACAAAAGGGAGATTTGGGAGAGCACATTGATAATATGAAATAGTGTTGTGAAACATTAATTACTTATTTGCATAAATGCTAAGACAAATCAATTAATAAGAGATTCTTTGAATTACTTGATCTCATTCTCAAATAGATAAGTTAACATGATAAGAAGGCTGTTGTGGATATAATTGTCAAAGGTCTAGTGTTAATGAGGAAGAACAGCAACATTTAAATGCAAAACATCAGAAAACTCATATTCAATTATTAATTTGCACTAGTTCCAGTCTTACTTAAGTTATGCCAACTGAGTGAAATTAATGAAAACTATGAAAGAAGCAAATATAATGTATATCACACAAGCATATCTTTTAGTTTAGTCATCTATTATTCACACTTATTCAGAATGAGCAAATAAAGAAGAAGATAGTTTCCAAGGAAAAAGTCAAACAAGCAATTGCCAAATTAGCATAACACACTCTAGAGAACTATGCTTCATAGAACTATAAAAGAGTAGCAATTTTTAGATAAATTCTATTGTCGTACAAAGCATTAGAATTGAATGAACTCTAAGAACAGATTTAGACATTCTAATCAGAAGATTAAAATGTCTAACACATCATTAATAAATTATAATGAGTATATTATTCTATCAAATCATCATTTTCTTCTCATATAATGGTACCAATTATCGACTTATCTCCAAGTATCATTAAGAGAGTTTACAATTTCTTGCTTAAATTTTGCTGTTGCCTCCTAGTCAGATAAGTTCAAAGCCAATTAATCTTCTATGTATTTTACGTTGGAAGCCTATTATAATTCAGGCATGCCAGCCGATAGATTCATTAAGAATATATTAATAATAAAATGACCATGTTTTCTGACCAGATTATAAGCATTAGTACAATCTTACTAAAACTTTTTAAAGAGATCTCCATCTCTACCTCCAATAACAAATGCCATCTAATTTATTTATGTTTAAATAATAATACTTCTTCAGTTAATACAAATTTAGATCTCTCTCTTTTAATACCAAACTTCTATTTGAAATTTCCAAAAAAATGAGCAAAATCTATATGAAATAGATGACCAGTTTCAGTAATCATAATATTACCAGAGTGTCTGTCTCCTATTCCAAGAATATAGGTTGCAACACAATAGCCTGCACAGGATCTTAGAAAATTATCAGTGGCAGTCTCAAATGATTTAGTGTCAAAATTTTTCTTTTTCAAATAATTCCATATAGTTTTTAGTTCAAATGCCCCCATTAAACCCAATTAGCTATGAATTTTCTCAATAGTTTCCGAACTACTAACAACTTAAATCATACCCACATTGTCCTAAGTTGATATAGCCTTATATGGTTTCATTCTAAAATCTAAGCCATCGTCCAACCAGATCTTATCCATAATCTTAATTAATTATAGTGTCAACATATCCTATCTGATATCGTCACCAGTTTTAAAAATGATTTTAAGCAGATGCTGTTTACATATCTCTTCTTTCTCAATTTCGTAGTATTTTTATTCCAATTTATCCTATTGCTATTTGTTGTTGCTATACAAATTTTCATCTTGAGGTCTGACTACTGAGAAATTTCTAAAGGGGTTTTCTTCTTGCTATTAAATATCGATTGGTAGTTAGAGTTATAATTCATCATCATTTTCAAGAAATTTTGGCATCACTGCTAGCCATAGAGACATTTTCTTAGAATCCATAACCTTGCACTTATCATAATAGATTGATGAAACCTCCATTCTTGAATCTAGAGCAAAGGAGAAGGGTTTTGGCAATTTTGGATAGAGTTGCAATAATTCAGTCTTCAAGAAATGCTAGCGTAAATCTTTGGGCACATTCTATTCCTTGATCTTCTACGCAATTTTAAATAACTCATTATCTACAAGAACTTCATTCATTAATTGTTACCTAAATTCTCCACAAAGCATTAATAACTGTTCTAACAATAAAGAATATCTTTCGTAAGATGATCGTACATGCAATTAAGCTTTGAGCAACCAGAATAATTCATGTCCTACAACCCAAGGATTTTGCAGACTCCTCTCTAACAGCATCTCGGCCAATGGATTGAATAGATGTTTCTCAAACATCAAGCATTAGGTCAATTCCAACATGTATAATTGTAATTCATCATCAGATAATATACTCACTCTCTCAACCGCATAGAGTCGAACTGTTTCATCTGCAAAATGTGCGTCCAATAAAGGCAAAGCATCTTCAGGTGGCAAGGGTGTCCATAATTTAATCATGTTATGGGCCTCTCTGACTTGTTCAGGATCATCCCATTCAATGGCCATTAGAAAGATTTGTAATGCATAGGGCAGTGTTTTGTAATGGTTCCTACAGATCATTAGAATGTATTTATGCTAATCAGTATAATAAGGCCTATTTAATGGATTGTATTTAAGTAATCCTTACAAGATGGCAAGATCTTCAGTCCTTGGAGTAGTTGACCAATTTTTTTAAGGAAATACTTAGTTATAATTTTCTTGAGTGCTCTAATTCTGCTATATACTTTATTTTGAGAATCGATGATTTAATTTAAAGGTGCTCACTTACGTACTAGATTAATCATGTACATTAAAGCTGCTACCCTGATTCATATGCATCATAGATTATGCAAAATTAGTCTATCGATCTTGCATTTCTCCAAAACGAAGGGTCGTCCCTTAATCTTAAGTGGAGTATCCTACTTGCATGTATTATTCATATGGATTTGCTTGTTATCTATGATGTATATTATATAAAGATGCCATTTATGTTCTTTATTTTTTTAGGAATATTTGCGAATTGCTAAAACTATTAGATTATGAGTTTGTATTAAATTATTGATAGGCCGAATTTTTATTAGTATTTTAGTATGTAGAGATAAATTGATCCTAGTTCAAGGCTGACGATTGGGATTGTTGATAGTTTGAATAATCTGAATTAGGAATAAATTTGTTTCTCATTTCTTAATATCTTTGTGATCTAGCTGATTTCGAGAAACCTAATTCTTCCATTTGTTTTTCATCTCTAAGACTCCATTTCATAGTTTAATTGAATTAATCCAGTTACACTAACAATCTGCCATAAGATCTATTAATAAGTTGAGAAGAGATAAAATGTTGATTCTTATTACTATGAAGAGGAATGCCTATTTATTGATTCTACTACTTAACCCATCCCCAATATTAGCCCATGCAGAGTAATCTAGGATCAATTTTATAGAATGGCCAGATGTTCAATTGATTTACTGATGATCTGAACTTTGTTTCCTCATAGAAGATGTACATGGTTGTACATCCAATAATTTACTACTATCCAGTAGCACTGTGGGCAATGATGTTGAAACACAATCTAGCTTCTAATGGCAATTGAGATATTTTGATGCCTTAGAATGTGACGGTCTAATAAAATTTAGGACATTAACTGAATGGTTAATTTTTAGTTTCAGCTTGACACCAAGGAGTGAGCAATTTGCATCCATGAAATAAACTGACTTATACTGAGATAAGATAAGGTAAAAAGTCTAAATCGTATCTCTCTTATAAGGTGGCTAATTCATCAAGGTTATCCTAACCTCCAAATGGGATGTACCTCTTGATGTCAATATTTTTATTTTCCAAGACTCGTCCAGTTCTCTTGTGCAGTTTGAGGTGCACTTATTATCTCTTATTAATGTCAGATTCATCATTTTTCTTATTGCCTTATTTATGTTGTTCTTCCTCTACTTTGGTTCCAGCATACTTTTTGGTTATATACAGCGGAGGTATTAAGCCATTATAAGTAGCTCTCTGTAGTTGATTTTCATACTTGTTGTCTTACTCCAAAGTTTACAACAAGTTCTCTATGGAGCAAATCTTAACACTGAAAGGCCAATCGCATTCACCAGAATACAGTAGGTTCTACTCAATTTTCAACATGTTTAATTTCTGCAATTCATTTTTCATCGAAATCAGATCATAGATCTATCCAGAGCTTTTCTGCTTCTAGACATTAGTATTCGTATTCTCTTTGGATGGAGCACGGGTCGGATTTTCATCAAAGGACATCCTCTTAATTGTGTCCTCATGATTAATGAAGACATCTTGACTATTCTACACTTTGATCTTATCGAATTTGATCTATGGGGAAGGTCCACACCCAAGAGACAACTGAGTATTGGGTATTTCCGATTCATACTTTTTGAGTGGGATCGGAGAGTACCACAACAAGGCTGGAACATCTCGAAATTTAATCCAGTCAATCTAGGGATGGGGTTCTCCTCCTTTGATTCTGTAGATGATTGGAGGGAACAGAAAGGTCTGATTAAACTACTTGGGAATCTCAGTCAAGATCACTTCCAAATGTTTCATTCCTCTCAACTAGACTCTCACTCTATCATAGGAGAGCATAGGATGATTGCCTGTCAAGAATTCTTTGAAACCGGAGATCTGTAGGATGAACTAATTGTTGTCGTCTTTTGGTCTCAACTTCACGTTGAATCTCTAATAGACTTCTCTTAGAACACTCTTGATCACTTCATCAGCTCCAGTGACTAAACTTGCCGAGATCTCTACTATATTAGGTTTTTCCATCAATTAGACTTCATCTGGCATACTTTAGAATAATTCTCTGTATTGATTCAATTTAACTTTGAGCTTGATTGAGTTTACTTTGACAAATGCCTGACTAAGAGTTGATTGACACAAATATGTTGGAATCGAGGAAGATTATTTATGCAGCAAGTAAGAGGGTATCTTTCTTCTACGATATTGATCGATCTGCTTTGAAGCCATGAGCCAAGTACCTGCCAATCTAGAATTCAGACATCATACCTGTCTTCAATTTGAGTATCGATTCAATTTGTTGGATTGCTTACAATGCCTTCTATCGATAATCTTGATCTACATCCTGCTCCACTCTCACTTCATTGGTGTTGATGTTCAGGGTGTAGATCTAACAACTATCAGGATCGGCACATATCAACCACTTCTCTTCCACCTGCTGCATTTATATATATTTAAATAATTCAGAATCGTTGTTTCTCACAGATCATGTTTGTTATCCTATTAATAGATACCTTATAATAATATATAAACAAAATGAATTAATTTCATTATTTAAATTTAAGTAGTTTCTAAAGATCGTACTCAGTGTTGAATCTCTTACTGGATGAAGAATTGCGGAAAGATTGAGTGGAACCACATTATGAAATCTGGGAATTCTTTACTGACTAAAATCTTGGACCTACCGCACTCAATTGTGGAGCTACTCTAATCCTACACAAATCATTACCATTCAAAGACAGAGTAGTGATCTTGTTCCTTATGATACTAGTTCGAATCGAAGACCTCAAACTAGCATACTTGATCTTCTCAACGAATTGCTCCCTCTTAGATTTTGGCTAATCTGAAACAAAATCGAAATTTTGAAATTCTTTATCGAATTTGGTCTTTTACTCCCTATACAAATTGTCTTGCAGCTTTTACTGAAATTCCCTATCGCCCTTACTGAATTCAGCCACATTATAATTCGTTTGAAGTGGCTAAGGTTTATATTGAATATTGAGCTATTTTTTGTAGAGTGCAGTGTAATTGAAATTGCTGAGCCATTTATGATTGAGCACATCCTCAATTCCATTCATTCTCCCCAGTCTCTCATTCTAATCCTTGGTCAACAAATTAAGCAAGAGGTTTTTGAGTTGATCACTAATTTTTATATGCTCAGGGAACTCCAACTTATCGTATTGAATGGAATTCAGGATGTTTTGCAATTACTAATCGTAATATGGGGGATATCCATATATGAACTCATACAATACAGCCCCTAAACTATAACAGTCTAACAATTGGTTATGTCCTCTTTTGGATACCATCTCTGGTGACATGTATTCAGGAGAGCCACAAAAGGAGTAGGTTTGCTTGTCTCTGGAAATGTTGGGTTTAGAGAGACCGAAGTCAGACAATTTAATATAGCCATCTATATCCAGTAAGATATTTTCTGGCTTCAAATCCCTATAGATCACATTCTATTCATGGAGATAGTGGATTGCTAGACATAATTGTCCAAAGTATTGTTTTGCAACTTCTTCGCTCAAAGTCCCCATTTTCCTAAGATGAAAGAACAATTCACCTCCATGACAGTAACTAAAACATCACAAACACTGTATATACTCCATCACAAAAACCAAATAGTATTTAGTTTCAAATGAACAATGCAACCTAGTCAGGAATTGACTATCCAGATTACTCATTATCCACTTCTCATTATTTATCATACTCTCCTTATTGTTCTTTATTATGAAAGATTTGTCGATAATTTTCATTGCAAAGAATTGTCCATTCCTTTTCTGCCTTACCAAATACACTCTCGAAAAGCCTCTACAAAATTCTAACTCTTTACCCTACGCCAATACATTTTATCAATGTGAAATCATCAAAAGAATTGCTTTTACTTTCGCCATAGTAGATTGGAATCAATTTCAGAGTCCTCCCCTTGCTGAACACCGACAATGGCTTATCATCCAACGACAAATAGTAATCCACATTGTAGTTTTGGGTGTAGCTTTAAAAATATGCTATCTTTTCATAATTCTATGGATCCTGCACACTCATCTTCGTTATCAATTTCTAATACAAGTCCGTCGTGGTTTGATCGAGACCAATCGGAACGATGTACCTATGTTACATCAATGTATACTGTTTATCCTACGTTATCAGTGTAATTATAAGTTCATAATTGTCCCTATCACTATTTAGGGTTCTGATGTGGGAAACCCCTTTCAGTTTCACTGCAGCTGATACAACTAAGGCAAAATAAGACTCTGATTGCATACTTTTCTGAACATCCAATAATTTTGGAGATTTAAGTCTGCCTAATCTCGGAGGTGATAATTGCTGCCTCGGACTCAGACTTGGGTTTTGCGACTCTGCTTTCTTCTTTTTTTTCAATAGTTCCAATAATTTATTACTTTGCACCATTTGACAACTTTGAGTTCTACTCATTAATTTGTAAATATAAAAAATGTAATGTATATTATTAATGTATTTTTTGACCAGATTTTTACAAATTGTAATTTTTTACATAAGTTTTGATATATTAATTAACAAACCAAAGATTCGACTCTCTTTCAATATATTCATACAACCAACAATTCTTATATTTTGCTATTCTCAATTTCAAGTGAGTATAAGTATAAGGTAACACCTCACAATATATAAATATTAAACTCTATTTTGAATAATAGAATTTACACTTTGAAACTTTTATTGTTGAATCTTATTCTTAATAAGGGGTTTGTTGAAAACTTAATTAGGTCATCGTTTAATTAGTTGATTAATAAATTTATCAAAATATAATTTAAATTCAAATTAGAATATGGATCAATCACCAGATCACCCCTAAAACTAAGTCTTGTAACGAAGTGAAACGCAAGCTATTCCAAAAAATACTACTGGCAGAATAGTGTATTAAACATATTTTTGTTTATTGGGTACCACTCTTCTAATTTTATCAATTATATCTTATTATTTCTATAGTGATGCTTTTGATAATTATAAGTATATCATTGAGAATTGGCAGTAATAACCAATAGAATCCATACGATTGACTTTTGATAATTGCAATAATGATGTAAGAATGAACATAATGACATAGGAAATAAATTTGATCAATTACAAATGGCCTGGAACTGTGGATGGATGCGATTGTCGTTATGGTTTTAGATTATTGGCTGTTAAAACTAATAATCATCACACATGGATTCCAAGAAATAAGATATACAACAATCATGCTTGTAACATAACACAAAGAGCATGGGGATGTGTTTCGATATATGCTAAAAACCCTATTGATTTTAATAGATTCCCATCAAAAACACAAAAAGAAGGATTCAAACTGTGTGCTGTACTTGAGAAAGACAATAGCTTCTACTCTCGTCATCCTGATTAAGATGAATGTCCAAAAGGATAAATAAAATGCGGAACCCAGCTGGATTACTTTTATTGTACTAGTCAACCCCAATGTCCGATATTTGAGATTGGTTTCAAAGATGTTACTGCAGTTTCAGATGCATAAGAATAGACAGAAAAGGGATTTACACTTTTATATAATAGAAAGAGTGAGTATAAACTACCATTGGTGGAGGTGAGAGTGTCAGAAGGATAAGGGATTTGCATGAAGAATCACGAGAGAGGGTTGACTTCTGGGAGAACAGAGTATTCTTTAATGAGGGAGAACAAAACTGAATGCGATATTGATAAAAGATTTATTAAATTACAATCCTCAAATGAAGTTGAATTTTATGAATCCAACAATCAATTAAAATTGCAAGATCAACTGAGAGGATATGAGATTTCAACATAATATCAATGGGGTAATTGAGATTGTTAATTCAGGTCTTTATGCTCGAGGATATATTGAGTGGAAGATGTCGTGTAGAGGAGAAATCTTCGATAATTTTATTGATCAGGAACAAATACTAGAAGAGATATTACATCATTAGAAATATCTGATGATAATATCTATAATCTACTTCATCGTAATCTCAGTAGTGTGGAGTATTATACAAGCCCACACGTTATAAGGAGGAGATTGGCCTTGTATCAAAGGACGTGGCACTGAAGAATCCAATACCATTTTTTATTTGGAAATACTGACTAAAATCTTACTATAGAGTTTATAGGCTTTCATCATAATTTCCAGTTTTAGTAAAACCAAGGTAGAAAGTGACTTCTTAGAAAGTGTAATCCTGCGGAATTGTTCCGATAGTTATGTTTAATTATAATTAGAGTACCTAAGGGATATGTTGACTGAGAATATTTATGATTTTAACAAGGGATGCTTGATCCTATTTTGTATTACCACAGTCTTTGACTTTTGTGTGGCATTGTATTTGGTGATTTCATTCATAAGAGACAGGAAGTAAAAGGAAAGTAGTTTCGAACATAGAGATGAAATTAAATAGGGTTACGAATTAAGTTAAATGTAAGGGATGACAAATCAAAATTAATAACAATTCAATTATTAATCTCCATACAACAATTGATTGATTTATAATAATAATAATATTTATACAATCATCCTTTATAAAAATTCTCCAAAAATGCAACAAAGGCTGATGCTCTTACATAGCTATACTTTGATATGTCTTATTTCAAATTCGTTGAAGCAGCAGTTAATCCATTTCCTTCATTAATTGTTTTTTTGATAGCTTTTATCTTCTCATCAAAATAATCTTTATCCAGCCTCTAAGTAGATTTTGATTGAATATATTGATTTATCTGTCTTGAAATTCCATAATATTTGATCCTATACCACAAGGCCAAACATCCTTTTAGAATAGTTAGTAATGTCAAGATGACTGAGATAAATAGGATTAAACCCTATGGAAGCAGATATAGTTGTATCTAGAACAGAATCAATAAACATGCAGTGAATAAAGTATTAAGTACTATCCATTTCAATAGGAACTTAAACTTTTAATAGGCTTTGTCAGAATTGACTGAACTAGAACCTGTATTGGTCAGTCCTTTCGTGCCCCATGACAAGTCGTCTATTCTGCAAAACGAATAGATGACAAATAAATGCATATAAGTAGGTTGATAATAAAAGTATGGGATCATGGTCAAGGCTGCATTTAATATATTTTAAGGCAGTAGACAGATTGATGACATTATTGGTAGGATTATGGATCCTATAGACACAACCACAAGAACCAAGTAGTAACTCTGTGGAACTTAAGGTTTCTCCACTATATCATTGAATCCAAAATTGAAGAATATTTCTGAGATTAGCAAATAGATTGTGTATACTACAGTGCCAAGACTGATGAACCCCAAACAAGTTGACACAAAGAAGAGTCTTGAGAAGTAATAATCCGTCTCTGCCTTCTGTTTATCCGAGGATCCCAACTCTCTAATTAATGCAGGATCATAGTTAATAGCCAAATAAATAATCATAAACACCAAATACACATAGAAGGCAATGACTGTTGAAATAATAAAGTTATTTAATCCCAAATCTCCAGTATCTACTATAGCATACAGTATCATATATAGCCAAAGAATTTGAAATGACTCCATAAAATATATCATGAGTTACTGAATCTTGGCCTAAGTAATAGATAATTTAAATTTTTATCTATCCCACCAAGAATGTTAACTAGAATTTAGATCATCATCGTAATTATCAGATATATAAGACAAAGCATGCCATGATCCATTAATCCACCGCCTTCTTTGTAGAATCAACGATTTCAACGAACTACATGGATCTACATAAACCAAAGAACTCGCAATATATCTAAGATAGTATCCATTGCAAAATAACAGTTTACACAGAACTCTGTCTTCAGCTAAAAACATGTTAGCCTCTTATAAGGTTTGGTGTTCATAATTTTGATCCAACACCTACCCCAAATATTTATCCAATATAGTATCTTATTTTTGTGGTATGGGTTAATTTCCATTACTCATCCTAGCCTCATCATCTTAATAGTTGTTAAAGAATGCGTTGTATCTATATGCAGAGAATGCACCAGGAAGGACATGAATAAAATCAAGTGCTGCTTCCGCTTATTTATCAAGCAAATGTGCTATGTCATATTCACAAGATTGACATTTTTAAATTGAAAATACCTTGTTTACCAGAATGTTAGTCACAATATCCAATTCTACATCATCTTTATCATCCTCCTCAATCTAAATTCTCATTGTTCCACACACTCCCCCCAATTTCGGATTCTGTTCCATTGCCATTATTAGTTAGAATATTGCATCCTTTTAAGGATTAGCACCAACATCCATTAATACACAGTAATCTGGGTTGAATATTTTACAAAATCCTTTGAAAAACCACATATGAGATGATAATTTTGAACCATTAGAAAATTTAAACGTATAAAATATAGGGAGTATACCATCCAATCCTTTATCCACCAAACCATCTTAATAGACCCACGCCGTATTTTTTCTATTCTATACATAATCTTTGGCCCTGTTATACTAGTCTTCCATCGCATCAACAATGTTCTATTCTATCCATTCATCCTGTTCAACCAAATTATATTGCGACCCCTTTAATCTTTCCATTGTCTTTTTCAAAGCCACTCTGTGCTTCTTATATTTTTTTAGTAATTCATCTGGATGAGCCCTGAGATATTTAATATTTTCTGGCTTGTAATCTTAGAAGCGTTTCAATTATTCCTAATATTAATTGTATTAATAGGTTAATGTCTACTCCTATTGAAACCCATATTTCTTATCGATTTCGCTTGAAAAATAGGCTAAAATAAAACTCTACAATTACGAACGATATTGTCTCGATAAGATCCAGCCACATTATGAACATTAGTGATTCCATCAAAAATTACAGTCACTGCTATTTAATGAGGTGCTATCCCACTAATTATACAAATATCAAATACATGTCTAAAAGGTGAGTTAAGTTCTTTCCTATGCCAGCCAAAGATTTCTCTAATTCTGATAATTTTTCAGAATACATAGTTATACATATCATAACTTTTATTCTATTTTCGTTTTATTAGTCTTAGCAGTTATTTAATAGAGTGCTTATCAATCCTTAGCCCTAATCCTCTTATTTTTGACCTGACCCTTGAAAAATATCAACAGGTGTTAACGAAGTAGTTGTTCTTTCATCAAATATTCCTTCTTGGTCGTCGGAATGTTGAAAACTATTATTCACTACCATAAATCCCACTTCTTTATTTAATTCTAATTCTATTGGCTTATACATTTTTTTATGTGCTAGATTATAGTTGGTGTTATCATAAGCTTTATTGAGCTTGCAAGTGATATTCAAGAGATTCATAAAGAATTATTATTAATATTACTATTTTCTAATTAATCGATAAGATTTTTGTGTCAATTCAATTATATATTCTATCTAAGAATGCTAGTGCCAATCGGACTTTCGATGGAAAATATCAATCTCTTTTATAATGATGTTATGATATCTATTATTATTTTGATCAATCAATATGTAAATCAACTTCTAAACTTTGTCGGATTAGAAGGCCTAGTTTCCTTCTCTTCGAATATTGCCCCCCATATCTCAATCGATGTCAAATTTAAAAACTCTATGTGTGGCTCCAATATATAGCCCATTTCATAGGTTTAATCGCATGAATTGTTAATGCGATTTGTGGCATTCCCTTTGAGGTTCTCGTCGATCCAAATCCTGAAATTTCCTTTGCCATCCCCTCCAAACCCTAGACCATAAGGCTAAGGCACCTTCAAATTAAAAGCTCGGCTATTTATATAACCAAAACATTGTTTTGATTTGATATCAAATGTACTCATGAATAATTGAAATTTAGGCAGTAACGAAAAGAGGAAGCTTTTCTCGTCGCCAAAGTAAAGTGACACCAAATCATTGGGATTATAGAGGATTCCTAGATAATACATACTCAACAATTACCCATGGGATCCTTCTACTGCTTTCTAACAAAATGAGTCTCAATTGTTTAATCAATACTAATATAAGCTCCAAAAACTTGTTATTAGAAAGTATCATTTTAGGTTTCATCTTCACGATTTCTAAAAATAAACAGCAATGGCTATTGGGATTCTATTATTATCTCTGTAATATGTTCTAAATCATCATACCCTACAGAGGATGAAAATTTGAGATCCAACTACTTAATTCGATTAAAGTCAGGAGAACTCATTTATAATAGTGCAAGTATTTAATCATTCAATATAAAACTAGAAGATGTCAAGGCAGGAATACCATATTTAAAATGAGGATCAATAAATTTTTTTGTAAAATACTATTTGCACATTTTGTTAGCATAAATTAATTGTTATTTTGCTAAGCCAATAAACTAGTTAAATGGCAAGGATGCCTTTTAATCAAAAATAGAATTGGCTACACTTCTAGCTGCCAAATCATTTCTTTGGCTATTTGTTACTTCCTTATTAAAGTAATACACATTCAATAACTCTTTTATCACAGTGCTTCCTTAGGAGTAACTTACTTGAAATCTGAATACAATAAATTTGAGTACCTGTTTATTGCTTCCTTCTCATTTTCCAAACAACCCAAACTTATCAATGCAAATAACTCAAATTTCTCAAGGACTCTGAATTTGTAATCGCTCAAATAGTATTCCTATTATTCTTTTAAGAGGAGTTCCACTAGGCTTTTAGAATGATTGTTTACATGTGATCACGAAATTAGTGTAATCTATCTACTAATTCTTGCAGCGTTCTCTCATCCAATTATAGAGTTTAATTGAGAAGTCAGGGTTTTCGGGAAACTCCGGGACCATTGATTTCTGGGTCAGATATCCGTTTCTATTTAAATCATATTGTGTTGAAATTGTACAATGAATCATGACATTTCAAGAGTTCGAAATAGACTTCCAGAATGTCAAGTTCAGAATCAGCGAATGCCACTTTGGCATGCTTCTTTATGGCCTTAGACTTTGATCCTCCCATTCTAAAAATAAAATATTTATTTATTAAAATATAAATTATTTCAATCATCATCTTCACTACTGTCATCCTCTTCGGATGCTTATTTCTTCTACTTTTTGTTTTATGGTTTTTTGGTAACCTTGGTATCATCCTTCTTCTTCTTTCTTTCATTCTTAATCTTTCCATGCACATCCTCGTAGGCTCTATAAATATATAAATAGATATGAGAACTTCTTTTCTTTTTCAAAGATAGCCTTACTATCCTTGTACTTTTATTCGTATTAATCGATTTTATCCTTGGCCAGTTGTTTATACTATTCAGAAATGATTTTTGTGATATCAGTCATTTTCTTGCCTGGATTGGCATCCTTGACTTATTAATACACCTCCTATTTGTAAATAAAGAAAGCGCATTATGGTCTTTTGGGTGGTGCCTCCTAAACAAATTATTAATTTATATATATACCTTTTTAGTATTATTATCTGTCATTTGTTTTATGCTAATGTATTTTGTTATTTAAATTGAGATTCAATGCTTTTGTTTTAATTAAAATTTCAATACAAAAAAATCCCTATATAATTATAATCAACCAATAAAATTACATAAAACATTCCATCAACTCCTCCCCCTTTAAAATCCATTCATTTCCCGCCAATTTGCTGCAATTACAAACATAAAATTTTATCTGATCAATTATTTTCCTTCCCAATCCCTTTTCCCATCCACCGACCTCCTAAATGCCCCCTTCACTGCCCCTTCTTCAATTCTATCCCCCATTTCTCAGACCTCAATCACTCTAAATTTAATTTCCTTTGACTTAATCTTTCCAAATATTTTATTAATACTTTCAAATACATAAAAACTACAATGAGAATATTTACATACAAAAATTACTCATATTATCAGAAATTTATACATATCAATTAAATATTTAAAGACAATAAATATCATAAATATCAACCTAATCGTTTCATTGTCACACCCCTCGGGGCACTCTTATCATCGACCCAAACACCTCTAAATATACTAAATAATGCTTTCAAATGAGAAAATGAAAAACTAACAGAACTTATTAGATAATTTATATAAAATACGATTTTAATAAAAATAAATTGCAGATCTATTCATTCAAGTAATCTCCTTTTACTTTGAATCATCGAAGCCTTTCTATCAGAATAATATTCTCTCTCAAAATGATACTCTACCCATCCACCTAATTAATAGAGTTTATGCTGGGCTAAAGCAAGTCTACTTTAATTAATATAATGAATTTAAGGTTTCACTTTAAACTTTGGTGTGAAAGATGATTCAATAATGCATTTCTACTTATCGATATAATTGATGCCTTTTTTAATTATCCTAATTATTCTATTTAGCCTATCCTTATCAATAACAAAATTTATTATTAATATTATACTTCTTTGCATCCAAGTTCAAAAAAATGAAATGTTCAGACCCTCTGAATCGTTTCCTTAATGTGAAAAACTTGTAATAATTGAATTAAAAATATTATAAATAAATTAAGATACGAGAAATAATGAGATTTAATTTTATTCTTTAGATTTGTTGCTGCCACTAATTTGGAGATAGAGATTTGAAACTTCATATTCATTTAAACATTGCATAATAATTTTATAATTTAAAATGTTAAATATTCTTTCACTTTATTTCAAAAATTACAAGAACCATCTATTACTCTTAAAGTTTTTGGGTTTACAATTGTGACTTAGGATGTTTTCCTAAATTATGGTGGTTTTGAGAACACTACACAAGGAGATAACTCATAATTAATGTTAAAAGGAATGCACTAAAATTAAGGTAACAATTATACAATTATAGACTAGTGGTTGTACTTTTTCCATTTTATACATTACATTTAGAAATCAACAATTACTATAATAATATTTGATTCTTCGAATTCAAAGGGTTATCCATACATCACTTGATTTCCACTATTAGGATACATCCTACCACAGTTATCGAGTAGATACAAACTAATTATTTAATAAATTAAATACCCTTCAGTTTGATTGGAATCTGTGTGTTAATAATTTTATTTAGCCATGATATCTTTATTACAAATACCAATTGAAATATTCCCATCAATTTTATTAATTTTGAATGCAAATTTTGAAACAACTTCTTTACTTAAGCTCTCTTCACATATAGCACATCCATATAAATTTGATGTGGCTTATAGTCTCATCTTAGCAAGTTTGATAGATTCGTGTTTTTAAGTTCCAGAAAACTTTATCGATGAATGTTAAAGGAGATGTTTTTACAAAATATGATTATCCCTTAATTCTTTTTAAGCTGAAATCATACTTAAGCTAAAGCAATTATTTTAGTTTTCAAAAAGATTATTAGGATCGTTGGATTAAATACGTATGAATTATAATAGACAATTAGTCAAGCAATTTTACAAACTATCAATATTTATTTCTTGCCTTGAGATCACTAATTTATCTTCATTAGATTCTTATAATTATTTTTTTACCAAGTTATCAACATTACAAAGCATAGATCTAAGAACTTCGCTATATTCTAAGATTTTGAGTAATGTTGTTTCATTTAGATGTTTTGCTTAGTTTGTGCCTATATTATTCATTGGGCCTTATTCTTTAGTGCTGGCTTTTTTGCTTGGCTTTACGGCCATTCTGTAATCAAAGAGATTAAGCTTCTTGTTCTTTTTTGTAATATTCCTTTTTATTTATATAATTGACTCCTTCTCATCATTTACTTTTTGTGGCTGTATAAATGGCTGTATTAATGGCTATTATTGTGATTCTTCATAACCAAATAGGTTGGATAAATCCATGAGATAATATTAATGGGATGGTTCCTTTAAATAATATTTGATAAATCATAAGATTTATTTTTCTGATGAATACTTGTAGATACATAAAATTAATATAGATAATATAATTAATAAGTTACAAAGGTACTTTTAACTTCAAGGAGAAGGGTCACTTCATCTAAATTAGTATACTTGTATTCAGTCTTGCTTTGGGCTGTCATATCAATTTGTAAGAGTTATCTGTATTCAATTCTGTAACATGGACATGATGGAGATTTTATTAAGGTTTGAATGTTTTCAAAATCCTGCCATTGATAGTTTTCAGAAATCTTAATGAATTAATGTCTTTTCAATTATTCTTTAATAATATTATGTTTATTCTATTTTTGATTAAATTATCTAGTAAAATGGAGTTTGCTTTCAATACTATTATTATTTACAAAATCAGTTCTTCACTCTATTTAATATTTCATAAAAACAACTTGAGCAACAAATTCATTCAATTTCTCCGTTTAGTTCTTGGCTACCAAATCTTCCCAACCCTATTAATTACTTTGAATCAATAAAAAAGGACTAATTTTCTGATAGAAGTTCTTAAATTGTAAAAATATATTTAATTCATTTATTTGGATTCTTAATCATATTTGCAAGAAATTATCACATTTAGAAATAAATATTATGATTATTATAATATTGTTGATCAATCCATGCTTCAAAGTCATTTTTTTCAAATTCAATCCAATAGGTGTTACGATTGACAATGCTGCTGCTAATCAAAATGGGGTAATTCATTTCTTTGCCATTATTCAGGGTACTTTACATAGAACATCATTATCTTATTTTTGTATTACAAATATTATCTTAATTTCTATTTCTTCCTAGATTTTAAGATGTATAAAGATGCTACAAATTAAATAAATTGAACAACCTTTTTTTTATAAAAACTCAATTAAGTAGCTTTAGAAAATTCTTTTTCTTTATACGGTTTCATTTGAATCATCTTTATTCAATATTAGATGCTATTTTAATGCTTGAAATCCAATTATTGATGAAGCAATTCTTCTATAATATTTTACAACTTCTAGAGGTAAATCAAAATTTTCCATAGCTTAAATTGCATCTCCAACGATATAACGGCATTCATTCTAAAACTTTGATTTTTTTTCCTTCTTCAATTATCTTCTAAATACGTTTTCCAATTTTTCTTTTATTTTGATTCTATGTAAATAAATTTCTTACTTCTCCTCTTGATCACTCTCCATAATTACATCTTCGTTATTCAAATCAAAAAGTACTTCCATTTCAGTTGTGCTAAATAAATTTAAATGATTCAAACTTGTCTTCGTAGTTAAAGTTTTCTTAGAAATTGCAAAAACTTAGTGGCAAAGAATCCTGATTGTTGGATTAAATGTAGTTTGAAATATCTTCATAACCTTCACAGTTGAAAATTTGATCAGCCATCATTTTTATAATATTACTCTAAATTAATTAATATAAAGCTTCGTTTTAGATGCATGAGTTTATAATGAAACAAATGGAAAATTTGTTACTTGATCCATCAAATTTTGCCTCTTTTCTACTAATATTTCTGCTAGCAAAAAATCAAGAAAAGGGACTAAATTTTTCAATGATCTTAAAATAGAAATAATATTATGATTATCTAAAATTCCTCATAAGAACTAAGACTTTTACTATCTACATACTTTAAAAAGGATTTAGGTATATAAATTAATTGAATTGATTTTATTAGGCAAAATAAATTTTAAATCGTTCAAATATCGTCGATATCTTTCTTGGTTATTTTTTCTTTATTATCTTTGGCAGGTGCTTATGCTTTTTATGGCTATGGCTTTTATGGCTATTATTTTTATATTTATTTTGGTTCAGAGTCAGAGCTATCATCTGACTCGCTACTACTTAAATCTGAATCAGAACTTGATGATTCTTCTTTATTAACAAATACAACGTTATCTCCAAGATTATCACCTCCTCCTTCTTCTAAATTCTTAATATGATAAACTATATTACTTCTGGTATCTCTTTAAGATTTTTGAGCTATTTGATTTCTTCAGGGAAATATTTATACACAACATCGCACTTTTCATCTTAAAATTCTCTCAATGCAACAAGCACAATGTCACCATTTTAAATCCAAACCTTACGTCTCATTTTTCCTCTGATGTGTCCAAGTCTTTATTTACTGTCACCCAAACATACACAGATCAATCTTCCATTTCCCAACAATTTTATAACTTAAGCATAATCCTGTCCATCCTCTTTTGTCTCCAATTATCTCTTGGTTAAATTTTCATTTTTTCCTCTTCTATAATTCTTACCACCTCTTCCCTTATTTTTGGGCATTATTTAAAATTTAATCTTTAATAATTTTTATATTTAATTTCTTCAATCATAGCTTATATAAATCTCCGTGTCTTAGAAGAATTTTACAGAGTATTATTAGCAAGACTACTTAACTTAAAAATTATAATCATGCTTAAATTTATATATCATTCTATTTACGTGGATTAAAAGGATCTGCATCAATTTGATAATTTTAAATTTATGGATAAGGATTGTAGACTCCTGGATTATTTTAACCTTAATTATCTAGTTGAGTTATTAATAAATATACTTGGATCTTGATATTTGTTTTATTCCTCTAATCGTTTTCTCTCCTATACATATTTGTAAGCAAGGAAAATTCCAACGAGAAAATCAATAAAAACACCAACACAAAATATGATTATGTATATAAAATCAAAGGCGTAAGTTGACGTTATTAAAAGATCTATAATCTTTTAAAATTCATCCTACATAATATTTTAATTTTACTAGTGTAACTCTATCAGAACAAGCTCTATTAATTAAGTTATTGAAGAAATCCACTAATTTTTGGATTGGAGTAAAAGTAAGAATTATTATAACTGCATTGGCTATTTAGGCTGATTCCTTAAAAAAAAATTAAATAAAAAATAAAGTATTCGATTCTTCAGTTCCTTTCCCTTTTATGAAAAATAAATCAACCCCACACATTGTGCAACAGTTTAAAGTAAACATCAAAATAGTGATGCATACAGAAATGATTGAGATTATCATTAAAATTTATTGCTAACTTTCAATTTCATCAAATGAATCTACAGAATCCATTAACTCTTGTTAATATTCTCTGCAAGGCAAACTAAAATTGATATAATGTCGTCCATATAAACCTAAAACAATATTAATTATATATAACCCCATTGATATTAACTTGATATTTCATAGCCTGGTGCTTATTTGGCAATATCTAAAGCATCATTAGCTTAAAAGAAATCCAATTCATTAAATTTATAAATTAATTTAAATCTTGGATCTCTGTCACATTCCAGTCCAGGATCTGAAATTAAATCGTAATTAGGTCTTCCTGGTGTAATACTTCTATCATTAACTTTTTTGCAAACTCCATCCCCTTAAGCAATCTTAAATTCAACCAAAGGTAATGTCATCTCATTTTCTCTAATAATCTAAAAATAATCCTAAGTTCCACTTTCAACAATAGAATTATTTTTAATCTAAAAAATAGGACACTCTTTTTCTTAAGTACAATAGAAAAAATCAGATAATGTTCCACATTTTAATTCATTTTCTTTACATTCATTTATTTTTGGTGAATTCAAAGCAAAACTATTATTTCCTTCCTCCCTTAAACCACAAAGTTTTAATTTCTTAGTACCAGATTCAACTGGTAATATTTTAAAGTCTCTAGAGCTCATTTCATTAATATCTTTACACCCTGCTTCCCTCATTGAACTATTGCACTCTTATTTGAATAATTCATTAGTTCTATCAAATAACATTCTCCTTGGAGCAATATAGTAATCGTCAAATCTACAATCACATCCCTATTCTATGCCAGGCCATATGTAATGATTTATATATTCTTCCTTTGATATTTTGAATACTTACATTTTATAAACAATCACCTAGAGTAGATCTAATCGATATAACTGGCAATAAATTCCAATTATGATTAATATTATGCAAATAATCTTAAGCATCTATGATTATCATATAACTGACGATTGAAAATACCATTAAAGTAATATTTAGTAAAAGCAGATATATTTAAAAGATAATACGAAATGCAATATTTCCAGGAGTCCTTGATGTTTTTTATCTCTAAATTGCATTATTATTCATCAAAATATAATTATTAATTTTCTTTATCATATAGTTTAATGAAAAAGGTAGGTTTGGTTATATATAATTAACCGAAATTTTAATTTCTTTTTTTTTAGTCTAATTTTTCAATATTATTTATCTTATTCAAAGATTAATTAGATTGCAACGAAAATCTGCCAATGGTGGCTCAACTGCTGAGAGCACTAATAAAATCTTGTATATAAAAGTTAAAAATTCTATGGAGAAATCATTACGTTACATTTTAAATTCTAACGATTTAAATAGATTTATTGCTTAAAAGATAAGCTATTAAGCATTGAAAAAATAATATCAATTAAACTAGCCATTTGAAGATATAAGGAAATTTCAAATATTAGAAACATTTTTATTTAATATTTTAATAAAACTAATATAATTCAATTCTAGATAGGATTTTAATAGAATTATTAATTTTAGATTGGCTGATTTTGGTAATTGTATTACTATTATTATTAATAATTGGTTTGAGGATATTGTTGTATGTATTCTGCCCCAATATTTTATTACTGTTAAGGATAAAAATTTGGCGGATATTGAAAATTATTAAATTATGCATTTAAATTTTCTTATTTAAAAACTTCTTGATCAGGATTACTCTGAATATTATTCTTTCCTAAAATTCATACTGCATATTTACTCCAGTCTTATTGTTGTTCTTGATTACGTATTTAAGCCAATTTCTTTCTTTCTTGATAATAACTTTTCAAGAGTAATAATCCAACTATTAAATCTATGCATGCTCCTATAAAAAACATTACAATATATGCCAAATTGTAATTATAAATCTTTTTTTCTAACACATCTCGTATGGTTTATATGTCATCCTATTCATATATATTTTAAAAAGTACTAATGTTACAACGTCAGAACAGCCTTCATCAATTAACTAAGAGTAAAATTTAACTTGAGTGTTTACTGCTGAAAAACTTATAATTGCTATGATGGCTTAAATTAACTAGAAAGTTTCTTTAATTCCAGCTTATATACAAAATAAGGTATTTGATTCTTAAGTTCCTTTTCCTTTTATACAAGGTAGATCAACTCCCTTTATTGTACAACAATTTAAAATAAATAAAATAATAAAAAGCACTAGACAAATGATTGAGATTATCATTAAAACTAATTATTTGATATCAATGTCCTCTAAAACATCTATAGATTCTATAAATTCTTATTAATATTTTCTGCAACTTAAAGTAAAGTTAATATAATGTCGTCCATATAAACCTAAAATGATATTACTTATATATACCCCATTAATATTAACTTGATATTTCATAGCCTGGTGCTTATTTAGCAATATCTAAAGCATCATTGGCTTAGAAGAATTTATACTCATTAAATTTATAAATTAATTTAAATCTTGAATCTCTTTCACATTCAAGTCCAGGATCTGAAATTAAATCATAATTAGATCTTCCAGATGTAATACTTCTATCATTTACTTTTCTACAAACTCCATCCCCTTAAGCAATTTTAAATTCAACCAAAGGTAAAGTATAATCATTTTCTCTGAGAATCTAGAAATAATCTTAAGTTCCAAGTTAAAAATTCAAATTATTTTTTATTTAAAAAATAGGACATTCTTTTTCTTTAGTACAATAAAAATAATCTGAAACTGTTCCACATTTTAATTCATTTACTTTACATTCATTTATTTTTGGTGAATTCTATGCAAAGCTATTATTTCCTTATTCCCTTTAACCACAAAAACTTAATTTTTTTGTACCAAATTCAACTGGCACACATTTAAAATCTCTTGAACCCATTTCATCAATATCTTCACATCCTGCATCCCTCATCGTATCATTGCACTCTTTTTGGAATAATTCATCAGTTCTCTCAAATAATATTCTCCTTGGAGCAATATATTAATCTCCATCTCTACAATCGCAACCTTAATTTATCCCAGGCCATATGTAATGATTTATATATTCTTCCTTAAATACTTCAAAACTATTACATTTTGTAAACAGTCTCCCTAAGTTTATCTAATGGATTTGATAGGCAAAGTGTTCCAATTTTAAACAATATTTCTAATATAAATTATATTTTCTGATAATGAAACATAAGCAATAATAGATAATACCATTAAGGTGATTCCGAGCGACAATAAATAACATTGAAATACTATTCTGGCTCTGACGTTGCTTGGAATAAGAGATGTTTCAGCTTTCTTTAAAGAATTGTCCATTTTGTTTGAATATAAAATTAATATACAAATTTTTAATAACTAATTCTTATAATCATTTAGATAGTACTATTGTTTGATAATAGAAAAGTTTTATAAATCTCTAAGAAAATTATTTACTAAATTTTAATCTCAAGTTATAATAAATCATATATTATATTTAAGCTTAGGAATAGCATTACTTAAAGGGTGTTGAGGGGGGTCCAATATTTCTAAATCGGAAGATGAAGAATTATCTATAATTAAGATGGATTAGTACTTGAAGAATCAAAATTAGAAGTGTACTTGCTTATTAAAACATCATCTTCTTCATCAATCCTATCAATTTCTTAAATTTTATTTTATAGTTTTATTTCTCTTTTTTAATCAAGTTCTCTTGAGGATTGCCTTTATTATTGCTACTTTGCTTTTAATTCATGGTCAATTTTTTATAAGTTCTATTCAATTTGAATGTTTTATGGTTTGACAAATTAATTTTTATTTGAATGAAATCTTTTTATTGCTAAAGCTTAATTAAATCCGTTTTATTTGACAACAGCAGGTCTGACAGTTAAAATTTTAAAAAGGGATAAGATTATAGATATTACGCATTTTGCAAGGAGAAATGTCTTCCATAATAACATTATTGGCCAATTTGGATCAATCGAATTATACAGCTCAATCATTTTAGTATTTGAGGTGAAAATCAATACAAAAATGAATAAAACTAATTCTATAAAAATCATCCTATAAGTTTCGATAATAATTTCGTAATTTACTTTTATAGTTTTTGTAAATTGATATCCTTGAACTGGACACAAAGTTACTAAAAGATCGCTTGAGATAAAATAATTTTAATAGTAAAGAGTCCTTTACAATAATGATAAATATTTAGCTTAATCATCACTTGGAGTAGCAAATATAAATTTTATTAAATTTATTAAGGTTATGATGAGGGAATCAGCAAATCTTACAAAGATAACAATGCTAAATGTAATCTTATAATTTGAAATGTCTAAATCTAAATTATCATCACTTATATTCATTACGGAAGCAAAAAATATTCTCTCAAGCAATGTACTTGATTTACTGGCTATAGAGTAAATCATTAAAAATATTTCTCGTTTGTGTGGAAATCTAGTATGAAGATGGTCCAGCATTTTAGGATGTATAATTTACAATGCAGGCTATATTTTTCTTCTTAAAGCTACTGTTAGGATTAATTCCAATATTTCAATAATAAAAATTACAATTACTATCGAACAAGCATAAATAAAATCCATGAAAAAAACTGATATTGTTTATTAATTGTCCTTAGGATGTCCTGTTAAGGCATCCTTATTACCGTTATAAACAAATAATTTAAAAAATTAAGAAATATTTACTAAGACATATCCAATCCAAAATAGAACAACCAAAATCTTTATATATATGTTGTTTCTTCTAAATTTACCAATAAAAAGAGTACTAACTATAAAAATTTATGGCTCGATCAAGTCTAAGTAAGTCATTAATTTATTTATCTTATGTATAAGCCAAGATCCAAACAGGCCCCCAAATATTTTCTCTATTTATTTCTAAGAGCTCTCTTATTACGCTAGTGGTTTTGCTTTTCTCATAGCCTGCCCTAATAGAAAATTCCTAAATCTCAAAGTTAAATAACGCAAAAGTCCGTCATCAAATACTTTTCTGGTTTCTTGAGAATCAGATATATGTAGAGCCCTTAACTAATGCTTTTCATAACTGTAATCGAATAGATGGAAAAATAGATAGACTTTTCCATACATTGTTATACATGGATTATCTGAAACATCAATAAATTCAATGAACCCCAAAAGTGGATAGTATTTTCCAAATGATTCACAAAATTTATCAGTAAGATTGGATTTTGATAATTGAATTTCTTTTAGAAAAGAGGGCAACGTTGTTTAATCTAGACGATACTTTTAACAAATTCTAGTGTATTATTCTAAAATTAGATCTGCATCCTCATCATCTAAATCCTACCATATATTATCAATAAATAGATCCTTTTAGTAATAAAGAATTTATGCTAATATTTTTAAACCTTCTTTCTAAAATTTATTGTCTCTTAATAACAAAAACTAAATCGAGCATTTATGAAATTTTAATTCATCAAGTTTCTTAGCAAATTGATCACCAACCTTATTATCACTAATATTGATTGTTTTGATTGTTTATGACTCAAAAATACCCTCAAGAATTTAGATCATGCCCTTACAGGTAAAGAAGTTTTACTACAAATATAATTCCTTCAATATGGTTGATTAAGCTATTGTTTATTTCAATAACTCTCCAAAAGAATCGTCTAACTAATTGTTGCTTAAAGACAAACTCATGATTTGCGAAAATAAGAATTATTCCTTATAAATTTGATGTTCTATTATTAGATTCTCAAAAAAACTTATTTTCAATTTACAATTCGATAAATTGAGTTGTTTTATTACTATAGGTTGTTTTTTTTTATTTATTAATGCTTGAGGAGTAAAAAATTATATTAATTCCTTTTCATCCAAAGGATTGTCAGATAAGTTAAGTTCTTCAAATTGTTTGCCTTTATACTCTGAAACAGCTACAAATTTATTGTTACATAGGTTATTTATGATGTTATTATTAGCTATAGACACAATTCTTATTGTAGAACTCATTGAAAGAGCTTCCCAAAAGGGCTCTAAGTTAAAACTTCCGAGATTGCATTTATTCAAAAATAAATTTTAGACTGTTTTGTTTCCTTAAATTCCAATACTTAATTCATTTAGCCATTCTTGTTTTAGAACATTATCACTAATATCCAACGTAGTTAACTTGAATAAACAAATACATTACACTACAAGTCTCTGGATTTAACAGCCAATTTTTGGCATGAACAAAGGATTCATCAGTAAAAGTGACTTAATTATATTTTAATATTTTCAAATTTTTAAAATAGTTTAACAATGCTGAAGCCTTATTTAAATCAACATACATTAATGGATTAAATTACATAGAAAACATTTATAATTGCTTGCATTTTAATAACTGCATTCCAAATTTTTCATAACCACTTTGACTGAAACTACAATGATTGAAAGTAACTCCTAAAATATTCCTTTTTTATTTTTTGACTATTTTTTAAAGATTCTTTTAATTGGATTAGTCTAAATGTATGTCGGATAATTATAAAAGCTCCATTTTCTCGGTCTAACATAAGTTGAAAAACGTTTTCAATTTCTTCATTTAGGGGTTATCAGATAAATTGAGATATTAAAGATTTTCAATACAAATTATCTACCCTAAAATTAGAAAATCATCAGCACTCATTTATTGATGTGAAAGACTGAAATATATTAAATAAAAATTTATACTTTAAACTTTTTAAGCACTTATTCTCAGACATAATTCTAGAAATTGCTATTAATCCTGTAAAGTTGATGTTATTATGAGATAGGTTTAAGAACGATAGATTCCTATAAGATGATATTATTATTTCTATATAACTGGTATGGGTAGACTAAAGCCCATTATAACTCAAATCTATACTCTCAAGTTTGAAGTTTGTGATTATTTCATCATATTTGAATTAATTAGCTATTTTAAATAGTTGGTTTTAGCTTAGATCTAATTTTTTCAGACTGCTATTTAGAACGCAATCCCTTAATTTCTTAAGAATTTATAAATTTAAGCTCCCTATATTTAAATCCCTTAAATTTAAATCATGTACAACAGTAGATTTTTTTAGGAATACACACAACAAATCTAAATCCTATTCTGTTACAGGCTTACAAGATGATAGATCTAAGATTTCTATTTTATTAAAGTATGTTGCTAAAGAGCTAATAACAGGAGTAAAAATGTTCGCATTTTTTGAAAAATCTAGTTCTCTTAGGTTAAATGATATCAATTAAAATTAATTTTAAGCAGATTTAACTGTCTTCTCCTCTTCAAGTAATGATGAAAAATTTTGATTAATGTCCCATAATTCATTTTACTATTTTTATTAAAATTAGCATCGAAAGCAGCGAAGACATCCACTTTTAATGAATTTTAACAGAAAAAATATCAAAGCATATCTTATTTTATTATAAGATACATCCAAATGTTCAAATTAAACTTATTCATGATTAATCATATATGTGATTATGGCTTCACCATCCAAATTATTGTTAGCTACAATAAATTTCTTTAGCATTTTATTATCCCTAAGTCCAAATATAAGAGAGTTGAATCCTTCACTCTTTATTTGATTGTTTGAAAGATTGAGTTCTATCCAAAGAGGGTTCTACCTTAAAATACTTGACAATTAAAATGCTCCATTACTTGTGATATTGTTATTTGTTAAATTGATAACCAGAGTGTTCAAGAAAAACTATTAAGGGAAACAGGAAATTAAGTTAGAACTTAAATTTACTTCATACATTTTCCTTGATAATAAGTTTTAGCAATTAAATTCCTCTATTTGATTTTGTGATAAATCTAACTTTTATAGGTTATTAATTTTTCTTAGAAATGTTTCTAAATGCTGAACTCCTGATTGATTGATAAAGTTTCTTCTTATGTTAAGTTCTTTCAAGTTGATCTTCCTCATATTCCAACTTACTCTTTAAGCCAAGACTTCGACCCCTTGATTTTTTATATTAGTATCTCCAATATTTAAATACTCGAGGACCTTTTTTCCTTTAAAATGCTGCAGTGCCATCCCCAAACTTGTTAATACATCAGTAGTGAATTGCATCATTGAAATATCAATAGCATTTATCGATCGAGAGTATCTAACATATATAACTTAAACATACTTAAGGTTTCTCAACAGATAACTCATAGCAGTACTTGAGATATTGCAATGAGTTAATTTTAGTTTTTTTAAATTGTTTTTCCCTTTAAAAACAAATTAGTTTATATCATTCATTAGATCAATATTAAAGCCTTGGTTATTAAACAAATTGATTGACTATAAAGTTTGGTGATTGGATATTGATGAAAATATATATTGTAAGCTAAAACTATTTAATTTACATCCAGAAAGGTTGATTTCGTATAAAGAAGAATTTTTTTACAGTCCTTAGCCCAATTCTATCGCTAAAAGGGGATCGATTTCCATTCCTGATAGGTCAAGTGATCTAGACAATTAAAAATTAGCCTAACCTCAAACTTCTTGCATTTTAAATTGCAGAACTTAGAAAAGAGAAACATTACTGAATTGAAACTGGGGTTTCACCTGAAAATCCTTCCAAGGTTTTTCGCTTTTTCAAACTAATTATACTCTCTCTCAAATTACTAAATGATCAAAAAAATTTACACATTTTGTTATTGATGGATTAAAATTTTCATATAATTTACAAATCTACTCTTTTGAATATTCTTCTCATTTTTATCATCTTCTTTCTCCTATCCATCCTGAGGATGCATATCTTAATGAAATATTGTTTTCTTTTGTGGAGCATTCTTTTATTTTGGGCTCTTGGATCCTTGTTAAAATTGCATTTAAGAAATTTAATATTTATCATATATTATTGTCGAAACTGTTTAATCGCCCTTAGATTTTAATAAATGTCAAAGCAATTACATTTAATGAAATTATTTTTTTATTGAAAGGAGGTGCAATTATTAATAGAATCAAATACATATTATTAATTATATAAAAGGTTCAAGGATCTAAAATTTAAATCTATTTAATTTCACAAGCATAAATCTTTACTTCTATTGGTTAACTAAATCATCTAACTTCTAGTGGATTATTTTATTATCTAAATATTAATATATAATAAATAATTTGAGAGATTTTAAGAAATATATGTTCACCTTTAGTTAGCAATTACTAAATTTATTTGAAGGTTAAGGAATAAATAGCGAAATCTAGTAATATTTTCCTCAAGGAGAATGGGTGACTAGTCCTTATTTTAAAAATTAAACTTATGAACAATTTTATAGAAATTTGACGGCTTTCTTTTTATTAATAGAAAAATAAAAAAACCTTCCAATCTCCAATTAACAAAACTATGTTTCTTTATCAATGTTATTTAATGATCAATTTAATCAAAAAGAGTTTAAATTACAAAATGTAGCCATTTAAATGTAATCAGCAGCACATTGGCTTCAACTCTATATGAGAGTAAATTTAGTTCCTTCCAATATTGTGTTCTAATATGGTAATAAAGATCACTAAAAGGTTAAAATAATGATGCTGACACTATAATCAGAACCAAGGCAATCATATATTTTTGGACTCTAAAAACAAATAATGCAATGCAAAAGTTGTTCGTAGTTAAAACACATACAAAATTAAAAAAAACCAGAATTGAAATTCAATATTTAACAATAACCAACTGTTTATCTTGATAATAAGTAAAATCTAGTGCAAAAAGGATTGTAAGTGTAGAAATAATAACTGAAGATTTAATAATTTGGTAATCATTAACCCATCCATGCTTAATAGGTATTGTTACCAAACCCTTAATCACAGCCTCAGGAAAATAATCAAGACCAACCCTTTCAAGCCAACCAAGGAACTGAAGGAATCTAAGTTCGAACAACATAGTAGATTTCTGAGATTTCAGCTATGAAATTAGCTCGACCAATCAAAACAAAATTAAAATTATCTATCTCTAAAGTTAAACAAAATGTAGAAATTTTGTGTGATGCCTGTAATGAAAGATACCAAGAAAGTCCAGATTAATAGATTTGTTTGCCTTGTTGCCGAAGAATTGTTCATAAAAGTTGCATGTTATAAGAACTTGAAACAAATTAAGAGATCTTATCCAATATGAAATGTAGGTTTTGTCAAAAAATTTTTGAAATAACTTTCTTGAAATAAAATATTCGTTCGAATATTTTTAAAGAAAAGTAAAAAGAATTAGTATACTATGTTGAATGCTGCTCTTGCTCAGGGACAATAGTTGTCTTCCCTTAATAAAGAAAGTAGCCTATTCGATTGGAATGTAAAATATGCAACACATATATTTGCTCAAAGTGCTTATTAGGTTTTCATGGATCTGATTAACTTGTAATATTTTTTGATATCAAAAGTGTTAAGAGAATAAAAATAAATTTTAAAGATAGAAGACTGAATGTCTTATTACTAGCGATGGAATAGATAGCATAACTTGTGATTAAAGTAAAATAGATCCTTTGTCTGTAGACAGAAGCTCAATTCTATAAGTTGGTAATGCTCCAAACGGATAAGGTACAATAATTCAAGAGAGAGTAAAAATTTTTGAATTTTGTTAGTAGACCACAGATAATTAGAGTTCTATTCCAAATGAACTTGAGACTAATAAAAAGAAAAAAGGGTTTTGAATTAGAACCATTATCATATTTAATTTCAACTATAAACATAAATTGCCATATTAATTTACTTATTAATAAATTATACATTTCATCTTTCAATAGTAAATGAACAACTCTTGAATTTTGACATTATAAATATTTAGATGAAAGACTTTCTTCTTTTTATTTTTCCAATTATTTCTGCGAGAAATTTCGCATAATTAAATTAGATTTTCAGCAATAATATCGTAATTAAACATTTTTATCTTCAACACCTCCATTTAAGAAATCTTCTTACTATTTGTTTCTCACCCCTTCAATGGAATATAAGATTTCTTAGAGTTACTCTTTGTTTTAATTAATCTACACATCAATAATATTAAACAATAACTACTTTATAAATACATCTTTATTATAGAATCCGCTCTATTTATCATTTTAACTGTTTGATAATTTGCCCTGAATCAAAATTCATAGTAGATGTAAACGACTATCAATGACAAAATGGCGCAAAACAACAATCTTAAAAATAAAGCTATGCAATATCCAAAGAGTAGTGCTGTAACACATTCTATTTCATACAGTTTACTGAGCACATTTTCATCTTTTATATATAATGATGTGAATAACACCGCTAATAGTACTAATTTAACAATCCTTAAGTTTTGAAGAACTTGTTAGGTTTATGTATGCGATATATCCCTAAAGTGTATAATTATTACTATTAATGAAATTAATAATCCTACTTGAATAAATAATAATATTATTTAATTCTACAAACTAGTGGAGAAGAGCAGATGTTTTAGAAAGATTTCTGTTGTATTCGAAATTTCCTAAGCATACCCAATTTCTACTCTTAGCATTTTACTATACAATTAAATGTATTAAATCAAATAATGATATTTCTAATATTGGTGTATTGATTTTCCACTCCTTTAATAATATACATACTAGGGTATAAACTTCTTAAAAAATTCCTCATTTTTTCTTCTTATTATAGCTCTTTTAATTTTCCATATAAATTCTTAATAATTATATTATTATTAATCTTAACTCCTCATTTTCCTCATTCTCAATTTAAATTCCCTTGAATTCGGTTATCAATCTTAAAATTTATCTTAATTATCCTCCTTAAAATGATTCATATATTTTTGAATAAAGGAGTTTTTAAATTGATTTGATAATTTTCTAATGAAAATAGAGAGTCTTGATGTTAATTTATAAAGAACTCTTCAAATTAATTTACTGTTTATTGGAAATACTAGAAATATTCAAGTAGATGTTGAAATAAACACTGTAGCTTAGGAACTCTTTACTCATCAAAATGGCACTGAATTTTTACTCATTCTAATGCAATCTTAAAATTAAATATAGTAGAATGGACTTTAGTTTTAATACTCATTAGATATTTAAAATTATTAAATGAATATAGTTATATTTAAATTTAATAGATGTCGACAATTTAGGAGCTCATTACTACATTATTTAATTTAGTATTAATTCTATAAATCTTGTCAGATTGTTAGTGATGATGAAGTTTAGCATAGAAATCGATTCCTTAAAACAAATAATCCAATTGAATAATTGAGGATTATAATTGAAATTGTAATACAGCAACAGCACCAGAAATAGCAATAAGATTACAAAGCTCTGGAAAAACAACTCCAAAAATTTGAATTTGAGGTTCGAAATCATATTAGAGTATTGAATTAACCTTATAAACAAAGGATGAATATTTAATGCAGTAGAATTAGGAAGATTTGATATCTCGACTGGAGGAAATGGAGAAAGAAAAGAATGACTTATTCAGCAACACCAAATAAACAATTATTGTAAATGTTATAATATTTATTATAAGAAATTAAAAAGGGAAAACGAAGAGTTGTATTAAAAAGTGAGATTATTATCTGTAGAAAACCAATAACAAAAAAGTCTGAATGAAAAACTGACGACCTATTAGGAAAGACACAAGATGACCGATCATCTGACTCAAGAATCTACCAAGATTAGTTAGAGTAAATATTCAACCTTGGAAAACCATAATTAAAAGATCATCAAATTAAAAACACATCCAACCCCTAAAAAATTGCACACTGAAACTTCAGTAGACATTTCCCTTATAGCTGCAGTGAATCAAAAAAGATTAAGTCAATAATTGATCAAACCAAATTATTTTCAAAAAAAGGGATCAATTACAAACAATTAATTTATCAAGAAAAAAAGACAATCCTGTTCATTCGCAAATCAATCATTGTATATTATTTTTATATTACAACCATAGAAATTTTTTAACGACAAGCATGTGATTACAAATCAATATTTTTTATATGTGAAAGAACATTTCTATTATATGAAATCTTATTCTAATCATCATTCTATTCTATTTCCAAATTTATAATGAGAGAGTGCCTACAATTAGAATATTTAACTTTTATCTCAATTCTAATTTAAATTTAATATAATCCAATCTATAACCTAGATTTTCATCAAGAAAACTGAAAGAAATGGTGTAAATTTTGATATTTTGAAACGTGAATATAATTCAATCAATATCGAATGATTCAAAGATTAAATTCATATTAAGTTAACTATTCCTCCTATTGTTAAACCCAAGGATGAGTCATTGCTTGTTTTGCAGTCATTCTACTTTTCGAATCAGATGTAACTAATTTGCTAATAAAGTCTTTCAATTCACAAGAAAATGAATCAGGCATTTTAATTATCCCATCCTATATCATTTATTGCATTTCATCCTATCTTAAATCTTCCCAGGGTGTTTCCCCACAGCATAATTCGTAAGCCAGAACTCCAAGAGACCACATGTCAGTGCTCTTGTCGTAGTTCTCTCCTCGAATTATCTCAGGAGACAAGTAGGCCAGAGATCCACATTATGTTTACCTTTGATCTTCAGGTGAATATACTGAATATGTGAAATCAGCAATCTTTATTTGATTCTAATTTAAGATAGCAAGGATACATAACATAAGAATATATTCTCTGGTTTAAGGTCTCTATGAATGATGCCATTTCTGTGTAGATAAATCAAAGCACTCAGGATTTGGCGGATGTATGAGGAGGCTAATTTTTCTGGAAAGCAACATTCAGGCAAGCCTTTGAGTATTTTATGTATCTAGCCATTGGGACAATATTCCAAGACCAGAACAATTTCATCAGCTAAAAATTATTATTAATTTAATACTATTTTAAAAAAATGTATATAATTTAACTATATTTGGATGATTGAGTAAATACTAAATTTTAATCTCCTGGGCAATAGATTGTGACATAGATTGAATTTGAGCCTTCTTCATGATTTTTAAGGCTACGTGATAATTAGTATTTTCATCAATGGCTAGATGAACATTGCTATAGCGTCCCTTGCCCAAAAATTATAGCATCTTGAAGCTCTTATACTTCGCTTAGGTGATGTGTGGTAGGGTTAAATTGAAGTGTCTTCTGTTTTAAGAGCCTAAAGTGGGAGAGTTTGCGGTGTCTAACTTCTAGAGTCTATCTTCGAGGACTCTTTATTTTTAACCTGAGTTTAATTGGGATCTTGCTTTTTATTGTCTATTCTTGTTCTCCTTGTTCTTTTTGGTTGGCTATAATCTTAGAGTCTAAACTAATTTATGAATGAGATCTTTTTAATTGATTTAACTATTCTCAGTGTAAGTGAGAGGAGATTGCATCCTTAGTTGTTGGGATGCTGTGATATTCAGAAAGCTTCGATGTCTACTTGATGCTGATCGATGTTATTAAATTAAAGAATTCATAAAATATTATCGTTACAATCCCAAATTAAATGTTTGATTAAATAATATAATTATAATTTTCAATATTGATCATTTCCGTAATGAAATTGATGATGTGAATCAAGGGAAAGGGTGTGTGATAGTAAATAGAAGCACTATTATAAAAGGGGGAAATACGTTTAAATTATATAAACCTATTATTTATATAAAATTATATTAAATATGGCTAACGTTGCTTTTTTGGACCCTATGAAGAATGAACCAAATCTTCAAACGGCTCAAGATGTCGATGATTATATAAATACACTGACTCAACACTAAAATGCTTGTGAGAAGCAAGGGAAATACATGGAGGCAGAAGATGCACGGAAAAGAATTATTGAGTTGAGGAAGCAACTTATAACGAAAAAAAAGAAGGAATTGATAAACAATTGGTTGAATCAAAAAGATTAGGCTGAGAAGGCTCATTTGGAAGAATACAATTAATTCAATCAATTTTGGGATAACAAAATGGTGAATTTCAATGAGGAGGCTAAGTAAGTGGAGATTGAATTGCAAAATCGCCAGCAAAATGAATATAAGCAATTGCAAGAAGAACTGGAACGAACTACTCCTTATAAACCCAAAGAATCTTCGGAAGTCTTGAATCTTAAGAAAATTGAGGAACATCTGGCTAAACAAAAGAAGTATGTATTGGTTACTATCTGTAGTTATGTAGATGCACATGCCATACAAAACAAACGTGCTTAGCTTGAAGAAGAGGAAGTTAAGTTATATTCGACATAGAGAAGTTTGAAGATCAAATCATAATTGTAACAATTCGAATAGAGACATTTGAATGAGTTGAATGCATTACAATAGAGAATCAAGGCTGGCCAAGATGAGTTAAGGAAGAACAGGAGTATTGATTTGGAGAGGTAATTGGATATGATTATACTATAAAGGTTGTTATAAAAGTATCAAAACATGAAGAAGGATTTAGAGTAGAGAGAATAGATGGACATATTAGCATTTGATGGATAATTCAAAACCAAAGGGTGTAGTAGTTAGAGTACATATAAGAGTGTGATGATGATGGCTAAAAAATGATGATTATCCAATTCCCTTTATATTTAATACTGTAAATTCATTTTGTCACTTGATATGATCTAATCTCTTATAACAAAGCTCTTGCTTCAGGGTCCTTGGCGAAATGGTCTCTAACAGGCTGGATTAACTCATTGAGAACTTGGGTGACTGCTGGTTTCAAATCCCCTGGGTGAAGTGCTCCTGAGACAAAATCAGCCTCCAATTCAGCATAGGTTGTGTATTCCTTGTCTCCACCATTTTCAGGCTTTCTTAAAATTTAGAGTTTATTTCTCCATCCAAAAATGATTTCCTTGGTGTAATCCAACACAGGATTATCCTTAGTAATTTAAGGTGGACAATAAGCACACTTTATTTTTCTCTTAACGTCTTCTGCTGAATCTTCCATAAAGATGGCTGAATTTAAGTCAGATTTAGACATCTTGGCTTGACCTTCAAGCAAACCCATCATCATATGATGAGACATAATAATTGGTTTATAAGCATCTGTTGATTTATCAGCATATTCTCTTGCCAACATATTGACTTTTCTAAAAAGAATTTAATAGAATAATTACCTTTAATCCATACCCAATTGACAAATGTCAGCCTCCAAGAAGAAGATGTCATTGCATTGCATACATGGATAAAATAATTAAGCAACTGCCATCTTGTCATCTTACTCGTCGTCATTTCTACCCATAATCTATCCGCATCTCTTAATTCTTGAAACATTAAATTTACGAGCTAAATCCAATACTCTTAACCAATAATCATTTGGTCTCTTGTTGATTTCATCTGAAGCCCAAAGGAATTTCCTATATTGTTATTACTCTTTTATACACGTTATGCATTTTCATTCCTGCAGCCTTCCAAACTTCAATGAAGTAGCGACCAACATTCTTTATTTTATTCAGATCTCCTCCCATCTTGTTATTAAGCAAGGCGAACCAATCAGCAACCCAAAAGATGAATATGCATCCTGCATCAACCAATCTATTCACATTTAGTGCTCTAAGTAATCCTTGTGCAATGTGCATTCTTCCACTTGGTTCAAATCCATCATAGCAGATTGGAAATGTTTTATTCTTCAATAGATTTATTAATTCATCCTTGTGGATCAATTCTTCTCCAATGGGCTCTAATAATTTGATTTTCTCCTCCAATGATAATCTTATAATAATAATCAATTATACCTACTGGGTCTAGGATTGAATTAAACATTCACATCCTTGATTTCAACATATTTCACCTTAGTCTTCTCCTTTTATTCCTTCTCCTTCTATCCTTGTACTTCCCAAATCAAACCTCCAGTAAGTGGATCGACTGTAGCAAACATTAATAAAAATATTAACTAAACTAAATCATTTAAATATGGTTTATGAAAGAATTTATTTAATTCTCTAAATTATTCTTAATATTATAAGATCGACGGCTTATCTCCAAGGATATGATTAATTAAATCTTATGATTTAAGATAATTTAATATTTAAATTTATATCTATCATAACAATCAAGCACATCCTGGACATACCTTAAATTTAGAATGGATTAGAATATCACAATCTCTAAAATACGATAAATGTATTACAAACAGAAAAAGTTCTTGCATCTCTCACAAGTAGAATGGATAACAGTAGTGGGTTCCAAACACCCACTACATACATGATCTAACCCATCATTCGTTATCTCAAATACTCCCAAAGTATTGTAACCGTCACTTCTGAGAATCTAGTGTGGTAGTACTATCCAAGTCGAACAGATCGGACATAAAAGAGGAGGAGAACAAACTTTACTATAACATACCGGACATTTATAAAAATTGTATCTATCATTATAATCAACAAATAAATACACTATTTCTAAATGACATTAGCATAAAGTCGGTTGACTAACTATTAATTTCTATGGGAATCCAATCTTTACCAACTAAGTAATCATCTTATGGTTCTTTGATTCCTATGGTGAAACAAATTTCTTATATATTACTCAAATTCTCACCTAAATTTCTTAGCTAAACTGAAATTCATTTAAGGGACATAGGTATTAACCATCAGTTGCTTATGTTATTTTAATTAATTGATTGATAGATCCTGTAAAGGAGATCACATTTATTTGAATAGCTGCAGATTGGCATCTCTCACTCCATTCATTTAAGTCAAGCTTATCGTCTGAATATGTCGAGGTAGTTACAACCAGGATACTTGATTAGGCATGCAATTATGTAGTAGAAAAAACGTGTAAGGCTGTCTAAATTGTAGTCACTTAGTTATGATACTTATAAACAGGCTGCCATCGAAAATCCTGCTTCATTTATTGAATGGATTGTTGACAAATATTATTTTATGTTCACCCAAGAGGATGTAAAATCCAAAATGGTTTTGCATCTATATTCTTCTGCAACTGCTATGCCTATCTAAGATAGGGGATTGCACTCCAGAAATTACTCAATGAATGCCTAATAGTGAGTATGGGGTTTGTACAGGCAAAAATTGTAAAGCCACTGCCAAACGACTTGGTTTGAAATCACTTATTTTAGATGATCTGGTTATGTCTATTATGATCAAGAGATTTCTCATTATGAGTGGATTTTGAGCAATTAAAAATTAAGCATCTGATTCCTTTTTCTAATGCAATTTATCTTGATGGTAATTGTGACAATTGTCTTAATGATTTCTGATTTTCTCCTCGTACTCATTGAATTTAGTGTTGCCTTCCAATTCCATCTATAATTTAAGAAATTTATTATTGGCTACATATATTTATTAAAAGTAGAGATAAAAGTCTCAGCACAGGTCTCGTAGCTCAGTTGGTTAGAGCGTCAGTCTAATAAGCTGACGGTCGAGGGTTCGATCCCCTCCGAGACCATTTTTTTAATTTTAAATTAATTTATATATCTCATTTGTTTATTTATAAAGGTTTTTTCACATTCGTAGTTTAGGAGAGCGTTCTTCTCATCCTATTTTTAGCAGCTATGTCGCCATATTCTTCTTTCCGATTCAAAAATTTATAGAGCAGTTCATTCTTCAAAGGCATCCTCAAATTCATTTGTTTCTTAATAGCAGCCTCCTCATTCATTTTCTAAAGACTCAATTAGAAAGAGCTCTATCTATTTACAGTGGAACGAACAGGACTATTTATAATCGAAGGCCTCAGCTATTCATTCTACAAATGCACTGATTTCTGAGTATTCCGTAGACCCATTCTCAAACGATTAAATACTGCAGATTGTTTATTTTGAGAAGGATTAGCAATGCTATTGAGATTATTGATTTGGGATTCATTAAGATCTTCTGAATTATTCGATTGAGATTGGTGAACTGAATTAATGGAATGAGTCGATCGGATTTAATTTTTTTAGACTACCGTTTGCTTTTGTTGTTCCTCGACATCTTCACTGCTTTTCTTAAAATTGTAATGTCTTGAAAGGGTTTTCTTGGGCATAATTTCTCCAGTTAGAGACACTTTGTTATTGAAGACTTTCTCATTTCTGGACACTTGAGTTTTGCATTTGTTGGGCAGATTCTCCTCTATGGTGGGTAGGACTTAAGCTTTGAAAAAGTCATGATCAAAAATCAGTAATTAACCTTCCTCACTAATACAAAAGGCAGTGCCATTGCACAATGATGTTTTATTGTTCAATTCGTTTTCTCCTATCAATTGTCCTTAGGTGAAGATGTGAACTGCTTTGGCAACTCCCTTTTCGAGTTCTCTTAATTCAAAAATCCCTTTGATAACCAAATAAATTTATTTGATCATCTGCTCCTATAAGTATACAATATCAAGGCATTGGAAGTTCTGTGACATGGAATTGGCATAGAACCTACGTACTTAGGCGTATGGAACATTCTTGAAGATGGGAAAGGCGTACAATTGAGAGATTTCCTTAGTAATGCGACTGACTTCAAAATTCATTAGATTGACTCTAAAATCATGCTTAGAAATTGCAGCGAGTTTACAGACAGTTTTAGATGTAACATTCCAATCTGATCTAAAATCATGAATGCATACATGTCAGAATAGCATTCACTTCCAAAAAGAAGGAGATTCGATCCAAAATGTTTCAGATGGATCATCTCTTGGTTTCCCTTATTCAAAACCACATCACCAGACAAAACGATTATCAGTTTACTTTGATCCAATTGGTTTTTAGAGAAGATCACCTAATTTTTGTGGAACTATTCAAATCTCATTAACTATCAGATGACCAAAAGACTTACTTGACAACACTCTATTAGAAATTCATTGTCAGAGGTTCTAAAGAATTCATGACCCCTCAAAAATTGACCAAGTTTCTCGTTCTCCTGTTCGGGATCGCAAACTTGGATCTTTCTATAATAATTGCATGCATTGCTGAGTGGTCTATGAATTCCTCGTATACAACAAATCCGGGTCTTTGGAGCTTCTCAAAATGAATGTCTGTGATTGTAGATTAATTGTTTTTTTTCATTTAATTATTAAATTATAGGTTATCATTCAAGTTTTTATGCTCGTTATGATGGAACATCCCTAAATATAATATGATTATTAGTTGATTACACAAGCATACTGTAAAGAATCCCCTTTCATCTCCATATAATCCATTAGAATAATTATAAAATTCTAAGAAACTCAAATGTCTTCCAGTGTTCGCATGGATGTGTAATTAATATAATAATCAATAATAATAATATCTGGATGGATATCTGGAATATCTGCTGTAGGCTAAAGAATTTGACAGAGGTTGGCGAACAACACTGGATCTCTCCACTGGAACATAGTCGACTGCTTCATCGTATCTCTCGATTGGCACGTATTCTACTCTTCTTTCAAGTCTTGGGACTGGGACATAATCTCTGTAATGCTCGACTTAATGATTTCTATGATTTTCTACTTTCCACATAGTCTGTGTATCTTCTCTCGACTGGCTTGTATTCAATTCTCTGTTCTGGAACATACTCAGTGTATCTCTGCTCAACTGGGATTCTCTCCACCCAAGAATTGCCTTAAATATTTAGCAGAGGAGTCTTACCTCTTGGTGGAGTGGATGTGTAAACTGGGGAGACATATGAACGGGTGGGTGAATACTAGTGGGGTCTGGCATAGGATCTGTAGGGGGAGTAGAGGTAACTCATTTAAAACAAAATAAAATTTTATTGAAAAGTTAATTCGATGTCCAATAAAGACATTTAAAAACTGCAATCTCTATTTCAAATAAACAACAGTGTCGTTTAAGAGTATTTGGGAATTAGGTTGATAAATTAAACTCTTATTGACTAGGTATTGCCCACATGATTACTTATGTAGTTGGTGAATAGTGATAGTGCTGGTGAGATTCAGAAAATCAAAAAGATCGAGGGCTGCAAAGATTGGGACAAATTGAAACATAAACTGTTAGCCTACTTTGTGGCTTCTCAATTAACTTATGGCAAACCTATTCACAAATACATCCAATAAGCATACGAGGACTTTCTCATTAAATACCACATTTTCTATGAGGGCTTAATCGAATTTCAAACTTGCTCCATGTTGAACCAATATCTCCTACTAAAATAGAAATTACTTAAAGACGATTGCAATCTCAAATGGGAATTTCGTAAATTAATAAACATGCTCATTTGGAAGACCAATCAATTGCATTTTCTAATTCGAATCATCATCGGTTACATAGGCTATGTCAAAATAAGCAAACAAATTGGCAATGTGGAGAGAGTCTTCGAACAAATAGCCAAGCTAATTGAGAAATCCCTCAAAAAGGGAGCCAATTACAACCATCTATTATTCAAAATGGATGTCGAATTGTTCTCCTCCTATTGGAATAAAATAATCCAAGTCAGTAACAACGACACCAATGCCATCATCTTGATTCAATTGTTACAATAGTCTCAATTCTACTTCAACGATTATAAGTTTCAGAGTGATATTATAAAGACACTGCAAGCAATTCAGTAAGCTAAGTTCTCCATCAATTCCCAGTCATAAGTAAATGAAGAGACCAAACCCAAAGGCTAAATTAGGAAACCCATTCTGTAGATTAATAACTTGATGCCCTAAGAAGTTCCTAAGGAATCGACAAAAAGTACCAAGAGGTATTCGGAATTGGGGAAAATTGTGAAAACAGAACAAACTCTAACGTCAGCTACAAGCAAAAGAATAATCAAGGCTTCTGCCTCTAAACTCCTCAATTCTCAATATCAACACATTGAAGAGGATCCCATATTCTAAATCCAAGTTGAAAATTACCACATTAACAAGATTGTTAGAAAAGGATGCTTTAAAATCTAAAAACCAGTGACCTTGTCTACATGCACTTGTATTCCTATTCAATATCATAGAAAGATACAAAACACAGACTTCTGCATAAGAAGATTTACCATTACTTACCTTCCAAGACTTCGAGTAAGATCACCAAGATTCAATTCTAGAACTACCCTCCCCTGTCAAACCAGCTACTGAATCAGACCATAAGATTTCCGGCAAGGATCACAGCATTACACATTCCTAATCATCTCAAGGGAAAATTGATAAGTTGAACAATCTCAGTAATCCCTATAAACTGAAGAACCTGATTAGTTCTAGATTCCAGTAAATCCTAGACATAGCCTAATTGAGTGCCTCCTCAACACCCAGGAATGCTGATCTAGGTAAATCGATTAGAAGATAAAAAACAATATCAATCAAAAAAGAACACAAGGAATTTCAATTATAACCACAATAACTCTCAATTCCCTTGTTACAACAAATACCTTCGTAAAAAGATCCAGATCCATAGACTTCAGAAAGAAGAAGGAGTGGGATGGTCGTGAGTTCACCTGATGCTGCTTCTCAAATTAGTCAAGCCATCCAAAAATCTAGTCTTGTTGAGAGTATCCCCACAAAATCGTAGATTATAATTGCAATACCAGTCTAATAACAGCAACAATAGAACTAATAGCAAACACAACAGCAGAATCCTAAACGACCTCAAAGAAGGAATATCTTGGCTTTAAGGACTGCCACTACCTTATTTATGGAATAATCCAATACTTACATCCCAAAGTTTTAATTTTCATTGTGTTATCACAGTCGAACTATATAGTGGTCATGTTTTCTATAAATAGCATCATCAGATAACATTCTTATAGCTTTCTAGGATACAACAAATAACAAAATAGTTTATAGGGCTCAATTGTAGAATTTATAGATTGATAATATCAAAAATTGGGCGCAAATAATTGAAGTCTTTATTAAGGAGTACCAATCATAAGCTTCTCAATGCTTGCCCTATTTGCGTTATAATGAAATAATGAGCAATAGGAATGGTGATAACTACAATTTTATTATGTTTCCCAAGTATTAGTTCGAACTAACCAAAAATGAAATAGAATAAATGGGTATTATGAAGGATTTGTTTAGATGGATGTATACAACTTATTTATATGAATAAATCAACATCACTGGGATCAGATTGAAGTTGTATTCAGTCGAAAAAGACAAAACTCTGAATGCATACAGAGAATTAATCAATGTGGTCAATCTTTATAGAAGAATGATCATCTAATCGACCCTGTGTGATGAGAAGGAGAAATTCCACTTGCTAATTCTAAGTTATGGAGGTATCACTTAATGTTAACTATTATAATAGAGTGTATTAAGAATAACATCATTCTTTTGAATAGGATACTCAATTTTAAGATAAACAAACAAAAGGATTAGTAATATATGATTCACAAGCAGTTGGTGAGTCTTAGAAACCTAAGTTTGACAAATGATGAAGACAACATATTTTTCATAATTAAAGTGAGCATTATATTTTAGAAAGAGAAGTACTTATAAGTTATAATTAATTAGCATCTTGTACTATAAGAAGAATGACTATCACACCAAGTACTAGGTGGATGTATTGTTCGAGGCAATCAACAGTCCAGTAAAGATTAAACCTTTGAGATTGTAATTTGATGCCATAGAAAAGATCTTAGAAAAGAGATATCACAATAATTTAAAGCAGATAATAAATTAAATATTTTTCTCATAAAGGAAATGCTGGCACATGTTCTATGAATTCATAGATCAAAAGTTGATGATCAATGAATAGAAGTAACTTTAAGTTAAGATGAATATATTTTCATTGCATGATGCTTAGAAAATGGAGGCTTGTGGGATGAAATTAGGGTTTCTCATAGATTTGCAGACTAAAGTGAAGCCCTTTGCGATTACTGAAATAGAAAGATACATCTATGATGATACCTAAAAGAAGTTAGACTATCAATCCAAATCATAGACTATCCACAATAGAGAGCATATGTTCGATAAACACTTTGCTCAAATATTCGGTGAAGACATTACGAATAATGAATAACAGCATTTTCATCAAACCACCTTGATTGATTTAGTGAAAAGGTACTAACCAAACATCAATGCAGAAGCTAAACAAGAGATCATTACAAAAAAGGTTGGTCCCATCGTAATTTATTAAGAAAATCCATTTACTGATGTGCATATTGATGATTTGGAAAAATTGGAGTCTTAATTTTTTAGCAAGTAAAATCTAAAGCTAGACAGAATCTAAAAGTATAGAATCCAATTGAAACATCTTTCCATCCAAATATCCATGGCTCAAAAATAGATAATATTGATTTACCATTATAATTAAAGATTGCAAAGGTTTCGGATTAGTCCTTTTGATGAAGAGGATAACTTAATATCCAATATTGTATAACTTATTCAAAATGGCCCTACTTGTTGGATCGTCTAAATGCTATATAAGAAAATAAGTCAGAGAAGTTTAAAGCAATCATTCATTAGCTCCTAATTATCAGATGGGTTAGAGTTACTGAAATATAAGAAATCAAAAAGTTAATTGGCTGAGATTCCTTCTTATAATGTGCTGCATTATTATATCTTAAACAATTACATGGTACTATTAAAATATTTTACTCTTAAATAATTCGTAATAGTTCAGAAGATTAAGAATTACGGAAAATACTAGATAACTATTAAGGTGTTCTTTAGATGTCAAAAACCAGACATTTTGGCTGAGAATGATTACTTTTTGATGAGAATAGACTTCTAAAATATCATGTTAAAGACTGGAATGATGAAAATGATCTTTAATAAGTACGATATCACAGAAATGTTAAAGATTGAGATACCATATAATATGACAGATGCAAATATAGTGCAAACTGCCATGAACATATTTCAGAAATGTCACTTAGGAACATTCACATTAAGCAATGTTCCATTTTTTGCAGTCTCTCAAGATGATTTGAAATAAAACGAAAGTTAAATTACACATAATTCCTATGAAGATCATTCTACTAAAATTAATGTTCAATAAATCAGAAGAATCGGCAATTTCCCTGAAAACACGACTTTCAAGAAATCTGATCTCTGCAAAGGATTCTTAGAACATTACATAAAGAACAGTAGATTAATTGTTACTCACATCAAAAAGTCTTACTTGATTCATTCAATATCAACTGGATAATTGATTAAAATATCAAACAACAAGGTTACTTAATTATTGAATGATTAACAATAAATAATTGATTATGTTTTAATCCAAATTTACAGACATCTGCTATTGGACATATGGATTATCAAGGTGTACGTTCCAAAAACAACAAGATAAATGGTAGGATTGTTGAGATCTGAAGATTTTAAGGAGAATGATGGCAAGGATTTAATGGATAGTATCATGATATACAAGAAGTAAGCTGTCTTAAGTTTCAAGGATTTAGACTCCTTCACAGATTTCACACCAAGATAGAGTGTGAATATGTAGAAGTCAAATCATCGATTGAGCTAACCGAGGATATCATAATTTCATTCTCCAGCTGTCTCAAGTATCTAGGCTTAGAATTAATTGGCTCAATCTTAAGTTACGCCTTACTATCTAAATGATTTCTTCTATATCACTAAATTGGTGACTGAATTCACAGAGTACCGCTTGGAGAACGGAAATAAGGAATAGTACATTATAAAGGAGAAGCTGATTTGGGTCAATATCATTAACAATAATTTCTCATTAGAACAACACCCCAAGCAATAAAATTGTTTTTTGTCTTTAATGTTTGATCAGAAAGAGATAAACTTATAAGAACTCCTCTTTTAACGTTACATCAGAATTGAACGAGTTGGTGAATCCCACATTGAGTTCTACATGAAGTATACTTAAAAGGCTGATCAATTAAAGGGTATCGCACTTCTTAAAGGGAAAATAAATCAATTGCATTTGCATAATAGCAAATTTCCGAGTATAATCAGCGAAGCTAAATTGAATGAAGAATAGATTAAATTCTTGAAACGTACCTGCATCTTCTTTCCCTTTGATGCCATTAGCTATGCTAACACATCCAATTTCAACATTGAATTGAAGTATTTCTCGTATAATAAATTTACTGAAGTCAAAGAACAAATAAATTTGAGGGAATTACTTAATTTATATATAGCTGATGGCTTTTACAAATACCAAACTAATTATATGAATTCTAAGCTGAATCATTCAGACATTATCAGCATTTGTTATTATATGATACATAAAATTAAGACTTAAAATTTCTTAAATTTGAGTCAATATCATACGATTCCCAATTTAAACCAATTAAAAACGTAGAAATAATCTAATAAGATACAGAAACCAATTAGACTATAAATAAGGACCTTCAAAAAACCAAATATTTTCATAATCTCACTACTCTACAATGAAGTTTAAGTTTGTTGTACAAATTGGAAGACCTGCACACAAATGAATGATGTATTTTCATTTAGTTATCTATCTGAACACATAGCTCATTTCAAACATCTGGTAGACAATGAACCTAGAATAGCATTACAAAGGATTGCAAAAATAATTGATAAATTAATGAATATTATATTAATAAAATGAAATTTGTAATATTAATACTATTGATACAGCACTATCATACTTGTGAAATCTATTACAACAACGACATCTCATTTGATTTCACAGACACCATAGGCTCCAATGTCTAATTGACAGACAAAAAAATCCTGAATATGAATATCTGTGGATCAATACCTTACTAGTGCGTCACTCAGGATGATAAGTAAATCATGGTGAGAAATGAAAAGTCAACCTAAAACCTTATAATAGTTGAGAATGAGGAATGTGATTTTTATTCAAAGCAACACGATTATGCGAAAAATGATCTCAAACTTATAGATGAGAATAATCCCTTTGCAGGAGTGGTATTGAAGCTTCAAGGAGTAGAAGACGATGACAATTTGGAACTCCTGCTAATATGTAGCAATTCGGATGCATTTGAAATTTAAACTCCTTGTGAATAAGATTATTGTATAAAACACTAAAGCGTTTGTCCGATTCTTGTGACCAATCCCATAATGAAATTTTATCAGTACTTATACATCCCCCTGGGTGTTATTTTTATGCTCTTAGGAATAGCTCTAATAATTTTCGGATTCCAATTTTCGAGATTGACCACTGTCTTGCTGGCTTTCATGATTGGGACTGCAATATATACCATAGTGTTGGGAGAAGGAGTCTTGGATCAAGATTCAAGCAATTTCGCAATAATCATAGTACTGTGTTCTGGTATAGGAGTTGGAATTATCTACGCAAACACAACCTATGTGAGATATTTACTTGTACATTATAGATTCTATTTAGGGTGTGTTTAACATGGGTCTAGTATTTGGGGTAGTGCTTTCTCTGTTGTTGGAACCCTTATTCTTGCATTTATTCAACAGTCATCCAATGTTTTTGGCCTTGACCTTAACACTTTCGATTTCAGGATTACTGTTTGGATTTTTGGCATGCAAATTTCTAAACACCTTTGGTATTGGAGCCACAGCCCTAGCAGGAGTATGAGAAATTCATTAAAATAGAGTTACTTATTGATCAAGCCAATTGGGTGGTTTGCAGGTGGATATCCAAATGAGCTCTATTTAGTAAAGAGGGGATTTTATGGATTCGACAAGGAGATCGATTTTAGGTTCTACTTGTATTTCTCCTCCATAATGATCTTGACGATTGGAAGTGTGTTTTTTTAATATAGACAATTGAGAAAGAGGATGAGCATGGATGAAATGTTCGCTTACAAAGAAATGGATTATTGTGAGATGGGAAATTTCGAAAAGGGCAACAAGTCTGAAGTCAAGGGATTTGTAGATGAAACTGAGGTATTGCATATAATAATAGCTATTTTGTAGGAGGTTATGCAATCTGTGTAATTTGTTAAAAAGCTAGGAGAGACAGGACAGAGGAGAAGCGATTCAAGCCAACAGAGTTAATGAAATTTTAATTTTATATTGTTATATTCTATTGATAATTGCTTTCAATTGTGGAAATTCCAAATCATGAATCCTGTTGTTCCCATAAAGGCAGCCCATCCCCAAAGTTCATAGAAGCCTCTAAAACCATCATGATATTGACGAATCACTTATCTTGAAATTCAACTACTTTAATACCTGTGTGTGCCATTACAGAAGGGAGCATTTGCACTCTGTTTGCAATTACACAATTTATAATATCCAGAAGTATCGACATTAAATTTAATTGGTCTATTTCTAGTTACTGAGGCATTGCACATTCCATCACACCAAGGATTCGATTATGAAATGCCGCATGAACACCATTGGTAAATCTTGATTTAGCGAATTCAAAATACCTTTCCCTTCTATAGATAGCAATTATAAGGATAGAAACCAGCAACATAGGGCACTGATGCAGGACGGTACTTTCCTTCAGGATATGGGATGGATTCGGGCAGAAGTACAAACTTTTACTCTGGGAAATCTGTAATATCATCTGGCTTTCTTTCTTTTCTGGCTAAATTTATGAATGGCAACAACAATTTACGTTGAGGTGGAGTAATGATCTCGGGTGGTAGTGTATATGGATCACGTAAATGAGCCTCCCCATGTTGGAGTATCGTAGACACAGTTCTGTATTTAGCTGCCTTCTTCAAGATTTAAGACATCCAAAATAAATTAATTAATACAATATCAATATTTCATACTTATCATACTAATCAATAATGTCATCTCTTGTTATCCCCAACAACATTATCGAATTTATACCCTAAATATACCAAGGATACCTACAAGTCTTCCTTGTATAAAATTGCAAATCTAAATTTCTACATTCCTCATAGACATCTCCCAATATCCTCAGATCTCAGTATTAAACCAATTGATTTTCGGAGAATTGCATGAAATCTCTTAAATACTAGCAGAAAGTAGAGTAAAAATATTATAATCAAAAACTCAGAATTGAAATAAATATGGAGATAGTATATATATAATCATATGTGTATGGATGTTTCATTTTGCTTTAAAGATGGGTCCATATCCTTAGCATTAAACCACATCAGAAGCAAATCAAACCTTCTTGATTTAATCATAATTATTTAATAATTGAATTTATAGAAACCAATTAAAACAAGGTATTAACTGGGAATTTATACGTCATTATTTTAGAACCCCAAAAGTGAAGACCAAACTTTTATTAGAGAGTTAATGATGCTACATTACTTAATGGAAATTGTGGAGTGGTTATAATATAATAATTTTGTTTTTTGAATATGAATTTAGAAATATGATGTCATTATGGTGGTTATTACTGAGGTAACAAGGCTCTTAATAATAGAATTTTATTTATATTTATAGCTGTTTATTGAAATATATCTGGTAGTCCAAATTAATGGGGTTTTTCCTCTTAAACTATGTGTTCCTCCTTAACGTGTTCTTTATCAAGATATTAGTGCTGTTATTCTATAAGCATTTCAGCACTTTAGATGACATGGGTGTGATGTGACCTTTGTTATGAAATGTTGGGACCCTGAATTTGAATGACTTTTCTTATGATTTTCTCTTGGTTGTTTTAAACTACTTCTTGTTCTTTGGGCTTCTTTTTCTTTCTTGGTTATTCTTCATATTCCTAATTGTCATCTTGCTATTGTTCGTTCTTCTTCAATTGCAATAGTTTATCATAGACATCTATGTATGCTTATTTAATGTCTGCTAAATCTGTGATTTAAGTGAAATTCTTAGGCAGTTCAATTGGGTCGATAACAACTTCAATGTCGTCGTTATTGAAAGGTTCAAGGAACTCTTACAGTTTTTTTAGATGTTATTGAAATTTACTAATAGTATTGCTGCTGTCCACACATAATATGATATATTTTTAATCGAGTTTGTTATTGACATTGTTATTAGTGCTTTTGTATAATACTTGTTGTATGGTCAAAACTAAAGATTTAGAGTCTTAGAATTTAAATACATTTGTATTAAGATACAATTTAATGCAAGAACTGAATTTGATGCATAGAAATACAGGATGCTTAACTTTGTGTCTGATATTGGGAGCTGAGAAATAATTATTCAATCCCTCGATAGTGTTGGTGATAACTTCGGTATTCTAGGGTTTGGTGGTTGTGAATTGCTTTTCAAGAGTGGTAATGGGGAAGGGATCAAAGTAGGATTGCAATTTCTGCTTATTTTGTTGCTCAATATCTCTGGCTGACTTTCGGGAATCCACAAAAATAGGGGGAGATATGCGGGATATCAGTATTTGGGGGAATTCAAACTTACTTTAACAAAGATAAAGTGTTATGATTATGTGAAATTTTTAATGCTAAGTTTTATAAATAAGATACATCATGATTGTAGGAAGTAGTGTTAAATTTGAGACCAGAGAATATGCATTTATTATTTTCCAAATCCATCTTCTAATTACCCTTCACACCCACTTCCAGCAGATGAAAAGTTTTCATTGGACTTACTGTTGGTTTTACAATTTGAATTTTGGCCTAAATAAAAAGATGGTCAATACATAGATCTTGCCTGGTGGAGCAAGCTTCTCGTCAGTGGTGGGATCTGTTATCTAAGGATGTTTAAAACATAATGCGCATACCTCCAATTCGACGCCAATATCTGGTAGATTCCAACTCTTATGCCAATTCCAGCCCAAGCCATTTTTGTTTGTGTAAATGAAATTCCTGCTCTGCTCTATTTTGAGATCAATTACAGGGTCTATCTACCCCTACTCCGACGGTATTTTCAATTGCACAGATGGACTCAAGTTCCACGTTGTTTCGGTATCCTTTGAGATGCGTTTCACATCGTATTGACATGGTATCCATTCCCATTGCTTATCCTAAGGAGCGATGTCTGATTTCTAATTTTCTTTCATTAAAATTATATAATATTAATGATTTCCATGTTTATTAAGTAGTGTTTAAATAATATGGACATAGTAGTATCACTAGCAATAACCTAGACGATCTCCTATCTAAGTCAGATATCACTTTAGACGAAATTCTGGATGCGGAAGTTTTGGATGAAATAAAACACAATGGAGCCCAAAAGTTTGCTATCTTGTAATGATCTATCTCTATTGAATTAGCATTATCAAGGATGTCAACAACTACCAAAAAATGATTGAGTATCTCCTTTCAATGGATTCAGACAACCCCAAATTGATAAGGTAAAAGTCCATCTCAAAATAGACACTAATTTCTCATAAGTGAAATTTTGAGTTACGATATTTCAATTTTAGTTGATTATCTATTCGAACCAGAACCCAACATCCCAAATTATCAGGTTCAAGAAGAATAACGTCAATAACTTCTCCCTCTTTTATTTCAACCATTCCAAGCAGATTATCTTAATTATACCTAAGTAGGATATCTGACCAAAATCTTTGAATCCATCATAAGGAAGAGGGGTAACAGCGTATAAATTAGTGAATTCAATCTAGTTATGGAGTTGGTTTGATAATAATTAATGCGTATTGGATCAATTGATTAAGCATCTAGATGTCTATCATGTGGCATCAATACTCTCCCACTTAATCACCTCCGAATCCACAAGTCAAGACTTAAAATCTAATCAACACACCACCAAAAGAATTCAATTGCTTCTCAGACTTCACAAAATATTGCTCAATAAAGTCCATAATTATGAAATTGTACATAATTGTTCAGAACTATTAGTCTAAGTTTGTACTACAACCTAACAGTTTATATAGTATTTTGATCACCCAGAACACTTCTATAAAGCAGCAGTAATCATTGAACTTATAATTAGTGTGATTCCTAATTTGTTGAGTTTTTGAATATAATTATAGCGCTTTTGTAATGTCAGCCATCAGATGAGGAATATCATCATTCTAAGTATTACTCTATAGCTCTACATCTACATAGATCATTCTCTAATGAGTACATGAATTTCGGTAAATTAGTGATCAAGTAATCTTAGCTTTTAATTCAACTTTGGGTGAAATCTCAACAACACTTGGGCAATTCAAATTAAGTCTTTTGACTATATATCATTTGCTCTTAAAAACAGAAAATTCAAATTTATTAAATTTAATACATCATGTGGAGATCTATCAAACCTTGTTCAAATACATTATTAAATTTGAATTTAACAACTAACTTTAAATATAATTCAATGAAATCACTAGATTTATTTTCAAAACTAGATCCTTAAATTGGATTTAAGATCAAATACAAAAAGATTTATTTGAATTCATTTCCACTCACAACACATAAACCAAATCAATTATAGGAAAAATTAAATATCCTATAAATAGAGGATATTTTGGAATCTTATCTTAGCTTTCATATGAATTAGAACACATTATTTACGAGTCACCAAATTGGAATTAGTATAAAGAGAATACCTTGCAATAGCTTAAAAATATTGAGTAAAATTACTATTTCGATTTTAATCCTAAAAGTAACGAGGTTGAATAGATATCAATTAGCATTAAGGAGAATTTGCAAGTAGATTATTTATTATAATGCCTTAGTAGGTATCTCAGTGTAAGCCTGATTCTATTGAGGTCGAGTTTAACAATAAATAACACAACAGTGATCTTGAGTAAATTCTATAAGCCAAAATTAGGATCAGCTTTCCTATAAAAACTTTGCTATCATTTTCAGATATGAGTTCTAAGGGAGTCGCTCTATAAACTGCTTATTATAATGGAAGCAATGCAGAACCATCAGATTTAGAATTGGATTCCTTCAATGTAACTGAATTAAAAAAGAAAAAGATCTGCAATTCTTAGAATGAGTATTTGAAAGAAAGCATTAACTCCAATCCTAAATAATTAAATGAGGATCAGAATGCTACTGATGAAATCGGTATGAATTCAATTCATCAAAAAAAAATTTGAAAGATTAATAAATATACATATTTGTACATATTCAAATTAATTAACTTAATGATCTTTATTAAAAAAAGCATTAATAAATTATTGTTTAAATTTATTAAAAATCGATGTTTATAGAATCAATTGATCACTCTACTCCAAGAACGATTCAAGAAAATGAAAGTAGAAATAAATCATCCACTTAGTTTCAGAGCCAGAATACGATTAAAAAGTCAACTATAAACTCGAAGTTAGGAAAGCACATCTTCTCCAGTAGTTCCTGAGATTTTAAGTTGAAAATACTCAAAGGAGCATTGCAAAACTAGAAAAAAAGCTTTCTAATGATGAGGTAATTGTAGAACTCATATGTTTTTATTTAACTATTTGCTCGTTATTATATATATTTGTTTTAATTTAATTTTATTAGGTAAAAAATAAACGAATCTCAAGAAAAAATTCAATTACCAAACCTTTCAAATGTTCAAATTGCACCCATACTTATTCTTCAAAGGCAGCTCTAAAGTAGCACCTTAAACTGAAGCATTATGAAGAACATACTCCTCTAACTCAACCTTTAGATTAATAAAAAGTATTAGTTGAACCATTGTCCTAAATATGAAATTAATTTTGTTATTTTATATTTTGTATTATAAAAAGATTCACTCCAAAAATCTAAAACATTAGAAACATTAATAAAGAGAAGGCAATATTGCCATTCAAAGAGATCTACAAAGAACCATCATAAAGGAACGTAAGTTATTTGATAAATCTATGTATAATTTTGATTAAGAATCAAAGTAATTCTGTTCAAGTTCTCTTACTGTTATAAGAGGTAGCGTTAATTCAAATTGATTATTTTGTAATAGGGTTTTAAATGTTTCACAAAAGTATTAAAGCTGACTAATTTATAATTAATTAAAATAATGTGCTTTCTAATTTGTTATATCAGTTAACTAATATGTTTGTTGTTTTTAATATTAATAAGTATATCATTCTACTAAATATTTGAAATATTAAGTGTAAAAGCCCACGTTGTAAAAATAATAGTAAAAATTAAGTAATAATATGAATCTATTTAATTCTTTGAAATAAGATATGAATTCAAAAATGTATAAAAAGTGAATTTAATTGTTCTCTTAAAAGAATAATTTACAAGTTAGTCTACTTGATTTTTAATAAGTAAGTTAGAATTAATCATTTCGTTATAGGTTTTGAAAAAAGTTTAAATAGTTCTTATAGATCTGAAATTGGTTGAACAGCTGGAAACTAAAAGAAATATTGTCTATATGAAAGGGCGATGATTTAAGTCCCAAGCTTCCATATATATATCTGTGATTGTTATTTTAGATCAAGAAGTTAAGGGAATAAAATTTTTGGATTCAAAGATAGAAGTGGATACAGATAGTTTTAGTTTTTGATTTAGTAGTATTTAAGTTGTTTGAGCTTTAGGTGTGTTGTTTATAAGTATTAAGCATTTATTATAATACATAATTTTAAATTAATTCACAATGTTACCGGAGAGTGCTAAAATAAAGCTTGCCAGTCGTTTGTTTGATAGAGGGAAGCCTACTTAGAGCAATAATAATAACGAGAGGCCATTGACTTCGAAGATTGCGATCAGGGCATAGCTGAATCAGACGATGACCAAGATTGAGAAGGTTCCCGATAAATTGCCTGCGATTCGCGAGGAACGCAGTTATTCACATCAAAAGTCAGGAGGAGCAGGTCTGAATCAAACTCGAGGGAAATCATAGAACAGTAATATTGATTAGATTGAATTTAGACAATGACTCATTCCCAAAGCATAATAAAACTTTTGATTTAACAAATGATATATTCTTAGATGAGAGACGATTATTAAAGTCTCGTCAGGTTCATGAGTTGATGGATCGCATGATTGGAAGAGCGAAACCTCCAAGTCCACCAAAGGAAGTTTAGAAGGTCGTCTAGGTGTTGCCAAGTAACATCTTAGATAATACTCGCATGACTATGACAAGGGATAACAGGACAGCACCAAGGAAGACCATTCGAGCATAACAAATGAGGAAAGAGATTTTGAATAAAACCTCCATGTCTTAGGTTTCAGATAGTTCGGAAGATTCAAGTGAAGAGAATGGCAATTTCGGGTTGAAAGATGTAGATGCATTCATTCAGATGATTAAGGAACACAAATTAAGTTAACAGGAATTCATGTATCTGATCAAAAGGAAGAAACATTCAAATGATGCTTACAATATGAGGATAGTCAACTATCCCTATATTCAAAAGCATTAGCTCAATAATTTCTATACTCTCTCAGCCAAGGGATTGACTAGATACGAGAATAACATTACAATTGAGTTTGTTTCATTAAAACACCTGGTTAGAAGAAAGGGATTAATTTAATGCAATTAAATCATTAAGTTTTTTTAAGAAATTCCGTAAGTGGAAGACTCTCAAGAAATGGTAAAAGATATTACATTAACATCGAACTTCTATTGTGTAAGCCTAACTTTGTGAGAAGATGTTGATTTTGAATCCAATTTATTAAAAATTAATAGTTTCACATAGAAGTTTATGTTACGACATAGAAGCACTTAGAATAGTCGACATAGAAAAGATAGAAGAAGAATTGACTGACAAAAAAGATTAGTATTTGAGTTTGCAAGAGTTTAGTCTATTACAGTAGAAGTAGAGGAATAAATTAGTGGAGAAGATCTAGATTCAATCAAGGAAGATGAAAGAAAATTGTTTATCAGGACTTAAAACTGTTATTGATAAATTGAGAACACAAATTAATTAAGAGAAACAGTCAGATGATGATCAGGTGCCTTTGAAAATAGAGAAGAATATGTCTCAATCTAGGTAAATTGATAAGAAGTAATAAATTATCGAAACTTTTGGATTTCCTGAAAGAATGGATTATGGTCACAGAGCATTAATGAGAACAGAGTTCATTAAGTTTTTAAGATTAGCTTATCTATTAGATTTCATTGCTGTTTAATCGTTAGGATAAATTTACATTAAATCAGCAACAGAATTTGTGGATAAATTGATTAAAGTTCAATAATGCAGTAAAAATAACAGAAAACTGCCTAAATTGACAGAAAATGAAGAAGAAAAAAAGGATTTTCAAGATTATGATCCCATTTTCACTATTGAATTAAGATTTAATCCAATTTATGGACATCTTGATATCGAAAGGTTGTAAGTGCCTTGGGATACTTTAAATGAAAATTTGTTGGATTTTGATTTGTAAGAGTGTATTAGATTGAAAGAAGAGAAGGTACAAACGATTGAGAAGGTAGAGAAGAAACAGTAAAATACTCAAAATGCAAATTAATAGTAACCTATAGAACCATAGGAAGAGTTGATTGAAGATCCTGAATTTGTATGTAAAAGAGAGGTTTAAAACCTGTATGAAACACAATTGGAAGTACATCCATCTAAAAGAGACTTCCTGAGTCGAATTTAAGAGGCATTCTGTGATGGATTAGATTAGATATAAGTGATTGAAAGATGGAGCAAACATCCTGATTTCTTATAATATGTTTAAGCCTTAGAAGAATGGGATGAAATTATTGGAGATAAGTGGACTTAACCTGATTCCATTAATCTGAATCCTTCATATTGGATTAAAGAACACCCTATGAACAATATATTCATGCATGAGATTTCTTAGGAATTGGATTAAGCATTTTCAAAATTAGAATTCTTCTAAAAGGAATTCAACGAGTACTTGAATTTGATTTGGAGACAAGAAAACAGTGAAATTGAATAATTAGAAAATCCAAGGCTGATGTATCAATCAAAGATATTTTCATGTGCTTTGAAGAGTGCTCAATTGATTGACCATATACTGCAATAGAAATTGATACCGTAGGTGGATATTGGTTTGTACAGAGTCAAGATATAGAATATTTAGAAGTAATTGAGTGCTAGACAATCATAAATACTAGCATAATTGGAGGAACTTTACTTATAATTGTTTAGGAATAGATCTTTGATATTGAAGGCATGGTTATAATAATCAATAAAATCCTTATCAGGTATGGTTATCAGAATTGAAGAATTTATTGAATAGAAGAACTCTGTAGATCGAATAACAAAGGAATTGCCTTCAAAGAGAGAGGAAATTGAAACGGCTATCAGTATAATCTCATTGGCTTAGGATTGTAAGTTATTTTCGATGAAGAAAGAAGATAAGGATTTAGCACAAGAATTGAATTATTTAGAATCTTCTTTGAATGTTGCATTGTCAGAAGCTGACAATAATACAGCCAAAAACATAGAGAAGTTTAAAAAAACATTGAAAGAACGCATAGACAAGTTAAAAGGCGAATGTTTGGATGTGAGTGAAGCAGTGAACAAGGAGAAGTTTTTGACATTGAACACAGATTTATCAGATGCCATTAAGGAGTTAAATGAAATAGATACGAAAACAAAATAGTTGGAATAGAGTGCTTAATTATATACTCAATATGAAGAAATCCTGTAATGTTAAGAACAAGCTCAATATGAAATATTGGAAAATACTAGAGAATAATTAAATTTGAGACTAGGAATGTGGTAGGGGATTCAAGAGTTTAGAAAATTATCATAGGAGTGGCAGCAACTATAATTCACATCTATTAATGCTAAGGAGATCGCTTAGAAGACTGAAGGATTCGTTAGGATTGTACAAAGATGCGAAAAGAATTTGTAAGAAAATAGAGTGATTGCCTATTTGAAGAAGATAGTGTGGGAATTCAAAGATACTATTCCTGTTGTGACAGCATTACGTTCTCAATATTTACAATAAACACATTGGCAAGAAATCAAACAATTGGTCAGATAGGAATTTGATGTTAATGATCAATAATTTACATTGAATACTTTGTTGGATCTGAATGTAGCATAACACAATGAGTAGATCACTGAGATAGCTGTGAAAGCAGCTTAAGAGGATTCGCTTAACACTTAATTAAAACAGTTGGAGACACAATGGAATGAAGTGGAATTGAAGTTGAAACCCTATAAAGATCAATTGGATGTTATGGTTTTGGGAGAAGTGGAAGAGTTAGTTCAATTGTTTGATGAAGGACTGGCAAACATGTCTAATATACTGGCTAGTCGTTATGTTAGACCTTTGAGACAGAGAGCTGAGAAATTCTAATCTGATTTATTATTGTTATCAGATATTATTGAGAAGTGGGTTGAATGTTAAAAAAAGTGGATGTATTTGGAGAGTATTTTTAGTAGTTAAGATATCAAGAAATAACTATCTAATGAATCTTAGTTATTTGATAGTTGTGATAGATTGATAAAGAAGTTAGTCAAACAAGTCAATCTTAGACCTTAGATAATGAGATTGTTAGCTATGTAGAATATGCTCGATAATTTAACTAAAACATTGGAGACTTTGGAATAAATAGAGAAGTCTTTAGAAGATTATCTAGAAGTCAAGAGGGGATCATTCCCACGATTCTACTTTTTGTCTAATGATGAATTATTAGAAATTCTATCTAAGCAAACTGACATTAATTCAGTTCAATCTCATTTAGGATAATGCTTTGAAGCATTGGTCAAATTATACTTTGGTGATTAACCAAATGTTATTTAGGGCATTTATTCTTCAGAGGGTGAGTTAGTCCAATATTATAAATCAATACCTGCCAGAGGGAATGTTGAGACTTGGTTGCACTTGTTGGAATTGGAAATGGTTGAGACTTTACGTAAATTATGTAAGTAAGGATTACAAGACTATTTGAATGGAATGCAAAAGACTAAGACAGATTGGATTCTTAATCATAAATCATAGATTGTGGCAGTTGTTAGTTAAATACTTTGGTCAATCAACACTGAAGATGCAATCAATGAATCTAGTGTAAAAGCAAATGCACTTTACGAATGGCATGATATGATGGAAATACAATTAAAATAACTCACAGCATTGGTCAGAGGAGATTTGACAGTTGTTTAAAGAAAAACTATAGTTTCATTAATTACTACAGATGTTCATAATAGAGATATAGTTATGAAGTTAGCTGATAATAGTATTGAAACAACATCAGATTTCTAATGGTAATAATAATTAAGATACTATTGGGATGAGGAATGCGATGATTGCTTAGTTAAGTAAGTCACAAGCGTATTTCATTATGGATATGAATATTTGGGACCAACAAGTAGATTGGTTATCACACCACTCACAGATCGTTGTTGGATTACAATTACATCAGCATTGACCAATCAATTAGGGGCAGCTCCTGCAGGTCCCGCAGGTACAGGTAAGACTGAATCCACAAAAGACTTAGCCAAATGTTTGGGAAGATATTGCATAGTGTTTAACTGCTCAGATTAAATTACTGCTGCCACGATGAATAAGTTATTCAGTGGTTTAGCTTAATAAGGAGCATGGGCTTGTTTAGATGAATTCAATAGAATAGACATTGAAGTACTTTCAGTTATAGCATAATAATTATTGACGATTCGTATTGCTTAATTGTAATAATTGACTGAATTTTTGTTTGATGGTCGACACATCTAATTAAAGAATACTTATGGAGTATTCATCACTATGAATCCAGGATATGCAGGAAGAACGGAATTACCAGACAATTTGAAATCACTCTTCCGTCCTGTGGCTATGATGATTCCAGATTATAGGTTGATTGCTGAAATTATGTTATTTGCTGAAGGGTTTGAAAATGCAAATGATTTATCAAGCAAGATGGTTCAGCTATATAAATTGTCATCACAATAATTGTCATAGTAGGATCATTATGATTTTGGTATGAGAGCAGTCAAATCCTTATTAGTCATGGCTGGTTCATTAAAGAGAGCAGATACAACTATCCCTGAAGATATTGTGTTAATTAAGGCTATGCGTGATGCAAATATACCAAAGTTTTTAAAGGATGATATTCCATTATTCATGGCTCTGATTTAAGATCTATTCCCTAAAGTTGAGATAGCCAATTCATCCTTCCAATTCCTGGAGTAATAGTTGAATAAGAAATGTCGATAATTTAAATTGTAAATCATACCAAATTTTATAACGAAAATGTTGCAGTTGTTTGATACTCAAAATGTTAGATTTGGAACTATGATTGTTGGAGGCAGTGGATCTGGCAAAACTAACTGTTATCAAATATTGGCTGAAACAATAAGCGAAATAAAAGTCTAGAATTTATCATAGGATCCTAGATTCTAAGAATTACAATTTATTATTTTAAATCCTAAGTCAATTTCAATGGGGGAACTTTATGGAGAGGTCGATCCTTTTACAAATGAATGGCAAGATGGTTTAGCAAGTTCCATAATCAGAGAGTGCAATAACAGCAAGGAGAGACATTGGATTGTTTTTGATGGACCTGTTGATGCATTGTGGATTGAGAATATGAATTCAGTCTTAGATGATTCAATGACTTTGTGTTTGGCCAATTCAGAAAGAATCAAGTTGAGACATGAGTTGCGAATGATATTCGAAGTTCAGGACTTGTCAGTTGCCTCACCAGCCACTGTGAGTAGATGCGGTATGGTCTACATGACAGTTTAAGATATCAATTGGTACAATTACGTGGAATGTTGGATTGAGGAGGTTTTCTCGGATCAAGAGAAGGGTTAGATCAAATGTTGCAATCAACTTAAAGAAAAGCCCAAGAAATCATTACAAATAGAACAAAAATATTTAGATTTGATAAGAAATTTATTTAAGACTCAATATAAGTTTTTGTAAGAAAAACTTGGAAACCTTGATGAACCTTTTATTACAATAGATGTATAGAGAGTGAAGAGCGTTTGCAACATATTAACTTACTTTTTGAAGTCCATCCTAGTTTAGAAATCTGCTGACTTGCCAAAACAAATTACAGCTGTGTTCGCTTACAGTTGCATTTGGGGGTTGTGTGCATCATATGAACAGAAATATTATGACAAGGTACATTATTTTTTATATCATCTCAAAAATTTTAAATTTGCAGTGAATTTAGCCCCGATCTGTTTGAGTTTATAAATAGATGGGATAAGGTACCTGCAGAAATTAAATCCTAGAGGTAATTAAATGAAGTTTTGCAGATTTGAACTTTGTTTAAATTACTATTAGGAACATCCTATTACTTTAAATGCACCATATATACTTATATTATTATTTGCTATTAATTATTATTTTAGATTGCCACCTATGTCAAAGACCAATTTCAATCATTGCTCTACCCGAAAGGAGATACCATATTTGATTTCTACGTTGATGGCAATGACTTCACCACATTATAATCGTGGGAATCTCAGTTATAAGAGTTCTAATTTGTAAAAGATCAATCGTTTTTCAGTATAGTTGTTCAAACTGTAGACACTTTGAAATTCCAATACATAATGCAATTGTTAATTAGAGAATAAATACCAACCTTAATCACTGGATAGACTGGAGTTGGTAAGTCTATGTTAGTTTAATCATTGTTATTTGAAATGAAATTGAATGAGAACATTTAACCAGTGTTATTGAACTTTTCAGCACAGACAAAATCAAAGCAAACCCAATTGGCGATAGAATCTAAATTAATTAAGAAGGGCAAAATATTATTCGGAGCAAGAGTAAATGAATAAATAGCTATTTTTATTGATGATATCAACATGCCTGCATTAGAAAAGTACGGTGCTTAGCCCTGCATAGAACTCCTAAGATAGATGATAGAATTACAAGGAACTTTTGATCGTACAAAACTATTTTGGAAAAATATCGAGGATGTGACTCTGTTGATAGCTGGTGGACCTCCAGGAGGTGGAAGAAATCAATTATCTCAACGATTTGTCAGGCAATTCAATGTTCTGAATATGCCAAATCAATCTGATTCTATTTTGGAGATGATTTATGGATCAATTTTGAAAGGCTACTTTAATAGCATTAACTTTAGTGAAAGTGTTAGGAAGACAAGTGACTAAATCACGAGAATCACAGTTGAACTATTTAGAAGAATATCTTAAGAACTATTGCCAATACCAGCCAAGTTCCACTATACCTTTAACTCGAGAGATATTAGCAAGGTCTTTTAAGGTTTATTGATGATCAGACCTATCTCCTGCAATAATAGTAATGATACTATTGCTAAATTATGGGTCCATGAATGTGCCAGAGTCTTCTGTGATCGTTTGATTAGTGTTTAAGACAAGCTTTGGTTTTATAATACAGCAGTTGACTTGTTGATGAGGTACTTTAGTGTCAATAAGGATGATATAACCAGCAATATATTGTTTAGTGATATTCTTAAATTAGAAGCTGCAAATGTCTTATATGAGGAGGTCACCGAAAAGAGAAAGGTGATTGTGAAATCCTTACAAGACAAATTAGATGATTACATCATGGCAACGAACGATAAGATGGAATTAGTCTTTTTTGATGATGCCCTAGAACATATCCTAAGGATAGCTAGAATCTTCAGGTAACCAAGAGGAAATGCAATGTTAATTGGTGTTGGTGGATCTGGTAAATAGAGTCTCACTAAATTGGCTTCATTTCTTATGAGATCTGAGATCTTTTAGATTGAAATTGTCAAAACCTACAATGCTGACTCATTCCGAGCTGATCTAATTAAAATCCTAATGAAAACTGGAGGAGAAAGAATCCCATTGACATTTATATTCAATGAAGCTCAGATAGTCTAGGAGAGCTTCTTAGAAGACATTAATAACATCCTCAATACAGGTGAAGTTCCTAACTTGTTTGCTAAGAAAGAAGATTTGGAATAGGTATATAACAATGTAAGGCCATAAGCAATTAAAGCAAAGAGATAGGATTCCCCAGAATCCTTGTGGACCTTCTTTGTAGAAGGGATCAGAAATTCATTGCATATTGTCTTATGCATGAGTCCTGTAGGCAATCAATTAAGAATTCGATGCAGGAAATTCCCATCTTTGGTAAATTGTTGTACCATTGATTGGTTCACTTAATGGCCCAAGGAAGCATTACTGGAAGTCGCCAATAAATTCCTCGACAAAATCCCGAATCTGAAGTAAAAGGATCAATTGGCGCAAATGTGCATGGAAGTCAATCTCTAAGTTGCAAATCTGTGTGATGCATATTAGAAGGAATTGAGAAGATAGGTTTATACAACACCCAAATCATATTTAGATTAAATATAACTTTATGCTGATTTATTAATATAAAAACAATAGGAACATGGATTGATTTAAAGAAAATTGGCTGATGGATTGGATAAATTATTTAAGGCCAATGAAAAAGTAGCTGAGTTGAAAATTAAGATGCAAGGGATTCAGCCATAATTGATAGAATAATCTGCAAAAACAGAGGAATTTTTGAAATAATTGGCAATAGACTAGAGTGAAGCTAATCTTAAAGAAAGACTGGTAAATGATGAAGCATAAATAGTCAATCAATAAGCATTAGAGATTAAAATAATAGCAGATGAAGCTTAAGCTGAATTGAATAAAGCAATGCCTGTAATGAAAGAAGCAGAAGAAGCTCTGCAAAAGATTAGCAAAGCTGAAATTACAGAAATTAAAGGGTTTATCAATCCTCCGCCTGTTGTTTAATTGGTCTTAGAGGCTGTTTGCATATTATTGTAAGAGAAGACTGATTGGAATTCAGCAAAACAAGTTATGATCAGTAGTGATTTTATGGAAAGATTAACAAAATATGATAAAAGTTAGATTACTGAATAGATGTTGAGGAAATTGAGATTCATCACAATTAAACCTGAATTTGATCCAATTTGTGTTGCTCAAAAAAGTCAAGCTTGTAAAAGTCTGTGTATGTGGTGTAGAGCTATTGATAGTTATTCCAAGATTGCAAAGGAAGTAGAACCTAAAAAAAGGAGGGTTGCTGATGAATAATAGAATTTAGAAATCAAAAATTAGGAGTTGGCAGTAAAACAGGAAGAATTGTAGAAAGTTAGAGATAAAGTAGCTAAATTGTAGAAAGAATGTGATGAAACTGTAGAAAAAAAGAATGGATTGGAGAAAAAGTTAGAAACCATAAAGAAAAGACTGATTGCATCTGAAAAATTGACATATTTATTAGCTGATGAAGGAATAAGATGGAAAGATTAAATTAAATTGATAGAGCAAGTTTTGTAGTAAATTATTGGAGATGTTTTCTTGGCTGCTAGCACAGTCAGCTACTTAGGTGCATTTACAGGTTAATATAGGGAGTAATTGATAAAGAACGCTGTTTCGAAGTTGAAAGAATTTGACATTCCTTTTTCAGAAAACTATTCCTTATCTTCAACTCTTGAAAATCCAATTGTTATTAGAGATTGGGTAATTAGTGGATTACCTAATGATGCCATTTCGATTGACAATGGAGTAATTGTAACTAGAGCTGATCGTTGGCCATTAATGATTGATCCCCAAGGATAAGCAAATAAATGGCTTAAACAATTCAATAAGGAGTTGAAAATTATGAGATTCACAGAATCGCATTTTCTAAAAGGATTACAATAGTGCATTAGTTCAGGATATGAAGTCTTATTTGAAGAGGTTGAAGAGAAACTCGAACCATCTGTTGATTCAGTACTTTAGAAATAGATTATTGAAGTTGATGGACGCAGACTTATTAAGGTAGGAGATTAGAAAGTCGATTATCATAATTAATTTAAATTGTATTTCACTACAAAAATAGCAAACCCTAATTATTTACCTGAAGTGTTTATTAAGACCACAGTGATTAATTTCAGTATCACTTTTGAAGGCTTATGCGATTAGTTATTGGGTGATGTAATGAAGTTTGAGAAGCCAGAAATTGAAAAGCAAAGAGATGAAATCATTATAAAAATGAGTAATGCGAACAAACAACTCAAAGGAGCTTAGGATTCCATTTTGGATTTGTTAGCCAATGTTACAGGAAATATTTTAGATAATGAATAATTGATCCACACTCTTGAAGTCTCGAAATACTAGTCTGCTGATATTCAAAAATCACTTGAGGAAACCATCATTGTAGAGTAATAGATCAATGAATCTAGAAATCTCTATCATTCAGTAGCCATTAGAGGATCAATATTATATTTTGTAATCTCAGATATGAGTTTAATTGATCCAATGTATCAATATTCTCTACAATATTTCAAGAAACTCTATAATGTGTCCCTCAATCTCACTCCCAAGACTGAATTACTTAGTGAGAGATTGCTCTACTTAGAAGAAACAATTACTCAAACTGTCTTCAAAGATATTTGTAGAGGTCTATTTTAATAACATAGAAAGATCTTTTCATTCCTCATCTGTGCTTAGGTTTAGAGATAAAATGGATCCATTTCAAATGCAGCATGGAATTTATTATTAAGAGATTAGATACCTTCAACTCCAATCATTAATCCTGATAAGGTATTCTTGAAAGACTCTCAATGGAATTTAATCCTATGTATCTAAGAATAGATTTCAGATTTAACTGACTTATCCCAAGATATCAAAAACAACTTGTTGTATTGGAAAGAGTTCTCCCAAATAGATGACATCTACTAAGCATCATTCCCAGCTTAATCTCCTCTTGCTGTCTCTTCAACACTAAACCCATTCTATAGATTATTAATAATAAAGGCCTTGAAGCCTGAAAAAGTAATGTTCGGCTTAACTGAGTATGTAATTGAGTTATTTGGAGAGTTCTATATAAATCTAGCTTCATCTTCTATGGAGGAGATTTATTAGTCATCAGAATCGCATACTCCGATTATATTTATTCTTTCTCCAGGTGCAGATCCTACTCAAACCTTATTTAAGTTGGCAAAAGAGTAATAAAGTCAAATTGATGTAATTTCTTTGGGACAAGGATAAGGAAAAAAGGCAGAAACACTGATTCAGAAAGGTTAGAAGGATGGAACATGGATTATGCTTCAAAATTGTCACTTAGCAAGATCATGGATGCCCTAATTAGAGAAATTGATGGAATCTCTGACATCACATCACATAGAAGTTCATAATAATTTCAGAATCTTTTTGACTTCCATGCCTGCTGCTTACTTTCCTGTCAGTACATTACAAAATGGTTTAAAACTTACCACAGAACCACCCAGAGGATTGAAATCAAATTTGCTGAGATCTTACTAAGAATTCTAACAAGCAGACAACTAATAAAAACTATTCAAATAATTATTTTTCAGCATTTCCTTCTTTCATGCTATTGTGCAAGAGAGAAGGAAATTTGGCCCTCTTGGATTCAATATTTCATATGAATTCAATGACTCTGATCTGGATATTAGCATATAAATGATGAAAATGTTTATTTCCTAAGAAGAAGAAATCCCTTGGGATGCAATGTAATTTATGATAGGTCAAATAAATTATGGAGGAAGAGTTACTGATGATTAAGATAGAGTGTGCTTAACTTCAATATTGAAGAAGTATTTAGGAGATCATATTGAAAACAATGTTAAATTCTCAAATAGTGGCATCTATTATTTGCCTGAAGATGATTATATTCATTATATCTCCCAATTGCCAAATTAAGAAGATCCAGAGGTGTTTGGCATGCATGAAAATGCAAATATTGTGTTCTAAACTTAGGAGAGTCAAAAGATACTAGATATCATCTTGTCCATCCAGCCTCGTGTTAGTAGTACGAGCGCTTAGAAATCTCCTGACATGATTGTCATGGAAAAGGCTATTTACTTTTAAAGCAATCTCCCAGAACTGTTGGATAAAAATGTTTGTAATCAAAGACATTATCAAATTACTGAAAATGGTAGTGTTTAATCTCTGTCAACAGTTTTGTTTTAAGAAATTGACAAATTCAACAAGCTCTTAGAATTAATTCAATCTACACTAATTTAATTGTAATAAGCAATTAAAGGTTTCGTATTGATATCCTAAGAGTTAGATGAAATGTACCTAGCCTTTCTCAATAATGCCATTCCTCCCAATTGGATGAAACAATCGTATTCTACTCTGAAACCTCTTTCCAGTTGGTTCAAAGATTTGATTGCAAGAGTAACCTTCATTCGATCTTGGATGGAGAAAGACTTCATACCTGCTTATTGGATGTCTGGCTTATTTTATCCCCAAGGATTTTTGACAGGTGTATTGCAAACACATTCGAGAAAATACAAGATTCCAATCAATAAACTAAATTTCAAATTTAAGGTGTTGGACATAGATCAAGATAGAATCAGAGATGAAATTAAAGATGGAGTCTATGTGTATGGTCTTTATTTGGAAGGGGCACGTTGGGACTATTAACATGAAACCCTAATTGAATAATAAGTAGGTTAAATTTATTTCCCTCTTGCCATGATGTACTTCTAACCAATGGAAGAATACTAGATTGGTGATGAATATTATAAGTAACTTTATGCAATCTATATTTAGTTGTCCTTGCTACAAGACATCAAATAGAACAGGAGTTCTCTCAACAACAGGTTAATCTACTAATTTCATCTTATCCATTGTAATATATCAATATATATCATTTAGGATCTGATGAGCAAAACTGAAAAACCAGAATATTGGACTTTGAGAGGAACAGCTATAATATCTTAATTAAATGATTGATTATTTTTTTATTATAAATTTTATAAATATCTTGTTTTATTCGAATTATCATCTAAGATTACAATAATTGTAAAAAATTGTGTGTATACTGTAGAAAATAAATAATTACCTTCTTTTAGTAGAAATTCATAATAGATAATTATGATACTTGTTTAGACTTTTTAAATTATCAAAAATTACTAAAGACCATAAGTTTTTGCTTGATTTTTTAAAGAAAAACTCTAATTTTGATTTAAATATTGCCTTAATATATGAATAAACATTTGTAAAACTGGAGATTTTACAAAACTCGATAAATTATGAAAATATAGGATTTATTTAAAATAGAATTAATTTAATATAAGAAATGATCTTCTGAGAATGAATTTACAGATTAACGATGAGAAGTCCAATAATTTCCAAAGAAAGACAAAACTTAAGGAGAATTTTTATATGCCAATTTAGATATTATTTCAATAAATAATGAACCAAGCAAATTATCAATTATTTTATGTAGGCAGGGAAGTTCTTTAGCATATTGTGATTGTTGAATTAATTATTCCAAAGAATCTGCATGTATGGCTCCTAATCTTTTGCGCATGACTTTAATTAGTTATTTAAAATACACAAATATTTATATTGTCATATTTTTTCAAATAATATTCCAACAAAATGTAAAATAAACTCTAACAGTAGGCTCACGAGACCCCCAATGCTGAGAGAGTCCAGGCATACCAAAATTAATTATAAGGAACCATCCACTATAGTTTTAAAGTTGGGTAGTCAACCCAATGTAGGAAGTAATTAATTAAGTAAAACCCTCAGAATTACCACCAAAAGTGTTATAATAAAACCCTACGACTGAAGTAAGAAGAATAAAAAACAAATCGATTAGTTAGCATATAGGTGGAAACGGGATCCATTAACAAGTGAATTATTACAAATAACCAAATAAACGAATTATTTATGACTCTACAAACTGTTTGAACCCTCAAATCAATCGTTCATCCAGTAATAGAATCAAGAAAATCCATTCAGTCAGTTCTCAAAATTGTAAATAGTTTATCTATATAAAGATGAAAGTTTTATTTAAAATCTTGAAGATCACAGTCGAAACAATTTAGTTTGTAATGAAGTTGCTACCAGCACCGAGTTAAATGAAGGCAAGAAACTATTTACAGACAATAAAACTGAAGAAGCACTCAAAATATTTTAAACATACCAAAGCAAATATGGACTAAATCCTGATGCTCTCTATCTCTCAGGGTTATGCTACATGTCCCTAGATCAAGAAGAGAAATACATTGAATAATTCTAGACGCTCATCAAGACATTTCCAACATACAAAAGAACAGCATATATGTATTTAGCAATTTGCCTTAAAAAAAATAATCACATCAATGAAGCAATTAATGTGATATCCCAAGGCATCACTCATTTCAATCGATACTTTGAAGCCCTGATATTTAGAGCTAAATTATTTTTAAAGCATAAATGCTATGACAAAGCTATGAAGGACTTTAACTCAGCAATTCACATCAACCCAAGAAAACCAGTTTGTTATGTTGGCTTAAGTGATTGTTATAAGTAAGCCAACTAACTTTAACAGGCTATTGAAGAATTAAACAAGGCTATTGAGTTTGAAGAATTTTCAAAGTAGAAATCCATAGTTTTAAAACGATTCACAATTTACTTAGAAACTAAAGAATTTGAGAAAGCCAAACAAGATATGATGCTATTACTGGAAATTAGTCCAAATGATTCTGAAGTTTACTATTTTAAAGGAATTTTGATGCAAAAGTAGAGTAATTACTTAATTTGATTTTAGAACGTCTATAAGATGCCCTTTTGGCATTTGAATAGTCGATTAAGTTCAACAGTGAAAAGAAACCAGTAACTAAATCCCTCTATGAAATTGTGAAAATAAAGATTGAATAAAACGATTATTATTCTGCTTAGCATGAACTTGATAGAGCAGCCTATCTTGATGTGGATAAGACATAATTATAGAAATTTGAACTATTTGTTGAAGGAGCTATTTATTTAATGAAAAGAAAGTTTGAGGAGGGCACTCACTTATTGACAGAGATGATCACCAAAAATAATTAGAGTGACAATCTTAAATTTTAGGCACATTAATATCGAGCATATGGATACTTTTGTTAGTCAAAGTACAATTTAGCTAATCAGGATTTAGAATTATATTAAGAAAATCTGTTGGAGAAAGTAATTTTATTAAAAATTATAGGCATCTCTATATAATAAACTACTATGTCACGGGATAATTAAATATGAGGATAATGAATTAGAATAAAGCAAAAGGGAGTTTTTCTAGGCTCATAAAATGCTACCAAATAAGATGGAACCCTTGTTTTATCAAGCAATTATTTCAATCAAAAAGTATTGTTCAAGTCTTGAAAAAATGAGTGAAGAAAATAGGATAAAATATTTGAAAGAAGCCTTAGATTTACTTGAAAGAGCTGCAAAGATATGCGAATAATCTAATTTACTGTTCTACAAAGGAATTTTACATTTCGCCCTTGGAAATCTAGACTAATCTGCAGTAGACTTAGAACAGGCTATTGAAAAGTCTGAGGATAATCAAGCACAACATTATTATGTTAGAGGATTGCTTTATTGTTAACGTCAACTCTTTAAGCAAGCAGTCAACGATTTCTCAATTTGCTTAAGTCTGGATCAAAATCATCCAGAATCCTACCTTAATAGATGTAAACTATTAACAATGATGGGTGATGTAGCCACAGCCTACTTGGATCTATAAAAATATATTGAATTAAAGGAGTAGTATTCAATAAACTATCATACTGTAGGAATTCTATACTTTTTAATTGGAGCTTACGAGGAAGCTATCCAAGCATTTGCTGATTGTAAAACTCTTGAAGGGTAATATGAAAAGGTCAAAGTATTAATTTATGGCAAAGAATTGAATTCAGCACTCAATGAATTGTCAATTATCATAGAAGAATTGCATAGTCATGAAGCCACGATTGATAAATAAATGTTAACAATACTCAAAGAAACTAGTTAATAAATATCTACCAAGATTCTAGAAGACAGCATAAGTAGCATAAGTTAAATCTAAAAAGGTCAATAGGAAGGTTTGATATTCAGATTATCGGATATCTATTTTTATAAAGGTTTGTTTTATACATATTTGGGGTAATATTCTAAAGCAAAATAATGTCTTCGCTTTTCATATGATTTAAAAGAAAAGGAAATTAAGAAGTCAAGAAATACTTAGTTAATTAATCAGAACACTCTTGAGGATTTTGATTTTACTAACAAGACTTACAATATCTATGAGCATCTCTATAATTGTGCCATTCTGGATGTTATTTTAGGAAATATCGAAGAGGCCTTTGAAACCCTCACTTTACTCCATGAACACTTAACCTAGATTGAATTTAGAGTATAATTATAGATCTTGATGGAATTATTACGTGATGACCTGCTGGATACTCCTCCTGAAGAAGAATTCTCTAAAATACAAGAATTCCAATTATTCCCTCAACATAATCGACTTTGCTCAATTTATCCTGCACTCTAATTACCTTTGAAAAAGTATTCTGTTGTAATCAGGATGTCATTCTGTTTACCCATAGTTGAATTCCCTTCATAACCAATATTATTTGATGAGCAGCTACTTCAAAAAATATCTGTAATTTAAATCATTATTTTTTAAAGCCTAAAGTTGTAGAGAATAAACCAGAAGCTCCTTGGATTAAGAGGTCGAATGAAGGAGTGATCTTTACAGACAACATTCAGTGCATTGATGACTTAGATCTTCAATCAACTGTTAGAAAAGAAGAGAACGAAGAAACTGAATAAGAAAATATTAATCTTTAAAATGACGACGAGATCACCAAATTAAAAGAGAAACTTAAGTTAGATGACTAAATTACTAAAAAATTGAATTCAATATTATAATAAATTGAAGAATGAATTGCTATAAATACAAAATTATAATCTATATATTACCATAAATTATTATACTATTAATTAAATTTGTTAATGCTTCATGTAACATAATTATGATATTTTATATTAGAGGTATTTAATCCTATTAAGCATTTCTAAATAATGAACAATTAAATTTCTTACATTGAAATTAAAGAAGATATATAGAATATGATAAAAACTTCTGTAAGCTTATTTTCAAATTGAATTAAATGAATTCTAAGAAATAAAATAATAATCAATTTTTAATTTTAATATTGATCACTAATTGAATTATATCTATAACTATAATAATGAAAATATATGAAATGTTCTGCATATAATTATAAAAGATTAATTTAAGAATTTATTGACTAAATATAATTTTTCATCTTGCAATTTATTCTGCCTATAAGCCAAAGGATGAATTTTAAAAATATTCTTTATTTGAATTATTCTTAAGAATATATCTAATAACATATTTTTAGACAAGCTCAAATTATTTGGAAAATATATTTATTTTTATCTTGTTTAAGTCATTACGGTTTTTGGATCAACAAATAAGCAAGAAATTTGATAATCTAAACAAAAACAGTTAAAACACATATTTCCTTTAGTCAAGAATGTTGCTTTTTTCACAATTTCTTCTGATGGCTTGGATCAATAACACATGATTATACTCTCCTTACACCGCCTATGGGGAAAGGTTTCAGTCCATGAATATCAGAGGGGCTTTTGGAGAAATAATGAAGACAATTCGCAAAGTTACAAATCAAGTTAGAGCAATAAAAGTAATTTCTAAAGAAAAGGCAAGCAAGGCAGAGGTGGAGACATTGAGAATAAAGATTGAAATCTTTAAAAACTTAGTAGTGCTGTTAATTATCTTCATAAAAGTAGAATAGTTCATAGGTTAATAATATTTATATTTGGCTAGAGATCTGAAACCTGAGAGTATTTTATAAGAGGCAAATAAACCATAAAGCCCTATTAAAGATTGTAGACTTTGATACTAATAGAGTGTTTGCGTCTGGTTACAAAATGAATCAGAAATTGGGAACACCTGAAGTTTTGGAGAGGAGATATGATGAAAAATGTTATGTATGGTCATGTGGTGTGATTTTTTACATTTTCTTTGTGGATTTCCCCCTTTTAATGGAGATACTGAAGAGGAGATCCTAGAAAGCGTTAGAGTGGAGTTAGATTTCCTATGAAGCAAATTACCGATAACAAAAATGTAAGAGAGTACAAAATGGAGAATAAGTGCTGAATAAACTTAACGAGACTAACGGATAACTACATATTAAAATAAGGCTGAGATAAATTTAACTTAATTAACTGAGGTTCTGAATAATTTAAGAACATTCAGAATGGAGAAGAAATTTTAAGAGGCTGCATTAACCTTGATGATTAATTAAATGGCTACAAGTCAACAGAAATAGGAATTGTTGTCATAATCATAGGCTTTGGATCTGAATGGAGATGAAAGACTGTCAAAAGAGGAATTAATTATTGGTATATCTTAATTAATATTAGCTAGGATATTAAAAATTAATGAGCCGTACTGATAGAGAGTTAGAATGAAATAAATAAATGAAGTAGATCGATTAAGATAAGAATTAGAGCATTAATTATTCAGGTTGATATTCTTATATAAAACTAAATATAGAATTTGTATTGGCTACATTTAATAAATTGAAACTTATTGAAAATTCAAGATTGGAATAAGCATTTAGAATATTTAATAAGGATGGAAGCGGCTCAATTTCAATTGATAAAATCAAAGGAATATTTGGATGTAATGATTCAGGCTGTTAGCGATGAAGTTTGAAAGGAATTGTTGGCTGAAGTAGATGCTAACGGTGACGGTTCCGTAAAACCTTTATATATTTCAAGATTCCTTTTAAGAATTCAAAGAAATAATTATCAAAGCAATCTATACTAATAACCCAGAGTAAAGATCCCAAAAGTGACTGAATATTTTATATTTATGAATTACCTCTTTGCCTTTTCGTGTATAATCTTTTGCATTTGCAATATTTAATTCTCAAACAACTCTATTTTATATAACCAAAATATTAGGCAAAATGTGTATTTCCTTAACATAAAGTGATCAAAAGAGAAGTAGTATTATAGTATGATCAGGGATAATTTGAATGCTAAGATATCAAATGTTTATATAAAATAATAGATCACAAGTATTTTTGCAATATTTTCTAGTAATGAGTCATCTCTGGAAGGTATGAAGGCTGTTTATTTAGTTTCTTTTTACAATTATTTGGTTTCAAATTCTTTGATTTGGGTTTCTTTTATTCAAGTTTTGCCTCTTCCTTCCCAAACTTTGATGTACCTTAATTGGTGAGATCGGTCAATTAAGTTCTTGAGATCAATTAAAATGAAAGAGTGCGATCTCTTTTTCTACTTAAACTTCTATTTAATGATTCTCGATAGCCACTGCTTGTGTGAACGTGTAACAGCATTTTAATTAATTTATGGAAACTGACTAACTAAAAATTAAAGAAACTAATATATATGTATTATAATATTATCTAATAGGCCACTATTGTAACATCCTCAAAAATTTCAGATGTATGTGCATATTTATTTAACTTCCTTAATTAATGCCAATTAATCAAAAGCAACGTTAAAATTAATACTAAAAAATGGCTAAAATAAGATCTTACCAAGAAGCCTTTTTGAAATCAGAATGAACGAAACTGTGTGAGAAAGTTAATTGAAAAATCTATTTATCAAATAAATTAAATTATATGTTATGTGAATCATAGACTATTTTTATAATAAATAAAAAGGCCATATAATTTATTAATAACAAAAAACCTTTTACAGATTGAATTTAAAATCCCATTAATAAATTAATAGAAGAACCTATAAATTTAAGTTTGATTAATAATTTTTTTTAATTCAAATAGTTATCTAGAAATATTATAGATATTTCAATGCAACAGTCAGATTTTTCCACATTCAAGAAGTAATTAATTAATAAGAAGTAAATATTAATTCATATATATAAAGGATATCTTTTTGGTTAATATAATAATTTTAGAATGAAAAGCCATAGATTAAATCGCTTTTTCAATCAAATTTGGATGTATTAAAGTATTAAGGAATTCAAAAAGTATTTAAGAAATCTTAAGATTAAGAAAAAAATATCATAAATGATATTCTTTATGAAACATATTTGAAGGAATCCTTTTGGATAATTTAATTATAAATTAAGATTAATTTAAGTCGTTTCCCTAAATTCATTCTTAATTTCCTATAAATTAAAATTTAAACTAAAATTTTATTGTCTTTAAATATATCAAATATTATTCCGTAATTATAAACGTAAGGATAATTATTTGTCTTTACTTTTTTCTTATTATTATAAATTATGAACATTTGTTATAATTTCGCAGTTATTAAATTAAATATTTTTTAAAATATCAAAAAAATCAATATGGAAGTAATTATTATTTTATCTAATGGAATTTTTACGCTTGTTATGACTTGTTACGACTGGCTTTCATATCAATAGTTTAAAAGTCCTAAGAATCTCTTAGATTTCTTTAAGAACTCCTTTATGAATCCTATAAGATATCCAAGTCAACTTTCTTTAAGTAATGATGAGATGACTTAAGGGAGGGTGAAGCAAATATATTATAGGTTTATTTAGCATTTTCTATTTCCATCATTAAAGATGAAATATGAATGTTTAAATTCTTTATCACTTCGTTTTGTTTTTTCAATTCTGTTTATTTTTTTGATAGCTGAATTTCTAGTTAATTAATATGACTTTTATCTTATTTCTACTCATTAAATAATTCAGAAATCCTCTACTTAGAGAGTTAGTCTCTTTATATCAAGTCCTTAATTTAATTTTACAAATTTTCAGCATCTCTCTTAAAATAATCTAATTATCTCTAATTCTCGGATTTCAATTACAAAATATTATTTTCAAACTCATACCGAAGCTATTTCTAAATATTCCTCTCTTCATAAATATCATGATCATATTTTTATTTTTAAGTCAAAATCTCTTCAGATGCAATTTCTAATAATTTCGTTTTTTCATCACCACTTAATTTTGACTAATCGATAATTTACTACAGTTATTTCTGTTCCTATCTTTACTAATCTAATTAGAATGAAAATTATTAGGTCATAATTTATGCTTTGTAATTGAAGTCAGCCTATACTTTTTCTTTGAATTCTTAAAATTCAGCAGATTATTGCTATAATTCTTGTTATTATTAACAGATTAAATCCGAAATACGTTACTCGTAAGACTTTTAGATATGTTCAATTTCTTAGGAGTGTTCCTCATTTATAAAAACAATTTGTTATTTCAAATTACAAACTTCTAATTTTTAATTCTCGCTTAACTATTCCAAATTCTAAACATATTCTAAATGAACAGGATCTTCATACTATTATGAAAAATTAACTTATTAATATTATTAAACCTCTTAAAGGCTAATTTTATTACCTAATAATTTTTCATATTTTAATCTTTAGATTTGTATTTATTCAACAAAACCTTATATCTATTTATAATTATTCATCATAATTTTGTCTATTTCAATTTAATTTTCATGTTTCAATGTCTGCCTCAAATTCTGATAATCTTCCTTAATTTATAATAATTCTGAAATTAGATCCTCATCTTGTTATGCTTTTTGCTTTAATATCCCTTCTCTTTTTTCATCTATTATAACTTTGTTTTTGAAATATACGAGTTATTTTTATAATTCCTCCATCGCCTTTTCAGACTTGGACATGGTTTACTTATCTTAAATAACCCCTGATTTTAATTCCTTAATTTTTTAATTATTTTAATCAAGGGTTTTTTCTACTGATTCTTTCTGTTGTTTCATTTAATTGTAACTCTATTTAAGTTCGGAGATTTGTTAGGTTAATTGTTTATGTTCTTAGATTAATTGTCGATATTTTGATTCTATTCTTATTTCTTGTTGTTCTAATTCATTTTTAAACACTTGATTGTCAGTTTCTAATTATACACGCAGCTTTGAGATTGTAGTCTCATAGTGTTGCTATTAGTCTTTTAACATTTATTCTAATTCTTTAGTTTTTCTTAGATTTTAACTTAATTTGTAATTAGTTTCTTATTCCTGATTAATTTATTTTCTTAATTCTTCTAATTCTTAAATCTGAATGGCATTCTAATATTTGAACTGTTTAACTTGATCATCGAAAACAGCCTTCTCCTTCTTATAATTAGCCTTTTGCTTTGCGAGTTCCTCAGATTTTATTATAATTTACTGTTGATACTGGTGTGATTCTTGTTCTCTCTATTTTATATTTTCATTTAGATTGTATTGTAGTCTTTCTATTTAAATAGACAAACAATCGATTTTTTCGTGGTCCTTATTGATTTATTCCTTGATTAAACTGAATATTTATTAAAAGTCAATGAGTTTGGCTTTCAATTATAAGTCTTGATCCAATTCATCTATGATGGATTATAAATTGTCTTCCACCTCAAATTTCATTAAATTCAAGCGATCCTTCAACATGCTGTTTTCTTAATGTAATGGCTATAAGTTAACACACTTCATATACAACTATTTTTCTCTAGAAACGCGAAGGTTTAAGCTAACGATGCTCATCCTAGTCAAGTCTTTTAGTTTGATGGCTAACTGATCTTAATCGCATCATTTTAAATAATTTATTGTAACTACAAAATAAAGTTCACCTTAAACTTAAAAAGCCAAGCATTTAAATTTGAATCAGCATGGGATAAACCTTAATCAATTTCATGAGTGTAATATTATCAAGGAGACAAGTAAGTACACATTTCAAGTAAATAATATTTTGTTATTCTAGTTTATAAGTTTTGAGATGATATCAGAGATGAATATGCATCAACTGCTCTGCAAAATTGATAATATCAATTAGTTGTTTAAGGATGCTAACGTAAGATATAGTTCTCTTATAGAACTATGTTTCCTTATGGTAATCAAGGACTTCCCAAGTTAAGATTCTCCATGTGAACACATTGCATCCAAAAAAGGAATACTATGGATATTATTAAACCAAAGAAGATTGCTTTTAATAAGGCTCAATATGAACCAATAGCTTTTGAAAACATATTTAATCTTGAGACAAAAATTAAGAAATCTTGGTTAACATTTAATTAATTAGGCAAAAATGCGAAATCGAGTCTTCTTCTTCTCAGTTATTTAATAGAGGAGTCATAGTATTAATAATAGGGATTATCATTTTTAAATAGCTTTAGAAAGTTTAAAATAATTGTACTAAAGAAGTATATTGGAATTAATATAAGTTCATGAGTAAAGCCAAACATGTTACTAAATTTTGATAAAACATAGAAACGTGATTGCAAATAATTATAAATACTAATAAATCCACTAAAAATTTGGTTAATGTTGCTGAAATAATGATAAAGTAAATAATTTATCAAAGATCAATGATTTTGAATAAAATAAAGAAATAAGATCCAATAATTTCCTAATTTAACGAATAAAGGGATGGGAAGGAATAGTTAGAAATAAATAATCTGTATCAATTGTGAAAATTAAAAAAATAGCTTAGAATTAAGAAGATTTATTAAAGAGTTACAATCAAATTGAGCAAAACAATTTAAAATGATAAATATTTATTAATCTATAAAATAAAGAACTCATTAACAGAAGTCTTTAGTAACGATATTAGAACATAATTTGATACTAATAAAGAGTTAGAAGTCAGAATCTGATGTTAGATTAATTAAAATTGATTCATATTATTAGAATGATTAAAATCAATAAATAAAGAGTGAAGAGTCTTTTAGATAAAATGAAAAAGTGATCGTAACGAGGAAGGAATTAATGCTTAAATGAATGTTGAATAAATAAATAAAATTCAATTTTATTACCATCTGCAAATATTATATATTATAATTTCTAAAATGTAAAATCAAATTACATATGGCTAAATTCTATCACACTAAATTTAAACATAAGGAAACAAAAATGTATCAGAAAATGGTCAGGTACAATAAGATATCAAGAATAAACCTCTTAATCAAAGTACTACAAGCAATAATAAAAATATTAAAATCATTTCAGAAACTGAACTAAATGATAAAAGTCATTATAATTAAACAAGTTAACAATAAAATAACACTCAATAATCTTTATAATAATAAATAATCATAAAATAAGACTCTTTTTAGAAAAACTCTACAGATTAAAATAAATTCGAGTTGGAATCAAGGATCATCATCTCCAGTTAATTCTTCTAAGATGATTTAACTGAAAATATCGCTTTTACTTAAGTTTTATCTTGTTCCTATTGTTTAGGGTCACTTGCATCTGTTAATATTTCTCTGCCTTGTTTTCATTTATATCATCAAGAGTGCTTTAATGAGATAATTAATAATTTTTTGAGTCGCGGATACAGTATGGTTTTTCAGTGTAAATGCAATATAAGCATTCCTTATAAGACTTTGATAAGATTGGCATAGAAGGACAGCAAGTTAGTTGAGGAATTGTTAATTTAATAGTAGGCATGGATTATATCTTCTGCTCCTGTAACAATACAAAATTAAATTTCTGGGTATAAGAAAAGCATCAACAACATCAAGACATTTATTAAGGAACAAATAAACCATTATTAAGCTGGATTAATTAAAATTGATTTATGATTATATATGTAATATTATTTAAAACAAATATTATTAGTTTAATGAAATACTCAAAAATCCCTTTGACTACACCTCCTTTGTACTTAAAGAATAATTTAGCAAGCACAGATCAACACATGGCTTATTTATCCTATAACTCAGATAAACTGAAATTAAACGTAGTAAATAAGAAAAATAAGTAAAATATAGTAATCAATTTAGAGAAGTGCGATTAATATCAATAGATGATCAATCCATTCCTACATCCATACAATATATGTCCGATCAGACTTTGATTGTTACTACAATGAATGGATATTATATTTATTCAGAGAATGGTCAACAATAACATCATAAGTTAAGAAATCAATTAGGGGATATCTCCTAATACTTTATAGGTGCTACTCTGATAAATCCTGAAAATTAAAAACCCTTTTATGCAATTGGATTTGAAAATAAAATAATCTTTGTAGATCAAAAGACCCCGAAATAAGAATTCTTTGGAGTTAACCTCAAAAATATTCAGCCCACCTGCTTGACAAGTTATTACTAGTATCTGATTTATGGAGATTCTAAAGGTATAAGAAAGTATTAAACTTAGGATATATTCATCAAAATAAATGTTTAGCAATCCAACAAGTTACAGAGACCAAATCACTTAATTTGCAGACCAAGGACACAACAATTCTTTCCATATCAGTTTTGGAGAAGAAGGACACTGAGACAAAGGTACTAGTAATAGTTGGTGATTTTATTGGCAGATTAACAGTTGTAGATCTTATGAATTGGGAAATCCTCTGTGTGATCAATTCTCACATTAAACCAGTCACTACTTTAGCAATAAATTAGTAACGGTACTAAAAATATCAATTATTAGAGAATAATTTCTGTCTGGCTCTGATGATACGTTCATTAACATTTGGAAATTGAATCAAAACTTATAGCCTTAATTAATTTAGTCCCATCATTTGGATGATACCATAATTGTGGGAATTACAAGTGATATATTTGTTGCAGCATATGATCAACATGAATTAATTTATATTGAAAATAATTGAGTATTATTATGAAAATAGAGCATTGATTTATTCAAATATCTTGGGTTTCAGGGATATGAAATGGAGTGAAAATATTCATCGAAATTTTAATTAATTTTAGAAGTGTTACAATATAAAATTTAATAAATCGTTAGTTCGAAATGTTATTAAAGGAACAATAAGAATATAAGTTAAAGTTTATCGAGGAGAGAATGGAGCAATATGAAACAAGTCTTTTGAAGAGGGTCAATCACTTGGAAGAGAGAATTAGATCCTTCAATCAAAAATTTGAAAGAATTGATGAATTGGGTGAACGAGTCAATGATTTACATTCTTTGTTTGATAAACTCAAAGAAAATTTTGATACAAAACTAATGTTACAAGATGATAAAATTGCGAAAGCAAATTTCAATATAAATAAAATAAAATAGGAAGACCTACAACAAATATATAATATAGTTAAAAAAGGATTTCATAATTCAAAGGATTTGTCCTTGGAAATGTAAAACATAAAGACCAAGGACATAAGACAATCCGAGGTTCTATTCAAATAGGAGTTGAAACAATCAAACATTTTGGGAGAAAAATTGCAATCTCCACTTTTGCATTAGAGAATGGATAGTTATTAAAAAAGTGATAGGATGAGATCGATAACTCTGGAGAAGGATAAGGGACAGGAACAAAAGGTGAAATTCGAAAATGAAACCGAAGATTTGGAGAATAACAAACCTAATTCAAAGGGCATTGCTAAAAATGATACTCAAAAATTGATTGATAAATATCAGTTCACTTTATAAACCAAGTTACAGAATGAGAGTAAGTAATTGTGTTATCATTAGATATTTAGAAGTTGAGTAATGTGAAGATTGAAGTGCAGAATACTGAATAAAGTAAGATACTGACTTAATAGCAACAATCGTTGCTTGAGAGGACGATATCCCAAGATCATATTCCACGATCAAAATACCTAACTAGTACGAATTAAATTAAGGAATAACTTAAAAACTTAAGGAAATGAATTATTTTATATTTAATATGTATGATCAAATAAGGAATAATAAATTTAATTTACCAATTAGAATGAAATAAAAAGCCCCCTAAATTTCTCCTAATAAATTGTATGCGAGTCTATTAAAAAAAAAAAATGAATCAGATTAGCAGTAGAAAATAGTGAAATCTCCAGTCATTCAAGGAAATGTGTACATTAATTCTTTGAGGTATGGCAATGCTTGTAAATTTAGAAATAATTAAGGATAGTTAAAAGTTGATGCCAAGAAATCAAGACCAACGAGTGGAAAGGATCTTAAGGATATAAGCACTGTCTTATTGAAAAAAACTCATGCACGTTAAAATAGTAAAATCATCGAGACCAAAGAAAACTCATAAAATTTAACCCAATCAGCATTGCAATTATTATAAAAAATCAAGGCTGAACGCCCAGACAATAAAATTGGTCAAATATAAACATCCAAAGAGATTTTACAATATCATTAGTAATTAATTTAAAAATAATATTAAAAATTACTTGACTTATCTAAATAAACAGAACATAATTAGTTATAACAATAACAATAACAACAGCAATAACAACAAAAATAAAAACTATTCAAAGGACCTCGCTCAATCAGTAACCCTGATATCTCAACTCTCTAACTCTGTATCACTAAAGCACACGCAAAATCCATCCCTGGAATGCTCTACACAGGCTAAACCAAAATCAATCAAGATTCCTATAAGTTAATCCAAAAATTCGGGACAAAAGAAAATGATTGGTATCTTCAGGTTTCTGATGGCCATGGAACCAATGGACATCAAGTAGCCTAATTTGTCTAAGAAATCCTACCAGCCTACATAGAACAGGAGGTGATGGAAGCTCCCTACTACTACGATAGAGATAAGTAAGAACATTAAATAACTACAAATTAGAACAATAAACAACATCTTTAAGCAATCCTTTTTGAAGACAAATGAGGATCTCCTAAATTCTGGCATAGATGTGACCTATTCAGGAGCAACAACAGTTGTCGTTATAGCATTTGAAAACATACTATACTGTGCCAACATAGGAGATAGTCGAGCTGTAACTATAAAGACAATAACATTTAGATTATCGGAAGATATGATACTAAATTACAAGTGGTTGAACTATCTAAAGATCACAAACCCGATTGTTTTTTGGAATAGGCCAGGATCATTCAGAGAGGAGGACGTGTTTAAGCCTATAGTGATGAGGAAGGGAATCCTATAGGGCCGGCAAGAGTATGGAAATTGGATGAAGATGTACCAGGACTGGCCATGTCAAGGAGCTTTGGAGATTACGTAGCAAGTTAGGTGGGAGTCATTTAAGAGCCTGAAATCATTAAGCATTAACTATTGCCATCAGACAAATTCTTAGTTGTTGCATCAGATGGTATTTGGGAGTATTATAAATATCTTAAATATTAAGATTCTTATCGAATGAATGGGTAATCGAAACAGTCAATGAGTACTATAAAAAGGGAGATGCTATCGGTGCTTGCAATAAATTAACCATAAGCTGCAAAAGAGGCTTGGTAGAGGGAAGATGAAGTAATTGATGACATCACTGTCATTCTGGCATTCTTCAAGTGAAATTTATCTACATATAAGTGTAATAATCATCTCTTAGTTTTTAATATGAGTATTCTAGTTACATTTATTCTCTTTTGTGGATTTGAGAGCATTCTGAAATAGAAAAATTAAGAATTAATAGTTATTATTTATAAAAAATATAAATAAAATGGATTATGAGTCTTTGTATAAATTAATTCCCAAAGAACCAAAGAAATGGTTGACTCAAGATGTTATAAACTGGCTAAAGTTTATAGGGTTAGGGCAGATGGAGCAAAAATTTGGTATTTAAATATACAGAAAGTAGTTGAATGTTCTATTGATGGAGCAGTTTTGGAGGACTTGACAGAAAAGGATTTGGATGAAGAATTAGGGATCACTTAGAGAATTATTAAAAGAAAGTTGTTAAATTGTAACTCCATTAATTATTTTAGGGGTAAACCATGGACTGAAAGAGTATAATGAATATATAAAGTAAATGAAAATGCCGAATCTAAACATCAAGAAATAGCAAGATGAGGATTTCACAATACAAAAAAACATTGGGAATGTTCAATTCGAATAAATGCTAATGGAGAGTCACGAAAATAATGGCAACGAACAATTCACGAGTTCAGTTGCTCGATAAGAGGAATAAGCAATAAAATAAGAAATACCTGGATTCAACAAATTCGAACATCAACTCATACTATAACCAATAGAAGGTTAATAGTCCAATTTTTATTGTGTTCGAGAGGCAGGTGCCAAAATAGGGAGACATTCTAGCAACCAAATTCTAATTTTGGAAGAGAATATCAGTAGATTTCATGCTGAGATAATATTCCAAGACTCTATGGTATTTAAGGGTTGTTATCAAATTTAGTTTGCTCTCAAAGACATTGGAAGTACAACAGGAACTTTTATTAAAATACTGAAAAGCTTGACATTAAAATAAGGGATGTTAATAGAATTGGGAAGTAATTAATTTTGTGTTTAGAAATTGGAAACACTGGAAAATGGAGGAATTGAAGTAATACTCCATAAAATTGCTAGATCTCCTTATTCGTAATCGAAGGACCAAATTTAGAAGATACCATCATATTTCAATTAAATAAAGACAAACCTTCAGTAGCTCTTGGCAGAAAATCAACTGTCGATATCTCCTTTCCTGAAGACCATCATTTATCCAATCAGCATGCCAAATTTTATCTTGTAGAATAAACAGTCACCATTGAGGATCATGGATCAACAAATGGGTAATCAATATAAATATCAATTTAGATCTTGGATGAGGTTATCAGGAGAGGGTAAAATGAGTAATTTGTTTTATTTGGATCCGAATGAAGAAATCATAATAAGAATTGGAACCACAAATTAATACATTTGCCAATAAAATAAAATGAAGGTTAATGAAATCTCCGGAGAAAATTTGTGCATCATCTGTGTTGAAAGAGAAAGAGATTGCTTAATATTGCCATGTAAACACAATGCCACTTGTTTGAAATGCAGTAAGAGTTTGGCTCTGTGTCCATTCTGCAGAGTCAAAATTCAAGAGACTATTAGAATTTATAAAAATTGACCTTTGATTAAAATATATATCTATTTATTATGTAATCATTATTTAGATAATTTATCAATCAACATTGTAATGATTTTTTTAATTTTCTAAGTATTTTCATGTACAACATCTGGAATTTATCCCTTTAAGTAATAATTTATGTTGATAAAGACTTCCTCCTCCCAATCCTAATAATAAATAATACTAAAAAATTACCTTCTCACAATAGAAGAGTCTTTTTAATTCTTCCAGTTATTCTTAGGTAATCTTGAATCTTAAATAGCACAATTGTAACATCAAATGAATCATACATTATAAATTATGTTGCAAGTTCTTGAAAATATTCTAACATTTTTAAGTGTTATCCATTAATTGTATAAATTACTAAAAACATAATTCCAACAGTGAGTTCATCGACTCAACTGAAGCTGGGTTGTTCTCTTTGAATCTCTGTAAGATCTTCTTTTAAATAGCTCTAAATTCATTAGCCTTCTATTCTAAGTCTTTTTCATATTCCTTCAAAGATAATTTCAATGTGAAATGTTCATCAATAACATCAAAGATATCTTTCAAAGGGACATCATCAGTATACTTTACGTTTTCACGTTCTCTAACTACAAGTTCATGCAATATAAAGCAAATAGCTTCGAAGTTATCACTTTGCAGTCTCCACCTATCATTTTGTTTGTTTGCTAAAATAGATACTGTAGAATTAGTCAATTATAATTTCATCAAACTTTAATTTATTAAAGAAGAGTCTATAGGTTTGATGTCTTTAAAGACATTGTAAATTGATAAATTATTAACATTAACTGTAATTTTATACTTAGCATTTTTCTCTGGTTAGATCATATAGCAAAAGAGACTAAGAGGTAGGGTGAATTCTGTTGAATAACATCCATTTTTATGATTACAAAGTACTTTTACTACTCTATCGATGGGACAGTTTTTAGTAGAGTAAACATTAAATTCATGTATGATGGTACCTTACAAAACATTGATTTCGAATCTAGGATTGGAGATAAAGATAGATTCATCGTAGACTAATTAAACTTATAAGTTTTCAATTTATTATTTTGAGGTTATGTTTAAGTAGACTAAACATTAAATTACCAATGATTCAACTTATAAGTAATTTTCTTTATCTTCAATGAAATCTCTAGTAGGAGCTAATTTGATTATTTCAGCATTAATCTACAATTAGGACTTTTCATTTGATTCAATTACGGGATTGCCCTCCTTTACTTAGATCTGTTATAGAGTTGAAGTGTAGAGCTCATTTAATTATTGATAAGAATGCTACTATTCAATTTAAAATTGTTTTTGTATGGATATTTATTCAGTACCTAAGTAAATCACTTAAAGGTATCCTTCATCATTCAAGACGACCAGCAATTTATCGATGTCATCAAATTTTCCAATGGAAATACCATGACAAACATGATCAGTTTTAGCTGCCCATACTAAATTCAAATCCTTATAGATCATTAAGTGATGAGTGAAAGATGTTATGATTAATGTGTGAGTGTCATTTACTAGGATTGAAGCAGGAGGGTAATCCAATCTCTTCTGATGAAAGATAATCCCACTTTACTGAACTTGGAATAGCATTTATTCACAAATGACGTAGAAGATGTTTTAGGATGGAATTTCAATAATTTTTTATGCTTGTTCTCCCAAATTAAGGGTCCAATTAGGCTGAGCTCTTTTCTTTTGGAGTGTGCATAGATTTGCATATTTATAGGATTCCAATTCGTAGCAACTGTTTTATAAAATAAATGAGTCCAACTATTATGAGTAAATAATGGGACCAGGCAATGGAAAATACTCTGTACTCAATTAACAAATATGTAGTAATTATTCTTATTCATAGATCATTAGGCAGGCATCACAACTTTGGATACATACAAGATCCTTTCTTCCTTATCCAAACTAACCTGAGCACATATTAAATCCATTCCTCTGTAATTTATGTTCTTTTAGTAACTCCATGTCCAAAGAGTAGAACACTACTCTTTTGGGAAATAGGACACAAAGAGATTTATTGCCAAAATACCCAATCAGGATTTGTAGGATAGGGTCTTGCAAATTGATTTCCTATTTGAGATGTGTTGGTTTGTAATCGCCTCTTTGGGGTTGATAGATTCTCAAGTTTCCTGAATATGAGCCAACATAAATGATTGAGTTGTCTACGAAGAGATGTTGTTCGTCGAATTCTTCAGGACCCACTCTTGTCCCCCAGAACTACTTGGTGTTAAATAATGACATATATAATTAATATTATATAAAATGCAAGATGAATTTGACATTGAAGTTAATTTTGAATAAAATAGTTCAATGACATTCGAAATGTTTAAATTGTTAATAAATATTAGTGGCCATAATAGTGTTAGATTTCCAAAAGCAGGAATTAAAATAAACAATGAAGGATTGACAACCACCAATGGAGAATAGATACAAAATACATAGGAATCGATAACGCATCAGTAAATTAAGGTCGGGGATGTCATTGGATAAGGAGTATCAAGCTATGTTTGCAGAGGATTATATTTGCCTTACAATTGTCAAGTAGCTTTGAAGGTTAATTTTCGTTGTTATTATATCAGATAATTAATGTTTTCGATAAGGACAAGAGACATTAGATGTTAAATGATCTAAGTACACTCTTAAATGGTTGTGAATGCGAATAATTGATCAAGTTTTATGGTGCATATTATGAAGAAGGTAGCTCTATCATTGATTTTTGAGGAACCATAAGATTGGTACTTGAATATATGGATCAAGGATCATTGCGAAGCATTATTCAATAAATCTATAAGCATAATTTAAGTGAATTAATTAATGAATAAATAATTGCAACGATAACTTATAATATTCTCATGGGATTATAATATTTGCATTAGCAGAAGCATTAACTTCACAGAGATATCAAACCAGAAAATATTCTCATCAACAGTTTGGGATAGATAAAATTGACAGATTTTGGAATTAGTAAATAATTGGAAAACACTATAGCCATAGCCAGAACTTTTGTAGGTACTTTGATGTACATGTAAGAAATCCCTCCTATTTGTAAAGGTCTCCGGAGAGAACTGAGGGGAAGAACTACTCCTACGCTTCAGACATCTGGTCTTTGGGACTGATTATCTATGAAATGGCAACAGGGAAACATCCATACTCAGTCTCCAATAAGCAAATGACTTATATCCAAATGATTCAGAATATTCTGAAATCGGAGTCACCAAAATTGGATAATTATCCATATAGTGTAGAAATGAGGGATTTTGTTAATATTTGGTAGGATTTGAATATTGATTTTAGTTTGAACAAGGATCAAAGCAAACGATTGGATGCGCAGACTCTGTTGTAGCACAATTGGATTATAAAAAATGCTTAGAATAGTCAATATGTGCAGATGTGGATATTGCAGAAGGATCAAAAGTTACAGTTAGTCCAACAAAAATGAATTTATATCAATAATTTAACTATTTATAGTATATTATTAAAATTTAAAGCAATAAAAAAAAATAACTTATTTTTATAATGGATTTAGAAATAGTAATAAATTATGAGCATAACCAACAAGTAGTGGATGATTTATGTGAGTCATTCGATGAATTGGAGGAATAAAATGAAAAATATCATTTATATATGAATCGTGGATCTCGAAGGGAAATGCTTGACAGAGTAATATTTAACAATTAATTATTCTTAGTATTAGGTTTCGAATAATCATTATGCAATTTTTGATGGTCATGGCTCATCCCATGTTGCTGATTATTTATAGCAGAATTTGCTACAAAGATTACAAAATGGAATGTCAGATGAGGAATATAAAAAAGGTATGGTATACAATCTTATTTTTGTAGTGTTTAGCGATGTCGATAACAATTTAAGCCAATACATGCAATCTGGGTCTGTTGCTATATTATTGTCTATTTAAAATAAAACTGTTACAATAACAAACCTAGGAGATTCCAAGGCTATTGTATTCCGAGAGAATTTCATTTGAATAATTAAATTCTATTCACATCCCCCAATCCAAAGAAGAATAGTAGAGAATACACAAATAAGGAGGGTACGACTATCAATCCTATCTCTGTAGGCTGATAACAAAGAGACAAAACATCTGCCGAGTCTCGGGCTCGTTAACTGTTACAAGATCATTCGGAGATTTTTATCTTAAAAAGTACATCATAAGCGAACCAGAGATTTTCAGATACTAGATCTCAGAAGGTGATAGATTCATAGTTATGGCCAGCGATGGTTTCTGGGATGTAAACATTCCATTTTTATTTTAGGAACTTTCGGAATAAGAAGTTTTATAGATCATTCAGAAACTTGATCAAAATAAGAATTTAGCAAAATAGTTATATCAAGCAATATCAAGTGATTATATAAGAGACAATGTAACTATAATGGTATTCCCATTATGAATTTAATTCAATTCTGATTATTGTGTTTTTATCTCTTCTAATTAATAATCAATCAATTAAAACACATAAAGAAATTCCTAAATTCTCACATTTTAACATATTAAAATAATCAAGAGAAATACGCAATAATTATTGAAATATCATCAACCACATCATCCTCTTCTTGCCATCTTCTAGTAGATTCCCTTATAATGCTTTCCACCATCTCATCAATTTTCTTAGCATTCATCTACGGACTCCAATAACTGCAGATAATATGTTGAATCTCATCATTGCTTAAAAACTCCCAAACTCCATCACTAGCCACCACCAAAAACCCACACTTCTAAGTCATCTTGTGATAAATTAGTTCCGGATCTGATATAACTCCAACTGTGGATGCAACATAATCCCCAAAAGATCTACTCATAGCTAATCCTGGAATTTGTTCATGCAACAACCAAACTCTGGCTGGTCCTATGTTTTAACCATTCTCAGCAACAAATGGTTAGACCCTTCCTTTACTGGCCATAATCCTTTTCTTTTCGCATGGTAGATCTGGTTTATGATCATTGCTTAATTCAACTATCTTCCATTTGTTGGACTCTCCAACCTACTCAATGAATATCTATTGTTATGAATCAAACATTAAATACTGATCTTGAATCTCCTATGTTGGCACACCATAAATTATTTCCAGAAACAAAGACAGTTGAACAAGTAGATCCACTAAATGATATATCAATTCCGCAAGATGACTAATATTATATCAATACTTACTAAATCTTTAGTCATTTTTTAATAACTACTCTAAAAGGTCTTCTCTACTTCTGAATACAAATCTTCACCAATATCAATTTCCTATTTCCCAATAAATGTTTTCAATTGTTAATCTATTATAGTTGGTAACACTCTTTTGATCAATTATGAAACATGATGTCCATAAAATCCATGACCATCACACACCGAGAATAGATATCTAAGTTTAACAACTATCAAACCTGTTTTTTATGCCTCCAAAATTATTCGAGATAATGATCGAATCTTGATTTGTTTTAGTCTATTTATTTCCATTTTAACCAGCTTAAGTTCTTAATAATATATGCTTATCTAACATACTTCGATAGAAACAATTAGACAAAATCTTAAAGTTCATCATCTTCTGTCACGTTTGAATTGACTAGAGCAGCTTGACTAGTTGATCTTCCATGCAACATGATCACTTATTAAGGCATTTTAGGTTTGATTTTTATGTCTTATACAATAGCCTATGAACTCACCCTACTCTAAATTGAACGCAATTTTGGGGAGGAATCCTAATATAATTTTAGAAAAGAAGTTTTATTCTTAACTATAATTCTATGAATGTACTTATGGAGTGTTTTCTGTATTACTAGCTTCGGTTCTTTTACTTCTCCTTTGAGACTAGGTTAAATCAATCTTGGCTTAAAGTTCCTAGGGGGCATTGGTTGATTCGCTTCTTTTCAAATTCGGTAATTTTGTTGGGGAGAGTGACTATGAAATATTTTACATAAATGATACTTCACTTGATTAATTTGAGAATTTGAAGATGTAAGGTTTATCGTTGTTGCTAATTACTCTCTTTTTTGGGGAATAGCTAGATGGTTATAGTAATTATAATTTCTTTTAAGTAACCTAAGATAAGATAGCAAAACTGCATTGATACAATCTTTATTTTTTCATCTTGTGAGTTGATACCTCCTGTTGGATGTCTTTTCTGATTGCTTCGACTCTATTGTGATGGAGGACTAAATTCTAATTTGAAGATACTTTAATTGAAAAGTGTATGCACGATCAGAAGGCTATGCTTTCTTTTTTAGACCTGGAGAATTTGCCATAGAATCTTGATTTGTAAATTTAAGTGGATAGACACGAATGGGATTCATTTATTAAAATAATTAAGTTCATATTCTCTTTTACTAATACCACTATGGAGTTAACTTAAACGCAATTTCAGGTTAGATCGACAATTCCTCTACAAATAAACATGATACTCTACCTTTTGTAAAATCAAAGAAGTTAGGCAACTTTACATTTGGAATTCCAAACTTTTCATCTCTAATTTCATTGAAATAAGGATGAGACAATGCTTCTAATGGCCTCAATCTCTCTCTAGGAGGATACAACATAATTTTAGATATCAAATCTACAAACAAAGGATCAGGTTTAAACTTTTGGAATACCTAAACATTGAATAATACTAAATTACTTTGTTCCAAGGATGATTCTTAATTTATGGAAATTTGAATTCCTTGTGCATAGGATTCATCTATTTCACCTATTCAATGGTAGGTGTTCCAAGTATCTTTATGATCTCCACCAATTGATCAGTGGCACTCTCTCCTGGAAATAAAGGCTCTCCAATTGTCATTTCAGCAATCACACAACCTATAGACCACACATCTATGGCAGTTGTATATTCAGTTGCTCCAAATATCAACTCTGGTGCTCTATAGTATCTGGAACAAATGTAAGCAACATTTGGCTCTCCTTTTTGCAATCTCTTAGCTGACCCAAAGTCGCATATCTTAAGAATGTGGTTATTTGGATCTACTAGAATATTTTAAGGCTTGATATCTCGGTGGCTGATTCCAATTCCTTCATTTATTATACAAATGCCAACTACCTTCCAAATATGCAAGTGCACGGAACATTTAATAACTATAAATTTTCAACAGAGCTGCTGGAAAAGGTTATTTGGCCTTCTTATAATATCTGATCACCTTACTTAATGTGTCAGGAATATAATCCATAACCAAATTTAAATAAACATCGTCACCCTTTATAAATGTATTTGCCATTACTTTATCACCTTATGTAAAAAAAGCTTCTTTTAGCTTTATAACACATGGGTTGTTCAATTCTTAGATTATTAGATGCTCTCTATTCTTGTATCGCTTATCTTAGAACACCTTTTTTATCGCAACTTTTTCATTTGTTTAATTATTTGTGGCCTAAAATAAATTTATCTTTTTACCAGATAAACCATTCCAAATGTCCCATTGCCGACAATTTAATTTAAAGTATATTTAGATGCTTATTGATTTTACTTGAAATTATTGTTATCTATCTTACTGTCACTACTTCTTATTGATCGTTTGCCTGTGTTGTCATTCTTGTTGCCTATTTTGTTGAAGATTTCTTATTTATCATTTTATATTTTCAAAAATATTATTTATATAATTTTATATCATAAGTACATATGATATTTATGTTTTATAACATTCTTTATTCAATTACTTCTCCTGTATTTCCATAGACTTATATTCATTTTATTCCTCTCTGTTCGTTTATCTAATTCTAATTTTCAATTCATAAACATGATTTACGGATTAATTTTAACTTGTAACTTTTCATTCAAAAAAGACATTGAGTGCTATTAAAATGATGTTAGGAGAACATAATAATCCAAAAACAACTACTAGTTCATTATTAAAATTGCAATTAAATGCATTTATTGCTATTCTTTTTAATTATATGATACACTTCAAATCAGCTAATTGTTCTTATTAGGTGGAAATCCATACACTTTTTTTATTGATTTCTAATTCTTTTGATCGAATGATATTTAATTCAAATTTTTCTTTAAGTCTAATCAATGGAATTATTAACTCTTAAAGAAGTAATCCATATCAATAACATATTTTATCTCTCATATAAGATTGATATTATTCCCTTCTATTTTAATTCTTTTAGAGATTCCTCATAAAATTCTATAATATCATAATTTTATATAAAATATTAAATAACAATGTAGAGAGTTCATTAAAAATTTAAATAAATATAAAACATGGAAATCAATAGAAATAAGTTTTCAAGGATTCAATCTATTTTTACTCTGTACTCAATTTATTTATCTACACAATCCATTTATTTTTCTATTGCTCTTTTTTTGCATTTGTTATCTACAAGAAATCAGGCTGTATTTTAATCAAAAACATTAATGACTTCTCCATAATCTCTTTACTGAGAGGTATTTTATTAAGTAAGTGCTGTATTAAGTTGTTGTAGAAAACAAATGAAACAGATCTTTGATTGAAGTATTTAATTGTTATTTCAACAATCTATTTAATTTAATCTCTCTACTCATCTGAATATATTTGAAAAGGTAATTGTATTGGTGAGATATCCTATACGAAATTCATATCAAAGGTAGGATAATAGATCTTGAACTCTTTGGAGTACTCTAGAAAACTTTCTTATCCAATTGATTTCAAATAATTTTCATGTGTCTCTTGGACTAATTTATCCATTGAATTTCTTATTGAGGTGATCCTTTTTTCAAAAATTGCAGGCAGCTGGCTTTGAAAAGGTTAAAACTACGGCAAATTTTCTGTAGGAATGTGATTGAAAATCAGTTCAATCGATTTATTAACAATCTTTACTTCATATAAATCTTTATCAAGTTTTAACAATTATCCAATTTATAAAATTTTAATGGCATTAGTTTTGATATCATATGTTAGTGGTTTCCTCTTTTTCCAATAGGTTTATTCAATGTTTCTCATTGTTTATAATAATTATTGGAATTTAATTGGCAATGGATATTAATCTGAAATCTACCCAAATCTATCCCTGAGGCTTAGAAAATTAATAGGAGTAGCAGGTGCCACTTTAATTGAGGATATTTTGGTGTCTGCTAACTCACTTAGATGTCTTGTAGATTCATCTTCACCATTGGTGTTATTGTCTTACTAAGTTTTTATTAGTTTGTAGCTATTCATCTTATCTTAATTAATTATTATTATTTGCAACGAATTGCGGGTATCAATAAATAAACCCGCATTTTGCTATTAAATTAATAGCGCCAAAAATTGAGATGCTATAGTAAAGGTATAAAACTTTATAAATAAAATAATAAATTATTTAGATTGAAAAACCAAAATAATACATTCATATCTTCATATTAATACATCTCTTTTATTACAAATATACTCTAATATATATATTACAAAACTCTAAACCAATCTATGTTTTTATTCTTTTTTATTCTTATTTTATTTTTGACTCCCTGTTAATTGGTTGCGTCAAATTGAATTCGTTTTTTTGTATCTTCTTTCATATATCAGAATTTAATTTCAGTATAAGAGCCTTGAGTGAATTCGTAGTAGAATTAAATTATTATAAAAAATTTAGACTCGAAAGTAAATACTATTTAGCTCTCTCTCTTTTGTTATTATCCTAATAGTCATCTCCTCAAAAAAACATTAAACTACTTAAACATGATTTTCTATAAGATAGGGTATATATTTAAAGAAATCAAAGCGAAATATCACTTTGAAAGGCTTGATAATTATTAATCTAATTATGTATTATAAATATTTGATAAAATTGTAAAGATTATGGTATACAAATTATGTAGACTATTGATATTTAATTTTTTAATTTATATATTAATCCTTTTATCATTAGGTCTTAAGCTACATTTATCAGTAAATTCCTATTTTAAATAGTTCCACTAAAGAAATCGAAAAAGAGTTATAAACAATAGTCTATTTTAATATTAAAACAGAAAACTCTGCTTTATTATATTTATTCAAGAAGAAATTTAAAATTAAGTAAATTAAAATAACGAGCATTATAGTTATATCATTATTAAGAATTATTCCCTTTCTTCATAAATCCTAAATAGAAATGGATTTTTCTGGAAGAATTCTTAGAATAATTTTTTTAATTTATTACTGCATATTACAATAACTGGTTTTATAATTAAAGTGTATTAAAAAGGAATATATTCAATCATAATTTGAAAAACAATACCATTAAATACTACTATTTTGAGAATAAAGTTCAGAATTTGAATGATAAATTTTGTTATCTTTCAAATCATAGAACAGGGAAATTTGAAATCTTCAAAGATAAGATACAAGTTGTCCTTCTAGATAAGAAGCATACAATTAATAATTTGTGGGGAGACTAAGTTGATCTCTAAATAGGAGCTACTATAATAGTTATTCTCATTTTTTAAGATTTGTTTATTCGTAAAGGTAAATTAAATCATCAGCTTCAAAAAATTATAGCATTTGATCTGACGAGATTCGCTATTTAAATCTAAATAAGGCACGATAAGTTTAATAAAAATTAAAAATTTTAAAGCTTTTTTAAATAGCTAAAGAAAGGCATGGAGGGCACAGATAGTTATAATTATGATGAAATGGACTTAGATGAATTAATGTTACCTCCTCCTGCATTGATTCGATAAAATGCCTTCATTCAAGAAGAAGATGAGACTCCATAATTCATACTTACAACTTAAACTGATTGTACTTATAAGGAGGAGGAATGTCCAATTTGTTTTTGCCCTCTTAATGAGGAAAATACTGTAAAATTATTATGTGGACATGTCTTATGTTAAGACGATTTAAATCAAATGATGTAATCTTAGCATTCGGAAACCCTAAAATGCCATATCTGTAGAACTCTTTAGATTGTAAATTTATCTTGTGTATGTGTTAAATGATATTGTTGGTACTCTTTTAAAAATATATTTTCAAATAAAAATTAGAAAAATTCATCCAAAAGATATTTTGGATCTCTTTTTAAAATTTCTTTATAATCCATTTATATTGAAAATAATAAATGAATCAAAAGAGCGCCTCAAACCTATTCAATTTCATCAGAGAGATAATTTAAAAAATGGCATTTTGTTAACTTCCTCATTTCCAATATAGTCGTTATAATATATATTAATAAATATCAGTCAAAATAAAATTATTTCCGAACTATTTTAAAATTAGGTCTTTGGATGAGAAACTTATTCTCTACACATTAAACTAAGAAATATAATTTCAATCTTATTTTGAAGTGATGATTTATCCATTCTAAAAGAAGAAAGCTAATTAAGATCTTAAGGATTTCTCAAATATATTAGTGCAAGAATAATGGATTATTTAAGCTGATTAGTTTGTATGATTTTATAATTAACTGCTATTCAATCTGATTTTGATTTGATGATTTAAAAATAAGTATTACGTTTTTAGTTTCACTTTATTGTACACTTACCTAATGTATTATTGATCCTCTCACATCAAGATCAATAAGTATAGATTAGATAATTACTTTGATTTGACAAACATTGATTATTTAATTGTTTTCATTTAAAAATAGGGACGACTGTTTAGATACAATTGCAAAACAAAAGGGATAGAACAAAGCTAAAATATAGATAAAGTTTCAAAATCACCTTGCATTTTTAAAGTAGTTTTGATTGATAACCAATATAACAAAATAAACTATATGATTATTTATTGTAGCCAATTTTACAATATTTCTAAAAATTTAGGAAAATGAATTAGTTTAGATGGTAATGAAGAAGTATTTCTTGAGTTTGGATTAACTCTTAAACATCGAATTGATATTGTTAAAAATGATAATCAATTAAATATATTTAAGTATATATTTAAATCTTTTTATTTTTATTTATGCAAGCAACAAGTGACCAAGTATATAAAAAAAAAATTTACTCATAGCCACCTTTTGTGTCCTTAGAAAACTATGACAATATAGATTCAATCAGAAGCAAGTTCCCTCCCTTAGCAAATATCAATATTGATCACAATTTTAATAATTTAAAGGACTGCAGATTCTTTATTATAAGAACCCAAGGAGAAGATAATGTTCATCGAGCCATGAAATATGGTATTTGGACTAGGTAATGTATAAATTTACAAAAGCTCCTCTCGCAAAAACGAAAGATTAGACGAGGCATTCAAGAATAAATAGGAAGATGTTTATTTATTCTTTACAGAAATAAATAGTATGTGTTTTAGTGGGATGGCTAAATTAACATCTGAATTTAATGCAAAAGCCCATTTTAAATATTGGTTAATTGAGAATAAATGGTTCGGGACATTTCAGATTCAATGGGTATTAATTAATGTTATTCGTCTCAGCTTTATGTCAAAGATATACCATTTAAACTATTTGATGAAATTAAATAAATCTAAAAACTAGAAGGCAGTGAAGAAACTTTAAAATCTGTCTATGATCTCATAGATTGCACTGAACTGACAGTAGATAATGGCATTAAAATGACAAAAATCTTCCAAGCAGAAAAAACTAATAAAAGTTTATTCGAAGAATTTCCTCAATTAGATAAATTGGAAGTATTTGCAATTTAATAATTTAAGTTTGAAAGCAGATAAGAGAGAACAAATAATATACGATTTGAGAAAAAGTTTTAGGAATTGTCGTAAGTCTTTGAAACTTTACCATTCTCTTTTTCAGTTGCCTCATATGAAAGGAAAAAAACAAACAGAAAAGCTTAAGGCCCTTATTACTAGTCTCAATACGGTCAATAATATTATTATTAATAACCTTATCAATAATATTATTAGTAGCCATTTGTTGGTACTAAATATTATCTATAAATTAGGGTATTAATTCTAATAAACTCCCTAATATTGGTAATTTAATAATGGATTTTATTAAAATCAATATTAATAGAACCAATACACCAATAACAATAGTAACAAATAAGGGTTCACAAAGCCCTAATAATCATATGAGAAATATCAACATTAATAAAATAATTATTCTAACTAATAATAGTAATCAAATACGATCTCCCAATAAACTCAATAAAACACAAATTAAGAAGGTAATTAGGATGTTTAGAGTGTTCCTTTGGAATAAAGATTTTAAATAAATAGTTAATAATTGCAAAAAAGAGGAAAATTTGATAAAATTAGAAACAAGAACAATAAAGACAATGTGTAATATGTAGAAAAAAATTCAACAGAAGCTCATGTATAAAAATATTGATCGTTTTTATTTTATTTAAATTTATAAAAACGATCTGCCATCTTAAATTGTGTAACAATTATCTATCTAAGTCTCTCTGATCAGCATAGGTGAAAAAAAGATATAGGAATAAGACAAAGAATTCCTTTTAATAAAAATTAAGTCTTAAATGAGAGAAATTATTATTGCTGAATGTATTATATTGATTAATCTTAATGGAATAATTATATCAAAGTATAAAAAAAATTCATTGCTCAACAACAGTTACAGAAATATTTAATGATAGAAATTTCTGAACCCCCTTAAAATCAGGGAATCATGAATGGAAGAGTTGAAGTTATGCTTTAAATAATTTATATTAATATTTATTATAATGAGAGAAATCATTTCTTTGCATATTGGTCAAGCTGGTCTTTAAATAGGAAATTCCCTTTGGGAGTTGTTCTGTTTAGAACATAGCATACAACCTGATGGGACTGTTCCAACGGATCGAATATTAGAAGGTCTAAATTCCAATGTTGATTCGCTCTTTTCATTATCATAATATGGGAGATACGTTCCAAGAGCTATATTCTTTGATGAGGATCCAACAACGATAAATGCCATAAAAAATGGACCAAGCAGAGGATTATTTAATCGTTCCTATATACATTAATGCTAAAAGGAATCTGGAGGATGTTGGGCAAGAAGCTTTGGAACAATTATGAATTAGGAAGGTGAAGAAAAAATAGCTGATAAAATAAGAAAACAAGTTGAGAGTTGTGATGGCCTTTAAGGAATTATGCTTTACCATTCAGTCGGAGGAGGATTCGGTGGAGGTTTTACATCTAAAATTTTGGATCTGCTTTCAAGTGACTTAGAAAAGGTGACCAAGGCAACTGTGTCTGTTCTATCCTCTAATCATTCTTTACAATCCTCTTTAATAGAACCATATAACTCATTATTGACCATCAAATACCTCAAGGAAAAAGCTGATATGTCCATAATGTTAGAGAATTAAGCTTTATTTAAGGTGGCCAACCAATAATTAGATATAGATAATCCAAATTTTTCAACAATTAACAGAATGATAGCCTAATTAATATCATCAGTTACCTAATCCTCTAGGTTTAATGGATCAAAATTTGTTGATTTAATTGAAATGAGAATGAATGTTGTCCCAGAACCTGATTTCTAATTTCTTCATGCATCATATGCTCCTTTCATTAATATTGATAAACAAAATACCGAGTTAACCAACTTGCAATAGATTACAAACTCATTATTCGATTAAAGAAGTTCATTCATTAATTATAATCACAAGACTGTCAAATATATGGCTGCCAATTTGTTTTTCAGGGGAGATTGTCCTTGGGGTGAAGTTAAAAGTGTAGTAGAATCTTTAAAGCAATCTCCTAATATATAATTTGCAGAATTTGCAGTTCCTACATTTCAAATTGCCATTAGTGATAAGGCACCTATTCCATTCCCAAATAGTGAATAAGGTAGATCAAACAAGGCTGTTTGTATGATTGCCAATTCTTCTGCTATTGGAATTCCCTTATTTAGAATTAGAAGAAATGCTTCGACGCTATATTCTAAAAGAAGTCATGTACATTGGTTAGTTGGAGAAGGAAGAGAAGAAGGAGAAATTTAAGAAGCACTTGACACAGTTAAGTCATTTATAATAAATTATAGATAAGTTAAGTAAGAAAATCCTGATAAGGATTATTGTACCAGAGTTCAACACGGAACAGATTATATTAGGTAATTTGTTTACACTTGTGATTGTTTGGATGTTGAAGGCTATATCAAAAGTGGTATAGAAAAAGGTGAGGATATGGAGGGTAAATACTTGGGAGTTTGTGTTTAATGTGCAAGAAAGTGCCATGTTGGACACAACCTCAAAGCTAAAGGAATTGTAAACGAGTTCTTTTGTGATTGCGGATTAGAAAATTGTAAAGTCAAATGTCAATGTCAGAAAGAGGAAGCATAAGAAGAAGAATAAGAATAATAATAGGAATAATAATAGGAATTATAATAAGTATGAGAGAAACAGAAATATTGAAAATAATTATAAAAATAATGAATTATATTAACCAAAATTTATGATTTGCACTCCTATTCTTAATTATATTCTATGGAAATTTGTATTAAAACTGCTCCAGAGGCCTTCAGGTTTAACTATGGATTCTTTTAAATTATAAATTATTCCTTAATGAAGGAAAACATCAAAACATTTCAAATAAAATGTTAGATATGCAATTAAAGTGTACTAAATTATGGAAGATACTTATCCATATTTTATTTCTTATTAACTTACCTAACACAGTCTAATGTTCATGAAAATATTTTGGTCATATTATTTCATATCTATTGATATTATCAAAGAGAATATTAAAGACCAATAAAGCCATATCAGATTTTTTCAAATCAAAAAGACTTTAAATAAATTATCAACAGTGATTGTTGTAATAAAATTATACTTATTAAAGAATTGTCTTTTATTAATGATCTAAATTAAAATACTAAACATAAGTTCAAATTTCACTTATTTTCCTCTCGAGATATTCTATATCTTGATACCCTTTATTTTTAGCCTCAAGATATAATTATTTAGATTATCTCTTTTAACCTGAATAAAATAATGAGTCAGCTAAATATTAAATTTAATATTTACCTTTATGCACTAGATACTCAACCAATTTTGAAATCTAATATGCTTTGTCAAATTATTTAACGGCTTCCTTATATTACGATAATTCATATAATGCAATCCCTTATACAATAAAAATATACCTTTTATCGAATAAGCTTGATGAAGCTATGAATTTATCTTAAGAAGTTCATCGCTACACGATATTGCTTCTTAATATTATTTCTAGCGATTTAATGCACAGCCTATTGATTTAAATCTAAATTACCTTTATTTATGTAAGCTGTTTCATTCTTTCTGTTTATCTCTATTGATTTATCATAGCACATTAGTTCTTCTTGATATCTGTATAAACGCCCTAATGCAAGTCCTAAAATTAAAATATAAATAATGTTGAATAAACCTTTATTTACAAATGCAGCATCATTTTATGGATTTATCTTGAGACCTTTATCACACCAAATTATAACATCATCATAGCGCCTTTATTCGAATAGCGCAGAAGCTATATTTTTGATTATTAATACCCTTAGTTGTATATGCCAAATCATTTTAAGGATTTATTGAAATTGCAATATCACATGCATTTAGTGCTTCATTTGCTTTTCCTAATTTGATTAATGTGCGACCTGATAAATTAAAAATAATTTTCAACCTTTCCATCTATAAACATCATCATTGGATGCATCATATTTGATTGATTCATTGAAAAAATTTAACGCTTCTGAAAAGTTTTATTACTCCCATATAGTTTCATGCCTAATTAAATTAAAATTATTTGAACCTTATTTAAATAGTTCTTAAGACTATACTTTATCATTCTAGTATTATATGGGTTGTTATACAAATTCTTGACTGTGATTTAACTTTGTGGACCCTTTAATAGCGTTTTCTATTGTTTAAATAAATGATAAAAAATGCTCTAGAAAATATTTCTAACACATACATTAAGTTTTAGGCATGAAACTTTTTTATGAGTAATTTTGGGTATATATTAGAGACTTGATATCATAATATTGTCTTTGAGCGAACATCTCTATTAATTTAGTTTTTTTAGAGATTTCATTCACCAATATTTAGCTATATTATTTATATGCTTTGTTAATTTTATTATAAACGTTTTCTAATTCATCTAGTTCTTGTTGTTATTGCTTTAATGACTTTATCACAATCTCTTGATATTATTGAAAATTTTTGCAATCTTCGACATGATTTTTGTGTCTCTCTTTTAAACATTGCAAGCAAAATTAAGGAATTTAAGTACAAATTTCATTTACACAAAACCCAATTATTTATTCATTTTCATGACCTTCAAATGTACACGTTAAATATGAATTCATCATTAAATAATATTTAAATATAATATAATGTCTTACATAAATAAATGCAATACTTGAAGAAAAATTCTCAAAAATTAAATATATATAATAATTCCAGTTAGATGCAGAAAGTTTTTTTTTAGATAATTTTTGTGGCCACTTAATTAAATTGCTGATTTTTTTTTTATTACAGCCAAAAATGTGTTGAATATCAATAAGTAAGTTATTTATTTTTCATTGAAAACGGTTAGTAATCCTACTTCAAAAGTTTTAAGACGCTCTGATTATCAATTACCCACAAACTCGATAATTAAGAGAAACATTGTAAATGCTTCCAAAGATATCAAGAGTTCTTACTTGAAATGAAATATTCTTTTACTTTTGTTTGATTTAGATTGAATGATCACCATTTGTTTAATATTGTTCATTTTGATTAAAACTACCAAGGAAATGTTATCTGTATTGAAATATAAATTTTTTTTTTAAATCAAGTTTTATGTTAGGGTTTCGAATCACTAAGTACATTTCAAAATCTATAAAACCAATTTTTAAAATCAATTCTATGAATTGTTTATAATTTTACAGAGAGAAGTGAATATTTTAAGCTGAAAATAGAATTTTAATAAAAACTTATATTAAATTAAGAGAATATTTAAGATAGGATAAACCTCAATACTTTAAAGGGAGAAAGAATAAATTTAATTAGTTCTAAAACATTATCGATTATTTAATATGTTTTATGAAGTAAAAATTGTATAAAATTATAATTTGTATCAGGATATTTATCAATAGATAAAATTGATTTAAGAAATACAAATTCTACAACTTTAATCTTTTGAAATAGCAATCACTCTTTTGAAAATTAAACGGTTTAGATCAATATTTTGAATAAAATAATTTTTATTATTTGAATAAAAAATATTATCAATTGTCCTTCTTAACCCATTTTCCAATACGATAATCCTTAGAACCAGTATAAAACACTTTTTCTTCTTCATCCTAAAATTCTAAGCTGAAAATATAGTCTTCATGATTATCATAAGTATTAAATCCTCCTTAAATGACGTTATATACTGTAATTGAATAATCAATACTTCCTGCTAAAAGAAATTTATCATCTTTTGTGAATCTTATAATTAATGCACAATAATTCTGGTTCCCAGATTGTTTTCTTATCAATTTTTTATTATTAGATGATTTTATTTTGATATTATTTCCATGACTCTAAGCAAATAAATAATTATTATTTGAAAATTATACATAAAAAGAGGAACTGATTTAGTCTCTGAAAATAATTCTCTATTAGCTAATGTTTAAGAAAAAAAGTGATCGAATCCCTGAGACAATTGCTATTTGTTTTTAATGATTTGTAGTAATGCATATTAATTTATTACAATCAGGAAGGATAACTGATTATAATTGTTTACTAGAAATCTGATAGATGCTGATCACATTTGTATCTCCAATAGAAATAACGCTTTCGTCATTATTAGTTAAAATTGCAAATCTATGTATGACATTCGGAGTTTTTATTATCTCTGGTTCGACATATTTCTTATTTGCATAGGAGTATATTACAAAGAAATGATCAAATCCAAACTAAAACAATCTATTATTTTTTGAAAAAATCAAACAAAGCACTGGTAATTTGTGGGTTTTTTCTAAAATTTAATATATCGACTCATTATTAAGATCAAAAATTTAAATCATCTCTGTTTTTCCACCAAAGGCAAGTAGTTATAGATTATGATTCACTGCCAAAGTATATATACTCTCGTTCGTAACATGAAACTCTTAATATTCAATTTGAAATTAATTCAACATCATTTCAATATATATTATAATGATTTAACTTATTAATCTAGAATATAAATGTCTAAATTTCTCCACGTATATTTTCCAAATTCTCAATTTTATCAATTTTAATCTAATTAATATTATATATATCAAAAATTATTATCATTTAAAAAGAGTGATTAGGAAAAAAATATGTAGAATCTAACAAACATACAATATTTTTTATAGCAACTCATCAATTCAAAAATGAATTCATAAACATCATCCTTTCTTAGAAAAGCAATTGTTTTTGAGAAAAGTATCATAGATTATTAATCTTATTTTTTGATTATACAATTTTTAATTTTGCTTTTGCAATTGAACTCTACTTTTTAATATATTAAAATTCAAGTTTCATGAATTTTAATTTTCCTATTAAAATTTTTTTCTTTAATTACACTGCTAAGGATTACATTTTTATAAGTAGTGATTTCAAGCTATTTGTAAAAAGGAATCTTTTATTCTAAATCAGCGACTCCAGTTAATAATTTCACAACAATAATATAAATTATTTGATGAATTTCATCACTATGTGTTCTTGCTAATGAAGTTACTAATATTCAAATCAAGTGTGGGAATTTTATGGATATTTATGATTTGTTTTAATTCAAAAATGCTTCATTTCTTTGAAAATAATATTTCAACATTAATTTCCATTAAATGACTTTATTAGCAGGATGAACCGATGCAGAGATACATCACAGAAAGTAAAAGATCAAATTATTAAGACGAGATATTTGATTAGAAAGAGTTAATATATCCTCTTTTAGATAGAAAAAAGTTATCGATAATTTATATACACATTTAATTGAGATCAAGACTTCTTCAAAGCGATTTGGTTCTATCAATTAATTCAATCTAAGATTCTGTTTCTTGTGTGACATTACATTAATGGTATTAAGTACGATGAAATTTATATAGATACAATAAAGGGAGAAAGCCAACGAAGGATAAGAATAATAATAGGGTATTCATTTTTGTATAATTTTCATAGTTCTCTACTTCTAAAATATGAGAAATAATTATTGAAAATATTGTTATTTCTATAATAGTTTTTGATGAATACCTATATTAATACAAGCATATGTTAATCCAAATCCTGTTCCTACCAAGTTCGAGGGTACAATTTTTGGAATATATGGCCACATCACAGCATAGTAAGTGCCAAAAAAAATACCAATTAAAATACTCCCTATTACAGGAAAAGCTACACAATAAGTATCACATTCTGGCATTAAATAGAATATAGCGGCAGCTAGCACTTAACAAAAACCGCCGAATAACAAGATTTCTATATTTCTACCTTTTCTATCTACATAATGGCCTACAAAGACAGTTAAAGCCGCAGAAATATAATGAGGAATACTAAATAACAGATTTGCAGTGCTTTAATCCAATTTATATCTAGGTAATAAATTATACTTACAAAAGTTTAAACATTTCGACGCAATTATAACCAAATATAAAGAAAATGGAGTAAGTTGTGGCACAACTGATTAAGGCTACATAAAACTCTAAACTGAAATTCTTAATTTATCTAAGATCAACACTTTCCAACTTTTAATCTTCTGTTTTATCTCTTGAATCACTGCACTTGTCAATTCGAGTTAAAATAATGATTAAAACAAAACTCAATATAGAGATGTACAGACACATTAACAAGCATTTAGATAAGTCATTATCTTAGGACATGTATATATATGGATAAATAATTGCGCCGGTTATTGATCCTATTCTACAAAGACCTGTGTCGATGCTTAAATAAATTAAAATAGTACCCAAAAGCTAGAGAATTCTCCTTCCCTTTGAACCACTTATTGATATAGTAACTTTCAGCCACAAATCCACTATCATCAAACAACCCAAATACTAATCGGCCTACTACCATAATTGCAAAATTATCACTAATTACTGAGATAAAGCATAAGACTTTTACTTTAAATATAAATTCTTACATTAACCCAAAATTATAACAGCTCCAAATAAGGTGTATGAGCGTCCAACTCCAAATGTGTCAATGATCAAACCGCCAACTAGTGACATTATCATATTTGGAAATGCTCTTATTGATAATAGATAATTGACTTCCTTTTAAGTGATTTGAAAGTGTTATTTTATCTATTCTCCTAGCAATGCTGGAAATTCACCCACAAGAAATACTACAAGTGGGTAAATGCCAATTAGCACTAGCACAAACCATCTTATGTTTGTATCATGCCAAGATGTCATTTTTACTTATTAAAGAAATAAATAATGAATATTGTTTTTTAGTATCGCTATAATGAACCCTGACAAAAAATTGCATTTCAATTATAAAATATCAAGTAATTTATAATATACGGATACTAAAAGAGGTTTATGATATTAACTTTAAAATTACAATTGAGGAAGAAAATCACCACAAATTATTTTCTGACCTTATAAATTTAAAAAAAAAAATTAATTTTTTAAATATTAATTACTTATTTTGCTATTTACTTATATTTATTGTATTTTCTTATTAGCGGAATTTTAAGTTTTATGAACTCTAGATTGATCTGAATAACCCACCATAAAATTACTATTATTGCCTTCCGAAAACTCTTTGATCCACTCTGAGTGATTGCCT